CTGAGACGCGCGCCGGCAGCTGCAGTAGTTTGGAGCACACAGACGCACATCAAGACCAAGCGGCTATTGGATAGGTATTACACACATCCTTACACCTCATGCTGCTGGTATCTCACATCCTCCCAGAGGGTTTCTAGATGCACGGTTGGTGCGGCGAGGTGTGCAGTGCCCGCTTTGCCGCACGTTGAGGCGAAGATGAGGAATAGACCGCCTCGTAGGCGGCGAAATGAGGTGAGTTGGGTGAGCGAAAGAGCGGAGTGGCACCTAGGTTGAGAATAATTTACCAAGATGTAACGCGGATTACGGGGAACGATGAGAAGTTGGTGTGCAACGCGGGGTGGAAAGCCGATACATGTACAGTAAGGGTGTGTAAAGAAAAGACGTGAATCTTCTTTATCTCTGCGGATAGAAACGGGTAATATGATAGACTCATCCTGTTATCAACTAGAGAGAAAGGTGCTTATGGGCCTTACAGTACGACTAAGTTACACAAAAAAAAAGGCTCCATGTTGACGCAATATCAAACCGCGCTGGTTTTTTTGGAATCCTCGCTGCCCTCTTGTTTCTCTAAAGATCAAAATTTCCTCTTTTGGGGTACCGGGGGGCGGTTATGCTTCACCGGAGCGCAAATAAGGCTCCCGGGCTTAAGTTGTAAAAAGCGGGTGCATTAATTCCGGCCAGTCATTTTGGAAAAAAACTTATACACGCCCCCGTGTCTTTGCAGGCATATACTGTGTCTCCGAGGTATCTAGTTGCAAGCGAAAGAAAAAAGAAAAGAAAAAAGTAAGCCTTTAGGGATCTTTTGCAAATCTCTCTCTCTCTCTCCGCGCTTAGTTGAGCAATTAAAAAAAAAATACATTGTACCCCTTCAACTTTCTTTTGACCTCTAAACCTTGAAAGGGCCGCGTGCGCGCGCACGCGGTCACTTGGCGTGCGGCTTAAAAAACGGTATGCCCTTTTGATAAGGCTTAGACGGAAAACGGGGTATACACAAACGGGGCTTGGGCGCCTGATAGCCGTTCTCCGGGTATATTATGATTTGCTTCCGGGCGGGAAGGAGAGAGAGAGAGAGCGTGTGAGGGGAGGTTGCAGGTAACGGCAACAGTAAGGCAGTTTGCGAAGACCAAAAAAAAAAATTTACGGGGTCTCACTGGACGAACTCTTATTGGCGGCGTTTCTTTGTCGCCGGCAACCTTCATTCTTTATCAATCTATTGGTATCGTCCTCTCATTAATTCCTCCGAATGGGCTGTGCTGCGTGCGTGCTTGGTGCCTTAGTAGCCTATATGGAGTGCCCTTTTTTTTTTTTGTTTTACCCTTTTCCCTTGTCGTCAAAAAGAACTAGTTAGACGTTTCCTAAAACGAACGAGGCAGAAAAACGAAAAAGCAAAAGGCAAATAGATTAAATTCGAAAAGTTGCCCTATGCTAGGTTAAAACTGCAGTAGCGTAGCACATCCGTTGGAAGCGAAGGAGGGGTGTGCGTGTGTGCGTGTGCGCGTTTGTGTAATGAGACCATGTCGTTGGCCTCTCTCTCTTGTCGTCACGTTATTCGTTTCCGAGGATCTGGAGCTTGGGATTGAGTTGTCTCAGATGGGTAGCCTCTTCTTCTCCTTCTTGTGTGTGCTTGCTAATAGCTAGCTGCTGCCATTTGGCTTGCTTCCTGCTTGGCGTATAATTTCCGGATTGGAACGAACGCCGAACCCCATGGCCATGGCAAAGTCCGAAATCAAAGAGGGATGGAGTGCACAATTGTAATCACGTACTAATCAAGACACCGAACGTACAGTATTTTCATCTTACGAATATAATCATAATCACCCATCTTTGACGTCCTTTTGCACTCTAAGCGAGGCATCATCCACTGTGGAATCATCTGCGAGTAGCCGATTATCTCATCGGGCAGAAGACAAACTAGCAGCAAATCATTTCATTCATTCACATGTTGGTACTGCAGCTCCCGGGTATGTTCCGCCTCGCTTCCGGCCAATTTTTTCCCGGGTAAGGCAAATGGTAATCAAGGCAGGTACCAGCCACGGCTAGCGCTAAACGGGAAAAATTCCACTGGAGCGGCATAATATATTGCAGTTGTCTTCAATGTCAGCCGTTGCCCGGCACGCAGTACGTACCCTTTTTTTGATATCGTCAATGAAGTCAGAAGCGAGGTTCGTGTGAAGTACCGCTAGTACGGTATCTGAGTCCTTGCAGGCTTAAAATTCCACAGAGGGTCCTCCAAAGGAACCACCAAACAAAGACGGGCGAAGGTGGGGACGCTTTTTCTTTACGGCGCCCCGTTTTATTTAGAATGGGGCTTCAGATTTGATATTGGATTGTTTGAAGAGGGAAAAAAAAGAACACGAGCCGCCCCCCAAAATTTTGGATGGAGTCCACTCTAAAAAGGTACTTGGCGGCAAATCGAAGCGGGAGGCGGGGGGTTTGTGGGCGCAAGTTGTTTCAATGTACAAAGTCCAAGATGGGCCTAGCAGTGGGCTAAGAGGTACCGCCTAACCAAGGCCCCCAAAATCAAATACTTAGAAGTAGGAAACGCGGGGGCCTTGTCACTCTAATTGGACCAGCGGAAGGAGGCGGCGTGGGAACCAATCAAAAGACGCCGGGCGCCTTAGGTAAAGCACAGCCAGACAGGCCACTTAAAAAAAAGAAGAATTATGGGGAGAGGGAGGGGTAAAGCAGGGACTCGGACATCTCCCGAGCGCAAATTGGAGCTTATGGCTGTCGGGACGTCCTCTGCTAAAAAGCCCAAGACTTTTATAGTATGGCATGCTAGCAGCAGAGCTGTCTGGCTTTATTCCCGAAGTGCCGTGCCACCATTTTAGGACCAAGTTTGCGGTACAGTATGCTTGCTGTTGATAGCAAATGGCTTCGTGCGGTCTTATCGTACTTTGGCAAAACACCGCTCGACCGTAGCGGCAACAGCAAGAGGCAAAATCGTAATCGAGGGTGATTCGGAGTCAGACGGGAAGTGAGGAATGCGGAGTTTGAGTTTCTTGTATCATATGTTTATCTTTCATATCTGAATAAGCCCTGTTGCAAGTGTGGCCATGTCATAGAGGCTTTCCCTCTCCTTGACCATCGTGGTGCGAGTAATACATACCTTACTGTACTTGCTTTACATGGGATTTATGCCCTTTACTCCCCGAAAGCCGCCTTGCCCTGTGGGACTTTGTTCAAATGGGGATGGGTCGATCGCAAGAGAGAAAGTTATTTGAATACGGAGCACCAATATGGAGAAGCACTAGTAGCAATAAGCCTAGCATTAACATTTCGGATTTGCTGCCTGCCGTTATTCTCCTACTCCGTTTTTTATGCTCTGTGCCGCCATGTACATGCTAGACTACTAGACTGTATCCAACTTGGCGATTCGAGATTGGATGAACTTCCAGCATATTCCTGAACAGGCACACTGCTAAAAACGCTTCTGCACGACAGTGCACGTTAGCAAAAATCCCTCCGAATAGTGCTGCTCATCAACGGAGTAGCCCGCTCGAAAAACACAAATGAAGCAGCCTAGGCCAGAGCATAGCTGCCTGGGTAGTTAGTTAGTCTCGTCACGAAAATCGTACGACAATTCTGAATACCAATTTTTCTCCTTCTTTTTTAGCTGCGCAACCCATAGCTATCCGGAAATAGATGCGAAGCTATCTCATATCCCAGGTAGTATAATTAGCTTCGTGATGTGCATAGCGTCAGGAGCATGAGACAGGTCAGTGAGTGATGGGACGAAAAAAAATTCAAATTTGGCTTCGTTTGGCACTAGCAGGCGCATCCATTGCCAGGATCGGAAGTCCGCAGTCTGGCCTAACGCAACCTAGGCGAACCCAAAAAAGAACTGCAGAAAGTCGAAATCAACCCACACGGTCGTTGCCCTGACTCGACTGGAGATCTGTGTGCAGGGCTAAGCCAAAAGGGCTCAACTGGCGATACGCTGCCTGGCATAGTATTGAAACAGAACAGAAATGCAAATACCTTCTCAGCCCCATGCCCCATCCCCATGTTAGACCCGGAAGGAAGAAAAAAACACCGTAGACCCGTAGAACAGAGTACATGCTGCTTGTACATCCTAGAGGCAGCACGGTCCAAGGCCGGCTGTCGCCAGGCGCATAATTGGCCTACCAGCCCGCTGTGGAGCGAAGATCCGGTTATCCCACTGCTGGGGGGCCCCTTGGAGAGCCAGACAGAGCTTTGCCACAGCTCTTGGTGCCCGTGGGTTTAGCAGCGTTTGGGGAGAGCTCTGGTGGGCCCCCCACCGAAATCGGCCCAAGATTCGTCCGGCGCTCAAATATCGTGCCGCCGGATGGCCGCGCGCGCCGCAAAGCGGCCTTTTCTGTGCCAGTTCGTCGTCGTATGCCTATGTTCCGCACCCGCCTATGCCTGGTGATGCTTCCCCGGAGAGGGACTTGGGAGGAACTTGCTTGCGGCGAGGCGAATTTGAACGACGAGTTTCAATATAAGATTTTGACGAGTTAGCTAAATTCACGCAATTGTCATGCGGCGATAGTGTGGTTTGGTGTTGTTGACCGCCCACTGGCAATGGCAAATTTCCCAAGATACGGAGCCCATGATGGTACTCGTACGCCTTGCAAAAGCGATGATAGCATCATTTGCTTGGCGGCTCCATTGCCCTGGACCAGCCCCCCGGGTAGCGCTTGTTCGTTCGTCGATTTGTATCACACTAGCATCCCTGGAAATTACAAAGTAGCAACCGTGCCTGGAACCATGGCGGCATAGAAAAAGAAAAAGAAAAAGAATGAGAGAATCATTTTGCCCATCTCCCCAATGGGGTAGCCGTCTCTCTATTTCGAGCTTTGGCCAGCTTTCGCATTCAGGCACCCTGGCTCTCTCGCTATTCTCGCCTCAACTTCAAAGAGCTTGGGAAGGGGCTCCAGGCGAACGGATCCAGTCCACCGGGAGTGGATCGTAGCCGTCCCAAAATGCCGGTTATCCGCCAAAAGAGCAGGCAGGCAAAATGAACGAGCCCGTCTCGGAGAGGTCACAAGCCTCTCCTGGCTTGCCCAAAGCGGCAATGCTGGGGGATACCAGCCGGGTGGTTAGGGTTTTTGGATGTGCGCCGCATTCGCCTGTCCATGTTTGGTCCTGATATCAAATACCTGAGAATGGGGATAACTAACCTGGAAACCGTTGGAAGGGAGGGGCTCCTTAGCCTGGGATCGTCAACCAACAACAGGTAGTATCTATCTAAAAAAAAAAACGGCTGTTTGTCAGAAGAGGCGAGCAGGGAAAATGGCCCCCATCACAGCACCACGGCCACGGCTCGTGAAACTGAGCCCTTTGCTAATTTCGCTCTATAATACGAAAGCCTCTTTTGGGCCAAGAGCACCTGGCATCGATCTCATCGTTCCCTTCTGTCGGGACACGCCTCCTGCTCTCCACCCGGGACCCTCGTTGTCTCGCTTCGTTTTAGGTAGTATGTTAGCAGTAACATTGACTCTTGTGATGCGCAGCCTAGCCGCCTTTTGCGGGCGCACAGAGAAACCTGTTTATAGGGAGCAGATCCGCGGGGGACGGAAAGTATATGTAGATACATTAGTGTGTGCCATGGTATGTGATATAGATAAACAAAAAACCGGGCTTCTTAGCGACCCTTAAGCGATGGTTCATGCCATAAACTAGATGCGACCTGGGGGCGTGAGGTGAGGGTCGCATTGATGATGGGACGCCGTACTGGGAGACACAAGTTGAGTGTCAAGCGACGCCCTTCTCTTCCAAATCAAATTTGGAGCCTCCAAAAACTAACTTTTTTGGAATTCCAAGCTGCCAAATGCCTGCGCCCGCGGACCACGTTGTTGGCTCGGATATTTGCCGTTCCGCGCAACTGTGGCAGTGGCAGTGACAGTGGCAAGCCCGGCACGTCTCCATGGGATTTTCGTCTTGCCAAACGCAAAAAACGGCGGGAATAACTAAAACGTTGATGCGAGCTAAGAGGCGGCATTTCATCATCATAATCATCATCACCCGTTTTCCCACTCGGTTTGTTGGCCGTTGCTAACAGCAGGCTGGGGGCTAAGCTCGATCGCGCAGGCAACTGTGGCGCTGCGTCTTTGGGCGTTACAGTAGGGCACATGTATGTGATGTGCGCCCTTTTTGGTGCTGGTGGCTGCTGAGTTGGGGGTGGGCGCCGCTAAAGAAAAGGATAGACAAAACTTGGAAACGGCACTTGCTACTCCAACCTATGTCCCCCAAACAGCTCCAACTCCCTTTCTTACCCCGTACTTGTGCCGCCTCTAAGAAAGTGAGATTCTGGCCGATAGTCGTTGTTACAAGTTGGCGACAGCAATGCAATCTTAGTTTTGTCGCCCCCCCCAAATTACGCAAGATAGGCCGCCCCCGTCGTTCCTCGTTCCCGGTTCATTCATTTCCCTCGCTTGCTGCTCTATGTTGCTAGGAGCTAATCTATAACCCTGCGCGATGTTGACAAAAGCCTCATTGAGACTCAGGGGCGGGATAAGAGAAACAACCTCGGCGTCCCAGTTGATATGGCCGCGTCTAGTAAGAAACGTAAAACAAGGGGAGCCTAGCTGAGTTGAGCTGTGCGAGAAGACAGAGAGAGAGAGAGAGAGAGGAGAGAAAAAAAAAAAATAAGCCTAATGTCTCCCTTCCTCGTAGGGCGAACCAGATCCAAGGGATAAGATCCTCCCGGGTGGCCTGAAAGAGCACGTCCAGCGAGCGCCCTATCCACAGCGTTGGGATGTAGGGCTGAGATTGAAGGGGTGACTCGGCAGACAAAGTTGACATGTGGCAGATGGCGTCCCGACGGGTAGGGACGGCGGCCCATTGGCTGGACGAGGGGCTGCTGGGCCCACACCCCCTGACCTGCTAATGATGACAAAAAAGGGCTCCGTTGGTCATCTGAAGTCCTGGCTCTGGCAAGGGAGTGGCCGCCGCTATTCCGTACTTTGTCACCTGTAACCTGGGTCTGCCGCCTGTGGCTCGCTGCCTTGCGTACTCTGTACTCTACACGCACCAAAGCACAGTTCAGTATGCGACGGCCAATTCGAGCCGGGGGGTCGGGATCTTTTGGAGACTCCTGGGGAGCACCGCGGTGGTCGCAGGACAGCCAGAACCAGCACACACGCACGGCACAGAAACCTAGGACCCATACCTCCAAAGTTAATGAAAGGGGTGCTCATGATGATTGATGATGATGGCCCCCATTCTCCATAAATTTCTGGCTCTCTATTCCTTTCCCTTCTTGTTGTTGAATCGTGTTACGCATCATGTCAAATCAATTCCTCGCGGTAGTTGGGGCTAAGGCAAGAAAAAAACACTCGACGATGACCCTTGATTGCCTGTTTTGGAGGAGACAGTGACGCGAATCATTTGCCATTTTGTCTCCCCAGGCGGGGCTGCCCTGATAGCCAGTTTCTCTTTTTAGGCTTTTTCGCTTTTTTCACTTTCCGGCTTATAGCCGTATTCGGCTCTCGTATTATGCGCTTCTCGCTGGCTGGGTGTTCTGAGGCCGGAGAAATTGTCCCTCATATGCCGGTTTGGGGAAATGTGATTACTCTGGGGAGATTAGTCACCACAGTCCCTTGGATCCAAACATGTAGCTGCTGGCCGTGTCGTCAATCTATAGGTACTTATTCGTGGACTACCTACGTCGTACAGCAGGTGGTACATAGTAGTAGCCACCTGACCCAGACAGCAGGGTCGTCTAATTGGGGCCAGATAGATAGGCTCAGCATAGTGGGCAGCTTCCAGGCACTGCGGCATACAAGTATACAGCAGGTGCTCCATACAAAAGAGTCGAACAACTCAGCGTGTCCCCATAGCGTTGCGGCATGCGATACCAGGGTTGGAATCGAACAGGAGACAATACAACGGTTGTGCATGGAAGCAGCAGATCGGGCTAGGGCGGTGCGCCCATCTCGCATGCTTGCAACAACACCACGTTGACCAGCGTGAAAGGCGAGAGGTGGGTTGGGACGGCACGGTTGGGCGCTGACAATGGTGCCATCGAGTGCCATGTGCTGTAAATGAAAGATGCTGTNGGGGGGGGTAAAGGGCAAAGGGAGGCAGGTGTTGCGTGGTAGATATCCCCGGGAGGCTCTTTTGGCTTAGGCGATGCTATACATAGCATACTGTAGATGGGATCGCAGAGCGTGGGCGTCAGCAGCAGCCAGACGTGGTGAAGCCCTTTGCACCTCGCCTGCTAGACTCGGCGGATTAGAATGAAGCTAGCCAGCGACATCCCCCAGTGATTTGCTCGCGTGTAGAGGTTCGAGCAAAGAATCCCGGCGTGATGGGGGGCAGAGGCTCGGCGCTTGTCCGCGGCTCTTTTGGAGAGGTCCATGGCTATTTTGTTTTGGCTTTTCAACAGCCATCTCGAAACATCGCGCTGTTCCCAATCGCGTATATGCACTAAGGAAAGCTAGTCCGCAGGCGCAATGACTTCGCAGCCAAGAAGCAGGGGGATCGCAAAGGAGGCGGGGCCCTGAAGGACCTGTCGTTGGGCGCAGGCCAATCGTGGACCCGGATGCCTGGCTTTGGTAATGGGCGTCATAGGCGGCCCAAAAATAGCCTCCCTTACCCCAAGCACGTGTGATGCCACGAGTTAGGCTGAATCCAAGCTCCTAGTGGCTCGACGTCTGGGACACCGCCAGCCGGCAGCGAGAGCCTCCGGTGAAGGCTGAGCCCAACCTTCTTCTTTGTCAACTCAAATCAAAGGTCAAACGGGTAGCCGCGCTCACACGCCCCCCCTTCCGGTATCCAGAGCTCTAGAGTTTTAGCGGCGCTCCGTAAATAGAGGAGCATCCATGATGAAAGAGTCTAATGGATTTGAGATTGGGAGTCGGAGTGGGCAGTGTTGCGCTTGGCGACAGCCGGCTGTTTGGTGCTGGTAGCCATGCTAGCCGCCGCCCTACGAGGCTATCCTGCCTGTGTCGCCATTAATAACGTTTGGCTAAGATTCGCCTATCATGGTGCGCCGTGGCTGTTGGCAAACGCTCATCTCATTTGACGTCGGCCGTTGTCTCGGGAGAAAGAGACGCCACGCCGCCAGGGGCGTTACCGTTTGCTTGATTACTCAGTTCCTTATGTCACAGCTCCGTGACGGCACACGGTACCGACAGCCGTTCTGCCGCTGGGCTGTCAATGATGGAAATCATACACCCGTTATCTCCACGTCCTCTTCTGCCCGTCTGATGCCGCTACCTAAAAAGTTACTTACGTCCGTCCGGCCAGTGGTTCGGTACTCATGAGGATGGACGCGATCATGATGTGCCGCTGGGCCATTGGCCCTACGGGCGGAGCAGCATGAGCCCTACAGAAACGCCACCGCAAAGTAAGGTACGAATACATGCCGCCTGACAGATGCTATTGGCTTGTGGGATTTTGGGGAAACAAGCTCTCGCCCACCGTTACCAACACGGGAAAAAGGCTGACCGCAATACCGGAGCACGACCTAATGCTTGAGTTGATAGCATTGAGAATAGGTATCTTGTATACTGGGCAGCATTCTTTTACAGTAATTCTTGAACCGAGATGCCCCTGCTGCCTTGTCATGAGCATGGCATGTAAGAAAGCAAAAGGACCATCCACCATAGCCGTCTTTTCGAATTCGCTGCAAGTTGAACTATTCGTGCTGTCGCTGTTTTTGGAGCTGTGTTGAGTCATGCTCTGATAAAAGAGCGGGATGAGTACTTTGTACAAGTAGCAGCAGCACCTATGAGATTGCAGGGGAGGGAGGGGCATCGGGGCCAAGCGGCCCCCCCATTTGGGTGCCGATTCGAAGGTGTTGAGCCCCAAGACCTCTGGATCGGAGTATACAGAATTGCGATTCGAGCTCCGAGGCGGCGGCGATAGAGCAGATCAATAGCACTCGCCATAGCTTGTGAACCGGCTGTGCGCATCGGCCAGTGTGTGCGAGTCAGAGCACAGTACCCCGGAACGGCGTTTGTTTCGACAGCTTGTTTGCCGGTTTTACCGATCCGGCAAAAAGCCCAAGGAACCGGCGCCGTCTCTGCTGCAATTCTACAGAATGAATAACATGGCATTTCGTGACGGTGACAGCAAATTGCCAGCTGTCCGTGCTTCAAGGCTACTGTCCAGCGCCCTCCGGCCGGGGGCCAGTCCGCTGGCAAAAGGCCGCCCCTTTCAAACATGTGGCGGCAGGCCATTCTCGTAGGGCGGATTGGCCAATGCGAGCCCTGATGCGATTTCGTCCGAGAGATGCTTCCACGAAGCACAGCAGAAGGGATGGCGGGTGCCCCTACCCGTTTTTCCCTCTGTTCCTTTCTGGGCGCAATGTTTCGAATGCAACGTCTCGACGTCTAGAAGCGCCCCAAGGCTAGAGAAAAACAACGGGCTTGGGCTAGCATAAGGAGACTCCTGCAACTTGCAGCTTCACGCTTGACGCTTGTGCCTTAGCCGACACCTCCAGGATCGAATGGAATTAGAGCGATGTCAGCGCAGCCCTATGACGACGACGGCACTGCGTGTGAGTGCTGGGCTTAGCCATCCTAGTCCGGCCACTTGTACCTTGCGTTGCCAGCAGCACACGTCCTCACAGCACCTGTCTGTCTCAGTAGGGATTGGCAGCAGATAGGCGGTCTCCAAGGAGCGAAAGCGAGGCATTCCTTGTGCAACCTGCCCAGTGCTCTAGCAATCCATAGTATATCTGCTAGGCCCACTGCCTGGCGTTTACGGGTAGGATGGCCTGCTTTTCGTCGTCGACGGATATTCGCCGGGAGTAGAGGCGGAGAGGGCCCAACAATTCCCCCGGGCGCACGGTCTCGAGCGCCGGCTGTCGCGTCCTGCTAATCATAGCACTTGTAAGGGGGGGGAGGGTTCGACGACGAGAGCGCTACAGTATGCTGCTGTGCTCTGGATATCGCGGGAAGAGGGTGGCAGCGCAAGGGACCGCCAGAGCCAGATGAATGCCTGCCGGATGGGGCACTCGACTGTGGGAAAAGAAAACCGGGCAAATTTGGCTCTTCAGACAAAAACCGCGGCCACCAGGCCATGTGGGTTGCGAGAGCGAGCGAGCGAGAGCGACAAGTACGTACCGTGCCTGGTAGCGGCATGGAGGTGCTACGTTTAGCAGACTCTGGATTTGGGGTGATTTGATTTGTATTGGGAGGGGGCACTTGGCTTGGCTCTTGCTCGCTGTGGCTCTGGCGCTGGCGCTGGGCTGGCTCCTGCCTGGCAGTGGCTCTTGCCTGGCAGTGGCTCTTGCCTGGCACTAGAGAAAAGTACCTCTCCCGGGAGTCCCTGCCCCGTGTCTCTAGAGTCTACTGTCACGCCTCCCGACTGCTGGCAGGCGCCACGCCCCCCTGGTCCCTTCTGGCTTCAGTCCCCGCTCTATCCGCTTCATCCCACTCGCAGCGCCCACACCATCGCCTACTACTACCAGCACGCCCGCCTGCTACAGCCACTCCGGCCGCACCCCCTGTCGCTGCGCTGCAGACACAGCCAGATCCGCTCCATGTCTCGCTACGTGCACGCCTGCCCGCGCAGGAGCAGCCAAGAGGCGGGCCATGGGCACAGATCGTCCTCGCTGGGCGGTACGTACCTGTGGACGGCATGCACTGGCCCTGTCACAGCTTCACGCCCACCCCTCCACCACCTCACTTTGACGCTAAGTACATCGCACGAAGCCTTGCTGGGCTTCACCAGCCATGAAGCCTGGCCCCATGCAGCCCTGCAGCCAGGGTCTGTTCTGAGCTTCGACGAGACGCAGGCAGATAAGTCGAAGCATGCAGTATTTAACTCTCGTCGTCCTCCCATCTGGTCCAGCCCGTCATGACCATCCGATCCAACAATTGCTGAGACTCACATCATCTATATAATACCAACGACATCTCATCCAAACCATTCATCACTTACATCTTCCAACTTGATCTGATCAAGCAAGAGCCTCTTCTCTTCTGAGCCAAGACCACTGCCTTGCTTGTTCCTCTTCAACCCCTCCATCACCACCTCACCAACTCTTCTTACAACAACTCACACACACAATCACAATGGCCATGTTCGCCATCTCACAACAACACCCTTATGCCTACGCCGCAGTCCCGGCACCGGCTCCTCCTCCTCCTCGACACTGCTCAAACCACGGCACCAGCAGCGCCTTCAGCAGCTCTGCCCACCCTGATGAGGACTGGACCAAGATCTCAGATCTTGCCGAGCGCAGGAGAATACAGAACCGCATTGCTCAGCGCAACTACCGTATGTCTAGTCACAGAATCTCACCTCTTCTTTCCTTGCGCATTGAAAGCCATCTAACAATCGACTGCAGGCAAGAAGCTTAAGCGACGTCTGGAGGATCTTGAGCGCCGCGCTGGATCCGAAGAGGGCGATGCTGAGAAGCAGCCCTCGCCAGTCAGCCAGCCTGCCGCCAGCCCCAACAAGGTCGCCAAGCGTCAATCCATCTCCAAGGCTCACAAAGTGCACCAGGCACCAGCTCCTGTCCGCCTCCCGACTCCTCCCAAGACCATTGTCTCTCAGGGCCAATTCACTCCTCCCATGGAGTCTCACGACGAGCTGTCTTTTGTGCAACCCACTTACCACCACCACGACGAGCGCGAGCGATCCAACACTCCGCCCGTCCTCTCGTACACAACATACCCAGCTCCCGACGAGCTGCTCATCAACCCTTATGGCTCCGCTCACGCCTATCCTACCATGACTACTGCTGAGGTCTACCCCAACTACCTCAGTGCTGCGATGCCCGCCTCGCTGCCGCCTCTGGGCCACTACAGCGAGCCCATTAAGCGAGAGATGTATCCCGACAACGTCATCAGCCCATACATTGGCTATGGCTTCATGTCGACTCACGATATGGGCATGCCCACTCCCTACGACCCTTCCAACCCTCTGGTGAGTTCGGCTAGGCATCAATTCTCTTACCCTCGGGATCTGCGTTGCTGATTCTGAATGCCAGACTCCTCCTCTGACGCATTCATACGACCACTCGGCTGCCTGCTCTGAGACGGGCTTCGAGTACCCTACCACCCCGCTGTCTATGCCTGGATCTCCAGCCTTGATGCAGCACCAGCACTAATCAAAGAAAAAAAAAAAACAACTGTTTAAAAAAAAACAAGCCAAAAAAAAAAAAAAAAAAAAAAACCAAAATGCCGGATTTCATGCAATTCATCACCCTATCATCTATAAACCCGAAGTACATATATGCATATTCTACCTTGTCACAAAACAACAAGGCACTTCTCTTCCCACCTCCTGAGGTGGTGACTCGACATCACGGGGCAAAAAATGATTTCTGGTTTACGGCAAAGTGGTTGCACAACGGGATCTTTTATACGAGGACAAATAGCATGGCGATTGTGTTGGGTCTCTTTCATTCTTCTTGGAGAGCTTTGGATGAGCTCTTATTTTTTTGTGTTAACACCTCTTTTTTTTGTGATATCTTTATTCATGAAGTGGACATTTGGGATGACTTGAAAGATGGGATTGGTTGGCGGGCGTTCCAAGGAGCAACGGACTGATGTGATGAGCAATCTCGTCTGGCTTTAGTCTTTTAAACATGATGCTTAAGCAAGGCACAGTTTATTGGTGTTTTCTCTGTTACTTCATTTTTTTTGTCTTTTAATTATACTAGATATCCCCGCCGGAATACATACGGAACGGGCACTAGAAGCGTGCTCAAAATTAAAAAAACATTTACTTCATTTTGATGAGTCCTTTTCTTTTTTTGCCCAGTATACAAACGTGTGGTTGGCAATGCATGAAGAGCTACGGACGAGTCGGTTGAGCTACTGGCCATGGCTTGCGTTGGCCATGTGGACGAAGCCACACGCCCGCCCCCAGATATTTGTCTGCGGCCGCGGTGGTTGGAATACGCCAGCGCCACATGCGCCGGGCGCCTTGTAGGGCAAAAGCGAAGCTTCGCAGCCTTCTTCGATAGCGTCCCGGTTTTTCTTATCTACGGGAAGTTTTGCGGGGAGAATATTTACCGGCGAGGCGGCGGCGGGCTTTCCACCCCGTGTAAGTGCGCCCTTGTGTGCGTGTGTAAGAGAGGGAAGAGTGAGAAAAAGGAAGAGCCTCGATTTCTAACGCCGCTAAAGCTTAGCCATCTCGGTACTTGTGGTGGCTTATTTGGATTTGGAGCACACCCATCTTCCGTCAAACACGTGGTAGACGCGGCGCTGGTGAGCTCACGGCGGCGCGTTCTCTGTGCTAAGAGCTACTATTTCCATGCCTCTCTCGACGAAGGTTTCGGTGGCTTGGTTTCGGAGTTAATTCTGGCGTATTTGACACAAAGCCGTACGCCTCAATGCTCTTATTATAGCAATTAGTCAGAAGCTCGACTTAGAAATCCATCGGAGCGAGAATACTCCGAACACGACGCCCGGCGGGCTTCTTTCCGCCTTCCGATCGGAGTAGGTATCCGCTAAACGACGCAGCCAACCGCAACTTACTCGTACATATGCCCAACAAGGCTACTGCTGGCGAGCACAAAGGGCCCTTTGGCAGCCTCACCGAGCATCTGCAAAATCGGCCATTGCTGGCTACTCGCAAGTAATTCCACATTGGCCTGATATCGCCGCTCGCGCCCGCTAGATTCTTGCCCACGATGCACGCTACGACGAACCGGCGGAAGCTGCTCTACCTCTATGGTGGAGACCAGTAAGAGACCCCCCTTGATGCTTTGCTTTTTGGTCCATCACGCCTTGCGTCCTATTGCCTAAGCTGTGATGGCTTCTTCTTCTTCATCTTTTTTTTTTTTTTTTTTTTTTTTTGCCTCTTTGATTCGATTCACCCCTCTATCTTCAATGAGCATCCACTATGAACATTTGCCTGAATCAGGGTAGACTCGGATTTGCGAATTAGCATCTCAGATCTAGACTCCGGCGGCGGCTTCTTCTGGCTTGATACTGCTTGATACTACTTTTCTCTTTCTTTCTTGGAAGCCCAGCAACACACACACACACACGCACACTCCCCCAAAGTCTACATGACTTGCAGTAGGGGGGTAATTATATAAAAAAAGAAGAAGAAGAAGAAGAAGCTATTCCAGGCAACAGCACAAAGAAGCGGTCAAAAATAGAGCACCCAAGGCTAACTGAAACACGCCCCTTTGGGCCCTGCCCTGAATCAAAAGGCCCTGGGACTCCTCCTTATGGGTCACTTCTGATGATCGAGTTCGTGGAGGCGCCAGTCAGTCCCACCTGCTCATGATAAACCCAGAAAAGGCCCGCTTCTATGGCCACCTCGATACCAAGACGCTGGGCGGTGCCGGCTTCGCATCGCAGCATAGCTTGGGGGTGCTGAACTGGAACTTGTCCGACTACGAGGGGGGCATAGTCGTTGCGGTGGCCAAGGCCGATGGGAAACGATACGCCCTGACACTCAAAGACGAGATCCCACCGCGGAGGGGCGATGGGCGTGAGGAAGCTGGAATTAGTTGGGAGGCCGAATTCGAGGTCGTTGAGGACGGAGCGGGCTTGGAGGTGAAGAATGTGTATTTGCCATGGAGTGCATTCAAGCCAACGTACCGAGGGAGGCCGAAGCCGGATGCAAAACCATTGAACTTGTCCAGTGTGAAACGAGTCGGGTTGATGATGCGAAGGTGAGTGAAGAAGCCATGTTCTCTATTTCTGGAGCCCGTTGCTATATGTGTGCGCCAAGGATTAGCGGCTAATGAGCGATTGCTGTAGCTTTTTTGGAAAGCAAGAGGGAGATTTTTCCATTGATATTCATGCCATTGCAGCTGTAAGCGAGGCTGCGGACAATGGGGTGGATGATGATGAAGTTGAAGACGACCCCAAGGCTGCTATGGCTGAAGCGGCGGCGGCGAACAATTTGCAGAGTCGTCGAAGAAACTGGATGCGTCTATTATTATGCGGTTTGATATGATTTGGGAGAGCTAACAAGATGAGAGCAAAGGCTGCTCAGTCATGGTCTTTTTCATGCACAGGTCTTGTATATTTAATGACGTTATTGAGAATACAGCTACGGCAACTTATATATACACAAAAAAAGAGACGATTGGCTCAACTGATCAACCAATCAACGCAATTGAATTGCTTTTCATCATCGAGTGTTTCAATCTACTCTCTTAATGCAATACAGACAATCGTCTATTACCATTGAGATTGCACGTGCAGGAACGAGATGCGCGCGAATAGCTTCTTGGAGCTGGATCGGAGTAGCTTTGGCGTCGACGTCACCACACTTCAGCTCATGCCAGCCGTCCAATCCTTTCGTTTATTCAGACTGCAATGCTACCGTCTCCTTGATTGAATAAATCGACGGCATCCCATCTCCTCAAACAGCTTTGTTTTTCTTTCTACCCCTCTTTTTTTTTTTTTTTTTTTTTTTTTTTTTTTGATTATTTTCTCACATTCTTCTTTGATCTCACTTTATCCTACGTCTCCGTCGGTCTTTTGGATTGAGTTCTTACATGACTACAGATTCTAATTCGCAGTCTGGCCCCTAAATCAAGAGACCAGATGACACTCCTCAACCACTTCCTCCACATCACCAACTTCCACTCCCCCCTCCTGCGGTCCATCATCCCTTGCTTCGCCACCGCCTTTGCCATCCAAGGCGCTGTCGCGATCCCCTCCATCCTTGCCGGTTCGGAGCGCTTCTTCGACGTGTCTGGCTCAGTGACCTTCCTGGCTGTCGGAACGCTAAGCTTATATCTCCCCGCGCTGCGAGCTCGCGCGGCTGCTTATGCCGGCAATGCAGCAACTCTTCCTCGGCTGCCGAGCCTGATTGAGGTCCTGAAGGGGGGTGCGGGTGCGGGCGCGGGTGCCAATGCGGGTGCTGCGGCTCTGCTGAGCTGGAGACAGCTTGTCTTGACGGGAATGACTGCGGCTTGGGCAGTGCGACGTGAGCCTCCTCTTGCGATGCTTTAAACCCGGGTTCCTTACGCCGAGGGGGGAAGCTTTAATCTTACGCGTTTTCGGATCAAAACCCACGCACTGTTCTCTCTCTCTCTCACTCTCTCTTTTTTTTTTAAACTTACATCCTAGACTACTTGGTTGAGAATGACAAAAACTGACTAATTGCTCATACCACCACCAAAAACACAGTTGGCTCGTTTCTATTTCATCGCATCCTTACCGCCGGCCATGATTCTCGATTCGATTCCATCCGCCACAAGCCCGCCCGCTTCTCTGGGGCCTTCTTCTTCCAGGCCGTTTGGGTTTCGCTCCAGCTTATGCCTGTGATTATGCTCAACGCCATCCCGGCAGCTGTGCTGGCATCTGCCATTCCCAGGACACTCGCCACGGACGTCATTGGCATGTCGATTTGGCTTGCCGGGTTTGTGTATGAGGTCTTGGCGGATGTGCAGAAGAGCAGGTGGCAAAGGGAGAAGAAGCTCAAGCTGCATGATGAAGAGTTTATGACAAGTGGACTTTTCTCAAAGAGGTAAGTGTAAATAAAACCTTTTTTTTTTTTTTTTTTTTTTCCTGTTATGATTGTTGTAGTGCGGTTTCATAACTTGTTTTTTTTTTTCTTTCTTGGTTTTGTTTGGTGCCTCTAAAACTTTGGAAGTTTATTATATACATATAATGTTACCTAGGTGTTGTATTGTATTTTTGGATCTAACGAGATTGACTGATTGATTACTACTACTACTAGTCGGTACCCCAACTATTTTGGGGAAATCTCCCTTTGGACCGGAATTGCGACTGCATCAGCTGGCGTCCTCGCCCGGCTGCCCGTGCAGCAAGCTTTGGGTCTGTCTGGAGGCCCCTTGGGTGTCATTACAACTACCGTCTTGTCATTCGTTAGTCCCGCGTTTGCGGCCTTTTTGCTTCTCAAGGTATCTGGCATACCCCTCTCTGAGAAAAAGTACGACAAACGATACGGAGATAGAAAGGAGTATCAAGAGTGGAAGAAGAATACGCCGAGGCTGATCCCAAAGCTGTGGTAGTATAAACTACTACTACAAGGTATGTTCTCTCTCTCTCTCTCTCGGGGATCAAAATAGGTGAAGCAAAAACTTGGGGCATGTGAAATTTGTGTGTATAATTATATGTTTATATATATATATATATGATTGATAGCTTTGTCCACGAATAAATGAAGTCATAAGCCAGCTTTTGCTATGTGATGCAGGTTTTTTTTTATGTTCCCCGTGTCATGCATTCATTGCTTTCGTTCTCTTTTCACCTCCCTTCCCCATCTCTTCTTGGTTTTTGGTTTATTTGTAGAATGATTTGACCTTTTCAATCTCGTCATAGCTACCCATAAAGATACCTGACCTGTCGTGGATGTGCTCTGGCACAACCTCCAACATTCTGTTCATGTGGCTATCAACGGCTTGGCCACCAGCTATCACACACGTCACAGTTAGCATTTACCTCAGAGTCAATATAGCCAGAGGGATATTCAGAAAAGAAAAAAACTCACCATTCTCAAAAACCAAAGCCATAGGCGCACACTCGTAAAGAATACGAAGCTTGCCCTTGGGGCTCTTCTTATCCGCGGGGTAGGCAAAGATGCCTCCGTACAAGAGCGTGCGGTAGGCGTCGGCAACCATGCTTCCGATATAACGAGCGCTGTAGGGCTTGCCGTCGGCCTGCGCCTGCTTGAGAGAGTTGAAGTACTTGATGGTCTTGTCCTCCCAGTACAGGGAGTTGCCCTCGTTGACGGAGTAGATGGAACGCGCCTTGGGAATGCGCATGTTGGGGTGCGACAGGATAAACTCGCCAATGCCGTTGTCCAGGGTGAAGCCGTTGACGGTGCTGCCCCTCATGGTCATGACGAGCTGGGCAGAGGCGCCATACATGGTGAAGCCGGCGGCGACCAGCTCCGTGCCGGGCTTGAGGATGTCGTCCTTGCTGGCGACGTCGACGCCATCGGGGATCTTGTGGATGGCGAAGATTGTGCCGACGGACACTCCGGCGTCGAGGTTGGACGAGCCGTCGATGGGGTCGCAGGAGACGATGTAGCGCGCGCCGGTGGCGTGGGGGAAGTGGATTTCGGTCTCTTCCTCCTCGGAGACGAGCATGGCGACCTTGCCGCAGGAGCGCATGGCCTCGATGAAGAGGTCGTTGGAGATGACGTCGAGCTTCTTCTGCTCGTCGCCGGTGGTGTTGGAGGAGCCGGCCAGGCCGGTGAGGTTGACTAGCGTGGCGCGGCGGATGTAGTAGGCGATGGACTTGAAGGAGTATTGGAGAGCATGGCAGAGCAGTCTTGTTTTGTTATAAGTCGCGTGTTAGTTGGTTGTTGGAAGTAGCAGATGATGCGGCGCAATGGCAAAGGGGGGAAGGGGGGAAACAGAAAAGAAAACATACGTGAAATCACCGGTTGCTTCTCTGTGCTTGATCTGCTCTTCCGTGAGGAAGCGGGTGAGGGTGATGATGTGGGTGTTGACTTTTTCGCCGGTGTCTGTCATCTTGGCGGTTGGTGGTGGTGAGTTGACGATGATGTAATGGAGCTGAGAGCCGGGTGGTTCAAGGCGCAGCAGAGAGTTTCCTCTGAACAATTGAATTCCGCGATGCGCTTTATCACAGGGAAAAGGATTTGACTATCGGCGAGAGCAACGCAATGGAGGAGTAATTGGGCTGAATTGAGCTGAAACGAGCTATCGGGATTGAAGCTCTTCGGCAGCGATGACGCGGGGTTGGTGATCCGTGGGGTTCGGTTAGTGAAGGAGGAGAGAGATGTGGAATGGGGCAATGGAAAGAAGTCGATGCGTTTGGGGGGGAAAAAAGATCACGACACTACTGCATATATATAGTATATAGAGCAACAGACAGACGAAGAAGAAACGCCTCCTGACTAAAGGGGTGCTTGCTCTTTTTGATCACAAGACGCTGCCGAGATTTGACGATAACTCGCCCGCTGCCATCCGGCCGGGACGACTAGCCCAGCCAAACGCAGGGACCCGGCGCCCAGCTCTGTTGGCAGCGCGGTTGCGGTATTACGTATAAGTAGCAAGGCAAGTCCCGGCTACTCTAGGCTCTCTGCAGGGGATTCTCAGCCAATCCCAGGGGCAGGATTGTCGAACGCTTGGATGTAGTACTTGCATGAGACGAGCAACACGGTAACCGACTATACCGAAGCGTGGCCGTTGACTGGCTGTCTGGGTTCCCTTTCGGGGTGGGTTTTGGCGGTATTTGCCGGATGAGGGGAGCTTTTTTTTTTTTTTTTTTGGTGCTGTGCCTATCTGCTGAGGAAAGCAGTACAAGTGGTACAAGTGGTACAAGCAGTACCAGCAGTGCAAGCAGGCAATCAGCTCCGTGTTGGAGAGCCCTTTTTTGTCCCTCCGGCTATGCTCCATTGCCCCAGCTCCGAAAAAGCTGCTGTCTAAGAGGATTTCCCGGAAAGAGGAGCCCAGAGACGCTTGGTTGGAGCTCCCGAGTTCCCCATCTAGGCGGGGCGCGGGGACTCACGTGAGCTGCGCTTCTGGAGAGAGTACCGAGAGAGTACCGAGCTTATCTAACAGCGAGTGCATTACATAATCCGACCCTGAGAGTCGCGGACTTCACGTGCAAAAACACCAAGCCAGCTTGCGGGTCTACTCCGGAATTTGCATCTCTCCACACAAACGCCCAGCCTGCTGAACTAAGCAGGCAGTTCCATTCTCTTTTCTATCTTTCTGTTCCTTCTCCAGTGTGGGGGAATCTGGACCTCGGCATGTTTTACACACGCCACAAGTGCCGTCGGCTTCTGCAACCGTTTGGCTTGAAGCCTTTCCACGGCTAAACACGAGACACTTCTGACTCTCATTTGCCTTTTCTTTTTCCCCTTCTTATTTTTCTTTTGGACCGGTCCACGACTTGCACATTTCAACATCTTCTTCTTCTTCTTCCTCCCTCTGTTACGGCCTATACCCACATTGAACTTTCTCTCTTCAAGGAGACGGAATAAGACGCCCATCACCTGCGATAATACTCAATTACCGAAGCCGATAAGCGTGCCGCGTACTGCTGCTTTTGCCCCGGACCATCTCTTTCTCTCTCTCCTACACCAACGACAAAACACCTCCAAAATGGTCGCCGACACCCTCGTCTACCACCCCTCGGTGGCTCACTACCTCCGCTTCGTCGCCACCACCGTCGGCCGCGACAAGATCCTCCGCACGCTCCAGTACTTCGCCCGCTTCTACGCCTGGTACCTGCTGCGCACCAACGGCACCCCGTCCCAGATGGCCCCCTGGAACGCCATCAAGAAGCAGTTCGGCCTCGCCCGCAAGATCATGCGCGTCGGCAAGAACCTCGAGCACGTCAAAGCCGCCGCCCAGGCCGCCGACGCAAAGACGCTCGAGCCCTTCCTGCGCTACGCCGCCATCGGCCGCCAGATCGGATACGCGGGATACCTGTCCTTCGACATGCTGACCGTCGGCGACGCGGCCGGCATTCGCAAGTGGTCCGCCGCCAAGACGCTGACGCAGCATGCCTTTCGCTTCTGGGCCATGGGTCTGGTCTTCAGCGTGGCGGCGCAGCTCTATACGCTGTTTAAGCTGAAGGAGCGCGAGGCCAAGATTGACCGAAAGGACGGCGAGGGCGTCGTTGAAAGCAAGCGCATCTTGAAGTGAGTTTCTTTTCCCTTTTCTCTTCCTTGTCATATATACATACATGTAAACAACACATCTTTTAAAAAGGAAGAATAACTAACATGTGAAAAACCCACCCCTTCAGGGAACGATTCGCCAGCCGCCTCCAGCTCGTCTCCGACGTCTGCGACTTGACCGTCCCCCTCTCCGCCCTCAACTGGGTCGGCTTCGACGACGGCTTCGTCGGCCTGGCCGGAACTGTCAGCAGTGTGATCGGCGTCTACTCCCAGTGGAAGAAGACTGCTGCCTAAGACTTGGGCATAACAAGTTACAAAATACCTTTCCGAGAAAAAGGAACAAATTGAGAGAGAGAAAAAAACAACAACATGTTTGATACACACACACACACACACACACACACTTACACTTATCAGCTCCAGCAAACACCTCGTCAAATTCTTTTTCTTTTTTTCTTTTCTTTTTTTCTTTTTGGAAATGAGCGAAATATTTCCTTGAGCTGGTGGATATATATGTATATGTATGAGCCAAGAGGATGGTTTGTGTATACTACTAACAGCGACTACTTCCTTCTCATGTTGTAATGGTCGTCAACGCAACTGTTGCGCTGCTTGCAACAGGCAGTTCTTCTAATGCCATATTGGTCATGTCGATGATACTTATTGTGGATCGCTTCATTTTTTTACTGTTTGAATAGCACGTCGTATATGAATTGAGAACGGTTTGATGCAAAGATATGTTATATAACTAGGAGAAAATAAAAATCAAGAAATTTAAAAAAAAAAAAAAAAAAAGTAAAGCAATACCAAATGAACCATACATAAATCCCGTTAATCGTACAGCCTGACTCTTCTTGCCTCCCATGTGATATCATGTGTCCCGGAGATCCGTTCCATTCTGTCCATGGCTGTCCTGTCCTATATTCATTCTGATCATCAAGAGCCTCGGGTCTTTCTTTCTTCATCGTCTGGTATCCACCCATATCGAAATAGCAAATAGCAAAGCTGCTCGTTGTTAAGTCCAAACTCCCCGACCTTCCACACTAGATACAAATCCCGTAACAACCAGCTTCTGCAAACCATACGCCCCAACTTTTCGAATTGATAAGTCCGTTTGTGGTAGGTCATCTATCACATTTGGTCAAGGCCAATTCCGCCAAGAGAGCGAGCGTATAAAATAGAAGACGTATAAAAACAGGCAGCATGGGAAAGCAGAGCTATACAGCGCGGGCCTCAAGAGAGATAGATATGGAATAGAGGAGAAGAAAGATTTACCAGTAACGTCCACCACGATCGTAGTCTCGCGCATATCCTTCTCGAGGGTATGCTGGCTCCCTAGGAGGAAAGTCTCTAGGTGGCCGGTCATAGGCAGGTCGACCGCCGTTGACATAAGGGTCGGCAGGAGGAGGTGGATAATCGCGGCGGTAAGGCTCATCATAGCGGCCTCGAGGGGGCGGGTAATCTTCCACTGGCCGGCGAGGGGGCGAACGATAGCGCGGTGCCCGGTCATCATAGTAGTCACGGCGAGGGCTTCTGTCACGGTAGCCGTACGATGGACCACCTTCGCGGCTGTAACCTCGGTGAGGGCCGCCTCGGCGGTCATAGTTATCAAACTGCGGGGGTGGGTATGGCCTACGTCCAGGCGAACGAGATCGGCCACGGGGATCCCGCGGGGGCATATCGGGTTGAGTCTAGGTATGCAGAGTGAGTAAGCGGTCACCTAAAAGGATACGCATGGCGACAAGCGCAATATCCAAAACTTACGTCAACCAGGCATTGGACACGAGCGCCCTTGAACTCACGGCCGTCAAGCTTTTCAACGGCTGTTCTCAGGTCTGCAGCAGTCTCGAATTCGACAAAGCTACGGCCCTTTCGTTAGCCGCAAACATACATGTAAGATTTAATAGCTTGAAGCTTAACAGCGCTTACCCTCGACCATTGGAGTCGCGGCCGGTCTCAGAGTACACCACATCAAGGCTTGACTGACGGGCGAAATCTTTAAGGTCCTATTCGTAGAATCCACGTAAGTCGTTGCCAAGGAGGAGACAAAAAGCCTGGAGAAAAAAAAGTCCACGTATCGGCAAGCCACAAAAAAAGAAAAAATTTCCATCAAGTCAGGAACCAGGGATGCCAAGCCGGAGTCGCCAGTCCAGAACGAAAGGGCACAGAGGAATAGTGCGGGGCGCACAAGCCGACCCGATGCAAAGCATAGCAAACCAACGTGCTCCAAGTATATGAAGAAAAGGGCATGCAAATCCCGTGGAATCCAGGTGCAACAAACTGGGAGAGGGAACAGACCTGCCAACTGGTATCATTGGGAAGTCCCGTGATCTGCATTCGGTGAGGAGTTCTACGCGGTCGCGGCGGCGCACGCTCGTGCCCCATGCCGCCCTCTCGGTGTCGAGCTCCACGGGCAAACTGGACGGTGAGGCGTTCTCCCATAAAGTCGGATCCATCTTTGTTTTTTCAATCGCGGGTTAGTCTCGAGCAGAACGAAAGGCGACAGTATATTGACGGGGGAAGGAGAGGTCAGGCAGAACTGGGATGGCAGGGCGATGACATACGGAAAGCTGTATATGGCGAAGAAGAAAGCGCGATTGGTTAGTATAATAGATCCAGTGGTAAAACTATGGTTGGAACAGGGCAAGGCGAACCTGGAACGACGTCGCGAGCATCCATGGCGTCCTTATACTCGATGAATCCGAAGCCATTCATAAGCTTCACTTCGGTAATCTCTCCGGTGCCGTGGGTCGCAAAGTGAGCCTCGACATCGGCCTTGGTAGCTGAGGGAAGCCAGTTAGTCGTAGCCACGGGAGCAGGAAAACAATGGAGATGGACCATTTCGAGGGAGGTTCCCCAGGTAGAGCCGGGTAGACGAAACCTCAGTCATGGTGGCGACGACCTGACAGAGTCCGGGATATCTTTTTTTTTTTCTTCTTTCTTTTCTTCTTAGTCTCAGCAGTAGGGCCACCGGGCAGGGTTCAGGTATTCGTTCTTCCTTCGTCAAGCAGCGGTCCAGCGAATCGTCCACGGACCAGGAACGCGATAAACAAATGAGTCCAGACGTCGAGCCAGACGAGGATGAGGATGAGGGATGAGAGAGCGAGCAAAAGACGGCGGCGGCTAGTGGGAGGAGAAAGCTGGTCCAGGCGAAGCTTGCTATCTGCGAGCGAAAGAGGCTGGCGGCTGCAAGGTTGCAGTGAGGACGGTCAGCGGCGGCAGAATCGCCAGGACAGGCTTAGGCGGCCCCGCGTTTCGAGCCTGCAAAGCCCTGCTAGCAAAGCTGGGATCCTCTTTTTGCTGTCGCCGTTCGCTTTCTGGCCGTCCGCGTGTACATTTGCATACAAGCAGATAACGCAGGTGACCTCCGCCAGTCGCTTGTGAGTCGAGCCCCGCCTTTTCTGCTCTCCGCTCGCCTCTTTTTGCCTCTCCGCTTGCTGGATGCGGAAGACCAAGGCCCCAATTACGTAGTTGTCGGCAGATGGTACTTGTACGCACTGCGATGGTGTGCATAGAGTGCGGTGTCAGGTATGGGGTACCTACATAGTACGCATGTATGTACTTAAGATACGCGCATCAGAGGAGGAGGGCTAGTACGAAATGGCCTTAGAGGAGCTTCTGTTTCTAGATAGCTTCCAATGCGATACCGTGGCATGTGAAAAAAGAAAAAAACCTATGTGCCGAACTCTGTATTCAACGCCATATAAATCTTGCGAACTATGCTGATACGAGGCTGTAGGGAGCAACTAGCCGCAGCGATTTGCCTCTCGCAGGGCTTCACAGCCCTCTCTTTCTGCTCCTCCTTGCCCTACCGTTGCCGCTCCCATTCCGGATAGGCATGCTTGACCTGCATGATGCTTTAACCCACTTGGAAAAGCCCGCCACTGCTCCCGTGCCGCATGTGCTAAATATTTGGTGTGCGTATATGCAGGTCATTACGCAAACTCTCTCAGGGTACTCCGCTGGGACACCCAGGTGCCGCGAGGATTAAAAATAAAATACGTCTCACACGGTGAAACAAGGCCTTCACCAGGCAGCTCAGATTCCCTGAGACATTAATGGTTCACTTTCATATGCAAGGGTTCACCGTCTGGTCACAGTTAATATCTTATCAGTCGGTCAGTAAAGGGAAAGAAAGAGAAGAGAAAGTAGAGAATATCCCATATTGCGAATCATATTGCTATTTATTAATACGTAATCTAAGCGTGGATAAGTAACCAAGATATATGCCTCATGTGCTCTCCATTGTGGTAAGCCGTCACTTCCCCCAAATAAGTTCTCATTACTTTCTTGGCCGGTGTTCTAATATCCACCCGCCAGTCCCAAGTACTCACACTATCAAGGGTAGAAAAAAAAAATGTTGATAAAAGCAAAAAGAAGAGAAAAAAGGAAAGTAAAAGAAAACTCCGGCTACGTACGTGAAATGCCGCAACATGCCATATACAAACACGCCCTCTGCTTCTATTTTCGAATGATTGTCGTAACTTGCCCGGTATGGGTGATAAAGCCTGTCCCTTCGTCCCAGCAGCACAGTTTCTTCTTCTTCGACTTGTTTCGCAAATCGGCAGTTTCATACACCCACCCATGCCATCGCTAACCCAGAATATGCACCCTTTTTTTTTTTTATATTCATTGCCTGGAGATACCTTATGCTTTAAAGTTTCAGCTCCTTGAGAATTTGCTCCGCCATGTTCTTGTACTGCCATGTATTTCCAGTCATTCTCTTGAACTGGATGCCGTGTAGGGAAAGCAGTGGGACCTTGACGATGAAGATCTCAAACTCCATCACCATGCTACCACCAAGATCGCTTTGAACTTGCGTTGTCGTCTCTCCAGGCACGCGCCGCGATACTCCTCCACTCCTTCGGGGGATGCTATCTACCGACTCTTCAGAGTTGGAGTAGCTGCGGTCACGGTCTCGATTGCGGTCGCGGTCCTGCCGTCCAGGGGTCCTTGGGGTCACGGGGGATCGATCCATATCGCGAATGTCGTCGCGATCACGGTCCTCGCCTCGCATAAGGCCGCCAAAGCTGAAGCGGCGGCGATGTCCACCACCTCCTTGATTTTGGGCAGGCGGGCTGCTCGGTGTATCATGCACCCTGTTCAGATCGATACTCGGCGTATACTTGCAGCTAAAGCCTCCTCGGATTTCGATGTAGTCGACATTTAGCTGTTTCAGCACTCTCCGGATGTCGGCACGAATTGTCGGAACCGACTTGCCGGAAGTGGTGGAAACGCTGAAAAGACCTTTGAGGTATACGGGTTTCGCCAACTCAGCGCTGTCTAGTCTATCGGTGGAGACACCGCTTGCTTCCTGCTCCAAATCGGTTTCTTCAGGTACATTGGACTCTTGAGCAGCCTCTCTTCTCAGACGACGTTGTTGAACGCTCTCGCGACGCGCGTGTCCTAAAGACTTGGCCCTCATTGCCACCGATTGCGAATGCGCGTGGCTCGAACTCCTCTGTACAATCGACGACTGGTCGTTTGTGACAGATTGGTCTGAGCCGCTTGTTAAAGGTGGTTCTCTTGATGACATGGCGTTATCCCGTCGACGAAGGTCCGCTGAGTTCACGCTGGTTGACCGTCCAAGGCCTGATTTTCGAGATGCGCGAATTCCACCGGCAGACATTGGGGGGCTAAGCAGCTCGCTATGTTGGCTCGCGCCAGACGGTAGCGCAATATTGGCATGGTCGTCACGGTCTCGCCGTCCACGTCGGATACTGAAGCTCTTTCTAGGGGCCGTAGGGGCTCCTTCGGGTGGTGAGTGGACTTGCACCACAGGAGGGTAGGATCGATCTCTCTCCTTGTCGAAAGACCGATCAGGCTCCCTGCGTTTCCGAGTGCTGAAGCGCCGGAGCAAGCTGGCAGTAGTGCCCTCCTTCTTCTGAAGTTGATCGGCCTTTGACTCAGGCGGCACAGGTATGTGCTGCTGCTTTACCAAGTCTGGCGCATCATCTTCTCCATGAGTACGAGCTCTGGGCCGAGTTCGTCCGCCTGTAGGCCTCTCGCCTGGCATTTCAAACGCTGCAGCATTGGTATGAGCCGCTTGAGGAGGAGCCAAATCGGGTACGGTCTCTGGAAGCTTTTCACGCTCACGCTCACGCTCGCGTTCACGCTCTCTTTCCTTTTCCTTTTCCTTTTCCTTTTCCTTTTCCTTTTCCCTTTCCCTTTCACGCTCTCTTTCCCTTTCCTTTTCTCTCTCACGCTCACGCTCAGCACGTTCTCGCTCCCTATCCCGTTCTCGCTCCTTTTCTTTTTCCTTTTCGCGAGATGTACTTGTTGGTGGGTTCATCTCCGCATGCTCGCGGTCCTGCTTCTCTTTGACAAGATAATAGATGGAGGTGAGTGGATTGAATGCATTTAGGGGGTCAGCACCAATCTGCAACGCTTCGGAGCTTGGCCCGCTAAGGGTGTCGCGGCTGTTGGAGTTTCTCCTCTTGTAGAAATCGAAGCCAAACCCGCGCTTCTTCTCGCTGTCTTTGCTGGGCTGTGGCTGCTCCTTCTCACGTTGATAGGCTTTGACAGCTTGCTGGTAATCCTCCGATTCGATAACCTTTGTAAGTTGTGCACGGATGGACTCAGGAGAGCCAAAGTTGAAGCCTTGCATGGCGTGGATGACTTCTGGCTCCAAGTTTGCGGTGAGCGGCTCTCGGACGGGAAGGTAGTTGTCCGGAGGTCCGCTGAATCCTTTGAGCATCCATGGATGGTTCATAACTTCTTGCATGGTTGCTCGTTGCTTGGGATCCGTGACAAGCATCCGGGACATTAGGTGTTTGCATTCTATATTGTAAAAAGTATCATGTCAGTACTCAGTTGATGGCATCATTGGTCACGTCTTTGGGGAGTAAGGTGTTGGGTGCTCACCATTCGAAAGCCAGCTCGGGTAGTCGACAAGCCCCTTCTTGATCTTTGCATGAAGAGCGGGCATGCTCTGATCGTCGAAAGGCACCTTACCACAAACGAGAACATAGAGAACGATTCCAAAACTCCACACGTCAACTTCGGGCCCTGTGTATGCCCTCGCTTGTAGCAGCTCGGGGGCGGCAAAGTAGAGACTTCCGCAAAAGGTCTTGAGATGGCCGCGGGGAGAGAACAGGTTGCTGAGGCCAAAATCGATGATTTTGATGTCGCCGGTTTTGCTGATGAGAATGTTTTCGATTTTCAGATCACGATGGACGATGCTGTTTCGGTGACAGTAGTCCAGAGCACTGGCAATCTGACGGCTAAACTTGCGGGCTTGCTTTTCCTTGAGCTTGCCATGTGAAATGATGTAGTCAAGCATCTGACCACCGTTGACGTACTCAAAGAGCATATACCAATGATAGTTTGTGCGAACTACATCTCGCATGCCGCAGATGTGGGGGTGATGGAGAAGGGTGACAATGGCAGCCTCGCGAGCGGTTCGAATCTCCTTTGACTGATCGGCGCGCTCCTTCTCCGCCCGACTCTGATGGCCATCATCAGTAGAACCGCGAGGGATGATTTTGCACGCAACCTTTTTTGAGGGCAAGCGCCCAAGATGTTAGCAACGCAACATGATATCATAAGGAAAGCAAAACAAAGGGGGTACGTACCTGTTCAGACCCGTCTTCTTTGCGAGCCAGCTTCACCTTGCCCATACTGCCGGCGCCGATGGTCTTGCCCAAGATCCATTTGCCAGACTGAGTTGGGATGGTGGTGCGCGATCTGGACTGTTTGGCCGAGTGCGTCGCGTCGGCGCCGCCATGGGAAGTGTGGTGCGACGCAGCGGCAGCGCTGCCATTATTGGCGACGGCGGAGGGAGGCATTTCGGCGTGGCCCTGCCGAGTATGTGTGGAACGGGTGCTGGTGCTCCTTCGATGGGATCGAGATGTGTCGGCAGCTCTGTTGTTAGAAGAGAGCGGCGGGCGGTCTCGGCTGGAGCTGCGCTTGGACTGGGATGCGGCTAGATGTGAGGTTTCGTAGTCATTTTGTGACGACGTAGGCTCGTGGGCGTGGCTGTGTGCGTGGGTCGGGCGAGACGACGACGAGCTGCGGCGACGGTGACGAGACTGCTGCTGCTGCTGCTGCGTTGAAGCCGTTGTTGGCGTTGTTGCGTACTGCTGCTGCTGCTGCACCCCAGGCTGTTGCTGCTGCTGGGCTTGGTGGCTGCCGTGGTGATAGTACGAGTGCGAGTTGGCGTTGGCGTTGGCGCTGGAAATGGAGGACGCAAGTGGCCCAGCCGCGCCGCCAGCAGAGCCTGAGGGTACGGGAGGGGGGCGGGAGGAGCGTGTGGAATAGGACCGGGATGGGGCAGCTCGCGAGGGGGAGGTGTGGGAGAAGTCGGAGCCTTGGGACGCTGCGGCGGTTGTCATGGCGGTCAATTTGCTGAATGAGTGCGGACAGTACTTCGGACAAGAGCGAGGATGCTCTGTCTGCGCTGCCAGGGCCCTGAGAAGCCGTCAGGCAAAGATTGGAGCAAGGCCCGCGGGTGCGTCACAGAGGCATCAAAGGCCCTCCTCTCTGCTGCGAGATAAAAAAGGAGAAGATCCACGCGCGGTCGGGGGGCAAAGAGCTGGGCTGGGGGGAAGAACAAAAGAGAGAGCGTGAGCGAGCGAGAGAGCAGGGTGACAATGACTGGGACGGGATCCAGGTAACGCAGCGCTGGGGCCCGGGTACCACGTTAGTACAGGTACTGCGACGTCGATACTAGTACGGAGTACGAGTGCGAGATACTGCCCTTTTTGCTCCAGTTTCTGATGGGGAAATGGATATTACTACGGAGTACTGGTGTCCGTTAACGTCGAGCTAGCACTCACGAGAGTCCACTCCGCAGCGCAGCGCCTCTGCCATCTGTGACGACTTGGACGTCTATAGAGGAGAGGAGAGACGAGACGAGCGTCGAGGCAAATAACATTTGAAAGTATCCAGCTCGCCCAGGTAGAGGTAGCTCAGCTGTCGCCAAGCGTGTACGGATAGCATGGTAGCAGTACTACCTCGTACCTGGGGCCTCACTTCAGCGGAGTGCTAAACCTGGCTCGCCGGGCTAGTGCCCCAGGGGCCGCGCGCTGCTCAGTGGTTGGACGGGGGCCTGGTACAGCTCATCTGGCATTGAGGCATCCCCTCAGGCGTCATTACAGCTGCAGGCTCCACAGCACATGTTCCCATTACCCGTACTCCGTAGATGGGACTTTATTGCCTTGAATTCTATTTGCTGTTTGCGCGCAGACGCCTGAGCTGGCAATCCAGCTGCTACTGGTAGGTGCTGTAGTGCAATTTCACGCAGGATCCAGCGCATGACGGTAGTAGCTTTGGGCATCATTGACCTGTGCTCCAAGCTCGCGGAGAGGGGCTTGCCAACGACTCCCTGTCCCCTGTGTAAAAACAAAAACACAAATAAAATCTAGATACCAATTTTTGAAACATCAATACACCAGCACAACGTCTTTTCCTCTCTCTCCCTCTTTAGATTCCGTGGTACTGGCTTGTGGGCGTCTTACCCCTCTCCTATTCTACCTTTTGTCTTTCCACGCTTTCTTTGTTCTCTTTCGTCATTGTGCTCGCTGTGGCTGGATTGCCAAATTCCTGACGTTTTCAGGCACCTACCAGGTACCTAGCTGTAAAATGCCTGGTGCTGTCAGCATAGCACGCTCCCTTTTTACAGCACAGCCAATAATGGCCATTGACTGTTGGACTACATCCATTCCTGCCTGGGTGCACCATGGGGCTCGGCTTTTAATAGCATCTTATGAGTAAAGGAAGCATCAATAGCTCCCTCTCGGCGATAAACAGCACCTCTCCACATTACCAAGGAGTTTGCTGAGCTATCAAATGCTTACGAGTAGATTACTATTAGACATGTAGGTATAACCTACTACCAAGTCATTGAGTGCCTGGCCTAACTCCGTATTACCGCGCCTCTCGTGTTATAAACCGCTATATACTATGCATATGCATACTACAAAGTAATAACAGCTCTACCTTCTAGTATCAGTAATGGGATATTGGAGCGTCTTGTTTAGATCACCCTAGAGCCGTAAAAGCGGGAGAGAGGCGGTAGTTCTTTGACAGTGCTTGGGAAGCTGGGTGCTTTCTTCGTCAGGCTGGCTTGAGATCAATTATTCCCAAGAGAAGGTGTAAGCTTACAACTGAAGCACGTCACGGAGGATCAGAGTATGCCGTCATCGTAAATACATTTTAGCCTTTGAATATTTATTAAGATTGAATGTTCAAAATCAACACGAACCAAGTTCTAATTCCAGTTTAGAAGCACAAGGTATGAGAGTGCACTCACAGCATAAAGATCTCGTAGCATTGCCGGTACTGGAGCTCAATTGCATTTTAGCTGGACTGTTAGTGGGTCAAAGGCCGGCAAGGTGGGCGGGCAGGCTAGCACCAAGAAGGCCATAGACGGGCCGCTGCAAATAGAGTAGCATTGCAAGGCACTGCATGCTTTATCGATAGCGCATCTACTCAACCAGGCTTGTGCCGACCTGCTTCATTCCTTTGATAGACCACGACTATTGCTTCTGGCTCTTCATCTCACAGCCGTCAATTAGCCCAACAGCCATGCTCTGAGCGACCTCGGACCCCCCTAAATGCCACGAAGATTTGTCTGCTGAATTTTCCCGAATACGAAAGCCTATGTCCTACAAGCGATCTCGGGCGACATTCGAGGCCGACCTCCATGCGCCGTATGCCATCTTCGGCACCCCTTTGCCAGAGGACGGCGAGCGCGACGATGGCTCATATCTTCCCTTGTGGAAACAGGAGGTGAGAGATGAAAAGGGCAGGCGGAGATTACATGGAGCTTTTACAGGCGGCTGGAGCGCAGGGTAGGTCACGGCTCTATCGACCCCAATCTAGATTTCTGACGTCTGACCGCCGAGATAGCTATTTCAACACCGTGGGATCCAAAGAAGGATGGACACCGGCCACCTTTGTATCAAGTCGCTCGAACCGCCGCAAGGATGAACCTGCCAGCCTCCAACAGCGCGCCGAAGATTACATGGACGAAGAGGACCTGGCGGATGCTGCGGAAGCACAGACACTCAAGACCACCCAGGCATTTGCCGGGCTGGGATCGTCCACCCAAGAGGAGCTCCGTGCCGGGGGGCTGATGGGCCTGTTTAGAGCCGACGGAGATACAATGGGCCTGAAGCTGTTGCGGAGAATGGGCTGGAAAGATGGCCAGGGTATTGGTCCCAAAGTTCGACGGGGTGCACGCCTAGACTTGGGCGCAAAGTCTAACTCGACCGATGGCGAAACTCACCTCTTTGCACCAGACAATGTCGAGGTAATGCGATTCGTCCACAAGACCGATCACAAAGGTCTGGGACATAGTGGACAGGAAAAGCTTTCTTTGCTGCGCCACGAAAGCAAAGCTGATAGTGACGAAGAGGGCGAAGGTCGAGATGGCGTGTTGTCAATCTTATCCCGAGGGGGCACCAATAAGAAACCCCAGCGAGGCGGCATTGGCATTGGCATCCTCAACGACACTGGATCTGATGACGAAGACCCTTACGAGATTGGTCCCAAGATCAGGTATAACCGCGTTGTTGGAGGCGACAAGAAGAAGAAGGGGAAGAAGTCACCAGCTGCAGCGAATCCATCTCTGAAAAAAACCCCAGTGTTTATACCGAAAATTTCTAGGGTCGGCGGTAACTTACGAAGATGTCAGGATGGACGACTTCCTCTCGATGGGTTTGCCCTAGCCACAATGGTGGAAGATTTAACCGCTGCTTTGTCCAAATATGCGCCCCCGCCAGTCCCGACTGACTGGAAATTATCCAAGTCTACCCCTAATGCCGAAAGCAAAGCAGATGCGTATGTTTCAGCTGCTGAAGCTGCAAAATCATCAACTCTCGATGCGAAATCTCGAGCCGCTATCCTTGGTGAAAAGGCCCTCCCTGGGAAATCTGTTTTTGATTACATATCGGCTGCTTCCAGGGAGAAGATTGCTGCGGCGTCAGGAAGAGCAGACTTACCCCCTGGCCTAGGCGAAGTGCCAGAAGGATATGCACTGTCAGAAGAAGAAAAGCAGACAATGCTCTGGGACCAAGTTCCTAAACTTGACCGTGAGACGGCAATCGCAGCAATTGCACGGGGTTTACGAGGGCCATACGCAGACAATGAGGTTAAAAGAGCTCGCTACAAACGGTACCTGGAGCACCATACGAATCCTAAACTGTCGCTCCCGGAGAGGACCAGGGGTATGTCAGATGACGATTTCCTTCAGGAAATGACCGAGTTCTATAACTGCGCGAGGATATTCAAGCCAATGACTGGTTTCATGGCATCGAGATTCACAACGGCCAAGGCGCCACACATCATTGGGGCTGACCCAACACAAGAGAAGGAGTTGATTTCTATGCCTGAGCCAAAGACCTTGGACCCGGCAGAAGAGGCTGCTAAGATGGGAATGTTTGGAAATATGACGAGGTCAGTCGCGGACTTTTACCCTACGCGGCTACTCTGCAAGCGATTCAATGTCAAGCCACCTGCGCACTCTCGTCGAGATGACGAGCCCGATGCCAGCAATGCACCTCCGGGTTCAAGTGCGCGACCATCTTACGGTAGTCCAATGGAAGATGTACAGATGCCCTTGCTATCTGCGTCTCGGGTCCAGGATGAACCTCCTGCAGCTGGGGAGACGACTTCAATGGCAGCAGCAGGAGCAGCAGCCTTACGGGAAACTCCAGCGATAGAAGGCCTGGTGAACCCTGAACGGAACGAGGCTGTTGAGGGGAAAAGCGCTAATGCTGAAGTATTACGAGCAATCTTTGGCGACAGTGATAGCGAATGAATGCTTGTAGTATTGTCATGGGTTTAGAATTAGGGCGTCTGGAGTATGGAGCACATCATATTACTGCTATGCGTTCGAGAGGTAGATATACCAGCACCAAACCGCGGCTTGGCGAGGGCTATTTCATTCGATGCTTCTCGTTCTTGGCGAACCAGGTAAAATTTTAGACGTAAAAATTCGCGTCGACTTTGACCATACATATATCTTCCTTTGACTTTGACTTTCAGCTCGTCTGTTCTCGTTTTGTTGGCAGCTCGGCAAGGGCTCGTGGTCTTTTCCCACGGCCACTCAAGTCACCATTGGCAGGGCGGCTAATGTGAAGCTTGGTACGGATGGAGCTCTATCATTGGCTAGCGAGTGTGCCCAATTTTAGCTACCCGTTCCATCTGCAGTGGGGCTTATTAGAAGGTCAGCCCGCGAAGCACTGCCTGTGCTCCGTAGAACCCCCCTAAACGCGCTGGAAAATGGAGGCACTTGACAGGTTCAGCGGGCAAGCATCCATCGTCTCCACCCACATCATCAACTCATGTTCATCGCCCGCAAGATCAATTGACCAGACCAGTCTGCATCATCAACCAGCTGGCCAAGGTGCTTTCGTTGATCCCAGCAAAACGAGACGGAGAATCCATCCTTGGACGCCGGACCGGACCGCCGCGAAAGGCCCTTTCTGCGCTCGCAGCCCGAATGCTCTCGCCTCCTTTCCGCTCGCCTTAGCATTTTCACTGCCAGCGATAGCCAGATGCCCACGCTGCACTGACCCGCCCAAATCAATCTCCAATCTCCCTTATTAGCCCCCATCACCGCTCCCTCGCCGAAACGAGCTCCTGCGCCGCGAACCGCCATCCGCCACATTGTCTGAGACGCACGAGCCTGGAACCGGACCGTCAGAGTCCTTGGAGTTGACTGAGGCCAAGGTGCATCACCGCCGCGAGCACGCAGCCACCGCCGCCGCCGCCGCCGCCGATCCACCACAGCTGGACCTTGAGCTCGATCGCGACGACAACGACATCGACGCCGCAGAAGGCATCCAAGGCGCTGTCCACGAGGCCGAGCAGTCCCCGCCGCCGCAGTATCCCATCTCGGAAGCCTCTTCCTCGCGCCCTCCGCCATTCTCGTCGCTCTTTTCGTCGGTTGAAGACCGTCCCGGTGGTGGCAAGTTCCCTGCCGTTGTCGTCCCCGAAGGAAGCGCCGTTGCCAGATCAATCGCCGCGCCCGCCTACGGCTCCGACTTTCGTGGCCCGGAGCTTTCTGATACCGATCAGGCTGCTACTTCCGCGCGCGCCTTTCAAGACCCTGTTGCCGAGACCAAGCGTGCGCTCCCTAGAGACACCAAGGGAGAGTCGAGCCGCAAAGACGACGACGCCGAACCACCGCCAGCGTACTCGGAGGGGGATAGTCCTCTCTTTGCATTCTCATTCGTAATGGCGGCTGCCGGAGGAGCGTCGAGTATTATTACTCAGGTGCAGCAGGGCGGTCCACCCGTTAATGCTATTGGAGGTGAGTTGCCTGTAAAGTCCCTGGCCCAGATGTTGTAATGCCGGAAGAGATGAAGAATAAGACGAAAATAAGACCAATTATACGGAGATAAAAAGAGACAGCCGGTGGCTAATCAGATTCTAGATGTTGGCGCCGATGAGACAATCACGATGGACCTTAGGTATGTAGCAAAATCTCCTACTAGAGAACAGGTCTGCAACAGATTGCTAATAGAAGAACCAAAAAACAGGGGTACCAGATTTGTTCTTTCGCGTGACGAACTGCTCACTCTACCTGAATTTGTGCTGTTATCTCTGTTTCCCAATGGCCTCTTCCCGGAAGGCCACATGAGCGGGTTTCCCGATAGCGATGCGGTGCAAGTTGATGTTCGTAAACTACAAGTCTTTAATCACTAATCTCACAACACCAAGTATGCTAACGGCTGAATACAGTATGATCCTGCATCGTTGCAATACATGCTAGACTTCTTCCGAAATGTTGCTCAATCGATCCCCACCGAATCATCACCCGGCGCTTCGCAAGATGGGGAAATTGTTCCCTTGGATCCAATGGGTGCCCGAGATGATAGCTCAAAACGAGCTGGCATCATTGTGCTGAGGGAGGATCTTGATTTCTATGCAATCCCGCCCAAGTCAGATATCAGCCAGCCCGATATGATCGAGGTCAAGCGGGCTGCGGCACGTGCGTTGCTGAAGCAGGACGGTATCTTTTCTGGGCTGAAGCGCAGCGATGAACCAGGAACCACCGAAGCTCATTTGATCGAGATGCTGACGGCAGGGTAAGCGATCTTCTCCCGCTGTTGCTATGTTCATTTTACAGTATGACTCGAGTAAGGACAAAGATTAGCTAACATTGCTTTGCAGTGGTTTCAACCACGACGACCAATGGGGCCACCGAGCTGGCGAGCCTAACAAGGCCGTCATCTGCAGTCTGGCACTTGCTCGGCTGCGCAGCGACATTCGAGGCAACGAAATGGGCAGCAATGCTGTCGGCATGGCGCAGAAGCTGCTCCTCTTCTGGCGGAAACCCGCTCGGCGATGCTGGTGGGAGGGTATCGAGCTGGAAAACGTCGAAGGCGTCGAAGGCAAGCTCAAGGTCTGGATCCGCCGAGTGTGGACGCTGGAGATGAGCGTGATTGGACTCCGCTGAGGGTGAGATCTAAAGAAGAAGCCATTGTGACAAAGCTAAAAAGAAGCGACTGCCGACTGCTAGCATTTTCTTTTTTTGTCTTTTTCTTTTTCTTTTCTTTCTACTCTTTTTCTTGTTGAAGGGCGTCAGGGTATATATCAGATTCGGATTGGTGTTGATTCTTGATTCTCCAGAGTAGAACAGCTGGATTACATACATGTTGCTTTTTTTTTTATAGTCACCCTTGAAGTTTTTTTTTTTTTTTTATCCTATCATTTTTTTTTTCCTTTGGTGCTTGCTTGTTTGCAGGAGATAATGAATATTTGTCTTGCTCTTGTTCTTCTGCCCCGTTATTACTGGCATGCCTCTTGCACGTTTCACATCTGCCTGACCTCTCGAATGAGTTTCTACTTCTCTTGATGTATATAGTGGTCTACCAAACTATACACTTCCTGGCTTAGGCCGATAGCAATTGAAGGAATAAAGGTCGGAGAATTTCATCTGCCATTTAGGGATCGTGCTGGACAATGTCTATAATGCGAGGTAGCGATATTGCATGTCTGTGGCATATTCTGGGATGAATGAATTGAGGACCACTGCCTTCTACCTTGCAAGGACTCCGCACTCGGCGGAATGTAGCACAAATGCCTAATAGTAGCTGGATATGGACGGACCAACGTCTCTCTATATCTCGTAGCAGGGCCTCTGCTTTCGGGACCTCAGGCGCTATTGATTCAGGCTGCTTAGAGACTTGCCCAATTCGATATTTGCCCGGAATTCGATTATTCCAACGGACTACTAATACCCGGCAGGCTACAAGTCAGCGCACTGTCTGGGGCTGCCCCTCTTCTAGATGGCGCTGCGCCGGCTGGATCCCACCCCCTGGAGCCAAGTGGGATCGGCGCCGTGGCCGAGACCGTGCCTGGCTTGCGGCTGTCATTCTTTATCCTCCTCCATTCAAAGTTACAATCTCTTCGTTTGTTTACTTTATTTATTTTTTGGTTTGTTTGTGTATTTGTTTTGGTTTTTTGTTCCACGGACGAGATGAAGAGTCGGACCGATTTATCATGGGGATATTCAATGGTATAAGCTTGCCACGGAGGGTCGCCCGTCTGGTTCTCTTCAGTGGCATTCTGCTTGCCGCCTTCACCATCTACTACCTGTCCTCAGACATTTCCTTGGACCTGTCTCCAGCCAAGCCCACAGAGCCCGTCTTCGTTCCGAGCTCCTTCGACTGGACGACTGTGAAACAGCACCACGGCGTCGCCGACATCAAGCCGCTGCCCACGAGCAAACCGAATGCGCTCCCTCGAATTCAGGCCGATGCCAGTGTCTTTAAGCACACCGCAGTCAACGAGAAGCGCCGCAATGCTGTGCGCGTCGTCTTTAAGCGTAGCTACGACGCCTATAGGAAGCATGCATGGATGAGAGACGAGCTCACGCCAGTGTCTGGATCGGCCAAGGACCCGTTTGGCGGCTGGGCCGCGACGCTGGTGGACGCCTTGGATACGATGTGGATTATGGGCTTCAAGGATGAGTTCGTCGAGGCTGCTACCGCGGTGGGTGCCCTTGACTGGTCGGTGACGGACTCGACAGCGGCCAACATGTTTGAGACGACAATTCGCCATCTGGGAGGACTGCTAAGCGCCTACGATCTGAGCGGCGAGCGGGTGCTGCTGCGCAAGGCGGTTGAGCTGGGCGAAATGCTGTACATGGGATTCGACACGCCCAACAGAATGCCCGGCTTCTGGCTCGACTTTGAAAAGGCCAAGAAGGGCAAGCTGATTGCCGGCACCAACGACCCGTCGGCGTCGCCGTGCTCGTTGAGCATGGAGTTTACGAGGCTGTCGCAGCTGACGGGCGACAGCAAGTTCTTCGATGCGACGGATCGCATAACTCGCTTTTTGGAGAGGACGCAGAACGACACGAAGCTGCCGGGCATGTGGCCGGTGACTATCAACTTCCAGTCGGAAACGGTTGGCGATAGCAGCTTCACTCTCGGCGCGCTGGCGGATTCGCTGTACGAGTACCTACCCAAGATGCATGCGCTGCTGGGAGGCGTGGACGAGTCTTACGAGAAGATGTACCGCGGGGCTATGGACGCAGCGGTGCAGAATCTCCTGTTCAGGCCCATGGTGCCGGACCTCGACGACATCCTGTTCAGCGGCGAGTTTCGCGCCGGCAGATCGAATGGCGGTCTCGACGCCGACAGCCAGCACCTCACGTGCTTCGTTGGGGGCATGTTCGCCGTCGGGGGCAGGCTATTCCAGATCGACGAGCACGTCAGCATCGGCGAGCGCCTGGCGCGCGGGTGCGGCTGGGCGTACGGCCAGTTCCCCACGGGCATCATGCCCGAGATCTTCGGCATGGTGCCGTGCAAGTCGCTGGACTCGTGCGAGTGGGACGAGGAGCGCTGGCAGCGGCTGGGGAGCAAGAGCATGCCCAAGGGCTTCACGCACGCGCGGGATAAGCGCTACATCCTGCGTCCCGAGGCGATTGAGAGTCTGTTTGTGCTGTATCGTGTGACGGGCAAGTCAGATTTGCAAGATATTGCGTGGAGCATGTTTGAGGCCATTATGAAGGCGACGGAGACGGATCTCGCCAACTCTGCTATAGAAGATGTTACTGTTTCGGGGCCGACGAGGAAGCTTGATTCGATGGAGGTGAGCACACCCTACGTTTACAAGGTGGCAAAAGATATCATTATATAACTGATTGGCTAACCTTTCTTGTCTTATTCCAGAGCTTCTGGTTGGCCGAGACGCTCAAGTACTTCTACCTGATCTTCTCGCCGCCTGACGTGATCAGCTTGGATGAGTATGTGCTGAACACGGAGGCGCATCCTTTGAAGAGGCCGAGGGTAGGGTTACGATGAGGGTAGAAGAAGAGGAAGGTGGAGAGGGGGTTTGAATTGTAAGAGGAGGAATGTCACGTCAATGGCATCGTCAATGCTGCTCTTTGGAGGAGAGTTTTTGAACCTGAAAAGACGTCTTGGATATCTCTCGGCATTTAGCTGTCTTTCTGTACTATGTTGATACGGGGTGAGAAATGAATATCATCCCAGTCTTATACTGAAGCTGGTCGCTGGTTGACAATAACTACCCCTATGTGAAGCGAGTAATGTTGGCTAACAGCCGTATTTTTATGACACAAACCACATGGGCCAGAGACGGTATATGATTCGAGGAACATGGACTCCCCTATGGACAGCGTTCTATCACTTTTCACGCACCAAAGGTTATAGCCATGCTGCAACTCGATTTAGCCCGAATCTGGGATAAACCCCCCGCTCCGTCAGCGGCTATTCAGCGATCCCCAAAACTTGGCGTTGACCAGTTCTAATCGTCTCCCTGCGTTTGGCGGCCGCAACGATGACCTCACCAGCATTCCGGCCCATATGCCATACAAACGATGCAACGCTCTGAGGCGTAAAAGGAAGCTTGGGGAATGAATCCCGTAGCTGCCTCTTTTGGTTTGAGGGGCGCTCTACATACATGTACACATGCTGATGCTGATACTGTATTTAAACTTCATAGTACTGAAGGAAATTGACTTCATACATGTAAGCTTAAAACTCTATTTCCCGCTCGATCAAGCGCCCCCCTCCTAGAGCTAGAACAAATCATATCCCACAAGCAGGTAACTGGTTCGTTATGACGGGGCATGTTTCTCTTACAGCGACATTATCGTCGTTGCTACTGTTGTCGCTGCTGCAATCCGGGATTGCTGCTGCGCAGTCCTGCTCCAACAACCTCAGCGTCACGTACCACGCGCCCGTGGCGGCGAGCGGCTGGCAGTACCGCCTCATTGCGAATGGCTTCACGAGGCCGCGCGGCATTGCGTTTGACAACGACGGGGGGCTTCTGGTCGTGGAATCGGGGGCTGGGTTGACGCATTTGACGCTGAATGACGAGGGCGGGACGTGCTTGACGGTGAAGAGCAAGAAGAGGCTGATTGCGGATCAGACTGTGAGTTTTTTTTTTGTGTGTGGTTGTGTGAGAATGTGAGGCTACAATATGGAAAGTTGTAAGCTGACATGAGTTAAAAAAAAAAAAAACACCAGCTTAACCATGGACTCGCTCTCTCTGGTGATGGCAAAACCATCTACGTCTCATCAGCCGAAAGCGTCTTCTCCTTTGCCTACGACAGCCAAGCTGTCTCTGTTGATCTCTCCTCCAACCGCACCCTCGTCACGAACATGACCAACTCGGATCACACCACGCGCACGCTTCTCATATCCAAGAAGCAACCAGACACGCTTCTCGTCTCCCGCGGCAGCAACTCCAACCAGGACTCCGCCGCTGGCGACATCACCAGTGGACACTCTCAGATTCGCAGCTATAACATTACGCGGATAGGCAAGGGGGATGCGCCGTTCGACTTTCTCGATGGCCATGTTCTTGGCTGGGGCTTGAGGAATTCCGTTGGCGTCGTTGAGCATCCTTCTACGGGGGGTATCTGGTCTGTCGAGAATTCTGTCGATCAGCTGGAGCGCCACGGGCAGGATATACACCAGAACAATCCCGGAGAAGAGCTCAACTACCATGGCACTTTGGGCTCTAGCGATCATCAGGGCGGCAACTATGGCTATCCGTACTGCTACACCGTCTGGTCGACGTCGGGGTTCCCTGGTTTGGGACATCTCCAAGTTGGGGACCAGTTTGCCGATGATGACGCTCCGTCTAATGTGACGGACACAACTTGCAACACCGATCATGTCCCTCCTCGTGTTGCTTTCCAAGCTCATTCGGCTCCTTTGGACATTAAGTTTAATTCCAATGCCTCTGAAGCTTTTATTACCTTTCATGGTAGCTGTAAGTCGCTTTGGAAGGTCTTGATGATGGATTGTGCAAACATGGAATCATATGAGAATACGCTGACACAATGAAAGGGGATCGAGATGATCCCACAGGATACCGCATCGTCTCCGTCGCCTTCGACTCCGATGGCCAGCCAACTGCTCTGCAGAATAGCACCAATGCCGTTACCGATGTCATTACCAATGAAAATCTCACCAATTGCCCCGATAAGTGTTTCCGCCCCGTGGGTCTAGCATGGGACTCGGCTGGTCGACTGTGGTTCTCGTCTGACGCCACTGGAGAGGTATTTGTCCTTGAGCAGACGAACAGTAGTAGCAATGGGACTAGCGGTAGCGGCTCGAATGGTTCTTCTTCTGGTGGCAGTGACAATGCTGGGAATAGCTTGAGCTTGGGGAGGCCCGGCCTTGTGGCAGTTGCTCAGGCGGCGGTCTTGGTTGGGATGCTTCTTTCTTGAAGAGGAGCATTGTGAAGATGATGCTGTATTTATGGCGTCCTATATGTATTTACTCAGCTATTTTGTCGTGTGCCACTATTTGTAGAGTTTAAGCTTGTGTCTGTACAGCTGTACAGCTGTATAAGCGTAGGTATACAGTCTTCACACCGATTCACTGCCGGCTCTTCCTGTACATGGGTTATAGTATCTTGTATGCTTTTTTTGAGGCTCGTTTCATTAATAGCTACCTTTCCATATACATGCGGTACACAAATTCCATGAGCAATACGGAAATAACGCACCAAGTCTGGGGGAAATGAATCAGGTGCCATCTAAATATGACTCGATATCCCTCTAGTCGCGGTTTTGAACGCCAGGAACACCAACAAGACGACCGGATAGCAGACACCGGCCCGGCTACAGGCCAGATCCGGACCCGCCTCCGCAGCGCCCATATGTCATCCTTTGACCGGTATTCGGTGGCCAATTCCGGGGGACTGAGGGGAAAAGTTGGGGCTCAAGGCCCATAACTCTCGGGGGGACGCGCATATAACTTTACGTCTTTCCGCTTGGGTCACGCTGCAAAGCGACTGAAAGCATTCAAGTTGTGAGTTTGTCTTTTGTAAATATACCGCTGCATTATTAGCCTCTTTTTTCTCTTCTTCTTCTTTTTCTTTTACTTTTTCAGACAAAATGGCGTCAAACTTGAAGATTGCGCTTATCCAGCTATACTCCAAGGTGAGCCTGCAATTCCGGCGCTCTTCATCTTAGCCACTACCAACAAACAAACCCCTGCTCGTTTTTTTCTTGGCCTTCAACACCTCTTATATACACACCAGGCACTGACTTTCTGGGCCTTCAAATGGGTTGAATAGCCCCTCGACATAGCCGGCAACTTTGCCCGCGCAGAGTCGTACATCCGCAAAGCCGCCTCGCAGGGCGCAAACCTGGCCGTCCTCCCCGAATACCACCTCTCCTCGTGGAAGGCCGACTCCGCGATCCTCCTCGCCGAGGCCAAGAAGCAGACGCCGTACCTGGCGCGATACCAGGCCCTCGCCAAGGAACTCGCCATCGCCATCGTCCCCGGCACGATCCTGGAGCCGCTGCCCGCCGCCGCCGAGGGCGAATCGGCCGACGAGGGCGTCGCCAACGCCGCGTACTTCATCGGCCCCGACGGCGCCGTGCTGGGCCGCTACCAGAAGAAGAACCTGTGGCACCCGGAGAGGCCGCACCTGACGGCCGACGCGCTGACGCCTCACACGGCCTTTGACACGCCCTTTGGCCGCGTCGGCCTCATCATCTGCTGGGACCTGGCCTTCCCGGAGGCGTGCCGCGCGCTGGCCGCCGACGGGGCAAAGCTTGTCATCTGCCCGACCTTCTGGCTCAACAGCGACGGCGGCGACATTGGCGCAGAGGTGAATCCGGACTGCGAGCGGCTGTTCCTGGAGAACGTGGCCGTTGCGCGGGCCTTTGAGAACACGTGCGCCTTTGTCTTCAACAACACCGGCTCGCCGCTGGGCTCTGCGGCGACGGGCAAGGACGACGAGGGCACCGAGTTCATTGGCCTGTCGCAGGTGGCCATGCCGCTGCAGGGCGCGCTGGGCAAGCTGGGCGTGGAGGAGGGCATGAGCCTGGTGGATGTGGAGGGCAGGGTGCTGGACATTGCGGAGGAGGTGTACAAGGTGAGGGCGGATATTGCCTTGGAGGAGTGGCATTATGCGCATACGCTGAAGAATCTGGCAAAGTAGAAAGGGGGTTTGGGGGGGGGGGGGGGAGGGCAGATGAGTGGATGATGAATTACCTGAGTGAGTAAATTATTAGTATTTACTGCACTTTGTATATAGGAGTGGTATATACATCTACGTGGGGGATCAAGACAAGAAGAAAGAGAAACAAAAAAGAAAGAAACAAATTGAAAAAAATTCCACATTGCAAATACTCTTCGGTGATTGCTTGCTTGGCCTTGCCTTGTTCAACTTCCACAGCTTGCGTCGTCGGGTAGGATATTGAAGCAATTTCAACAACCTCTCTTTGGCAAAAAGAAATACAAATCATCATTCATCAGTTTACTCGTGACAATATTATATATAAGAAGAAAAAGATCCTTAAAGAAGAGAAGCAAAGGGACATTAATTATACCATACTCCATAATCAAAATTCAGCGCTCCTCTCGCCCCTCAAACACCTCAGTCCTTTCTTCTCATCTTCTTCCCCTCCTTCTTGGCTATCTCCTGATGAATCTCTGTCCGCAGCTCAACCCCCGACTGGGTATGTTTGTGCAAGAGCTGGTCCAGCATTCTTTTCGCTTTCGCTTTGCGCCGTTGCAATTCACTCGAGTCCTCGGCCGCTGGCTCCAGGTCCACAAATTGGCTAATGTATTGGAGCTTCTCGTCATCGCGGTACGTCCATATGCCTTGTACGTTTTTGGGTATGTCTTCTCCCTTCTCGAGGCTCATTAGCACTCTTTCCATGAGCACCCCAGGAACCCAGCTCGTCCGGAGCATGGCTTCGGAGATCATTTCGTCAGAATAGCCCGCTTCTCGATAGTGCTTTGTCCATTTGTGAAACTCCCTTGTTTTCCAATTCTCCTCTTCATCTTGCTGCTCCTCTTCTGGACTCTGCTCTTCCTGTGTGTTTTCTTCCTGTTGATGTTGCTCTTGTTCCTGCGCCTGCCTCCTTTCGTGTGGAGACTGCGTCTGGGGTTGCTGAAACGACGACGGTAGTGAACGCTTTTTAGAATGAGGTTTAGTCAGAGTAGATGCGGATGGCTCCTCTTCCATTATAGTTTCGAGCTCCCTATCGTTGAAATGGTAGCCAGAACTTCGAGCTTGATTATGATTGCGAGTTGGCGTCTCTTTATCAACATGTTCGGGGCTCACAACCGAGTCACTCTCACTCCGTAATTGTTGAGAAGGAGTATTATCAGCCGGTTCCTCTGGTGACCACCGTCTTTGGCGATCTCTCATCGGTGTCCTATGCCGGGAGTCTTCCGCCTGCGTTTGATCGTTGTCCACTAAACTACCTAACTGTCCCGGTGCTGATGCCGGTGCGGATGATCGTCTCCCTGACCTCTCCCTGCCCTCGGGTGTTACTGGAATCGTAGCACCTATTGTGCGCCTCCGTTTGGATACATCTTCTGGTGTTGGTGATTGCCCATCTGACAGCCTTTTTCTCGCTTTTGCTTTGCCATTTCCGTTCCGTGAAGGCGTTCCGTCGATTCGCTGCGACGCTCGAGGCGTTGTTGGCTCTGCTGCATCCTCTCCAGTCGAAACAACAGTTTCTTCGTCTTGTTCGCTGCCCTCGTCGAGAGCGGCTTGGAAGCTCAACATTGCCTCTACAAACCCCGCGAGATGACGATGGTAGCTCGTCTGTAATAAAGTGGCTATGATCTCTTTGCTTTGAGCCCGGCCGAAGCCCACATACTGCGCTACCCGTCTCCAGTCCACCTCCTCTAGCGGTAGAGATTGCGTGCTTACTGCTTGAAACAAGTCCCATAGGTCAATCCTCTTATCCCTAATGACAAACTGCTTTTCAAGCTCCCTGTCGTTCGCTTCGCAGTAGTCTTGAAGATCACTGTAGAACTGGTCTCTTTCTGTAAAGGAAGACGGACTTCTGTCAACGCCTGTATCATCTTCAGCGCCTTCTCCTGCATCCTCTTCCTCTTCCTCTTCCTCTCTTGCTTCTTCTGCCCCCCCCTCAACGATCTCTTCTTCAACGTCTTCCCCAACATTTTCTCCACCTTTGACTTCTTGGCCGCCTTCTGATTCTGCCTCGCTGTCTTCAATTCGCTCTTGCTCTTCACCAGTAGGTGCATCGTGAAAAGGGGTTGAATCCTTTTCAGTGCCATCGCCAGTCTGCTCAGAGGCAACCTCGTCTGTAGTACTCTTCCTATTCGTATTGTCAGATGGTGTTGTCTCTTGGCGCCGTGTTGCATCGCGTCTAGCGCTTCTGGGCGAAGCCTCAGTTCGACGTTGAGCATTTTCGACGCCTCTACCAGCGAGAGCACGGGTTTGTTGTGGCGGCTCTGGCCAATCCTCTCTTTCGTGCCTCCTTATGATCTGCCTCGCAGTTATCGATGCATTGCCCACGTCCAAGTTGGCCATCCTCGCTAATCGATCAATATCATGATTAGATCTTAGCGACAATATTTTTACCCATCGAGCTCTCCATGACTGGTAAGTGTGATGGGGGTACTAATGGCAGTTAGTATTTTTTTTTTTTCTTTTTCTTTATAGATTAAAAATGTAAGGATACAAACATACTTTGGCCTCCAGGTCCTGATACATTCTATTCCCAGCCGTGTCTATGCCTTGTTGAAGGACATGCTTAGCAAGAATGGCATCATCGAGCTCTGTAAAAGGGATGCGAGATTTTCTGGCACGAGAGCCCGCGAGCACTGGCCGAGGCTGGCCAGGAGGTGGCCCAATCAAGTACTTGTCTTCAACTTGAACAATACCAGCCTTTACCGACTCCGTAATGTATTTCCAGGAATATGATCCCAGGGGCGCGTCTTTCCTTGCGTGGTCTGCAATGAGCATGTCTGCATCTTTCTCCAAAGGGACGACAATCCCCGAGTTGTTCTGGGAAGCGTTAGCACCCACCAGATAACATTATGCAATTCTCAGCGTACCTGAATATTTTGGATAACCCAATCCCTTAACGGAACCCAGCGGGAAACCCAGAATTTCATCCCCCCAAAGATGTTACCGCCTCCCTCAGCACCAGACACCCCCTCGTATGTAATGTGAGATGCCATAGTTTTCGATTGCTCTACAGCAACTCTTTTCACGCGTAATTATTATTTCGAGAAACTAAGAGCTCTGACCCTTCGTTACAAAAGCCCCGTAGGCACGTAACACATAAATGCTCATTGATATAATCGTTTTTTGTCGCGGTAACAGCAAACGTCATCCAAGGGCGAAGGAGGTGAGTGAGACGGAAAAGCTGCTCAACAATTGAAAGAGCAAAGGTGAAACACGGTTGAAATATGCCGTTAATATCGCTTCATAGGTGTGGATTCAGTACTGGTATCTGCCATAAATAAATCCCACGCCTTTTTTCCCGCTTTTTCTAGGTCATTTCGCCCATTCGTAACTCCAAACTCATTCACACAACCTGCATGAGATGAAGACGCGTGGGTGAGGGTCGCGGGATCACGTGATATCGATTCCAGATGCGCATCGGCTTGCAGCTGCTATCGGGGGCCTAGGCGAATAAAAGGAAAATTCGGGATATAAGAATAATACGGTAAACACAAACCCAAGGTTTGAGATGACATCAGCTTCTGCAGGTGGTGACAGCTGTCTCAGCCACATTTCTTCTCATTTCTGTTTCTCTTCATTCCGGTTATTCGGCGCGCAGCAGTATACGAGCTCCGCACGCCTTAATTTTCTTCCGCTTCTTTTTCATTTCTTTATAGCCACAGCTTCACATATACCTCAGCGGGTTTAGTCTTTCGGCAATAGATTTTAAACCATATATACGAAAGTATTTCTTCTGTCACGAGATATATTTCTCTGTTGGGTCATGATAATCGAAACGTGCATGATCTGTCCGCCAAAATGGACGCTTTGAAGAAGGTTATTCTTATAATTTTAGCCATATCCTTTATGGTGTTTGTGACCTTTTTCGGTAGACTACCAGCTCTAAGGTAAGTAGAAAGAACAACACCGAGATTTCTCACCGCAAGAGGACTTTATATAAACAGGGGCAATTCATAGGAAAACACCCATCGCTTGGTTATACCGACTGATATGGATTCACTTCCCCAACCTGGTAACAGGTGTTGACCAGAAGCTCACCTCTGGAAGAGTAACTGGATCACTAATATGGATATATAATCGTCTCATGTTTGATCGCCATCCCACGATCGTGGTATGTTATTGCAGCATTCCCCCTTATTGTGCTCCGTGACTTACACACAGGCTTCCAAGATCTTCTTTCTACTGATCATGACCGTATCCGAATATTTGTATCTTCCTCAGATCTGGCCCAAGATCAGTCTCTTTACCAAATCCACCGTTCTCGTCACCGTCGTCGTGCCATACGTGCTCCTTTATCTCGCGTGCGCTGCAGACCCAGGCTACATCACTCGTGAGAATCATGCGTATTACATGTCTCTCTACCCCTATGATCACACTCTATTTCACCCTGGAAACGAATGCCGCACCTGCCGGTTCATCAAACCTCCGCGCTCTAAGCACTGCGATATATGCAAACGCTGTATCGCCAGGGCCGATCACCACTGCGTCTTCATCAACTCCTGCGTCGGCTACGGTAACCACCACTGGTTTCTTCTCCTGCTTTTGTCGGAATGTGTCTTGAGTACTTATGGAGGCGTCTTGGGCCTCTATATTTTAAAGGCAAAGATTAAGGCAATGTACCCGATGTGGTCACTTTGGCCTCCCAAGGACATGGACTTCAACAAGTACTTTGCCATCTGGGGCGTGGGCCTCCACGGCGACATCCGCGTCGGTGCTTCCACTCTCCTCGCGATCCTCATATCGCCTCTAATATGGGCACTTACTATCTATACCATATTCCTTATCTACTGCGGCACCACAACCAACGAATCTATGAAGTGGACTGATCTCAAAGAAGATATGCGCGACGGCTACGCCTTTCGTCGTCCTTTAGCCCCCAATCGACCCCAGAGCAAGCACTGGGAGCCTCCAACTCCTCGGTGGCCCTCATCTCCAGAGTGCATCATAATGACGACTCTAGACGGACAGCCACCAAACAGTGAAAAGAAATATCCCGGCGAGGGGCAGTGGGAGCATGTATGGGATTTGAAAGACGTTGAAAACATATATGATCTCGGGTTCTGGCACAACATGGGCGATCTTTTTGTATCCAACTACGAACCTGGCGACGAAGCAAGTGAGCCTCTTGCCGAGCGCCGACCGCGAGGAAGGAGTATATCTACAAAGCTTGGACACCCTCAGTAAATAAAAGCGGTTACTACATAACCACACACTACTTTAGATGTATTTTACAATAGCTTCATAAGAATCACACCTCGGGGATTTAATAATGGTATCTGATGTTTGAGATTTTTTTGCACAAGATGGAACAAGTTTTTTTTTTTTTTATTATGTTTATCATCATTCATGTTCATCGTATCTACACGCTTCTAGGGCTTATGTAGACCCTTCAAGACTAGTTAAATATATACCCGTGGTAGAGACGCCGACCCCATGTCTTTACCCTCATCTAAAGCGCTGTAATGGAGAGAGAAATATTATAAAAAAACCATTTCCAATGTGTGCATTGTGGCGATTATAGAATAGTGCCAAATCTGTTCAGAAAAATTAGTATACTGCTTAAATGACTTGTATAACATATCAAACTTACCCAAAGGTTTGCTTGATGCTTCGGACGTAATATTCGCCCCAGTTTCTCTTAGTGACGTCTTCCTGACCGACAGGGACACCCTCCCAGGTGACACGCATTACGGTGACGTGGTCGATGTCGTTCTGATCAAACTCAATGTTGAGCTTTGAGTAGTGGCCAGCGGGCCACTGGTTCAGCCGCCAGCTCTGGACAATCTTCTTGGGCTTTTCTAGCTCGAGGTACTCTCCAGAAACGTTGCCATCAAAAAGCTCAAACTTGCCTCCCTTCTTTGCTCCCTCGAACAGCTTTGGGGGCGCGCGAGTGAAGGCAGCCAATCGCTGAGGGTCAACGAAAGTCTCATACATCTCTTCAGCAGTAGTACGGAACTCCTGGTCGTCACGCACTGTTACCGTGTTGACAGCACCAGAGCTGCTTACTTGAGAAGTCGTGGCTTGAGCTGCAGGCTTTGATGAAGACTGGGGGAGTGTTCTAGGGGTAGAGAAACCGCTGGACGGGTTGGAGCCAGGCGCGTGCTGAATATCCTTTCCATGCTCGGCAATCAATGCACCAGCAAGTTTCTGGAATTCCTTTCGCAGCTGAGGAACGAGCTTTGATCGAACAAGATCTTTGACAGGCTGCTTCTCCTTTGATTCCGAAAAGATATCAATCTCGAACTAATGACACAGTTAGTGATCTAAAGGGACTAGGATAATCAATGGATAAGGACATTTATACATACAACATATTCGTCCTCTTCTGTATCGTGAGCAATCTCGGGGATAGTAATGTTACCTGAGACCTCCTCGATCTCGGCAGTGGATCCTATGGGGAGAATCAGCCCCAGACGCTCTCATCCTGAACGTTGAGGTCAACCATACCGGAGTACTCCAGCACTAGCTTCACATCAAAGATTGTAATGACTTTTCCCTTGCGCTGGCTGACATCGACATCGCCAGACATGCTTTGAATCTTGGTGATCTTGGCCTTGACGTCTCCATTTTCAGCCTCAAGTTTGGTCAGGTTTTCACCGAACCAATCTTTCGCCCAGCCAGACGCATCCTTGTTCACCCAGTGCCAGTTGTTAGGGTTGTGCAGAACCATTTTGAATAGATGGGTTCGAAAATTAAAAAATTTTTAACTGGTCGTCCGCACAGCGGATAGAGTCCTGCTCAGTCCAATGGTTAGCATCAATGGTAGCCATAGTCTGGGCAGAAGAACAAGCAAAATTGATTGGCAAAAAAAGGATCAGAAGTGGTCATAGACCACAGCATTTTGGTCATCAATGAAGGGAGTACAAATCACTCTATGACTGGTGCCAGCTGGTATCTCATCATGTAGGTGAAAAAGCAATGGTGGTGGAGAGTAGTGTGGGAGGCTCGGGTCTAACGTACCGTAATGAAGAGAATTGATGTGATGCTGGTAAAAATTCAGGTGATGGTTTGAAGCAGAAAAGGAGAGAATTGGCGGGCTGCTTGGAGAGAAGGAAGAGAGGGAAGAGATAAAAGCTTCAGAATGCTCTAGAATTTTATGAGCCTCGTCCCCACAAAGTGGATTCCATTGGCTGGCCAATGTAGCCTCACATATCCGAGATTACATAATCGCACAGAACATTGTAACCTCAGGCACAGACAAGCACCTTAAAGATATTAGAGTGGAAGTCCTGTTAACTATTTAGAAAAGGGGGGTGGCTGGAATGATAGGCCAATTCAGAGAGGTCACGTCCATTGCTTCATGCGCTTCTACAGATTTAGCTACAGGGAGCTGTCACTTTGCCATCTTCATAGGGAGCAGCTCCGATTGGCGCAAGAGCTTCATTGTGAAAAAGAGGTGGAAATGTTATCCGAAAGATCCGCTATAAACCCGCAGCTTTGCTAGACATGGAACTGAGCTGCCTTTCAACAACAAGCCTTCTAAGACCAGAGTCATGATGATTAGAGTAGTATTTAGCTTCTGGTGCACTAATCAGCGCAGCTGGTAAACTAATGTAATACACAAAGTAGCTACAGTTGAAAATAACAATTTTCAATTGGCTAGATTTTTGACTCACTTTTTCAGCCATTTAATTCTTTCTTTTTCCTAGAGAGTCTTTCTTCTTCCTTCGAGAAAGCTACGGAGCTTTTTAAACCAATTAGCCAATTAAAGCCTTTGTTTTCTTTCACAAAGCCCTTCTAACCAATTAAAATTAAGCTTTCCTTTTTTGCTCCATAGCTTTCGCAAGGAAAAAGAATGACCACAGCTTTCTCGAGCAGATGCGCTCCTTCGGTCATCTTCCCGCTGGCATCAACTTATCTTGTACGGTACTAAAGCATTCTGATCTGACCTAGTGGTATGCTGTTACAGTAGCTACCATCGGCAGTACATGTAGTTTTGCAATTCATCTAGAGATTGTAGCCACGTGGGGATATCGCATTACTCTTGCGGCTTATTGCGTTTTGCTGCTTCCTAGCATATGCTGCTATCTGCTTGATTACAAGTAGTATCCTCTGCGTGCGAGCGTAGCATTGAATGTAAACATTTCACTATGTAACATTAAGACTACCACCCACGGCTCCTGTCCCCGCCTGGCTGCTGCTTGTAGATGGCTTTTCGGCAATTTATATGCTACATATGTTTGCTTACCTACATGCGGCCAAGTCATCTACCATGTCACTATGCTGTTTATCCCAGCAATATACAATTTATTTCCGAAGTGCAATCTATTATTAGGAACATTACGTACATAGTACAAGAGGTGATTTATTGTCTGACTGGTTGTCTCCCTATGCCGTGACGGCAACAACGCTTTTAACTTGGCTGGTAGGAGTAAGTAGAATTTCGTTTTTAAGGTCAACGTGTATAGTTACGTGTACCTATTCACTGCTGATGCCAACTCTAAATTCAGAAATCGAAGTCCTAGCCTCTAATATTACAAGTATCCCGGACGTGTGCCCGCCATGCCTTACTCTCAGTGCTAGTAAGCTTTATCAAGAGGCGGGGCTGGCGCCAATAACGCTGAATATGGGCATTGCATGATACTGGGTAATCCCAAAAGTCAGATTAGTAGCCGCCGAGTGCCGAATCGTCAATGCATTGCTGACCTCCACCATCGATCGATCAAGTCGACCGCTGCCACCACTCATCTATCGAGGTATGATGGCACTCTGCGGGCCAGTAACGCGAGCTGCCTGTAAGGAGTAAAAGGCCGAGGGCACCTCATTATCAGATTCCAAATAGTGGGTGTGCAGATATTGTCATTGCTCAATTTTCACTCGCACTACCCAGCGCTTAACAAAATCACCGACGGCATTACTACATGTATGCCGTTATGGGAGAGTCTTGAGCGTTTTGCGCCCACAGCGCAACGCTACGGAGAATTTTACTGCGTGAACAATCAGTCAGTGCGGATAGGGCGTATGAAGAAAAACTACAACTACTAGTACTAGTACAGTAGTGTTATCATGAGCAAAAGAGAGCCGAGGAAGTAGCCGTGTGGAGTAATATCGATTGTGTGACCGAGAACACTTTTTCCTTTTCACATCTTCATTGCTACTCATCGATCCAGAGTCTGGGGTGGCAGGTGGTGAGAGAGCCGATCTATTCTGGGAGATGGATCCCCGAAGACAGCTCTGATTGGCAGCTATATTAAGAACACGCGTGGTTCAAATGGCTGCCGGCGCTTAGTAGCGCATTGAAGCTTCTGGCCAACCGGAGGCTGTTCTCGTCAATAAACTCGCATGGAAAGCAGAGGAGAAAAAAAGCGCGATCCACGCAGGGGGCGGGTCGCATGTTTTAGCAGCAGGTACCGAGTACTTGGCTAGATGCACCAGAGATGCGACCGACAGCTGCATTGTTTTCGATGAACTGCTCAGCAGCCTCGATAATTGTCAGGGCACGCCACATGTTTTGTAACACAGCCTGACACGCGGTGCATGCCTGCGGCTCCCTCTTCTAGATTTGTTCTCTCGGCCGAATGATGGGCGCACAATCGACTAGGAATACACGTTTCATCCTGTGAATCCCCAATCTACCTGTAACCGACAGCCGGATGCAATGCAGACAGACTTGTCTGATAAGGAAAAGGAGCCAGTGCACATCGGTTCTTGAATAAACGACGTACCCACTTTGCTGTCACATTGCATCACACTACTCCAGACCTGGCATCTCCCGGGATATTTTCTATTTTTTCCTGTTCCTTGTTTTTGGTAATTCGTATGCGCATGCCACCTCGTGGTGCTCGTAGTAGCAGCAGCCGGGCACTCGGAGTGGGATCAACTTTGAAAATCCTCCTGAGAGTTGCTGCTTCTCCTTTTGGCTTTTCAAAACGTCTTAGGAGGCGCATCACGCTTGAAGAAGTATCCCTAGGCGGAGATCCATGGCTGCCTGGGTGCTCGATACCTCCCTAGTCCTGGTGATAATCCTCCGTGTAGTTCAAAGTACCTACAGCAACAAAGTCCCGGGTACAAGGGATTGCATACAGGCGCCACAAAAACGCTTTAGATGCCCTCGCTTTCTGGTCGCCTCGTCCAGGCTTGGTTTAGCGCGCACCGCTCAGACAGGGATCCTCCACCAAGGCTCGCGCTCTCGGCCAAGCAGGTCTCGCCATCACCATCAACGGCCCGCCTCTTCAGCATCGCATTTTCCCCTCCATGCGCGCCTCTTGACGGTAGCTTGTGCCTAGCGGCTCGAACAGGTACGAAGTACACACGGGCAGTGCTCGATAACGCCTCGGCCGCGCGACAATCATGTACCTGTACCTCCTGGCATGGCTTGCTCCCGTCTTGGGATGCCGTGCGACTCGCCATGCCTGATGGCCTGGAATCCTCTCGCGCAATTCCTCCCCTCCCACCTGTCCATACCGAATACAGGGCACCGTTTGTGCCTGTATGGTGGCAGCCGGCCTCCTTGTCTCGCTAGTCCAGCGGCTTTTCCCCTCCCTCTGGTGTCTCGCCAATCCGAGGGCTCAGGCTGTTGACCAGCTTCCGTCCGTCACCTGAAGTCGATGCTCTGGGTGGACCCCGAGCATGGGCAGGCAAACCTCCAAAATAGCAGCAAAACATCGAAACACAGACCTCATCTGGCATACCGCCTCCTGGCCGACTAACGCAACTGACAGGGCGTGGAGAGCGCTTCCGCCGATAGTTCTGACATCCGGCCTGATTTGGGGGTCCATCGCCAGATCCAACCTTCCACCTGCCGTCCAGGTTGCACCCCTCGGCTGTCTCAGACATTCTCTGCAAGCCCCTAGTTCCAGGGCCGCCACCAACGTTGGCGAACACGGGCGGTTGGGCCCCGGAAGCTCGAGCCAATATGTCTTCCACCTCTCCCCGTGATTCTACGCGTCTTCGCCATGCACTTCATCCGCTCTCGACGACGTCCTTAGCGGGCTACGGCAATCAGCTCGTCTCGCCCATATCGGCCGTGTCCATGGCCTCATCTCATGTCCAGTCGATGCACACGCCAGCCAGCGCCATCATGCCGTACAACCCACAAGAATGGGTGGCATCGCCAGCGGCCATGCCAACGACAGAACGACCTCTGACGTTCGTGGGAAGCGATGCTCAGGGTGGGGATTTTCTTCTTCTTCCTGTTCTTTTTATAGATTCTTCTTAAATTCTTCTTAAATCTCTCCTTGGATCCTCATAGGTCTCCATTGAGCCATCTGCAAATGGGCGATAATAATATGCTGACCAGATTCGAAATGACAGCTTCTCTAGCAGCTCCTCCTCCACCTCCGCCTTATAGTCCTCCAAGGAGGAATATACAGCAGCAGCCTCGACCTCTCACCATGGCTTTCGACTACACGCCGGCGCAAATAGCCGCCAACCCCCCTTCGAGATTCTCTGCCCTTCTGGGCCAGCGGCCCTCTCCTGAGCCACCAGTTGCTGCTACGCGACCATTTCCTCCGCCACCGGGTGCGAGCGGCAGGGGAAGTTCTCGCGAACGCCTTCTTGCACTGGCATCCTTGGGACGGCGAAGAGATGCTGGGCCATCGCAATCTCCCGAGCCAGCTCACCCTGTATCTGCTTCTAGACGGACCGCCGGGCCTTCCTTGTTCCATTCGCCGGAACATGAACGAGTTGTATCAGCCACTGCCATGAGTCCTGATACGTACCCTCCCGCGGCTCGTAGGGCTGCTTCCACAGGCGCCATCGACACGCCGACATCTGATCGCTCACGGTCTACTTCTCAGACAAGATGGGAGCCTGGTATGCCACTTCCTCCGCCTCCACCTGGACCACCGCCCTCGTCGAGCAGATCACAAAGTGTACAAAGCATGGACAGGAATAATGTACCCATTATTTCTCCGCCAACTCGCAGACCACCGCCGTCCGGTGTATCATCCCTGGGGCCCGTGCCTCCAACGCCGGCCGACTGGCTAGATAGCGACACGCCACCCACTACTCGGCCTCAGCCTCCAGCATCCCCGGGACACCTACAGCCCATTGCGTCTTTGAAGACTGGGGAGTCGTCCTCACAATCAATGCAGTCACCACAATCCATTCAACCAGGAGGGCGATCTCCCAACCTGACGATCGATACAGTAACTGCGAGTAATCCAAGCGAGCCCATAGAGCCGGCCTTGAATTCCTCGGGCAGTGCAAGTGGTTTGAATCGTGCCAAGGCCGTGCGCCATGATAAGACAATCTTACAGAGAAGAACCGAGAGTCGCACTCGACATGAGCCCCGTGGATCCCTTGATAGTGCGCTAGATGCGCGTCAGATTGCCGATATTGTTGTTCCCGCAACTATCAGCGGTCTAACTCGTAAATTAACCATTGGAAAGACAACTCCTCGGAGCAGTGGAAAAGCCCCTATGGATCAACCCCTTACTGGAGAATCATCTGGACAGCATGACTCCCGAAACTCGACTCCTCGGGCACCAGATTCGGCCACAATGCTGCATCGTGAAATAGCTACGCCCCCATTTTCGCCAACGCCGGCTAAGACCTACCGGCAATTGGGCGGAAATCAAGCTGCGGTGCCAAAATCTCTACCTACTCCACCACCCCAGGCCAGGTCTAGCTCTGGTTCGATGGTTGCTGAGGCATCACGTTTGGCTTTGTCTGTAGCGGCATCCCCATCAAAGGAAGCCATTGTGAGCCAGAGCGCCGCAGAATTTGCAACTGCATCAATCGAGAGATTTCGGTCGTTTGCCGTTAAAGAAGCCTCAGCCACAACAGACGCAGATCGGGTCCGTCTCTTTTCAGATTTCATAGTTGCCGAGTCTAGAATCCGGCGGGAGAGGTACTCATCAGCCATTGGAGCAATGGGATCTGAAATTTTCGATTTGAGTCGGGATCTATTCCGTCCAATGAGCTCCACGCGACGAGAGTCGGTGAACTCTCCGTCTGTTGGCGATTGGACTCCAGAGTCATCGGAACCAAATCGGTCTCATAGAGGCTCTGTTAGCTCCGTCCATCAAGCTGAGGACTCGTCAAGTTCAGCTCCGGCATCTGGGAGTCTTCCGCCATCCCCTGGGATCAAGCAACCGCTCAACTGGGGCGGCGCTGCAAACTATATGCCATCATTGTCTCCTATTCTTAGTATGAGCGTGAGCGACAACTACGAAAACGGAAGCTCGCGTGGAAGACCTCCTAGCCGATGGTGGGAGACGGATTCAAATAACGATCCAAATCGAGGTGGCTTTGAAAGATCCAAGCGCGAATCCAAATATATGGGCGTGCTTCCTAAGGACCAGTGGATCGAAGAGGAGCAGACTACACCACATTATGCGTCCACCGGCGAGCAAAGCTCCATATCGGACTATCCTCCAGAGAAAACTGGCTGGCATGACGAGGGAGAGTCGGTATGGACTCCTCAACCGTCGAATACCTCTGTGGCGTCTACCCCATCTACAGCAACAAATAGACAGAGGCTTTTGGATGTGTCCAGGCTGGTCACCATGCCGCCTCCTTACCCAAGACATCACCCTGCAGTGAATAACAATCACCCCAAGCTAACATCGATTCGCTCCTCCGTACGGTCTCTAAGCGAGCTGGACGAGATTGAAGGGTCAAAAGAGCGATTTGCCTCAAGCAGTCATCGACGCAGAGAAGAGGCTTCCAAAGCGGCAGCAGAGCGCCGCGTAGCTTTGAGATCTAACTTGCAGAAAGAAATCAACTTGGGAAATTTGGGATATGCTGATGCCGCGTCTATTGAGTCTGACTTCAATGAACAAGAAAAGGACAAAAAGAAAGAAGTGGAAAAGGTTGAATATGAACATTTCCAGAATCAAGTGGTATTACCGCTGAACGATATTCTTACGGAGCGAATCTCTCGAGCAACAGAGCTATTTGATGACTTGGCCCGCCATTTATTCGACAGCAACGAAATCGATGCTGACATGCCGCAAGAAGAAGGTGATGATAAACCGGAGCTGCTAGAGAAGCTGACCCTCCTCAAGTGGATATTTGAGCAGCGCGAGTCTCTGCACAGGGCCATTTACGACTTGCTATCAGACCGCAATGCTCGTTATCGCGACGTCGTGCTGACGCCGTATCGGCTCTCCAAGAATACGGAGAAAATCAAATCAGCCGAGGCATTTTTCAAAGAGGACGCAGACAAGCGGGAGTACGCATTCGCAAATGAGGTACTGGACCGAGCACGCGAATTTAGGGCCGTGATGGACGAGGCAGTTGCACGCGGTATCGAGCTGCAGCTTTCTGCGTTTTGGGACATTGCCCCACCGCTTTGTGGGCTTTTGGAAAGCATCCCATTGGATCTGGAGGGATTCTGCGTCCATATTCCGGCATTGGAATACGAAGAGAACCCGGTGTATCATGATCACCCGCTGCAGTACTTGTACAGCTTATTACTCCATGCTGAGAAGAGTACATATCAGTTCATTGAGGCACACACAAACCAGCTGTGTCTTCTTCACGAGGTTAAAGAGGCAGTGGTCAACGCCAAGGCTCGAGTGCTTGCCACGCAGCTCACCGAAGTGGATGGCACGCCTATCCACCCTGAAGATCGACAGCTACGAGCCAAGCAGATGCGAGAAATAGAAAACCGACGGTTAACAGAGGATCTCAAAGAAAAAGTGCGAGTTGTACAGGACCAGTGGAACAGCTCACTGGGAACAGCCATGACGGCAGTGAAGGAGCGGACCGGCGAGTGGTTGCTGCAGACGGGAGGATGGGACGAATCACTAGAAGACAACGGGGTTGGAATGGTGTGAGCGTGCGTTGATATTAGTGGCTTTTTTTTCTCTCTCTTCTTCTTTTTTCCTTCTCTTTTTTACGATAATGATGATGCGAGGAGATACAAAAGACGAATTTTGATGACATCTGACAATTGGCAAGCGAACAGTTGGAATTGGCATACATATATATATACATGCATATATATTTGCCTGACTTTTGATACCCCATCGAGGCAATTTATACCTGGCCTGGAGCTTTGGCATTTTTCGGATATTTCATTGTATATATATATATATATATATCTATACACTTAGATAACATGTACAGCCGAGAATGGCGCACATTACATATAAAATATGAGTGCATATAGTATATGGCTTCTCCCTAGCTTTTCTTCATCCTGGCTGGATGGTTGATTGATTAATAAGCGGCTGTTTAGACTGCTGCTTCGTCTGAAGGAGTGTGTCGCCGGGTTGTACATGTAAAACCTTCCGTCTCTTGTGTGTCTTGGTGGTCCTCCCTGGTATTCATATATACGCGTTGCCATTGTCGCGCAGTCGAAGTGAATAGACTTTGCCTCCAGTCTGTGGGTATATAAAATCCCCCATTGAACGCCCCGTTTCAATAAAGCGCCGTGTTGCCGAGAGCTCCGAGAAAGGAAACGAAGAAAGAAAAAACAAAAAAAGGGTAAAGGGTGTATGACATGACCGTTCTCGAAAGGTTCCATGCCGTTCCTCGCCATGCTGCGACGGTTTACACAACAAGCGCTGCCCTTGAAAACATGTACAAGAAGTGATCCTAGAAGAAGAAACGAAAAATAGAGGTCGAATCGTAGAGGAAGAGGAAAAGAAGTGTATTCCTACCCCCCCTCACTTAATTCTCAACTTTTCTCATAATCAATCAGGCCTCCTCCTTCTTAGCCGCAGGAAGATCCATCCCGACCCTGCGGGCCGTCAGGCGGATGCGCTCGTCCTGCGGCATCTCCATGCCGGGGTTATATCGCTCGACGAGAGTGACGTACATGCGCTGGGCGCGCAGATAGTGGACGGCCTGGCGGGCGAGTTGGGCCTGGTGTTCGGCATCGTGCGGCGTCGAGGCTGAAGAGGAGGCCGATGAGTTTTCGGTGAAGGAGGAGCGGATGCGGTTGTGGATGTGCGTTCGTGGAGAGGCGAGGATGGGGCGGGGCGGGAGTTCGCGGAGGAGAGAGCGATAGAGGGAGCGGAGGCTGGCGGGAGAGGAAGCCATTTTTTTTTTTTCTTTGTTTGTTTGTAGCTGCTGCTGCTGCTTCCTGCGACGGCTGTGGTGTTGGATTTTGGTGGGGGGAGTAAAATCAGTTGAGGCGAAAGATGTTGAAGCTTGGCTCGCTAGTTGGTGCTTTTGGTGTTGTTGGCGTTGCTGCTCTATAATTTTCTCCCGCGTCTCTGTGCTCGGAAAATTTGGCTGGCCGGAGCGCCGACACGGAAGGCCCCCAGCCCCGCCGTGAAATGCGCGGGACGTCGGGCGCGGTGATGGCGGGGTAGGAGCAGCGCTTGGGCGACGGACCGATGATTGTGGTTGACGGCGGCTGGTTTGCAGGGAACGTTATCTTCGATATTGTTGCGAATTTCTCTCTCTCTCTCTCTCTCTCTCTCTCTCTCTCTCTCTCTCTCTGTTTACAGAATTCAAGGAGTATTGAGTTGGGATTTCAGCTGTTGATACTCTTTGCGCCCGCACTTGTTCTACTGCAGACTGTGCAAGGCATAAGCGCTTCCGTAAGACGATATCGGGCTGATTCTCGAATGTCGACATCCCACTCTTCTTCCTCATCATCTCCACATAAACCCAACCGATCGACGCCTTCTACTCCTAGGTCTCATCTAACCCTTCTTTTAACTCTCTCTGTCATCGTCTTCCTCTTCTCGCTCCTCCTCCCCATCGCAGGTATCACGACGGCTTCTCTATCCCTCTCCTCCATCCCTCGCCTCGCCCACAAAGCCGGACATCTCTCGCTCTCCTCGATCCTCCGTCCAAGCCGTTTCTCGTTTTCGCATTCCGCAACTGTCACCATGAGTTCTCCAAAGTACGAAAAGGAGCTTCAGATTGCTCAGCTCGCCGTCCAGCGTGCTTCCATCCTCACAAAGCGTGTCTTCCACGAAAAGGCCAAGGGCACTGTCGACAAGAATGACAAATCACCAGTCACGATTGGCGATTTCGGAGCGCAGGCGCTCATCATTTCGGCCCTACAGCACAACTTCCCCAACGATGCCATTGTCGCAGAGGAAGAGTCTGCGAAGTTGAAGGAGGATGCCAATCTGAGGACCACCATCTGGGACTTGGTCAAGGACACAAAGCTAGAAGATGCTGCTGCCGAAGCTCTGCTTGGTGGGCCCATCAAGGATGTCGATGCGATGGTTGAGCTTATCGACAAGGGAAACAGCCCCGGTGGCTCCCAGGGACGCATCTGGGCCATTGACCCTATCGACGGAACCAAGGGCTTCCTCCGCGGAGGCCAATATGCCGTGTGCCTCGCCCTCATGATTGACGGCGACGTCAAAGTCGGCGCTCTAGGATGCCCCAACCTTCCAATCGACGACTCTGCTCGTCTCACCACCGACATCGGCGCAAACCAGACCGACGAAGGCCACGGCGTGCTCTTCTCTGCCGTCCAAGGCCACGGCGCCAAGAGCCGCGCGCTCGCGACTGTGAATCTCGACGCCGAAGCCGGCAAGCCCATCTCCATGCGCGCCATTGACGATCTCACAAAGGCAAACTTCTGCGAGAGCGTGGAAGCCGGGCACTCTTCTCACGGCGACCAGGCCGCCATCTCACAGAAGCTGGGCATCACCGAGCCCAGCGTCCGCATGGACAGCCAGGCTAAATACGGCTCTATCGCTCGCGGCGCTGGAGACATTTACTTGCGCCTCCCTGTGAGCGCTACGTACCAAGAGAAGATTTGGGATCATGCTGCTGGCGATCTCATTGTTCGGGAATCAGGCGGACAGGTGACCGACATCCACGGCAAGAGATTAGACTTTGGCATTGGACGAACACTCGCCAACAACAAGGGCGTGGTAGCAGCGCCCGCGGCAGTGCATGGCAAAGTTTTGGAAGTGGTGCAGGAAGTTTTGAGCGCCAAGCTGTAAGAGGACATGTAATAGAATGAAGGAAATAAATACGGGTAAAAAGCAGGCAATTTTCATCAACGGTTGCATAGGTAGATACATATCTGCATGTTAATTTTGGATTGTCGTTGATATATACATGTAAGATGTATAAATATGTCTAAACACCTCGCCAAAACGGCCCTGATGATGATACAAGTCTCCGTTAAAAACACCCTTGTCCAAAGCCAACTTACTGTACACTTTTTTTTCTTTCCAACGCTCTTTTTTCCTTCTTTACTTTTCTTTCTCCCCCTCCCCCTCCTTTTCATCTCATTTCATTTATTTAATCTTCTTCTGCTTCAACTTAATCGTCTCATCGTTAATAAACACTCCCTTGCCCTTGTACGGCTCCGGCTTCCTCCAATTCCTCACCACGCCCGCAAAGCTCATGAGCACCTCCCGATCGGGGCCCTCGAGCAGGATGCGCGTCAGCGACGGCGTCGTCACCGTGACGCCCTTGGGGATTCCCACCTCGACGGGGTGCGTGAAGCCGAGCTTGAGGCAGAGAAACTTTTGGCCGGGGTACTGCTCCTTTGCGCCGCGCTGCTCGACGCTGGCGCGGTAGCCGACGCCGACGAGGCGGATGATGGCTGTGTGGCCTTCGGAGACGCCGGTGATGTGGTTGCTGAGGTAGGACCATGAGGTTCCTGGAAAAAAAGAAGACGGGCTTTTGTTAGTCCAAATGTCAAGGGAGCAGGGACAGGATTTAGTATATTGCCAAAAAAATGGCTTGACAGTTTGAAGTAGCAAGGATAGCGGTTCAAAAACGTACCCCACATTTCTTTCTGTTCTTTCGCATTCGGGTCTCTCACGCTCAGCGTCGCAGTCTTCTCTTCGGCGTTCTGTACCAGGTCCACAAACTCGGGCACATCCATATCCAGCGTTCCTAATCGCACAACGCACCACTTGTCAGTCCAGACGTCCACACGGTTATACCAATTTGGCTTTCACCCCAAATCCAGATGCAAAATGTAGGCAAGGAAGGGAAGAAAAAAAAACCAACCCAGCGGTCCCTTCACAGTAATCCTCTTCTTCACGACCGGCTTATACGACGTCGCCGACCGGAACGCCTTTGGCTCTCCCATGGTAACCTCCACGCCCGGCGGAATCGAAAGCGGCGTAATGCCCAGTTTTGACGGTCGGCCTTGCGTCGTTGAGAACTGTCGTCGCGCAGAAGCGAATCTGCTGGGGGAAGCGATCGTCGTCGTCGTCGAGGCTGGTAGTATTGAGGGGAGAGAGGCTGGCGAGGCTGCGGCCGTGGAGAAGGCCCTGCTCAGGGCCATGCCCCGGCCGGGAGCTAGAATTGAGGCCATTGGGGTGGTTTTGGGGAGAAAGTTGAGCCGGAAGACGGTCAACTGGTGAGGTTTGTCGCAATCAAGGCTCGATTGTAGTGGTGCAATGGGTTGATTGATACTAGAGCTTCGTTTCGAACTTTTTGCTGAGTCATCATTTGAGTGCCAACAGTGTTTGCGCACTGTACCATGCACAAGAGATTTATATTGCGTGGGAACACGTTATTTATAAGGATTTGATAATTGTTTCTTTAATAAATGGCTATCAAGTCTGAGGAATATTTATAGCATATTTGAGTATGATATGTCAAAGATTCAATTGGTCAATTGAGATTGATAACATGAACATTCTCCACGCGCTCTAGTGACTCGATGTGAGCCTCAAAGAGGCACCTCCAGCATCGCCGGTATTGGCATTTAAGGAATAGAAATCGCTTAAATAAGCGTCCTCTTTTTGAATTATTCTTGTTTTTACACAGTGAAATACAGATGGAGCAATGTCAGAGCCGTTGTAATGTATCACTTAAATAGTGCTTGAGCTTTCAAGATTTAAGTTGAGGAGATTCAATATTGGATTAGAGATCCTGCTGATATTTTCTTGAAAAAAGGCTAATTAAGAGCAGTAATTTGCCTCTAGCACTAAATGCATGAATAAAGCGGTCATCGTAATTCTTTGAGATTTTCTCCAGGTGTCTACCATAATGTAAGGTGACTCTCCTGAGCGTAGCCAAATTCTCCTGATATCCTCATGTCTTCCCATTTCTCGCACTGCTTCATTTCACTTTGCCTGTTTGACAAATCAATTGCGCACTCGTATCTCAGTTTCGGGCAGACGTCTGAAGAGCTCTTAATTTCAGCTCCTATGGAGCAGAAGTAAAAGTGCCATCGTGTCCAAACAAGTTGCGGAATCTCGTATCGGAAGTTGCGTTATTGTTTTGACCAATTGAACGCAGTTCCTTGGCAAAATTTTGCATTCCTCTTTCACCTCCTATATATATCAAGAAGTGCTCCATTTCTTGGATATCTCGCGAAGTCATCTGTTCCCGGGAGTATAGCAGATCTCGAAGCATACGAGTAGCTACCAGCGCAATGCTTGCTACCCCCTTTGAGTTTTCAAAATAAGCTCCTTTCCTCCATTGCAAATTTCCCGCAGCTCCCTCCAAGCATTTCGGTAAATTATCTTCAGTAAAGTTTTGTTTCATGACTTTAGCTTTTGCTTGGTGGACAATGCGTGCGGCATACTTCTCTTCGGTCGAGTCTTCAGGCATGTCGCCGAGCTTTCTCTTGGGGGCTTTCTTCATTTCTTGCTTGTCAAACACTATGTCGCTTTCACTTCGTTGCTTAGATTGATAGTAGTTCCTGTGAAAGAATGCAATGTGAGTTTGGTTGACGGTGCTACTGAATGTTGAGTAAGTTTCCTTGCTTACGGGCGACACGTCTTATTCAATTGCAGAGTGCTTTTTCTGCAAGAGGCTCTTTTTGATGAAGCTGGTCAAGATGTGTGTAGATGTTTGAATGAAGAGGAAGGAAGAGAAAAAAAAAAAAAAAAAGAGAGACAGAGAGAGAGAGAGTTCAGAGAAGATTGCAATAAATAGACTGCCAACACACCGCCTGGTTGTGAATTCTGCCAGCTATAGACACTGATGGCGAGATCTCCCTCTTCTTTAAAAACTTGAGATTTTCTCTCTTCTATATTCTTCGGCTATCTAAGCACTTGATTCGCTTTCTCTTTCCACTGTTTTCTTTCTTTCCAATGCTTTCTTTCTTTCCACATCCCAAAATTTCCTATATCTCTCTACAGCTCTCTTGCCATCTTCTTTCTCAATCTTAGCAAGCCATTTTTCGTCTGGGCTATCTCGCCCAAGGCAATCTGGCATCGCCCCACGATCAAGCAACATCTTGGCGGTATTCCAAAACCCTCTGATAACAGCGGCATTCAGTGCATTGTTATACCTCCCCCCATGTGCGTTGATATCAGCCCCATGGGTTAGTAGAACCTTGACTGTTTCCTCGAGGTCGCAAAACACCGCCGCCTGTAAAGCTGAGCCGTACCGTCCGCTTTGAGCGTTTACATCAAGCTGTGGACAAAGTTCGAAAAGAAGAGCTACCGCTTCCTGGGGAGAATATTTATTAGAATCGTAAACTGGATTGGCACATATATGATGCAGCGGCGAGCCAAATCCAAAGGTGGGGACCACAAGGTTGACGTCTGCGCCATGTTCGATGAGAAACCGGATCCTACTGGGCTTTATGCTGTTATTCTCGTATGATTTACGCAGTACGGCATGAAGCGGCGTGCCACGGTTGGTGTCTATCTCGTTAATATCAGCACCTAAATCCAGAAGCCGCTTCAACACGGCATTATCTTGAATGCCGTCCGATATGGCGGCAATATGCAAAAGCGGGACGTAGGTGAAGCCGGTAAGACGAATATCAGCGCCGTGATCGAGCAGCATATGAATCATTTCATCATTACTGCGCTCACCCCAGCAAGCAGTCTGTATGATGACCCCGGCATTGCGACCTCCTGCGTTCACGTCGGCACCGCTGTCGAGAAGCAAGCGTGCTATCTCGTTGTGGCCCCGGGCGCAGGCAGCTTTGAGCGCAGTTCCGCTATTCGCGAATTCCATGTCTACTTCTGCACCGCGGTCAAGTAGGAAGCGGACAAGCTTCATGTTTCCAGCTGTGGATGCAGCTTGTAGTGCAGATCCAAACACGTTGCTGCCTGTCACATTGATATCGGCACCATGGTCAAGCAGCAGCTGTACCATTTCGATGTCCCCTTCATATCCTTCTTTGGGTCGTGTAAAAGACGCAGCAATTATCGCATGTACATACGCATGCACATACCCCTCGCCTCCGGGATTTACATTCGCTCCCCAATCCAAGAGCAACCGTACGATATCAGCATGTCCAACATGGCATGCGACTTGTAAAGCGGTATCGTATGGCCCTCCTTTAGCATTTACATCTGCGCCGTTTTCAAGGAGAAGTTTTACCAGGGCATACCAAGAGACGCCGTCCTTGCCTTTCGATCCACATGCGTTTTTCAAAGCGCTGCCTTGCTCTCCTCCTGCCTCGTTGATATCAACGCTGTGGGCCATAAGGAGCTTCGCAACCCTGATAGCTGCCTTCTCATCTCTGCCAGCATAAGAATAACAGGCAGCCTGCAAGGGTGTTCCGTGCATCCCTCCTCTGATCTTGGGATCTGCGCCCAGACTCAACAAATACTCGACTCGCGATTCGTCTATGTCGAAGGCCGCACACACCAAATGGAGTGGAGTGCCATAACGTCCATCAAGGCCATTTATATCCGCGCCGCTGCTAAGCAACAGCTCAAATGCTTTCCAGTTCCCATTGTAGGCCGCCTTGCAGAGCGCCCCTTGTAGCCTCATACCCTTGCTATTATCAAGCAAAAGCTGTAAGCATTCTAGGGATTCAGGAGAATCCCCAAATGACCCAGCTACAGTTTTGAGAGCGTATTTTGTGACCGGGGTCTTGTTAAGAACAAGAAACTCGACGACTTCAAAATTGCCTTTTCTTGCTGCAGCATCCAAAGCCTTGCTGAAAACGTTCATGGCGAATTTCTCTTCAACCAAGAATCGCACAATTTCCAGATGACCACCCTCTGCGGCCTCTATCAGAGGATTTAGATAATCCGCGCTCTTGACATCGACACCAGCACCCTTTTCAAGGAGAAGTTGGACAACTTCATAGCTTCCAGCTGAGCTAGCATTTAGCAGCGCAGCATCTAAATCGCCTTGACTGTAATACTGATGGGTATCGAGCCCTTCTGAGATCAACATCTCAGTAAGCTGGTATGCGTTCAAGTGGGCAGTATATATCAGTGGATTCAGCCACGCTTCGTCAAGGGAGAATGGGCGATCAGTAATCGAGTCTATCATGCTATAGAGGCTTCGGCTGCGGATACTGAGGGCAAGATTTGCGGCTTTAAAGAGGTCAAGCGGCCAAGACGGACGAGGGGCCCTATCTAGATGCAGAAGCCAATTCTTGGTCGCATAAGTACTTAATTGTGACGAGTTTTCTCCATCCTGTTCCTCCACGATCCCAGAAAAAGATGCATCGTCCGGGGGGTTGCGTTGTAGGTGATATTCTAGACAAGATTTTCCAATGTGTAGATACGCATCAGCCGCTGTGAAGGAAAAGGCAAATGCAGCGCTGTTGCTGATCCTGCTAGAGGTCAAATACTCTTTGATAGAGGGGCGAGCAAACCGAACGTGACCATCCTTGACAATCAGCAGCCCCGAGAAATAATCCAAAATGTTATCAGCAGAGAACGCCTCCGCTTCATCTGAAGCCTGGCTCCGGTCTAGATGCAGAGTGAAGACTTCCGATAATAGACTGACATCTAAAGTGCCGAGTGAAAAAGCTACCCATTTCAAAGAACTTATAATTTGAGACCGGAATCGTTTGTCGGTACTCAGCAATATTCCCTCATGAATTGCGTCAATGTGTTGAGGGAGATCCCTCAGAGCTTTGCGGATGAGTGTAGGTTCCGTGAGGCCTTTCAATGTATCGAGCTGGTTACTAGCATAGTGAAGTCTAAGATAGTCAGAGGTCGGTTTGTGATATACAGCGAGATGTAAGGCTTTGAGCCGGGATGACTTACATGCCACCTGCATTCTTAACCAGCTGCTCCCTTACTTCTGCCTTGACATCCTCTGGCCACGAGACATAGCCATCCCCCGCGAGCACTGAGTCAATATATAGTCCAACATCAAGCTCTTTATTGTGAATTGTAGTCTGATTTCCAGCAGCGGGCTCATGATTTTCGCGTCTCAGCTCTTCAGATGCTAAATTGGCAGAATCGTGAATTGAGACACCGCCAGGCTCGGTCGTTGAAGCTTTCTGTAAAGAATCCGACTAGCACGGCGGTTAGATGATTTTTCCACAGCTGATAAATTAATCGATTCGTTTACCACAACAACCCAAGAGGCATCATCGCTGCCAAGCGACGCTCTAGATTCTGCCCTTGCCTGATCCTCATGGGTGCGCGAATCCCGCTCAGTGTCGACTCCAAGGTTTTCAAGTTTCTTTTCTAAGACTTCATTTGAGTCCACCATCGTATCTGCCTCAGTAATCTTCGTGCGGATGACACTGTCGTCCATAGAATTCAGGATCAATTGGGCTAAATAAAAGACGACGCCGTCAGTGTGGATGCTGCAGCCTAAATTCAGCAAATGCCCCAGGCGCAGATAGCTAGTAGCGGCTACACTACGAGTGAGTAGTCATCAAGAATATACCAGCGGTTTTATATATGATTAGACTTTCATCAATGTACTAAAGGCATATGCAAAGTGAAAATGATCAGAACTTTAAAAGACCAATTTACTCAAGAGCTGTAGAGGTGGTAATGTATTAAAGAAGGAAATACGGAGAGCAGAAATCTACCTAGATCCTAGCACAAATATTCAGGGTAGATTTGCTATTGGTCTACCTAGGAGCGTATAACCTCGCTTTTTCGACGATAAAGTAAAAAGTAGGGGAAATGAAGATTCTAGCCAATTAAACTCTACAATTATCGTCGAAGTTGCGAGGGAACCACAATGAATCATCGTCGGAAAAGCGAGGGAACCATAATAAATTACTATCCAGCCAATGAAACGTTATTATCGAGCTTCATGAACCAATCAAGCTCTTTAATTTTTCATTTATTGTGGTTCCCTCGCATGTTCGACGATAATTAATTGTAGTGAAAATTAGAAGATTTAGCCAATTAAATGATCTAGAAACTAGATTTTATCATTGAAAAAAAAAAGCGAGGTAACACGGTATTTACTTAAAACGGCAGCTTTTAATAACATGATATATAGATGTATATGTATATATCTATATGGATTGAAAGCATATATACTGTATATGCCGAGTTCATTGCAGCGTTTGGGCAAACATTACGGAATTCTCCATGTAACAATTGTTTCAAAAGTGTTACCGTAGTACAATAGTTGTACTCGTTTATTTTCATTAGTTTATAAACACTTGCTACTCTGACAGACTGCCATATCGCGCGTGGATATCAAAATAGTCGTCCAGTCATCTCAACAAGCTCTGCAAGGCAAGTCCTACAGTGCTGATCAGGGTTGCACAAACGCATGCACCCAAAGAATATAAAGTTAGAACACACTCAGCTCGCTTTTTACTCCTCATCGGCCTCCATAGGAGCCTCCTCCTCGTACTCCTCCTCGTCAATACCAGCCTCCTGGTATTGCTGGTACTCAGACACCAAGTCGTTCATGTTGGACTCGGCCTCAGTGAACTCCATCTCGTCCATACCCTCGCCAGTGTACCAGTGCAAGAAAGCCTTGCGACGGAACATGGCGCTAAACTGCTCGCCGACACGCTTGAACAGCTCCTGGATGGAGGTGGAGTTACCAATGAAGGTGGATGACATCTTCAGGCCACGAGGGGGGATGGCGCAAAGGGCAGTCTGGATGTTGTTGGGGATCCACTCAACGAAGTAGGTGGAGTTCTTGTTCTGCACGTTTCGCATCTGGTCCTCAACCTCCTTCATGGCGACCTTGCCACGGCTAGATATATTTGTTAGCACTGCATCTCACTACGCCGAGGCATCATCGTCACTTACAAGATAGAGCAGCAAGTCAGGTAGCGACCGTTGCGGAAGTCAGAAGCAGCCATCATGTTCTTGGGGTCGAACATCTGCTGGGTGAGCTCGGGCACGGTGACGGCACGGAAAGAGTGAGCACCGGGGCTGGTCAGAGGAGCGAAGCCGACCATGAAGAAGTGGAGACGAGGGAAAGGAACCATGTTGACAGCCAGCTTGCGGAGATCAGAGTTAAGCTGACCGGGGAATCGCAAGCAGGTGGTGATGCCTGACATGACAGCGGAGACAAGGTAGTTCAGGTCACCGTAGGCAGGGTTGTTCAGCTTGAGGGTGCGCATGCAGATGTCGTAGAGAGCCTCGTTATCAATGCAGAAGGTCTCGTCGGAGTTCTCGACAAGCTGGTGGACGGAGAGGGTGGCGTTGTAGGGCTCAACGACGGTGTCGGACACCTTGGGGGATGGGACAACGGAGAAAGTGGCCATCATTCGGTCGGGGAATTCCTCGCGGATCTTGGAGAGCAGGAGAGTTCCCATACCAGATCCGGTACCACCACCGAGAGAGTGGGTGATCTGGAAGCCCTGGAGGCAGTCGCAGCCTTCGGCCTCACGGCGGACAACGTCGAGGACGTTGTCGACGAGCTCAGCACCCTCGGTGTAGTGGCCCTTGGCCCAGTTGTTTCCGGCACTGGACTGGCCGAAGATGAAGTTGTCGGGACGGAAGAGCTGACCGAAAGGACCGGCACGGACGGCGTCCATGGTGCCGGGCTCGAGATCGACGAGGACAGCGCGAGGAACATACTTGTTGTTGGAGGCCTGCACCATCAAGGTCAGAACGGGACGTCTTCCAGGTGTCCTCTTTTGGCGTAGCCAGACATACCTCGTTGAAGTAGACGTTCATGCGCTCCAGCTGGAGCTCAGAAGAGCCGTTGTAGATACCATTGCTGTCGAGGCCGTGCTCGCCGGAAATGGTTTGCCAGAAGGCGGCACCGATTTGGTTACCCTGTTGAATGTGGTGAGCTCCTGGACACCGCTTCCGTGGCGGATTCATAGAGGCTGTTGACTTACGCACTGGCCGGTCTGGATGTGAACCTATTCGCCGAAAAAAGAATCAATAATTAGCAAATGCCATATCCTCATCATCACAACGCGATTCAATCGGGTCGAATTGGGCGTGAAAAAAATTCGAGATGTTCATGTGTCGTGGTTGGCGGGGTACAATTTCAGGGGTTCCAACGCGTTTGCAGAGAGGGACCAAAGTAAACAAAAAAGAAAGGGGGGAGGGGGACGTACAATCTCACGCATTTTGGCTGGAGGTGGTGCTGTTGTGGTAAATTAGAAAATCTCGGATATCGAGTCCGACGAAGGAGAGAGAAAGTCAGAGAAGGAGAGGATCTCGAGAGCTATGGAGAGCTTCGCGGGTTTACAGGACAAGAGCTTGGGCTTGGAGGAGCTGGTGGTTTTTGTTTGAAGGTTGGGACGCCTTGGGTGGAGATGGTTCACCGCCATGGGCCCCATCGCCAGGCGGGGCCCAGCCGGGGAAGGAGAGCCAGTGGCTGCTTAGCACGTTTGGCACCGGCACAGGGCCACCTGGCGCCTGAAGAAGGGGGGAAAGGCAGTAAACCCGATCAAGTGCTTCAGGGCGTTGTTGTTGATGTTGTTGCTGTATAACTAGGCAAGTAGAAGATTTATGATGCTACCTCCGTGTATGCATCTATGTAGACGGCACAATCAATCATGGCTAGAAAAACGAATCAATGCAATCTGATTCGCTACCGTGCCTCGTTGATCCCTGGAGAGAATCGCCAGGTGGCTGCATTGCTGTTGGAAATCTCGGCAAAAAAGATGTCACTGCATGCTCGTACAGGCTCAAAAAAAGGGGTGTAGGGACACACGCAGCTCAGTGCCAGCGAGAACATACAAGCACGCTAAGCCGATGCCTGGCCGTACCTGGTCGTTGGGCGAGGATCATCGCTTTGCTTTCAACAGGCTCTCCTTTGCCCGTTACCGCAACGTTGTTCTGATCGTGTCGCCTCCTGCAACGCCAGCTCATGAGCCGAGATGAGCGTTGGCGCCCCCCACCACGTTTCCCCGCTAGCGCTGTATTGTCGCGAACGCGAAGACTGGCATCACTTTGGCAGAGCAGAGACGTGAATACAGAGCATTGAGACTGGTTTAGGTAGTTATAAGTACTAGCAGTAGTAGTATATCATACTTAGATACTAAGGTATATGCAAAGAAAAAGAAGCTAAACTAATGCGCCTTGACAACTCCCGCAGCGTCTGCTTGAGCCGCAATCTTCTTCTTATACTGCTGCACGTTGCCGTCAAACTTCTCAACCGTGCCACCGTCGCACACCCACAGGGATGTACAGACGTTCTGCAGCATTGTTACGTCGTGGGAAACCATCAGCACGCCTCCCTGGAACTCGTTCAATGCCTCAGACAGGGCGTCCATTGCTTCAATATCCAAGTGGTTGGACGGTTCGTCCAGCACGAGAATGTGGGGTTGTGTCAATGCCAGACAGGCAAATGCTACTCTGGACTTTTGACCTCCAGAAAGCTGGGCCATCTTTTGTAATCCTGTTGTACCAGTGATACCAAAAGCACCCAGTTGACGGCGATACTCTTCATCAGTCTTTCCGGGGTACGCCTTTGCCATGAAGCTGACAGCACTCATGGTGAGGTCAAGCGAGTCCACATGGTGTTGCGCAAAGAATCCAATGCGAAGTCGTGGATGTGACGTGACGATACCCTTTGATGCTGAGAGTTTTCCAATAAGGAGCTGCAAGACCGTCGTCTTACCAGCACCGTTGGGCCCAACAATACCGATTCGAGAATCCAGCTGAACGTCGAGATCTACATTCCTCAATAAAGGCTTGTCAACAGTATATCCAAAGCTGACTTCCGACATCTGGATGATAGGCGGTGACAGTTTTTCCACTTCGGGAAACTGGAATTTAACGTCGTATTCTTTCTCAGGCGGCTCCAACACAGGCATTTTCTCGAGCTTCTTGATACGGGACTGAGCTTCTGACGACTTGGCTGCGTTGTAACGGAACTTGTCGATAAAGGCCTGCAAGTGAGCTCGCTCTGCCATCTGCTTTTCGTATTCTCTCTTGGCCGTCTTCTTACGCTCCTCACGCGTGGCGTAGAAAGACTCAAAGTTGGCACCGCGGTAGTAATCGAGGCGCTGAGAGTGCTGGTGGATAATGTCTGTCGCGACTTCGTTGAGGAATGCTCTGTCGTGAGAGACGACGAGAACCGTGCTTGGGTAATCTTGAAGGTAATTGGAAAGGAAAGTAATCGAAGGAACGTCCAACATGTTAGACGGTTCGTCAAGAAGCAGCAGATCAGGTTCACAGAACAGAGCACGCGCCAGAGCCAAACGCATACGCCAACCTCCAGAAAAGGTCTTGGTCGCATATTGCTGCCTCTCAGGAGAGAAACCGAGACCAGCAAGAATACTAGCAGCCCGTGACTCTGCCTTATCGGACTCCATTTCAGACAGCTTAGCCTGAACGTCACCTAGCTTAGTGTCCATAGTCTCCTTCTCAAGATCCAGCCTAGCAGCATCTGCTGATGTGTCAGCCAAGGGAGCTCGCTGGATTTCTAGCTCTGCCAATTTATTCGTGAGTTCCTAAGAGATTAAGTTAGAAAACAAATTCTAAACATGACCATTGCCGGTGTTGTCTTACATCTTGTTCTCTGAGGAGAACCTTTCGCCAGACATCGGCATCAAGAACTGCTTGTAGAGCCGGAGTATCGTCACCCATGATCTGACATATCCAAGTTAGCAGTGATACTCGTAAATAAAATAGGGAAAGACATGTTTTACCTCCTGTTCAACGTGAAGAATAGAAATATGCGTAGGAATGGCGACTTCTCTCCTGGAGAGAGCTCTCAGCAGCGTAGATTTACCCACACCGTTGTTACCAACGAGACCGTAGCGACGACCGTACGCGAGCGTAAGAGTGGTATCAGTGAGGATACGGTTAGCACCAATAGACACATCGATGTTATCCAACTTGATGTCCTTGGTTTTGTTGGCTCCCGACGAGCCGATCTGCAGCGGGTTGACAGCCATGTAAAACTCTTCATAGGACTGTGCATCCTCGGGCTGGTCAAGCAATCTCGAGGCCTCGTACTCGACCGTCTTGAACGTCTTCTTCTGCTGCTTGGCGGCAATCTTCCTTTCGGCCTTCTCGAGCTTCTTGCGATCAACCTTGGACTCAACCTTTCTAACATTGGCGGACTCCAAGTCGACAGCACCACCAGCGACGGCCAAAGTAGACGACATGTTGCGTTGAGAGCTGACCTGGATCGTTTGGTCTAATCTCCTGATGGCCATGGGGCCCAATTTCTGACCTCCATTGGCTTCGGCATACTTGTTGACCCATTTCTCCACGAGCTGCTTGATCTTTTCTTCGAGAGCGGCATCTTTGCCCCCGGAGGCGGAGAGAAGCAATTCGGTGACCGCCACAGCTGCTTCGCTGAGAGGATCTTGCACCTCACCCTCTTCGCCTGACCAGGCAGTGGATGCATGGGTCAGGTATCCGACGGAGTAGTCAGACACGACCGGGTCGATATTGGGGAGAACAGCTCTGATCTCGGCCTCCATGTCTGCTATCTGTGTGCAGTTATAGCCCGACAGAGCTTTTTGGAATCTGGCTCCAGTCGAATAGCGGGTAGCTTCGCTTAGAATCTACGTTTAGGAGCTCCGGCCAATTATCTGTAAAGCTCGCCTGCTCCAGAGATCTTTGCATCAACCAGCTTCGCCTGTGGAAATTCTTTGGGCTGCGGCGTGCCCCGCCATGGTTGAATGACGTTGGATGGACGGGCCGAAACGGTCCGACGACAACTGTTGCAGCTGGCAGAAAATAGCTGGCAATGTCAGCCCCGGTAAACCGATACTACGCTTAAAAAGAATATTTACACCATGTTCAAAGTTGCAGTAGCAAGAAACTCCAAAAATAAAGATGGATGCCATTAGAGAACGCACAACGCAAATGTGGGCCGCGTAATATTAACAATTATTAGTATACCTACTCTTATATCCCGTTCTGTCCACCTGAGCTCCCAGGATAGTCATAGCATCGTCGCCGAGATTGACAATTGTAGAAATAACTTTCAACCGTCAAACCATGACGCCCGCGGTTCGGGGCGCTCTTGTGTTGTACCGCTTCCAGAAGCTCCAAATAGAAGATGGCTCTCAAAAGGACCGAAGGCCCAAGCGCTCGTGCTCATACGGGAAAACTCTAAGCTGATGGACAATACATATTTGTTTATGACCGACGGATATCTGTGCCAAATTGAGGACGAAACTTTGGCTAATACAGGCACGACTACCACACTGGTAGGCCAGTAAGCTCTGCATCCACAAACCCTAAACCAGACAACCCCTGGCTAGGAGATCATCACGTTGTCACAAACGCGTGATGGTGATGGTTGCCAAAGCAAGTCTTCGGGACGGACTACCCGATCCCATCCAGGGGGCGGGTCTCGGGAGCTCTGGCTGCCAGCGCCAAGTTTCCCTTTTGTTTTCGTGCAAGAGGCGCCGTCGCTGGGGAAGTCGAAGGCTTTTCTCTGCTCTTTGCGAAGTTCTCGTACCGCCTGTATTTTACGCGCTCCGTGTATTACGGTAGTCGAGTGGCAGTGCAACTTGGACATAATCATCCAAATCTCGGTGTGCCTGTTCCCGAACTGGTGTCACAGGTAGAGAGGAACAGAACCTGGATGCTGTCACCGCCATTGCTGCATTGCTAATCTCGCCTTGCAGGAAGGGCGGCTGCCCTTTTCAAATGTACCATTGTTCGTAACAATGCGTTCTACAAATCTCTAGATGCTGTGCTATACTGATACGACACATGTGTTACCTTGCAATATCAGCATCTGAGCACTGGCGCCTCCCTGCTTGTTGTGCTTACGCCGCATATCGCACATCAAATTGTTAGTGGACCTGTAATTGCCGGGTAGGAACAGCAACAGCAGCAGGGCAGCACTCACGTTGTCTTGCCCAACATGTGCAAGACATCCTCAGCGGGGACGGAGTTAACAATGCAGCTCATCACTGCAGCTGGTCCATGATGAAAAATCGCATCGCATGTAGATTTGCAGTGCGCAGGGATACCAACAAGGCCTTCTTTTGACACTGCCATTGCTTCCGTAACAGATTGAAGCGCGGGGCCGTCTCCGCAAGGCGCAAGGAGCCAGATCTTAGCAGTTTCAATAGTGAAGCCCTGCAGCGAGTCAGCGAGTCCAGATGAACTCACCTAGCGAAATTGCGCTTCTACGGTGAGAATTCTATATGCGAGAGCAAAAGCGGTCGGTAATTGTGATGGGCTTTGTGCAACATCGTGAGGTATTATCTTTCATAATAATGGGCCTGAAACGCTAGAGATATGGACGTGAGAAATTGCCATGTGGGTGTGGTCGCATTTAGCTGGATACGAGTATCTCTACAAATGTGCGGCAGTACGATCAATGGCTGTGCTCTGTACCATGTACCTCGTCTGGGTACCTATACATACTACCTTTTTGTGATTTTGTCGATTAGAAAAGTAAGCTGGTCATAAGACGGAGAGAAGGCATGAATCCTCTGTAAAACTCTACATAGTTTAGAAAAGAGTCGCTCATCTTCGCAGCCAATTCAACGGACGCCCCCGTCGCGAATACCTCGATAGTTTCATTGCTAAATGCCAAAGCAGATGTCATGTCATAAAGACTCTCTGTATGGTTACTAACGAAAAGGATGCGTGTGCTCCGCACAGGCATGGCGTTAAGTTTCTTTCCCTCTCTCTTTCTATCGTGTAAGAGGATCTTCCATGGCCTTGTAGGGCAGACAGGAGAAGGCTGCAGGGAACTGTTATATGTCGCCATCATGTGATTAATCAACTGAGACTCATCAATCTTAACAGAGCCATCGTGCTAGTAGTATTCGGCCTTCCACACTAGTGCTAAGAATAGCTGGTCAAGGCCATCGGAGGAGATCGAAACTTGAAGGATGATGCAAACGACGTCGAACGTAGCAGTCGCTAGTGAAATCAATGCTGTTTCAGGTTCTCGGAGGGGCAAGCTAATAACTTATGCAGGCCGGCCATTGGCTCAACCTTTCGGCTGGTTAAAGAAGCAGCTCGACAACCATCACAGACCAATTGGCTCTCCAGCAGCTGAATATTTATCCAATCCTGGCATGAATCCTGCTACTCCGTCCAGTCTATTGGCTGTGCGCCTCCACAATGGAGGGACCGATTGTGTTGCACCGCATAGAGATTGATCGTAGATTTAGGATAAATCTCAAGGCGAGTCAAGCTGGAGTTGGCGGGATCGTGATGAGGAGGAAGAGGAGCGGCCAATCGACCCAGAAATCAACACAGCCCGTGATCGGCACGGTCAACGCGACAATAGCCACGTCAGTGGGACGGATTTGCTTGCTAAGTTTGAATATACTTTCTTGCATTGGACGCTATCCAGAAATGAGCCGATTGTCTCGAGCTGACTTTTAGGACGTGTCCGAGCTAAGCTAGCAACGAAGTTGCCAGCTGAAGGCTGTCCAGGCGCCGGCGCAGCGGTTAGCACACAATCGCGATCCATTTATTGCAGGATAGCGCTCGTTGGCGCCGAGAAAAATGCATGGATGGGTGGACTGCGCCCAATAGCGGCAGAGAAGAGGCCAAAATGACGAGCAGAGAAGAAGGAATTGAAAATCCCGAGGCTCTGGCCCTCGCTATTGGCCAATGGCTATATTGGATGGATTTAGCAACGCAGGGGATGCCCTGTGCGGCCATGACGGACGAATGCACCGATGACAATGTGTGTCGTAGGCGCGGGCAGTTATTTCCAGAGCTCGGGTGAAATACTGCGCTTTACTTTTCAATTCCTCGGACTGTTCGTGGCCACTCGTCCGGGACACACATGCCAGGGCGGCGGGACACAAGACCAACGTGGGAGGGAGGGAAATTTGTCACAGACAAGACGACATGCACTGGGCCTTTGGCAATATGAGAGAACAAAGAACTGAGACTAAAAATACTAGGCACTACGGGCAGTACACGCACATGCCTCACGAACATGTGGTCGCGGCTCGTTTGGCGAAGGCGCCGGTCTCGAAGCGAGTTTGTCTCACAGATCTGTCGGGGTGAGTGAGTGATGCCATCCACAAGATGCAAGATTTCGAGATCCAGTGAGCACAAGGGGGACGCTGGTGAGACAGCAGAACTCTGTGCTCGCCATGACTGGTGCCACGTTCAACTTGCAAAGAGGGCGGCTGTGCTTCGTATCATGTAGGGCTAGTGATGTCTTCGTCGGCGCACTTGATGTTGATCGTTCCTGAGTCGCAGCATCAGCTACACCACTAGAAGTTGGAACAAAACTCAAAAACATGCAAGCGACCGGACTCGTGACGGGTTTATACGCAAGCCCAGGCACCGCGACAACCCTCTTGTCCCGTTGGCCTCGAGCTTCGCGTCCGAGGTTGCTGTCGTTAATTTCAGAAGCGTAGCACGGCGTCGAGGGCAGGGAAAGAGATTGGCTTTGACTAAATGTGTGATTCGACAGGCTGCACTGCTCTTTTTGGCCGACGCTGTCTTACTGCGAGCTGCTGAAACTGATGCTTACACCAGCACTTGCACGCCTAAAGCGGACGAAGAGCATGGCCTAGTACAGGTATAGAGTTTGGCCGTGCAGGACTACGGCAACCCAGGTAGAAATAACATCGAACCTTCTGGCCCGGATATGCGATGCTACGGTGGACTATTGGCATGTGTAGCGCGTGTAGGTTCAGGACCGCTGCGTTTGAAGCCCAAAAAAAGGGCCTGAGGGCGAGAACACCAGACCCAGTGTTGGCCGTGGTGGGTTTGAGGTGGACTGCGATAGAGCCGGACGATGGGCATGCAACAGACACACCAGACACTAGCAGCACAGGCACAAGAGAAATAAAGCTCCGTATATACATGGACAGGCGCATTAGACCCGCCCCCACAGCCGGGATGCGACATTCTTGTGCTCGATGTGCCGATGCCCAAAGCGACCCAGCGGCCACAGCATGAGACCCGCACGTAAACAAAACATTGGTGGCTGTCGTTGTTGTTGTTGTCGCCGCTGTCGACTGATAGGTTAGTAGTACTAGAGTCGGTTGTAGCAAAGCAGGTACATGTACCTCTTGCAAGGCACACGGAACCAACTGGATGGAAGTGAGCGCTTATTCTCGACGTTGCAACGCGATAGTGGTTTGCAAACACAGCTGCCCCTTATTACTTAAGCCATCCATATCCATGGATGGCTGTCAACAGCTTCGTGGCTCCCAATCCGTCTGCTCGGTGTAGCCCGAAGGGGCTTTGCTACCGTTTTGGGGTATAATAGTAGTAATTAACTTCGTAATTGACATGAGCATCAGCATTAGCAGCAGGCGGGATGGCGTAAGACTTTGTGCAGTCAAAAACGGAGCACGCACCAGAATAGAGTAGCGGTGCTACGCCTGGCGGGCACAAACAAGCATCGACGCTCTGACAAGCGCCGCCGTCATTCCTCTTCTCAGGGCCCCCCCGTACAAAACGGGAGACCTTCCAGCGCCACCACCAGCCCGTTTCAGCGGGGGGCCAGCTGGCGTGTTTCGGCCACCAGGCCCCAGCTCCGTGCTCCCTACAGCTCCAGGGCCCGCAGGCGCCCATCAGCAGGCTCCGCCCACTAATGATCCATGATCGCGCCGCTAAAATTGGCCCTCTCCAGTGGCCCAGGCAATGGTGCGGGTGCCGGAATGCGGTATGTGGCAGGCCTGGTGCTGTTTACAGTTCCGTCCTGTGTCACCCGCGGCGCTGCGCTGCTCACCTGCAGCTCTGCGGCTCTGGGCTCGAGAAGCAGGGACCATACGCAGGAAATAGCTTCCTCATTTCCTGTCCCCTTCGTCTCGTTTTCGAGATCTTCTCATTTCGTTTTTCTCCCACTCCCCTTCTCCCTTCTCCCCTCCCTCTCCCTCCTGTTCGCGCCTGATATCTACCCTCTTGTGCCCCCCTGGGCTGTGGGCTCTGCGTCCCAAGCAAACCAGGCCGCCTTTTTCTCTTGTCCATTGCCTGCAGCGCGTCTTGCAGTTGGTCCCAGCCACAGCGACGTTTCATACGGCCAAAACAGACGACCTTCTGCTCCACCCTGGGTGAGAGACTCTCTCGCCCTCTCTCTCGCTTCAACAGCGCCCGCGCGGCTGTCCATTGAATCTGACGATGCTCCTGCTGCTCAGCTCTGCTCAGCTCTGCCGGCTCGTCTGTTCAACTCGAGCGCAACGCTCGCAGTGGTCGCTTTGCCGCCAGTAACCATGCAGACGGTTCCCAGTGTAAGTTTGTTGACCTTTTCGGACGGCACTCGCCACACCTGAGCCCAACCATGATGCAGACGTCCAACCGGGCAGCCACTGCACAACCCAATGTGGGAATGGGGAAATTGGAGGAAATGGCGATGTCTGGCTTGGACAAGCGCAGGAGCATCAGCAGAATCGTCCCTTTGCGCAGCCTTGGATCTTTGTCTGACCGTGTGTTTACTCTATAGCTTATTGGGACCGGCACTGCCATTGCTGCAGCGGCCAACGGCCTGGTGTTTGGTCAGCCCGAAGAGCCTCCTCCACCTAACAAGAAGCGACTCAGCCAGCTCAGGAAGGAAATCTCGTTCGATCGCGATCTGCCGGTTACGGCCCCCTCGGCCATCTCGTCTCCCCTACGATACGAAGCCAGTCTGGATGCGCCGTCAATAGAAGTCGAGTATCCGCCGCAGAGTGCCGTGGCCAGCCCAATCACAGTGTCTCGACCTCCGTTGTCCCGCTACCAGAGGCCGTCGCATCAACCTGCCTCGTCACCCAGGCCAATCCCTGAAAGACGGTCCATGTTGAGGCAGCGTGAGAGCTCAGCATCACCGACGCCTGAGGGACCTAGAGACTCCACCTCGTCGAGCGGATCTTGGATTAGGAGGCTCTCGATCCGCCGCCCTCCGTTGTCGCGACAGGGAAGCGTCAAGTCAAAATCCAGCATTGGACCAGATTCGCCCTCGATTTCTCAGTCGTATACTTCATCAGCCCCGATTCTATCAAGGCCAAACACGGCCGCCAACCCTCTGGCGCCGAACAAGCTTGTGAAACGATCTCCATCAGTCACATCTAGCGACGCTCCTCTTACACCCACACACAATCGACCGAAATCGCATTTATCTATCCTGCGGCGACCAGCGACAAGCCACCAGAGATCCGCCACCCTGCATCAATTCCGCCAGAGCGCTGATTTGACGAATCTGCCCTCACCGGCGTTTTCTTTTGATCAATCATCAAAGCAGCACGAAAGCTTGTTAACAGTGGCGCTGTCTACGCAACCTCGAGGAATTCGAAGGACAAGGTGGATATCTTTCTTCCATTCACGCACAAGCAACGTTGGTGGTGGTGGTATTTCTGGCCGCCTGGGAGAGGGGCCCCCCCGTGGTCGCACCGTCTCAGGAAAACGCATTTCTCCTGGCGGCTATGATCGTCAGAAGGTACATCTTGTTACGCCCAGGATGGTGTCGCCTGCCTCAGCGCCTCTAATTGCGCCATCCCCCGTGGATCGACGAGATGAGATTCGCCAAGTCCGACATGAGACAGGTGTTCACGTGGACGCTCGATCGACTTCCCCCGAGAATGCGACTGAAAGAAAAGCGATGCGACCTCATTCAATGCCATTCCCTCCAGTTGTCAACTGGCTCTCGAGAACATCGGGAAGCCTTCGACAACCAAAACGGGAGACTGAGCCGGATGGTGTGAACGACAGGCGGCACGTGTCAGCCCCAAGCAATAGTGGCGCCCAAACCGCCGTGGAGCACGACTTGAAAGCGCCGGCGCAATCACCAATCCCACCCAGTCCTCTAGGACGGCAGGGGCCGACGCTGGATTCAGCAGCCAAAGCTCAGCTAACAATGCATAAAAGAAGCCATTCCTCCCCACTTCTCCCCGCCCCTCGTAAATCGAATTTTCAAATCGACGGACCACGCTTAGGATCGCCTAGCGGGGCGGCCTCTCACTCAGCACGGCAGCACCTGCCCTCCGGGAGCTCGACCAGCTCCGCTGCCATGTCGCAACTCAGAGCTTCTCCATTACATGAGAGTTTCTCTGCCGCTGAAGGATTTGAAGGCGACGCTCGCGGCTTCATATCGGCCGATGAGGACGACGCCGATTATAAGAGTGACACTGTGTTCGACTCACTGCGCACCGCAGCTTCTAGTCGCACAAGGGCTGTGGAGACGCCCTTGGACTCTATTTATGACGACTCCCCCCCGAGCACCGCAGGAAATAATGGTAAGACCAAGCGCCTCTCGATACAGGAGATACTGGGCCATAACTGGGACGGTGACACAAATATTATGGAAGAAGACGAAAGTACCATGATGCCCATCGGGCAATCTGATAGGGCTAGACTAAGGTACTCTAGCCGCCACATTCTTACTTTGCCTCGCATCAGCTCAGAGTCGTCTCAAAATGGTGTTTCGATTTACACGAAAGAATTTGGTCGCATTTCATTAGACGACGATTTTGATGAAGACTGGGCTGTTGATGACGACGCGCACTTTAATCCCCTCTCTCCTCCCTCCAAAGGCAGCTCACTCAACTCTCGCGGCATTAATCCAAACGTCAGGGTTGCGCTGGCGAATATGAGCCTTGACCAAAGGTCTGATATGGACTCGGATGATCGGCCTCTGAATAACTTGTTTGACTGGAGTGAAACTTCTATTCATGATAAGAGCAGTGCAGGCGGTGTTCCGCTGCGTCCCAAGACATCTTACGAAAAGCAGGAGCTTGACGCTAGGGGCGGACGCCCTGTCATTCGCAGTCCTATACCAACGCATATTCGGAGCCAAAGTGTTCCTCTCTCGCACGCGTTGGATGAGGGCAAGTCATCTACTGGTGCCAAGTATGGTACCTGGGGGCTGAGCTCGAAGACAGTGAGCGAGGATTGGGACGAAGACTTTGAGTTTGGTGGCAGCGCCAACGACTTTGGTGATAAAGCCGACAACAATCTGTTCTCGGTGCCCGAATCTATCCGTGCATCACAGCCTAGTGTGAAGGCGCATTCGGGGCAGATCCGTGAACTGTCTTTGCTCGTCAACGACCTCAAGCGACTGTGCCGCCACGGGCGTGATATGGACATGCTCGACGGTCCACAGAAGACTTTATGGAAAGAGGCTGAGGGCGTCATTGCACTAGCTTCACCCGACGAGGAGGATTCTATAGATGAGGAGAACGATGCCAACTTTTTGGATGCCATGGAGGAATTCGATAACAACGATGGATTCTCGGAAGAAGACTTTGACGATCTCTCTTTCAGCAGGCTGGACATGGCTTTCGATATCAAGGAGCCCATGTCAAAGACTGCTGTAGTTCGTGAGCGCCATTCCCCGAAACGACGATCTGTTTTCTCTCCCGACGATGACATCTTCGGTGGCAATTGGCCGTTGGTTGATGAAAACCCGCCATCCAATCAGTCCAGTCGCTCTCGAACACCCGAATTACGTGCTGATAGGCAAGAAGAGGCAGCCAAAGGTGCTCGCTCAGTAATGGAAGCAATGAGTCGTTCCATATCCGACCAGGACACCCAGTCTCGTCCAGATAACAAGATGACTTTCGATACAAACAGTTTGAGAGTGTTGGTGAAGAGAGCTGGGGAGCTTCGAGATTCCTTGTCAGACGTTATCCGCCGGGCTGAGCAAATAACACAGAGCCCTGTGGTTACTCCAAGGCGTGACCGTGAAACCGATTCTAGTCCTGCTTTCACTCGGATGTTCGATGATCCAGGATCGAGTCAATCTCGTCGAACCATCCGACATCGTGGCAATTTGTCCTCGTTACTTGATTCGCCATCACCAAAAACCTCCTCCTCATCATCATCCTCTTCGCCAGTGACCAGACGCTTACAGACTATGATTGCTAGCTAGTGCATTGGTGCTCTGGTGTGGATTTCTAAATGTCCGCGCTCTCAAGTCTATCACTCTTCCATCTTACAGGTTCATGGGAAACTCTGTACAGAAATAATGATCATGTGTGTTTTTATTCTGTTTGCATAGCGACGGTTTCGAGTTTACACATTTATTCGATTAATACTCCATGATAATGCCCCCAGCACCTTTATCATATTTCAACGTCTTTCTCCCAGCTTAGATCAGCGCGATCAACGATGCCTGTCCACCACAACACTTAGTCTGCTGTACGATTCAGCTTTGCTTTGGAACAAACAGCAGTTATAAGGCAGTCCGATTGCATTTGCTCACGCTTTTCCACCCTCAACGCGAATATTCGGATATTCGATTCTACGAAACTCTTACGAAACGAAAATATACGAAAACCCATCGCGTACATAATAGTCCAATTAGGGACACTTTTGACATGTCACCCACCTGTTCTTAGGACAGCAAGTAGGGCAATATAACGGCTTCACGGCTGTTAAGGGGATGTGATGTTGTTTTCCTTTGTCTTTCATGACCTTTTAGTATGAATTGTTGGCAATGTCTTACTCGACAGGCCAACTTGCTACGAAAAGAAAATGAACTTTTTGGGTAGAGAGAGGAGGGTGAGAAAGACTAGCCCGAAAGGCTATTATCCCTTGCCCTCTCTTTCCTCGACCCTCCTAAAAAAAATCTTAATGACTCTAATGAGCTCCGAAACAAGGAGAGAGAGCAAGCCGATACAGAAGCTCTTTCCATTCATGAGAAGAGGATACTATCTGCAGCAGAGTTGCTCGCGAGACCACAAAATGTACCTCACGCCAACTTATACATTAAAAAAAAAAGACAGAAAAAAAAAGGCCAAACGAGCTCTGAGTGATAAAAAACAGAAAAACAACAGGGACGGACATTCGGATCGGAATACACAGGATATACACAGTGGTCGGCAAACGAAGCATTGGTATGGTGTTTGAAACTTTGCAAAGCGTCGGCGCGATTTTGACAAAACTTTGCGTATTTGGTGATGCTTTTTCTATTCTCTTTTCTTTCCTTCTTGCCCCCGTTTCCTCCCTCAATACTTTTTAGCTTAACGAGATGCATGGATAGAGAGCTTTGAATGGCCATGACATGACAATGACTTGATACATGAAGGTTTTGTTTTTTGTTTTGTGTCTCGTTCATTTGCGTGAAGCTTTGATGCGAGTGAAATGTATATGTTTGATGTTTTTCGGTGACTTCTAGTATATACTTGTTCATTTTTTTTTCTACCTGACTTGGGGCTTTTCTCTTTTTTTCCTATCTCTCTTTCTATATCTTTGGGATATGTTTCATAGGTTTGGTTGGTTTCGGATACTGATAGATGCTGATACCTGTGTTATATTTGACTTGCTTTTTAAAATATATACTTCCATATAACTACTCTTCCATATTACCAACATCCTTCCTTACTTACTTCCAATACCATCCCCAACAAATAAAGAAGAAGAAGAAAAAAAGACCACTTCCACTTTCCAATACACCAAACTAAGTATCCAATCATAAGGGTATATTCCCCTCTTCATCACAACATAAACATCCTCTCCTTTCACACTAATTCTCAAACAATAGTATCTTTCCCCTGCCTTTCCACTCCATTCGCACATCATAAAAAAAGAAAATCCTTACTCCTGTCATCTCGATTGATAGCACCGTATTAGGACTGACTCCAAAAAGAAAAAAACCCCTGCTCCCTGAACCCCCCCCCCCCCCCCCAAAATCTCATAATCTCACAATCTTATTTGCTCGCCCCTCCACAAACCCTGTCCGGGCCTGAAACTAGTGGGGATCGTAATATCCGTCTTCCTGCCAGCGGTTCGTCGCAGACCGGGGAGGAGGATGCTGAATGAGGGCGGCTGCACGTCAGCGCGGCGGCGGGGGGGCTGCCACATGGAAGCCTTATCAGAGGATTTCTCGGACGCCAAAGCGGGCTTAGTCCAGAGGAACGCGGCTGGCTGAGGCTCCACGACGGGGATGCTGGCCAGAGAGATTGATGCTTTGCTGCTGCTGTTGCCGCTGCGGCTTAGCGTTCTGCGGCTGGACGGCAGCGCCGAGATGCTCTTAGATCGCCCGAGGCCCTTGCGCGATGACGACGATGAAGAAGTGGAGGTGGTGGTGGAAGGGTATTCGGAGATGAGGGCCATGACGGAAGGATCGAAGATTGGTCGGCTCTTGACTGACTGGGAACGGTTTAGCCTGGTGGCATTCTTCGGTGATGATGATGATGATGACGGGAGAGCCCATTGGTTCAGGCTCGAGTCATCTCTCTTCACGTCTTGGGAGATCCTCTTGAATGCGGAATTCCACTGCTCACGCGTCATGAAGACGGGCACGGATTTACGAACATTGGCCGTACGTACCTCCTCGGAAGAGGCAGGGCTTTCAGCTACAGGGCTGGGCATAGCAGCAGCAGCAGCAGCAGTAATAACAACAGGTGAGCTAGAAATTGTCACAGTACGAACAATCTTTTGTGTGAGTGGGCGCTTATTCTCAGCTGGCGTCTGTTTCGGGCACCAGAGGTAACCAGCAGCAGCCTCCGTCTTGGACGGAACAGACCAGAGAGCTTGGCTTTCGATGACAGTAGACTCCGAAACGAAAACTCTGCGGGAGGTGGAAGTAGCGCTGGTCAAGGGCGCGATGTACGAGTTCCAGATCTCAGAGACTGGCTGCGGCAAGCCGACGGATGGCTTTGTGGCGGGAAATTGAGTCCATAGTGATGAGCCAGTCTTGGCCTTGGCAGAAGCACGAGAAGACTTCTTTGCCACAACGTTCACAGGCTTGGACTTTGGCTGCCAGACTCCGTTCGATGGAAATTCGGTACTCAAGGCAGGGGCCCATAGGGATGTGCTCGTAATTGTAACAACAGTCTTAGGGACATAGGCAATTCGCTGGACACGGCCCACTGGAACGAGATAGGCGCTCCAGAATTCAGCCTTTGGCTGAGGCAGGCCGTAGGAAGCAACCTTTGCGGGCGATGAAGACCATAGTAAATCGTTCACCACAGTCAAAGCAGGCTTAGCATGAAGCGATTCGGCTTCCAGTGGTACAGACTTGGCTTTCCACACTCCGCCAGAGGGTGCCTCGACGCTTGGCACAGGCGCCCACAAAGACGTGCTGGTGATCATACCAGGTCTGGGCAAGTATGCTTTGCGATAGTCTCGTGCTGGGAGAAGGAGATACATGTCCCAGATCTTGGCGTCTGGCTGTGGCAGCCCGATGGAGCGCGTCTCCGCAGGCGATGAAGACCACAGGGCCTTCACCACCTTCAGAGAGGTCTTGGCAGGTGACTGGAGTGATGGCTTTGCAACCAGGGACTTTGGTGCCCAAACGCCTCCTGAGTAGGGAACGGCAGTTGGGAGACGTTGCCACAGAGATGTGCTCGTGATGCTTTCGGCCCCAGACATAGTCATCGCCCGGTGAATTGAGCGGCTTGGCATGGCAATGTAAGTGTTCCAAACCTTTGCATCCGGTTGAGAGAGACCGACGCCAGCATCCTTAGACACAGCCGGTGCCCAGAGCAGGGTCGTCATCTTCAAACTCCACAGATTTGCACTAGAGAACATCTCAACAATTCTTGAAGGCTCAACTGACCACATGGAAGTGCTTTGAATAGCATCCTGCTGCTGCTGGGCTCGAGGAGCACGGCGAGCTACGCGGCTATCAGAAGAGATGTATGCATTCCAAACCTGGACATCCGGCTGAGGAAGGCTCCATGGGTTACTGCGAGGAGCAGAAATTGGCGACCATAGCGAGGAAGCAATAGAAGTTACCTCAAGGCTAGTGGTCTCCTCCTCCTCCTCCTCCTCCTCCTCAGGAGCTGGACTCCATACACCTTGTGATACGTTGGGCTTGACTGAGCTCACCTTCCACAGAGATTTTGTCTCAATAACTGCAGGAGGAAGCATCCGTGCCACCTTGGGAGCAGGGCGTGCGGCCACAGGGATATATGACTTCCAGACACTTGGCTCTGGTTGCGGCAGTCCGACGGTGGCACGAGCGTGAGAAAGAGGTGACCACAATGAAACAGTAGTGACGATTGTCAACAACTCAGTCTCAATCTTCTCAATTGGACTCCATACACCGTTCGAAACGCTGCGCTTGACAGCCGGGCTCTGCTTCCACAGGGATGTTGTCTCGATCATTGCAGGAGGGAGCATCCGTGCCGCCTTAGGAGCAGCGCGCGTCACAGGTGAGATGTACAGCTTCCATACGCTGAGCTCCGGCTGTGGAAGTCCCACAGTCGCAACACGAGCGCGAGAGAGCGGCGTCCATACTGAAGCAGCAGCGGCAGTAGCAGTGACAGTCAGCTGTTCAGCCTCAATTTTGTTCGCAGGAGTCCATACTCCAGTAGAAACACTAGGCTTGACGGTTCTCTTGAGTGACCACAGTGATTTTGACACAATTGCTGCAGGCTGTGGCATCTGGGTAGTCCTGCGGGCGGTGCGGGTTGCTTCCGGGATATATGCGGTCCAGAGACTGTCAACTGGCTGAGGCAGGCCCAGGTTGGAGATCTTTGTAAGGTTCGGCGGCGACCACACCAGGCTGACGGCCTTCAAGGCAGGCTTAGCAGTAGTCTTGGCCTCGGGGGCACGCCAGACTCCAGATGTGTACATCGAGACAGTCGCGACAGCTGTCCACAGAGAAACACTAGAGAGCTGAGTAGGCTCATCAACCACCCGACGAACAGTACGAGCTTGTCTAGGAGCTGTGGCAAAGTATGATTGCCATTCCCTCTCACTAGGCTGCGGCAAGCCTAATCCCATCCGAGAGTCCTTCATATCGGCTGTCCAGAGAGTGGAGACTTGTAAAGAAATGTCAGAAGAGCTTTCAGATGGTGCTAGCGTAACAGGGATGAAATCATATACTTCTTCCTTTACACTCTCGAAAACATCTCGAACTGGGGATGAAGCAGGAGACAGCTGATCCTCAGCAGGTGCTTGATCCCTCCAGTCATCCTCGCCAACCATGAAGAGATCATCTCGAGAGGCGTCCAGGTCACTCTCCAGCAAGCTGGCAATCTCCCAGAGAGTAGCCTCGTCAAAGCCATCGTCATAGTCCTCATTTTCGTAAGCGTCCAAGCCATTATCGAAATCGTCATCAAGGAAAGTCTGAGGGGCAGGGGGGAGCTGTTTCTCTTGGATCAAGTTCATAGGGGCACGACCGCTGGTCATGGTGCCGGAGATGCCGACCATGCGGGGAGGGATCCTGGCCGAGTCCGACTTCTCGCCCCAAGGGAACTGGAAGATGCCAAGGTTTCCTGATTTACCGACAAGCGGCTCAGGATTCTCTACAATGTCTGGGAGCGTAGAGATGCGCTTGCTCTGGCGGGGAGGTCGTCGAATGACCTGTCGTGGTCGTGGTGCTGGTGCGGGTGCAGGTACGGGTACGGGTGAGGGCTCTTCCAAGTCTGCTAAACTAAACTTGATGGTTTCAGCTTCAGCAGTCGAAACATTGGCAACCTTGAGCTCTTCGGGCTGTGCAACAATAGGTGCGGGTTGAGCTTTGGGGGTCATCAATGAGACGTCTTCAAACTCGACGACGGGAGCATTTGGCTTGCTTTGGACATCCTCGGACGAGCTGTTCAAAACATCATCCAAAGCCAAAAAGCTTGTGGCTCTTGGCATCAACGCCGTAGATCCATCTTTAGCTGTGCCGAGGCCTTCCACCATGCTATCAGTGTCGCTCTCCGCGCCTGACTCGTCAGTATCTGGAGGAGTAGGGCTACCAATCTGCGACATTGTTCGGGTGTTCACGGAGAGTAGATTCATTTTACCGGAAGCTGACAGAGATCGGCGATCGAGCTTCTCGTCTGCAGATTCGAGTGTCTCCTCCTTGGACAGCTGGTCGGAAGAAGTCGACAGGCGGTTTTCAGCATGCTGGTTGAGTGCTACGAGCAAATCACCCGCGCTTGCGTTGAGCTTAGTGATGGGCATGATCTCAAACTTGCTAATGTCAACGCTGCTGCGTAATGAGTTGATCTCTGACGCGGAGACAGTGGTAGAAGGCGAGCCTTGGGAGTAGTCGACTCTAAGCGTCTGCCATTGGTTCTCTTGCGCACCCATTTCAGATTCCAGATTGGCCAAGATAGCCTGTCGCTGCTTCTCACTGATGGTTGCGCGGGAATCTCCATTCTCAAGATCAAGCTGCCTGAGTTGCTCGTGGATCTTGTCGAGAGCCTCTTGGGCTGGCTCTTCAGGTGATGGCTCGGCTTCGATTACGACGGTGACGTTGGCTGGCCTGTACAAGGCCAAGGGCTTTGGCACCAAGAGCTTGCGCGACCTCCTGCTCTTCAGCTGAGATGAAAATGAAGGTGGCTCCTCACCAATGCGGTGGTGCCATGATGGCAATTGGTCTACAGTCAACTGAACACCGCTATCCAGTGATTTTGGCGATTCAGGCGTAGGGATATCAATAATGAAGGGGATATCCTCCGCTTCGCTCTTCTCTTGAGCAACAGACCGTTTTTCTCCCAGGTTATTTTTTGGCGGCACCGGCGCCATCCTCAGCATCAGAGATAGCTCAGAGTCAACACTCTCGTGGCGCGTGGGACGCTCACTAAAGGAATTGAGCACCGTTGAAACCCTAGTATCTTTGGCATCTGAAGAAAAGACGACTGTCGAGTTGCGACCAATCGCTTCCTCAGAAGATGACTGAGTGTTAATTGACAACCGGCTCTGGTAGGGCGATTGTGGTTCTGGAGCAGTCAACGCAGTATCCACGCTGAACTTTGAAACGCAAAGAGCACGTGTCTTCTTGTCAGTACTGGGCATTCGAGCTAATCCTTCGTTTGGCACAACCGCCCACACGTTTGTAGACGTCTCGTCAGTAAAGGGATCCTGAGAGACTTTCGGCTGTTGGCCCTGGTACTCTACAGGAACAACCGGCATATCAGGAACAAACGACGTTCTTCGAACAGTCTTGACTTTAGTGAGAGATCCGGGTGAAGTTGATCCGTAGGTACTCTGCGATAGGCTTTTCACACTCACGGGAGAGATCAAAGGCATGTTTGGCGTTGGGAGGAGCGTAAAATCATCCAGGGCAGAATCGATGGAGACTCCCAGGAGTTCAGAAGCTGATGCCGTAGACTTGCGTGGAATCGGCCTTGGTCGGTGGATCATCGATTTTCGGGTTGGAGACTCGCTCTCTTCCTCCGCTTCCATTTTCGCGGCGGCCAAGATGGGGACAGTATCCTCCTCAGTATTCATAAACATAATCTGTCGCTCGTGCATGGTGCCTCGCTCCCCACCGAATACTCTGGTTGCTCTGGCTCTTGGATTGTTCGGCAATCCTACGGTTGCCCTTCGCTGAAGGGGAGTCTTCGTATCCGGCTTCTCTTCTTCCGTGGGAAGTGATGGGGGACGTTGTCGAGATGGTCGGATATTGTTCTTGACGGAATTGCTTCGAGGCAACGATGCTGTCCGAGGGTCCACCCAAAACTGGTCAACAGGTACTGGAGGTGCTGGAGGAGGCGGCGGAGGTCGAGGGGCCGCTGCTTTTGCAGATTTTGGACGCTCAGGACTAAACATCATTGCTGACGCAATTCGTGCTGTCATGGGATCGATGGTGCTGACACTGAAGTGAGAGACGGCTGCTCCGGTTATGCTTCTATCCTCCTCGAGCCTTGTCTGTAATGATGGAACTGGGGGCGGCGGCGGCGGTAGTGGCGCCGCTGGCACACCTTGAAGAGGAGCTGACTTGGGCGTCCGTGCCTCGTCCTTTGGTGAAATAATTGGCGGTGATGGCGCGGAACGGTCAGCCTGATGGCGAGGGGAACGTCTGCGCGCCGACTCAGGGCCAGGAGAGAGCTGCACAGCGGACGTCATGGCAAACGCGGGCTCGTCGACGGTAAGGAGACTTCGGCTGTTACTCGGGGCTGCAGATTCGGGAACCTGCTTTCGCTTCGCTGCAGACAACTTGCGTGTAATTTCCGTGGGAGACGGGGCTTTGCCAAGTCCAATATCAACATTTACAAAGGGATTCTGAGGCATCAGCTCACGGCGCTCCTTCTCCTTCATCGCGGCGGTGGCCAGGTCGATCGTCGGGATGTTGCCGAAGTTGCTGGTTTCCGCATCCATCTGCACAATGGGTTTCGATATGACAATCTTGCCTCCTTTGTAAGCCCTATCCGTCATCTTCTTCTTGCTGTACGCGCTGACAGGCGCAGTCTGAGCTCGCATGGGGGGGAACAGCTCGCCCTCGACAGGAAGCCCACCGATGCCTCGAGAAGCTTGTCCGAAAGGTGGGTGGCTAATAAGAGGCAGAGCACCATTGATTCTCTCCATTGCAGTCTGTGAAGGGAACTCTCGGGTTTCAAGATTGCGTGTTGGCAGCTCGACGGTAGACTCGAAGGATACTGTTTTCTGAATCTTCAGACCACTTGATGATGGCGGGGGCACAAAGCTCTTCGCGGTAAGGGCGACGATGCCTGTCTCTGATGAGCATAAACTTTCCAAGATGCAACTGTTGAGACATACCGATTAAAATTAACAGGCCAATAGCAGGCAATATTGTTCGGACAGCCAAGCCCGTAGTGTTGAGTCCTAGGAAGAGAGGTGTGCTCAACTATGGCTAAGTCAGCATTTCGATCACGGTTCAGTATCAAAAGCACTCACGGCAGTCCATATGCCTAGTCCAACAGCAACGAGAACCAAGGTATTCGTCCGAGACAGCTCCGGCCTGATAGCATCACTAGTCTTTGCAAGGAAAGCCTTGGTCCCCAGAATCATAACCATCGCGATATCAACCACCATGACAACGATGCCGATGGGGAGGACCAAGTTGGTGGCAACGCAAACGGGGTCGAACTGAGGTCGTTGAACTCCAACAAAAATGGCACCGATGATGAATCTGAGGAAAAGACCGCCCTGCAAAACAAGCGACAGCTTGGAGACCTTCATGCCACCGTTGACCCCCCATAGCAAAAACTGTTCCACCGAGAAACGAGCGAGTTGATCGAAAACAGTAGCGAATGAAATGGCGACCTGGCAAGCTGAGGTAGCATTGTGAGGGACGAGAGTCGCGGCGAATTCGACGATTCCCCAGAGTGTCGAGGTCGCCAGGAAAAACACGAGGGCCAGCCTCAATTCGTCTCGGAATAGAGGCGATCTATTGGCTTTAACAAAGAAAAATATGGCCGCCGATGCGGCTAGAACAACAAGACCACTGCAGGTTTTACGGGTTCTACATGTTAGCACAGAACTGTTTCCTCGCTTTTATATACACCAAATATCTCTGTGTTCTTGGGTCGAATACGAGCAGGGCCACGCACAAAACGAAAGTCGCGACCAGAGCCGGGGCGCTGATGGAGCCGGCCATGGCAGCGGCACCAGATGGTAGTTGAATTAAACGGTCGATTAAAGAAGCAAACACCCAGTCAATGGGCTACGAAAGAGCGGCAAAAAGGGGGAGGGAAGAAGAGAAGAAAAAAAGGTATCAGCACAAGAACAGAATTAAACCATAGCGAAGGTCCGTCAACTCCTCACAAACTCCAAATGTACGCGGCAAATCTCCAGCGCAGCAAGAGAAAAGCGTGAGTTGGGAAAAGAAGAAGAGAGAAAATGGAAAAGGACGCCAAAGCGAGCCTCGCAAACGAAGACCATCGCCAATTCTGGGGCGAACTCGTATGACCCTGGGCACTTGGGGGGCCCGAGATGCGACACCATGGCAGTTTCTACGGAGGTGCGCGTATAGCTCGACCAGGCCCAATAAGCTAAATTTTACGTTCGAGCTGCCAAGAGCCGCAAATCCCAAGCTTGACACACGGCAATGTCGAGTCAAGCGGCCGCGCACAAGAGCGAAAACACCAGGGCTGGGCTCAGAAGGGGAGTCTTCCGGGGTGGTGCCGTTTCACTTGAAACCTCCAACGTCGGGAGACGCGCATGGGTTGGCGAGACTGATACACGAAAGGCCTCCTGTTCTAGCACGAGCAAACGAAACAACGCCGTTGGCTGGGAAAAGTGGCGTTAGGCGAAGGGCAGAAGCGCAAAGAAGGCGTCTGCTTTGCCATTTCTTCTTGGGCGACCTGCCAGCTGGTTGTTTCGATTGACGCTCTTGGTGCAGAGCAGAGGCTCCACGGCGAATAGTATCTGGCTTGCGCTACGAAATATTAGCACCGAGTCTGGTGGAGCAGCTCTTTTGCCGCAAGATTAGATCTCTATGCGCAGAGATCTCTGGAAGTGCAGATGAGATGAGGACATTTAATGCGCCACTCGGGTAATAGTCGTAGAATAAAAGCAAAAATAGGCCATGGAAATGCTCGTATGCGCCAGGGATCATGTTTGGATGAAGAGAAATGATGGGCAAATCACCCCCGGGCCGGTTATTTTAGGAGTGAGCCGGCCCGGCCAGTGCCAGGAGAGCTGGGAAAGCGAAGGAGCTGGGCCCCTGTAAAATGGCACGCTGCAAGCGAACGAGGAAACAGCCACAGCAGCTCCATGCACACATGCACCGCCACAAGCAGCAAGTACTGTATTATGTAGAGGCACGATATTGCTTCCAAACTCGGGTCTATTAGACGGTGCTCAGATGGCCGTGCCGGAGACTTGCACCGTCTGGCACTAGATCTAGGCAACGAAGTCGGGGGTGGATATCGCGGCGAGGAAAATTAAAGATAGAGTACGGAGCCTTTGGGCTGTGGCTTCAAACTAACACGGTCACATGCATGATGATGCAGGGCTGCATGCTTTATCATCGCCATGAGGGCCGGCCCGGTCTCTAGAAGCTATGGACATGCGAAATCTAGAAGGATGATGGAACTGCATTTCGTAATTGCATATATAATTCCGCTGCAAACCGCTGCGGAAGTGCTCGATGGAGTAAGACGGTACATGTAGATTACAGTGCTCAAGCAAGACCGACGGCATCAAGGGAGTTGAGGCACGAATAGAAGACATGGTGACGCATATTGCCGGAGAAACGTTACAACGCCCCAACCTTGCAGATTTCGAAGTTCACTGCTTGCTTGATTATTGAAATTTTATTCACTTACTGATCCAGTACGAATTCACGAGTTCCTGCCAGCGGAGTCATTCCATCATATAGATGTACCCTAGAATAACTCAGACTGTTGTTTGGAAAATAGCCGCGGCAAATCAAGAATTACTATATAATTAGCAAACATATAGCCACTAATAAGTCTTTAAACCTATACACAATATCTTCCCTCAACTCTCAAAACCGTCATTAATTGCAGAGCATAAAAGGCGTTGCTCGGTTTAAGCCGATTACTAGCGTCTGGGTCCCCAGCCTGCATCGCATAGTCTTTCCACGAAACGTACAGTGTGGACACAATAGATCAAGCCTAATCGAACGCAAAACTCCAAAGCAGACATCTGATTAACAAATCCTCTAGCTGCTCTCAGCCCTGGCGCCCACCACCCTAATGAATCCTATTAGCTAAACAATCATTGAAACAAAAACGCCACTAAGAAGCCAAAGGCTGTGCCTCGTCTAATCTATTAACCGCCAATGGCAGCACGAGACTTGTCTTATACGACATCTCCGCATCGAACTAACATCAACGTACATGTGAGTACAACGCTATCATGCAGCTGCTGCTAATGCCTCTCTATCTTAGCTCATGCCGGCATCTTTCTCAGAAATACAGCTACTCATAGATGAAAGATATGTAGATGAAAACTATCCGTAGCCTCCGTCTCGCCCGTATCGTATCGATCTACTTCTTTCAGCCACAGTCCCCCCACCCCCAGAACCCTCCATCTCCTACGTCCCATGTCTTGAAAGAGGCAATTCCGCCCGATCCTATTTTGACGTGCATGACCAGTCTATTCGCTAGATAGTAAACCTCCCCCTTCCCACTAGCGAGGCGAGCCAATCGCCTTGCTCGGGTAAATAATCAAAGGGCCATACCGAGTTAACCTCGCAGCACCTGTCAGTCACAACGCCCCAACCGGCCCGGAGGGGCGTCTGCGTCTCTTCTTGCATCCGGTTGCCGCGTTTCTTTCATATTGCCTCTTTGGGGCAATAAGCTTCATATCACCAATGGAGAGGAAACAGTTACGCTTGGTAAATGCCCTGACTCACCCCCCTATCGAGAGACAGTCCAAGGGCGTGCGCTCGCGTGTGTATTCCTTTACGTTTTAGTTTCCGCATGAAACTAGATACAGACTTGCAGCTTGTTATGTATAGTGCTGCCCGCCATTGTGTCATATATAAGCCATGACAGTTCGCAACTCCAACTACTCCTCTTGCCACCAGCCAGCATCTTTTTTTATATCAAACTCATTGTCTTCACACAAACCTCTCACGACTAACACTTGACATCCCGAATATCTCTTGAAATCACCAGATAAATAGTATATATAAAGCATAAAAAAAAAAGCACACCTTCACAACCGCCACCATGGGCCGCCACACACTGGAATACCCCAAAACCGGCGACAACACCGTGCGCCGCCACAACGAGCGCGCCAGCTACGCCCTCGAGACCATCCACCGCCTCATCAACTCCTCCCAGATCGTCAACGTGGCCTTCACCAACCCTGAATCCCCCTTCCCCGTCGTGCTCCCCATGATCGGCCAGATGGGCTCCTTCGACCGTCCCAGCGCGGACATTGGCGACCCCCTGGACCTGTACATCCACGGCTACGTCTCCGCGCGCATGTTCAACGTCACTCGCACCGCGGAGAAGAAGGAGGAGGGCCAGACGGAAGAGGAGAAGAAGGGCCTTCCCGTGACAATCTCCGCCTCGCACGTCGATGCCCTCATCCTCGCCACCTCGGGCTTCAACCACTCCTACAACTACCGCTCCGTCGTGCTCTTCGGCTACGCCACCTTGGTCGAGGACGAAGAGGAGAAGAAGTACGCCCTGGAGCTCATCACAAACGGCCTCGTCCCGGAGCGCTGGCAGAAAACCCGCCAGCCTCCCACGAAGGCTGAGATGACGAGCACAAGCGTCCTCAAGGTGAGGATCACCTCGGGAAGCGCAAAGATTCGCGATGGCGGTGTCTTGGATGACAAGCATGACCTGCAGAACGAGGAGGCGCAGAACTCGGTGTGGACGGGTGTTTTGCCTATTTACTCCACCGTCGGAGAGCCCATTCCCACGTCATATAACAAGGTGGAGGTTCCATCAAATGTGTCCGACTTCGTCAAGGATTACAATGCTGAGAACAAGGAGTATGCTCTCACGGCTGCAAAGAAATAGAGAGAGAAATAACATGCCTAGAATGCGCTATATGTTACATCTATGATATTTACTTGCGAGATTGTTCAAGATACATTTTAGAAATCGTTAAATTAGAATAAAGACAGAGAGAAAAAAAAAGCGTCTTCTTTTTCCAATCAATCGATCAAAGAGTCATCTTCCCGTCACCACCTCTCCCACAACGAAGCTGGAAGGCTTTTCCTCATGATTGCCCAGTGTCCATCCGAATTAACCTGCTGCCCCTTACTGACCTTGTCCGTTCCATTCCTGAACAAAATACCCTCTTCGTCACTGCCGATGGAGAACAAGTCTTGAGGCAAGATCTCATTCAAAGGATTCAAAAAGTTTTGCCTCGAGACACTGTTCAGACAATCTTCCTTCACTACAGGGCGGAATGTCAGTGCACCCTCGGTCTTACGGCAAAAGATCATCATGTTGGTGAAATCTATGCCTGATTCCGTGATGGCTTTTTGATCAGCGGGGTTCTCGCGGAATAGGCGACAAGTTGGGAACTGCTGTAGGATAGTCCGGACAATAATTTTGGGCGTCGGTAGCATTAAATTGCCTGCATAGTTCTGTTTCCGACCCATGTTAGCCATATATACTTTATCAGAAAAAGAAACAGAGTAGCTGCACTTACAATTACAATAACGCCATCGGGCTTCAGTAAGGTATACAGATTCTGGAAGAATTCCAAGGTAAACAGATTCACAGGCTCCGCACCACCGGTGAAAACATCATGGACAATATAGTCATAGACTTGATTGGTTTCGTTGGCAGCACGAGTGGTATACTTGACCGCGTCTTCGATAACCGCTGGCTGGTTCTCCTTAAGCTGAAAATGCTTCTGGGCAAATTCGTAAACTGCAGGGTCAATCTCCACGACAGTAGTCTCAATTCCATGAGATACAAGTGCAGATGGCGTTGTTCCGATACCAAGTCCACTAAAACAGTGATTATCAGCCTCGACGAATCGTGAAATTAAACAAATAGGAGGCAAAAGCACTTACATAACCAGGGCCTTGGCATCAGCATCCGCCAGTGGCACCTCTCTCTCAACAAGGCGCACTGCTTCCAGCGTAACAAAGACAGCGTAGACAGGCTCAACCACTTGCTCTTTGCGCCACTCCACCCAATCCCCACCCAACAGGCTGTGATCAGCTCGCATAACTCGCATTTTACTATTCGTGTTCTCAACCACCGAAATGTATCCAGTCACTGATTCCCGTCGATCCAGAAGCATCCAGTTATCGGCAAGCATTGTGTCGTTCAGAAGCGAGGTAGCTGTTGGTGTAGACACATGAGGGTTGAACATTGCCGTGTGTATCAATGCCGGGACTGTAAGGACCAGATACTTGGAGGGCGCAAGCAGCGTGTAGGAGCCAGCCAGGAGAATCTCAATGCCCACCCGCGTATACCAAAACATGGTCCCAACGTGCTTTCGGAGGTGCATCTCTGCTATGTGCTCCACCAGCTTAAACGTCCCCCAAGATCCGAGCCCAGGGGCAGCCTCTCCTAGGAATTTGGGCAGCAAGCTCATATCTGCACCGTCCAGGCTATCAGCCACAGAAGCAGCAGATAGAATCGCCACCGGGAACAAAGTCACCATTTCCGTTACAAGGGGGCCATATTGCGGCCCCAACGTCTGGCTGAACCTATATAAGAAGCATTGCATCATGGGCACATATACGGCAACCAGGGGGAGAAGCTGCGACGTCTTTATGGCAAGCAATTGGCGAAACGCCAGGTTCCCTGCCCAGCCAATAAAGCATCCCACCATGACTACCTTTGAATGCCACGTTGCCGCCGATATCGAACCATAGACGGGCGAAAGCGCAAGTTGCGATGCATGCGAGTACACGCCCAGCAGACTTAGCAGCGCCAGCGTCTTCACATAGATAGCCACCTGCTCGAAGACTGTGTTGCTCCACGTGTTACTCTTGGCCTTGGAGGCTAGATCCTTGAGCTCCTTCTCAAACCTCTCTGGAGTGAAACCCATTGAAGTGTCTTGGGCATCTTGTTGGGGTGCCTTCTTCTGGCGCGCCATGGTCGAACGATCAAATGAAAGAGAGCTATAAAAAAGGAAGTAAACAAAGAGGAATAAGAATAAGATGTGCAAATCTGTAAAAATGTAACCCAAAAATAATAATAATGATGAATGAAAGCAAGAAGCAACCGCAGAATGCAGCTTCAAATGGCCGGCATTTGAAGAGAATAATCGAACGATAGGCTGTAGGTGTGAAACAGGGAGTTGCGACGTTTCAATTCAATCTCAGGCAAAACATCTTGGGACAGGACAAGGCTTGGCGTGCGGCGCCTGTGGCGGTGCATTCGAGATTGGGTTGGATGTGGCGCAGTACGCCACATTGAGCATCGTGAGCCAGCCGAGAAACCGGGAAGCTGGATCTTCTAATACAAGTCCCAAGATCCACGAACAAAAGATTGGTTCAAGTATACTAGTCTACATTCTCCCATATATTGATAATACCATGTGTAAGGTTACTTAGATCCTTTATAGAGTGCATTAGGCTGAGGCAATAAGCACAAAAGTCACGTCATAGTCCATCAAGGTGAGCACGCAATATCCACTTGAAAAAGAAAAATCCCATCTCAGATTGGACTACCATAGCTCTCATTCTGTTCTCTTAACAATCTAATATATCCAATTACTTCGCAACTCTTTCGTTCACAAAATCCATCCCATCACCTCCCATTTAACGCCTTGTTAAACACGCTCGGATCCCCGCTGGCCTCCGAACGGGTATCACCTCTAGCGGCCTCTCGCCTATAACACGATGCCGAAACAAACTGGGGAAGAAGAATGAGAAGATTACACACAAGGTGAATCCCAAGAAAACATGCGTCAAAACGTAAAGTCATCAAACTCCTCTATCGCGTCAGCGTGGGGTGGAAATGCAATAAAATCAGACAATGCCCACACACACACAAAAACTGACGCTCGAAATCATTCATTCGTTTCCAAGGTTGCATGTCCAGCACAAAAATAAAAAGGGAAATCCAAAGAAATACACAAGAAAAGGGGAAAAAGAGAAAGAAAGAAAAAGAAAGAAAGAAAAATCATTGTCATGATTCCATCTTGGAATATCATTACATCGGCGTCGCGTAATCGTCGTCCTCCATGCCTTCGTCGCTGCTTTCCAAGTCGCTTTGAGGGCTCTGTGCACCGCTAACATCTGTGCTGTGCAAGTTGCTAAAGCTGCCCAGGATGCTAACTCCACCAGAGTATGAACCGGGCATAGACATGGTAGAGAAGTCTACCGCGCTGCCAGTGCGACTCATGGACGGCTTCTCCGGAAGCTGCTTCAAGAGACCAGTTGAAATGTCCAGCATTGTCATGGCGAATTCGGTCAAGCCTTTGCTCTGGCCCGGCTTGGAGCTCACAGACAACGTCCAGCGGTATTCGCCAAGTCGTCGCCTATACCAGTCTGCTTCTTCTCGCCCCGGCGACGTCGCCCAGAGCAAAGATCCAAATGTTCCAATGAGGGCAAAGTTGGTTTTGGAGGCGAAATACCAAAACGATTGGATGTGATTCGGCATCAAGCGATTGACAAAATCCATGGCAGAAATCAGACGAGCCTTGGCAGCACTCCGACAAATATGCTGCACATACGGGTCTACCGATGATGTATTCGATGCTAGAGATCGAATAATGCGTCTATGAAGGGTGATTTCGGTTGCAAAGTATCCCAAATGGAGATAACCAATGCATGAAAGCCTCGATGACAATTTGCTCGCAGAGTATGAATCTAGTCGGATATTGGTAGGTAAAGCTCCATACCACTCCTTGAGCTTGAGCTGAATTGGTTTTGCCAGCGAAAGAACAAGCTGCGTTCCTCCCGACCCTGCGTTCGTGACGGTCTGCATAGCCTGCAGAGTATAAAAGGTGTCGAGAATCTCGGACAGGATCTCAGAGAGCTGCACGAATCGAGTGAAAACTAGTCGGCCCTTTTCAATATCCTGACGCTCCTCCGCATCGTTCTCATCCCATTCGACATCAGGGAAATCATTGGCGCGTAACGGTCGAACGGCCCAGTTGGAAGGGAAAATATGAGACGGCCTTCCGTGAACGAGAGAACCCCATTTATCTTGCATATAAAGGGCCCAGGCCAATCGCCTTCGCAGCCCCTTTTCCCATGGGGGAATCTTCCACCCCGCACAGTCCAGGTGAAGGCCGAGTTCTTGAGCAATAGCAACCAGCTGCGCTGTTGGAGCCCACTGGTCGCCCTCGGGTCGCTGAGACAGAAGGAGTCCTGCCTGAACTGTCGACAGCTTCGGCCGGTACATGGCATCTTCAAGAGTAGTGCGGACGAGTTTCTCTAACGCTTTTATATCCGGACGGGGGAGCTTGGAGAGCTCCTCATGGTGATCCCACCAGTTGATGGCAAGTATGTAGACGGCGGCAAGGATCGGCGGTGAGAATTCGCGGTAAGATCGTTCATATTTTTCCAGAAAGACGCCCTTCTGGATGATGGGTAAGCCGGGGTGGACCACTCGGAAGTACAAATCGATGAGTTTGCGGCCATGGGGGGCGACAATCGCCTCAATGGCGTCCAAATCTTCAACTACATGTTCGTATCCAGTTGTGCCCTGATCCGGGAGCATCAAAAACGTGTCAGATTCGCTGACTTTGCGAAGAGTGCCGCGGGCTAACAGGCTCTCGTCGTGGGTGTCAAAGGGAGAGAGATTTATGAGGGAGGGCTCGAAATCCGTCGTGGGGCCGATATACTGGCTGTACCTGTCCTCCTGGAGACCCAACGTCCGCTTCAGCATTGTGGGGCCGCCGACGTTGGCCATATCTTCTAGAAACGAGCTGCTGGCAGCGGTGCTGGAGAGACTGGAATTTTGATTTCTGCGGCTGGAAATACCAGGGGAGCTAGAAAACCAATCATGTGTCAGATGATTATGCAACATGGGAATGACTGGATAAGGACTGGATAATGTGACGGAACGAGTAGATGCGGTGCAATCTGGCACGGGGGAAAGAGGAAACAAATCAAAATCAAAATCAAAGGCAAGGTACACGCAGCTATACTGACCCTCTTTTGACACTCTCATCGGCAGAGTCTCCGTTAAGCTTCCTTTTACGGGTCTGAGGGCTCGACGACACTAGGGAGCATTCGGTACCGTTGAGCTGACAAGGCATGCACCCATCGTCATCCTCAGCCACTGTACACCTGGTTCCAGAGAAGCGACAGGCCTGGCATGGGGGAGTAGGCGCCCCAGGAAACGATCCGGAGTCGATGGATCCCCGGCCATGCAAGCTCGCGGGCCCTATCTCGAACCTGTGGGAGCTGTTCTGGCGCCGTGGGAGAGGGAGGGGCTCCAGTCGAGGAGGCTTGGGAGCGATGGCGATTGGCGCCGTGCGCTGGATAGGAGTGTCATGGGCCATGATTGGACCACTCTGGATGCAGTTGTAGTAGTATATAGATTTTTGTACGTATGCATGTACGTGTACTGGATATAACTGATGACAGATACCAGCACCCTATTGGGCACGTACGTATTATTACTGTGCAGATAAGTAAAAGATCGGCTGGGACCAGGCGCCTGTCAGTCTGCCCGCCTGTCCGTCCGTCCGTCTGCTTGTTGCTTGCTAGGATGGCAGTCTACCCGCGCTTTTGGACTGGGGCGGGGATAAGAGCCGCGAGCACGAGCTGCGAGTAAAAAAATGGAATAAAGAAAAGACAGCCACCCCGGACGCAGGTGATGCTATTCGCCGTTCCAAGACTGGGCAAGCAAGTCTCCCCACGCCTCTCAAGCCGGGCTATGACGCAACCGGTGCAGCACTTGTTACGACTGAAGCTTGAGTCCAACGGCCAACATGAGAATGAGAATGAGCGTCTCTCGAGCTGCCCGATAACGGAATCGGCGGAGAGATAACGAGGGACGGCAAGGCCCAAAAGCCCAGCTTATTCCTCGCAGCAGTGGTTGGCCAGGTTCCCGTGGGATAGATACTGTATAAGATCGGCCCTGGTTGCTTTTTTGTGGGCGTCCGTGATAAGGTTGCTGGAAAAGGGCGCGGCGCCAGGCCAGGCCGCTACTGTTTAGTCCGAAGGAGATAAGGAGCACGAGCAAGACTGGTCGACGACCCGGTCGCGGGTACCCGCCAAAAAACAGCCTTTTTTCTGCGAGTGCGGCAGGCCGTTGGGATTGGGGGAATAAGAGAGCAGATAGTGATGGTAATAGGAGGAGATAGTAGTAGTACTGTGGTAATAGTTGACAGCCAGATTTGGGGGAGATACGCGTTTCGGGATCTCAGGTGATAATAGTGGCCAGGATGAGATAGGCTTTGGTTATCGGCGTCATTTGAACCAGGGGGGTTTCGAATATAAAGCTGCAGATAGCACCACCTCGCCTTTCCTATTTCCCTTGTCTTCCTTTAGATGAACTTCATCAGCCTGCAGCTCTTAGAATCTTCCGGCGGAGAGCATCGGACTGGGCCGGCAGAGATAAGTGAAGTGGTGGTGGTGGTGGTGGTATCAGCAGATGCTTAGCTATGCGTGATGGATATGACAGATGATAGAGGGACCTCCAGAGCAGGGGCAGCAGAATCGAGATCTTAGAGGCCGAAAGCCACGCAGCAGTGTCGTCTCGCTCTCCCGAGAATCACCGATGGAGTGAGGCAGGAAACGAGGGAGAGAGAAGTGCGAGGAAGGAGAAGAAGAAGGCGGCGTCGAGATGAGGATGGACAATGAAATGACATGTGCTTCCCCAGACCCAGGCCAGGGCTACCCTTTTTGCCGGAACGGACCCAGCGGAGTCTGGAGGGACGGCTGGATGGTCGCACAAGGCCAGCGCGATCCTGGAATGGGCGCCGGTCCCTCGCCGATGGCTAGTGAGTCGGACGCCAGCCAACCCAACAGCGGCGGTTTGTAAAGATGGCGTCTGCTTGGCGATCTTTGGTAGCCTCACTCAGCCCGGAAGGCGACTTAGCAGGTACATGTACCTTGTAGCGGGAGGTACTGCTAGCACTAAGGTATTATTGATAGCTGTTCAACAAGAGGCGCCGCCACGGGGCAAATGCTGTGTGTCAGCAACTGCTAGGCAGCGATGAAAGCTTTAGTGGCCGTTGATTGGATTGGCTTGGATTGGATTTGATATCAGGAACCCAAAGGACTGCGGTCTAGAGTGCAGTTGCTGCACAAACGAATCTGGCACAGAGGGTGAGACAGCTTGCATCTGACGCTCGCCCAAAGTACGAGGTACCTGGCATGGCGCGCGCTAATCGCAGGGCCGAGATGGTCACCATTACATATGCTCTACGCTCTACACTCTACACTCTACCGAGCACTTATGCTGCCTCTCTCCGTGCTAACACTTGGATGGATGGATGGATGGATGGACCCGTTCTTCGCGAGCATGCTGGCGCATTTTTACGAGGCACAGCGGCAGGGTCCCTAAAACTTTGTACGTACACGAATTGATACCTTCACCTGTGGAAGGCCAATCCGATGGCTCGGCTGCGCCCTCCTGGAGACAGGCCACCGAGAGGTCTGGCAAATGCATGGATGCTTGGCCGAGGAACCTTGGACATCCAATCCATAGATAGGCAGGGAGCAGCTGGTCTTCCGTTATGCTACCGGACATCTCGTTCAATTAGAGTAAAAACTAGAATCTCTGCTCCCTTCCCTTCCGGCCCATCCATCCATCTCATCCATCCTTGGAAGGTGCCTGGCGCCACACAGAGTTCAATGTCTCGGTGGTTTTATTCTGTGTGGTTCCGGACACCTGGTTTCAGTTCGGCGTCTCTCCCGGCCGCCTAGTGCGCCTTCTACGGAGTATTACCATTACAAAAAAGAAGAAACAGCACCTACTATATACAAGTTCCTAACCAAAGTACCAGGTACTAGCAGTAGTACTACTTTGGGCTCCGTGCCTATGTTACAGTAGTCGGCTGCTATTATGGGAACGCAGCTGCTGCTAGTACGTAGAACTACATCTATTACTCCGTACCCATGGGCCTATCCGTCCGCGCATTAACGCGGGTAGCCGCCCGTAACAAGGCGCAAAACACAGCGCCGCTGTTTTGATGCCACGCATGAAATGTGATGCAGCGTGTTGATTTGCTCTCAGGTTGACGCCGGGGGCCCTGTGGCTCTCTTCCGCGTTTCTTACGCCTCTTGGCTACATACATACAAATCAGGGTCCAATTGCAGCGGTGGGGATGGACGATACGGGTGCGCCGTTTCTGCTAGTTAATCGGGCCTGCAACCATGCCTTATCTCTGACGGATCAAAATTAATAACCGCTCGAGATAAACCTACCTAATGGGAAATGGAGCTGGTGCCGCTTGGCGCTGGCATGTAGCACAAGAGCCACTTACAAGTTACTGCTCCATTTCGCAGGCTAGCACTACCGTACAGTAGTAGTACATGTATCAGGCAGTAATATGTCCGTGTCCGTGCCGCATGTACGTCACCGCCGTTGCCTTTTTAGGGGCACTTCTACCAGATAGAGACAGGACCTGTTTCTCCACCGGCCGGAGATCGATTCACGCCAGCAACATCAGCATGAGAGCATCAAGATGGAAGTCTTTACATTGGCAGCATACGGTAATGGAAGCGTCATCCCTACTGTCATTGCTGAATCCACTGCTGCTCTCTCCACGGAGATCTAGACAACAAGAATGAAGCACCACAAGCTCAAAAAGCCAATTGACCTCCGCTAACCCAAAACAAGCAAAGACACCAAAATCAAAGTGCTCCCTATTACCAAATGGAAAACCATCCCGCCGCCGGTCTACTGCAAGGACCTGAATACTTCTCACGTAATGGCCAGCAGCTTGTGCTCGGCGCCACATCCAGCCCAGAGCCCAAGCCGGGCCATCTCAGGTGGCATGTCACCACATTCATTCAGTTCCGGCACATCGTGATTCAGCCTCATTGGTCGTTCTGGCAACCCATCTGTGCGTCCATGGCTGTTTGCAGCGCCGAGTGGTCGACAAGGGCATATTACTAAGTACCTATATTCTATCTTCTTATATACTACTACTACCTACTGCATACTACCTTGGCGTGCATATAGCTACGATATTATAGCAGCACCTACTATAAACATGCCGTGCCTTATATACACGGGTGAATCCAATTAACCTTGCCGAGCTTCCTGGGTTGCATTTTGCGATAATTAGGTCCTCTCAGTCTCTTTTTCTTTCCTCTCGCGGACAAAGAGAACAAGCGACGAAAATAGTTCGGCTCATCGCGCGTTTTGACCCCCCACATTCAAGGTCTGCGGCCTTTTTTTCCCGCTCATTCTGGATAACATATCCAGAAACCGCGCCAACCGTGAGAACTTTGTCATGCTAAAACACTATGCTACACATAAGAACACAAGGCATTTATAAGATGCTACAGAGGCTAAAGCTGCGCGCGCGGGCGAACTTGTTTTGGGCTTACCGGGAAAAAAAATCTGTCGATTCGATACCGTGTTTGGTTCATCTCCCCGACTTTAGTCTGGCTGGTCCTGCCCAGTTAGTCAATGTAGCAGCGGATCCCTCGATTCAGATGACACGTCCATCCATCATGTTCGCGTTCCAATCGATGGGGCCTGGCCGCATTCGTTTTGCGTGATGCTCTGTATATATCAAAGTTCCCCCGTGTAGCGTTGGATCGTCGCAGCAAGCGAAGGGTCATTTTCAGCTGTGTTTCGCTCAAGTGACTTGGAAAGACGTCATTTTGCTCCATGGGATCTACTATCCGAGACCAAAAAATGCCATATTGATATGTGCCTTGGAGTCCCATTGGCATGTTGTTTTTTTTTCTACCCCTCTCTCTGATCTGAGAAAGCCCGCAAAATGGGCATGCAATGAGATGACACTACGTAACGAGATTGCTCCCCTGCAGCGAAAAACAGGGACTCTCTTGCATCTTCATCTGCTGATATTCACGAGCCTAGACCCGACCGCCAATATCAAAAGGCCAGAAACAGAAATAAAGACAGGAAAGATAGCACCACCCATGCATGATATATTAGGTATCCCGAGCTCGGCGTCGCATTCTCCGCTCTTTTGGATAATATAACTCACGTAACACAAGATCACGGCTCGAGTCTGAGATCTTTCAGCTGCCTGCTAATTAATAGTACAAGTACATGGACAATTTTCCCCATGGAGTAGATGAAAACAGCTCGTCCCTAATCAGGCTATATGCCACGTGCATGTGGTGGATCCGCCCATGATGCAATCGCGAGATGCCGCCTCTTCAGCTGCTCGTGTGCAAAAGTTTCCATTGCTGGAGTCTCTCTGCGCAAGAGGATTATAAAATTGCTCGCTGCACAAAATAGCCAAAAACATGTGTAATCTGTAGTCTATCCAATAGAATCACGAGAATGCACACGTGTCCTTCTATGTGCCATATACGGAGTACATTGACCCATTCAAGATCATCTCACAGCCTACCCTAGATTATGCTGCTTTATATCGCTGCTCCCTTCTGCGGCACCCAAATCATACATCTCTCCTCATAAAACTCCGTTGGTTCAGTCGATCCACGCGGCGGTAACATCATCGATAGCTCATCAATAACCTCGAAACCCAGTTTTTGATAAAATGTCACTGCATTCATCGTCGCCTCCAGCACAATGGGTAGATTTTCCGCGGCTGCGAGCTCCTGAACTTTGCTCAAGAGCAACGATGCGGCTCCGCGCCCAGCCCAGCGAGGATCCGTGCAGATATATGTTGGGTCTAATTATAACCTCGTGTTAATAAAGTACGATACGGGCTCATTGCCGACTGATACGTATAAAGAGTACATGGGCCAAAATAGGAATCAAAACTCACGATAATACTCCGCCTCTACTCCAACAGCCTTGACTCTAACCCTCTCCGTCAACGCCGCATAAGGGTCCAAATATTCCTTCCTCGCGACTTCTGGCCATTCTTCCTCCACGGCTTCGTCGTGTCCAGGTCTATGGACCAGCCACTTCACAAAGCTCACCACGTCCCCTGTCTCCTCGTCCTTTGCAACCAAAACTCCCTTATCATCATCCCTTAAATGCTCCAGCGTATTATTCTCCAACCACGCATGGAAGAACCCCAATCCTTCCGGGCTGGGGAACTGTGCATGCGTAAGGAGATTTTCATCCATGGCTCTCAAGTGGACTGTTGATACGGCCACGGCTTCGGCCTCGGAGGGCGTGCAAATCACAATCGCCATAATTTCAATGAAACCCGCTCGGTATGAGATTGTATATAATTATATCATTACCGTAATCCAAAATAAAAAATCGCAAATATCTCAAACGGCTCGCTCTGAATGCTCTCCCATCTAATCATTCTCGCCCAAACTTCACTCTTCTGTAAAAAAAAAAGGTACGTACCCGTTTTGAAACTAGGCTGCACGTGCTTCCCTCATATTCACCCCACACCGCTAAAACATCCCCGCTGAAACTCATCTTGTACCCCCCACACTTCAAGCCATCTTTTCCCACAAAGTCAGACTGTATAATGAGAAAAATGCCTCGTCCATTTCAACAAATGGATTGCGGCCTTAGCTCAGCTGGGAGAGCGTCAGACTGAAGTTCCAACTTCAAGTCACTTGATATCTGAAGGTCGTGTGTTCGATCCACACAGGCCGCAATTTTTTGCTTTTTGCTCATTCTGTTAAGTTATCACATATGCTTGCTTGAAATAAGATCGTTTTTATAAGCGAGAGAGGCGTTTGACTAGATAAACATCGTCTTTTTAGTTGTTGTCTGTGTATAAATAGATGAATAGTCAGTCATGCGTGAATTATCTCCTTTTTATAATTTCGTAGGTTCTGTCATTTTTTAATAACTTCATATTTATGCATGCCTACAAGATCAACGAATATGCTTTGCACTCATTTGGCCGCAATGCCCAACTCCTCGTAGAAAGCCTCAGTGCTAGGCTCTCTGCCCAAGAACTCCTTCAAAAATTCCATCTCGTCAATGCTGCCACCGCGTTCCAAAACGGTGTGGCGGTATCTCCGACCTTCCTTGCCGTCCATGGGGTTCTTCTTGAAGAATGAATGGAACATGTCCAGAGAAAAGACCTCAGAATAGAGGTAGCCATAGTAGCCAGCGTCATAACCGCCGAGGAAGTGGCCAATGTTGGCATATCGGTTGCCCCATTCCCTATTGCGAGTTAGTTAGTTGCAAGGCACATACGAAACTGAATGGATAAAAGAAACAGGAGAAAAGGGGACTGGACATACATGGTTAGGCCGATATCCTCTGGGCCCTTGATCGCAGAAATGTCGTGGCGGAGCTGGTTCCATAGCTTGCCATAGTTTCTGCTCTTGGCTTCCTCATGGGTCTTGGGTCCATGAACGGTCATATCAAAAGTGCCAATGACAAGCTGAGCTAGTGCACCAATTGCCGAGTTGAGGTGCTTGGTTTTGACAAGCTTCTCGACGAGCTCATCGGGGATGCTCTCTCCGGTCTCCCAGTGCTTCGACAGGGATTTCAGGACACTTGGGGTCCAGCACCAATTCTCGAGCATCTGAGAGGGTGCCTCCACGAAGTCAGCCACAGTAGCAGTGCCGTGGGTGTAGCTGAAACGAGAGCGACCAGCAAGATCATGGATACCGTGTCCAAGTTCGTGGAAGAAGGTGACAACTTCGTGGTGCTTGAGCAGCGACGGCTTGGTAGCCGTTGGTTTGCTGAAGTTGCACACCAGGGAGGTCGAAGGATAGCTTCTCTTTCCATCTACAGTGACGAAACCGGGCTCAATTCCAAAGTTTGCGTAATGACCATACTTGTTGTCTCTGGGGAAGAGGTCAAGGTAGAGGTAACCGCAAAACTCGCCTCCCTTGGCTGGTTCATCCCATACGCTGTAAATGATGACATCTTCATGCCAGGAAATGTCTTCAGCCTTGCCCGATGGGCTCAAGCGTGCTCGGTCTTCTTTTCCGAGCTCAACAAAGACAAAGCCAAAGATTTCCTCAAAAATCTTGAGCATGCCAGCGAATGTTGACTCTGCCGGGAAATATTGAGAGATTGCCACCTCGTCTACACTATACTCCACCTCTTTCATAATTCTTGAGTAGTAGGAAGTATCCCACATATAAAAGTTTCCGTCAAAGGGGATGCCTCGCTCCTCATAGTCGCGCTTCTTGTATCCTAGCAGGGCCTCGACTTCTTTCTTGCCGCCGGGGGCTAAGCGAGTTCGCAAGTCACCCAAAAATTCATTAACACGGGCGGGCGACTTTGCCATCTTCTCTTCAATCCGAACGCTAGCATGGTCCGAATATCCTAGGAGTCGAGCAGCCTCATCACGAAGCTCCATGATTTCCTTGAAAATTTCCACATTGTTGTTCGACTGGGTTTATTAGTCCAAAGCTCTACATATGGCTGGCATTTTCAAGATGACGGGGCGGAGAGTTCACATACCTTGTTGGCATCCGCAATGATATATCTACGTCTGGTGTCCTCGTGAACAGCATACTTCATCAATGGGTTGAAGTGGTTGTATTTAAAGGTGACCTTGACTTTTCCTTCGTGCTCGCCAGTTCCGGCCTCTAGCGTGTCGACATCAATGTCGTCTTTGGGCACGCCCTCTAGCTCCTTGCGAGTAAACCAAACTCCGCCCTTCTCCTCGTTGAGGTTCTTCTTGCCCTGGATGCAGAGCTGGCTGAGGCGCTTCTTGATCTCCTTGAAGCGGTCTCGCTTCTCTCCGGGAGGCAGAAGCAAGCCATTGCGGATGTACTTTTGACGTTCCTTCTCCAGGATATGGAGAGACTCCTTATCCAAGTTTTGGGAGTCTCGTGTGGAGTACGCTGCCTCTACTAGCTTGAAAACATCCTCGCGCATCTTCGCCTCAATGTAAAAGTCGTTAAGAAGCTCTTCTGCTTTGGTCGAAGCTTCTCGGAGAGACTCGTTGGTCGATACATGCTGGAAGAAGGTCTGAATGTTCTGGGGACCGGTGGAGTCATTGCCGTCGATCAAGATGGGCTTCAGAGTGTTGTCAAACGTGGCCGTCTCGGGAGTCACGGTGGCAACAATCTGGTCTAAAATGCTCTTGCTCTTCTCGGTGCTCTTCTTGGCGTCGGCCAGGATGGATTCGGCCGTGGCGGTAAACACCGGCGGGCTCTGCGGCGGGTTTCGAAACTGCTCGGGAGCCATGCTGCTGGTCGTTAGGAGGCGACGGTATGATGGTAGACGAGCCAAGCCCTGCAATCGTACGTGGCTTGCAAGGGAGTTGAGGCGTAGAAGAGCTCGTTGGGAAGCCAGGGTTGCGGCGAGGAGGAGTACGAGGAGAGAGAGGAGGAGAAGGAGGGGCTTTATGGTACGAGGCCGCTCCAGTTCGATGGCGAGTTTCGGGCAGGTTTTACGTACAACCTTGCCGGAAGTTCTGTCCCAAATTGGCCCGCTTAGACTGCAGGACTTTGGCAGCGTGATGTAGCCTCAGCCTACCAGAATAGAGGAAATTGAGTGCTGATGAGGGGTAGCTTAACTGATCCCCAAAACCAAATGCCTGATGGAGTCGACGCGGCAGAACGCGGCTCTCACTGGGAAGCTGAATTGGCGGTGCAGGGCTAACTAGAAAGGTTGCTATAACTGTTAAAGGTCAGTTTCGACACGTACAGAAGCAGCTGCTATCTAGGCAATAGTGTATATAGCATTCACGTAGCTACTTAGATAGCTTAGGCAGAGGTCATAGCTTATTGATGCACGGAATTGAATTGGCGGCACGGAGCCCACTATGCGCCTCTTAGCGTCCATATCCGGCAAGTGGTGAGGCGTGAATTCCGACAGCATCGCGGGGTGACTCCGCCATGACAACACCGCTATAGCTGCAAACATCAAGGGCCTCGAGTACATGTGCGTAGGTAGCCGTTGGGCGGCGTATACTGATATTCAGGATCTCATCTAGTGTAAATGCCCCAAAGCTATTTATGTAGCGTACCGTACATCAAACGACATTCTAGGCCCAAGTGGCCGCTGAGACACCGTTTGAAGCACCAAATCGTATTCATTCAGCCATAGCTGCATACAAGTCTACGGCCAATCGTTGCATATAAAAAGAAATATCATCCATCCCAAGCGTTTCCAATTCACTACCATAATCAAAACAAACAACGCATAGCAACGCCATCCCGTTTACAGATGCAAGAAGATGCCACCAGGTTAGGTTCTTCGTACAAAGGAATCTTAGTTGGCGAGAATAGTTCGGACAAGGTCTACAGAAAAAGGAGAAGTTAGCAAATTGATGTTGTTGAGCAATATAGCCGAGCTTAGAGGCACACATACCGGTGTAGTTGATCTGGCCAGAGCTGGTGTCCACAGCCTTGAGCAGCTCGTCGACCTCTTCCTCGGTCATCTTCTCACCCAAGTTGGTCAGAATGTATTTGAGCTGGCCGACACCAATAAAGCCCGTCATATCCTTATCAAACACTTGGAAGCCACGGCAGTATTCTTCAGGCTCGCCGGGATCGCGGAAACCGCCTGGTCGGTTCAGGACGCGCTGGAAGGCATCGAAGTCAACTGTACGGGGGGTTACAAGTCAGCACAAATGCGCATTTCATTTCGGGCTATCCTCGCCAAGACTGCCGTGACGAAGGAGAACTGCCAGACTCACATTCGTTTCCAAGGCCCTTCTCCAGCTCCTGGATCTCGGCCAGCGTGGGGTTCTGGCCGCATGCTCGCAGCAGGTCGCCCAGGGAGTCGATAGTGCAGCGACCGTTGCCGCGCTTGTCGAACAGGGCAAATGCCTCCTTGTAGTTGGTCGAGGCCTGGGAGTCGTGATTAGAAGCCATTTTTTTTTTCCCTTGTTTTCTTTTGCAGATGTGCAAGGGCTGGTTTTGCGCGCAGGCTCGTCAAAAGCGACCCGATGATGCAGCGTCTGTCGCAAGATGCAGAGGAATGCAAAACGGCCCTTTGTTTAGGGTCGTTTGTCTTTCCAAGTTGCGGCGCCAAACGGGCAGCAGCTGCGGGCGAATCAGGTGCCGAGCCGGCCTGCGCTGGCGTTGTTTACATCGAGCGGTGCTGGGGCAACTGACCATTGTGATTGGTGCGAGGAGTAGACGGTGCTTGTGGTAGAGGGTTCGACACTTGTCTTACGGGAGCAATACAGACGGCTGCGATGGTGTCTCTGAGCCTCGACAATGATGATGCAAGGTCCAAAACGACAACAAGAGGTCTGCGTCTCCTGACATTGACGCCCCACCGTCCCCTTGCCTGGTTCTGACGGGGCAACGAGTCAACAGGCGGGCATCACAGCCAATGGCCCAGACGCCCGCTAGGAGGCGGTCTGAGGCCCTGGACGCGGCAGTATAACTATTTTTATGCCGTGCATGGTCATAGCACGCCGCTCGGTGTGTGTTGTTATGCAGCTAGAATGGCTGCTAACGAGCCAAATTTAAAGCCTGACCAGCCGTAGACCTGTGAAGGCTGCCCCAATGTAAACAATCGTTGCAGCGTAGCGCGCGGAGCACTGTAAACATTGAAGCCAAGAAGGATGGAGTACATGCAGCTGACTCTAAGTCTACTGAACATGTACGTACATGGCACTCTTGCAGCTTATACACGCATAGCAAAACATGCTCTATATACGCATTTTGCCAGCCTATTAGTATCTGCATTTTAACTTTGAATTGAGCGATGCGGGATTTTTTTTTGAATTGAATAGACATTAAGATTTATCCCAGAAGCGACGAATCGAGCAGTTATATTTGCAGCCGAGGAAAGGAGTAAAGGTGTCCGACCACGATGGTGTCGCAATTACTACTAGTAGGTACCTAGTATTATTGTCAACAACAGTTCTTCCAAATTATTGCCCAATCACTACGCATTAATCTTATACTTCAACCCGAATAATAGCACCGCCACTATATTCTACATCAACCCCCAACAAAACCGTTTCCAACAGACGCATGAGCGAGCAAAGCGAAGTAGGAAATCAATGAGCCTATTATCGTTAACCATCTGCCCAAAAAGCAGTGTCATAGGTTCAAACGCACTCCATTGACGCCATCCCAAATAACGGCTCCTGTCTTGTCTTTAATCTCCAGCCAAGGCGAGGTGTTCATTGATGTCAGAGTTGAACCTCGATTTGCAGTGTTTGACGCCCAAAATGCAGATCCATTCAACCTCTTTACAAGATTTCCATCCCCTTGGAAATTGAGAGTGCACTCAAAGTTGCACGTAGCAGTGGATCCGATTGTGGTTGCCACCACGCCATTGTCATATACAATGAGATGTGCGCTGTTATCAAAAACAAAGTTGAAGCCATTATGAAGCTGGGAGAACGTCGTCGGAACAGTGTTGACTAGCAGCGATCCATTTGTCCAAACTTGCTGGCTGGGCAAAGGAGGCGTAGGGCAAATGAAGAACGAGGGATAGTCTGTGTGCTGTACAAAGTCCGATTGCAAGTTCGTCGGTCCTGTTACGCTGGGACTATTCCATAGAAGATGTTGATTCGCGCTGAATGCCGTCTTGGTCGCAGCAGGACAGTTTCCATCTTCTGAGAAGGCGGAATTGCTGCCGACTCCTGTCACACTGTTGCCGTTTACCTACCGGATTGTTAGCCTTGCCCGGCATAAAGAGATACCCGATTGCCTTACCGTGATTCCTCCAGTCCAACCGGAAATTGGAATTGGGAATGCGATGCTACCACTGAAGACGTTGTTGGATATCGTGACAGGCCCCGATAGTTTTGGTGTTGTTGTTGAGGCATCGCAACTAGTCCAAACACAAGAGCCAACCGCAATACCGACTCCAAACAATCGCTGACCTTGTATGGTATTGCTCGAAACTTCAACATTAGCAAAGCTCCCATTATATACAGCGAGGTTATCGACTAAATTAATTGCTCCAAAACCTGCGTTTGTCGTTGATCCTATAATTTTGTTGGATAGAACCTTGGTGCCAGGGGCACCAAATAGAACAACTCCTCCGTCAGTGCTTCCAGTGACCTATATTCTCGCGATTAGTTATACACAGCTTTGATCAGATACAAGGAACCACAGCATACCGTGTTGCCCTGAACCAGTGAATTAGTACACGCAAAAGATATACCATCAGCCCATTGGCCATGACCTGCGGCGTCGTGGCCTTCCAGTCCGCAAGGGCCTATATCGTTGTTGGTGATAGTCGCGTTGCTGCAAGCCGAGGTGCCTGATGCGGCTGCGCCCTCTCCAATATGCATACAGCTCCAACCTCGTGGATTCATCGACGCAACATGGTCAACGAGGAGTCCATTTTGAATTCCACCCAACTCAATATTTGCAGAGCTGGCTATATGGTAAAGGTTAACAGCTTGTACTTACACCGAACGCAGACATGAATTTGTTGTACCTTGAGCAGTGATTTGACCATTCGCCGATCGATCGCCATCAATCTGTATGTTTCTCAAGCGAATACCGCTGAGACTCCCTCCATGGATGACTGCTGAAATAGATTGATCTGTTGCTTGTAAACGAATAATTGCACGCGTTGCGTCTGTTGGATATCCTTGAGTTGAGAGCTCCTGGTTGGCGGCTGTAAATGCAACGGTATTGTGAACGGTGATCACGGCGTTTGGGCAAAGCTGAACAACGGCGCCCACCCCGCCGCTCTTTAGAGCATTGTTGATTGTTGTTTCATCTCCGCTTGATATGCACGCAGTTGCTGCGAGGTTAGCAAAACCAAGAAAGCCAAAAAGTCTAGTCATGTTGCATTATCCAAAGTCTTTGTGGATGATCGTGTGTCCTCAGCAACTTGCCTGGCGTATTAACTAGACCTCCAACACATGAGACAGATTGACGAAAGGGGGGAAGGGAGACAGCGGTCCAATAAATAGGACGATTGACAGTTCGCTTCCTCGTCCCTGTCACCACTTTCCGAATAGAGAAGTTGCTTTACGATTGAAACGCCATGGATTTACAGAATACTATACTAATAAAATCTCTTAGTCTAACGCGCTATCATAATGAAAGCAATAATAAGTTGTAAATAAGCTCTATACCGAGCCATCCTAGGGTGTGTTAAAGTGTACTGGATCCGTACTATTCCCGAATAACGGTTTACAGCTATTTGGCTTCTTAATACAAGTAACTGGGGAGCAAGAATCCAAACTAAGAGTTTTGATATGTGGAATAAATTATTGGAAGCCAGAGTGGAAGCATATTTAGAGCGAGAGCAGCATTTAGGGGGAGATCGTCTATCAACTACCCAATTAGGAATATTGCGATTGCCACTATAAGCCAAGTTTAAAAAAGCGCACACAACCTGGGGAAGTAGGCGTTGCCATCTCGTATTCCTCCCTTAAGAGCTTTGTGTTCATAGGCTGATATTAGTTGATGTCGGGGTAAGCAACAGCTACACCAACTACCAAATGCCGAGACAAATAATGGTGTATGGCTTCAATGATACAGATACAGCTATATATATAAGGGGTTCACTTCAACTAGCTGGAATTTGGTCTCGCTTATTATTCCAGAAGTAATACGATCGAGCTTTACTAACATTTGTTTTTTTTTTTTTTTTTTTATCACTAACATGTGGCCTAGCATAAAGAAATTGTTGGTGGTGTCATTGGCTGTCTTGGTAAAGGGTATTGGTGCTTCTCCCTTGGTTGGCCGAGCATGTGCACCTACGTCCAACTGGCCAGCATGGAAAGGAATTAAACATGCCTTTTATTTGTGAGCAAAGGGTTTTTTTAAACCTAAGTTCTATGATATTCTAAGCTGAAAGGTTATAGTCGTAATACATGCTGATGGGTCTCTTTCATTTATGCAGTGGCGACAGCTACACAACAACCAGTTGGTTTATCTCTCCTCAACGATAACCTGTAGCATAACTTATTGGATGCAGGTTTCAACTATATGGGAGGAGCACAGCCTTCTGTCTCAGTTCCCCTGGGTCTTTGGCCTGGAGCAACTTCAGCACATGGCGAGAACTGGGTGGATTTTTTCACAATGCATCTGTATTCTTTTCGTATGACCTGGCTGTTAGTGGTGCAACGCTAGGCAATGACATCGTAGCAGCATCGTCGACATCCATCAGTCCATTCCTGGATATGTATCACCCATCACTGTGCCGAAGCCGCCCCAGTGGACTGGGAATAATACGCTTTTTACTATTTGGGTTGGCATCAACGACATTGGAGCCACTTACACCAAAGGCTCTGCTTCAAATGCAGTCATTAACCAGGAACTCGTTTCAGAATATACGTCGCTCGTGGAACAGCTCTATACAGCTGGTGCGCGTGATTTTGTCTTCATAACTGTACCGACGATCGACCGATACCCGGGAACGATTGCCCGTGGAGCAACTATCGCTGAGCAGGAAAAGATAGACGTCGTGCAGTGGAACCAGCTACTCATTAAATTGGCCAAAAGCGAGAAGGCTCTACATACGGACACTAATATTTGGATTTATGATGCTCAAGCGCTCTTTGCCAAAATCTTGGATAATGTGGCATCTTTTCCGCAGACTGCTGGAATCACCAATACCACAGGCTTCTGTGCAGCGTTGCTAAGTAAGTCAATCTCTTTTCCTGTCGTATTACATCCATTTGATAACTTGTTACAAAGCGGGACCCCAACCGACGATTATTTCGATCCGTCATGCGGCGTTCCGGTGAATCAATACTTTTGGCTGAACTCATTGCATCCAAGAACGCCGGTGCATGATGTAATTGCGCAAGTTCTTTCACGTGAGCTTCTCGCAGGACCCAACATTTGCTGAAGTGGGCAGTAAGTGTTATTATTTGACATACAAAATGCAATAATGTTAAAGGGTACAGATAAGAGCTGCTATTAGCGAGTATCGATAGCACACTTAAACATAATATCGCATATGATACGTGATAGTTTGCGTATACTTCTAAGCGTCTTTCAACTGTCAGATGTAAGTGCGTCACCTTCAATCTTTGATCTTAAAGGGTCAATATCTTGATAACTATCCCTCGGCAATTTCCCTTTACTGGGTAGCTGATCCTAGTATATGCAAGAAATTTGAAATAACGCTCCATATTTGGTAATCTGGCGGAATAGCGATCAACTAGGCGGAGTCCAGCGACAGAGTGCGTGTATGCTACCCTGCAATGTAACATCCATCTCCAGCCGCTACAACACATTAATTCCAAATCATCTTAACAAAGGCCCTATCCACCCGCCGTATTAGGATGATCCTTCTATTATTTGCTTCATCTTCTAACTAAATGCCACCACCTCTTGATCCCTCTAAACGTGATATTCCGATGATCAACCGATGAGGACTTCTTCCGAATAATCACGTCAGCTAATATCCACTGGATTTGATGATCAAAAATCTACTCATAAAGAGCATCCAGACCCAAACCATTCGACTCAGAAGCAGTTCTATTCTTCATAACTCATACAACCACCAAAGAACTATGGCTGCAGTCACTGAAGCTACCGCCAAGCGGTTCTTCTCATCCCCCCTCTTTGCTGTGGTGGGAGCTAGTTCCAACCCCGCCAAGTTTGGTCACAAAGGTTTCAATTCCACAAGCCTCCTCTGTCGCTCCAAATATCTATTTGGATATATATCTGACCATGTAAACGATAGTCCATGCCTGGTATCTGAATCATGATCTGCCCGTCACTCCCATCAACCCCGCCTCACCATTCGTCGAGGTGAATGGCGAGCAGCACCCCACCAAGCCAGATGTGAAGGTCCTTCCGCAGCCAAGGGACACATCAGTCTCCATCATCACCCACCCAGGCATCACCATCAACGTGCTCAAGGAGGCCAAGAGCGTAGGAATCCCTGCTGTCTGGCTGCAGCCTGGCACTTTCGATGATGAAGTCCTGAAGTTCGCCTTGGCAGACGGAGCTTTTGAGGCCGTCGTCTATGGAGAAGGGGGTAGAGGCTCTGAGGGCTGGTGCGTTCTTGTGGACGGCGAGAAGGCCCTGAAGGATGCTGGAAAGTTGTAATTAGCTATGATTTGATGTTGCTTGCGGCGGGCTGGTAGGATTGCTTTAAATAGGTCGGTTAATCGAACAGCGCGCAGAATGATGGCAAAAATAAATCACTGCCGTTAAATGCTGAGTAGTAGAGGTTGCTGAGTAGCAGAGGTATCACTCGCGAAGAAAGGGACTGAAAACAAACTTGTTTCCAAATTTCCTATCTGCCACGACTATCATTTCGTCGCGTCTAGCCCACTAACAGAGAGTGGGAAGTAGTTTTTGAACAGGCTTAATAAAGAGTTCGAAAGTTTGTTGCAGTGCATACGGAAGTATGGTCGATGTAAAATATATGCATATGTGCGCGCCATCTCCTTACTCTCCGCCCTCGACTCCTTACGTTGCTTTGTCCGGAATGAGGCCAAGAATCCAAAGCGATATCTGTATTACCCAGTAACGACATCAGAAGTTACACTCGTTTAGGCAACTTAACAATAATTATGATGAATGTATGAAGAAAAATGTACCCTTGTATACATTCAAAGGTGATCATGAGATCTATATTGGCGGTGCTGAATTATAGAATGTCATATAAGTTACATGTAGATACATGTGTACAGCGTATATAGTTTGACTACGTACATTTGTATGGACTATCGAGTAGAAATTGGAGTGATACAATTCATTTCGTTGTCAATTTCTACAGACTATATATACAAGCAAACACAGATATCGAGGAAACTAGGGGAAATAAGGTGAGTAAGAGAATTTAGAATACATGTATGTTGTTTCTTCCCCGACCGCACGATAGCACGATAGCCCGATCCCACTATGTTTTATTACAGATAGTTCTCGTGAAAATTTCCTGCTATTTCTACGGCTGTAACTAGTGCACAACTTCACTCATCACGGTTTACTTAATATAGTATAACGTAATACTCATTTACTCTCATTATGGTATGGGGCGGTGCAAAACATCAATAATCTTGTCATGACGTGGAGATCTCCACCATCGAACTTTGCGAGGGAATGCGGTAGGTCAATCCATATGAATTCGGAGGGAACTTGGACCCAGTTCATGGGCTGATGCTCAAAGGACTGGTTTAGGAAATGACCGAGTGCGTACATGCATTCCGGGCAGCCAGTGCTGTAGTCTTCTCGATATAATGTAAGTTAATGCCAACTCCATTGTACTACATATAGATTCCCACATCTTAGCCTTAGATAGTACAATTCAAGCCTCTCCACATCCTTCAAGCTCATATCCATGTCCCTATACGAGAAGCCCACACGGAGGACTCTGGCTCTATTAATATACACCGCACGATAGCCGACTACGGCCTGAATTGAAAAGTAGCGGATATTGCCCATAGCACGTGCATTGTTAGCAATTGATTAAATGTACTAATTAGACAAGTTGGCCTGCTTAGTCTTAAAAAGACGAAGCCAGCATGGTGATTTAATGTTTTATACCATATGACGTTTACCTCGCATTTTGCTTCAGGTAGCCATCTCTGTCAATGGGTTCCTCGGTCTATTTACTTTCTATAGCGTCTATGAAAGAAAGTAGTAGAAACCTATGTAGGCACCTATACTCAAATTTAACAAGTCTTTGCTCCAATAACGGTATAGGCAATATTAGAGTTGTATGCTTATACTTATAGAATTTTTTACTGTGATTTTTGGGGTTTTAGGCAGGCCAGCCGACATGTCTCTCGTTGTGTGGCGTCTGCAGGGGCTTTTTAGTGTTGAGATTTGCGATTTCTGTGGCTGAAGCCCGCCCCACCACGAATCGGCTGAAGTAAACAAACGCGCTCCACGTCACGACACCACAGATGCTATCGCTGGACACATACAGAGTACAAAACAAACAAACATTTCCACCGCCTGGCCTGGTCGCACAGCCGCTGCTCGACTCGTCGCTCGAAACACGCTCAAGGAGGACGAATTTCCGTCATCGAACCGAAACTGACAGACCCCTTTAGACGATCTCCGACAAACGACGACCCTCGCATATTGCGACCAAGTGGACCTCGATACTTTGCGGCTGCGGAGTAAAAGCGCTTGAGCCTTCCTGAGATGCTGCGTCGGTGTCTCTGATCTTTGGTCAAGTCAAGAGCTCTACGCCTCTCGCACCTGCGGCGAGCCTTTCTCAGACTTAGGCATCGAACCACAGCAGACTCGCCCCTGATTTTCTCTGCCTGCGCTTGAGGCGATCCTCAACATGGCCACCATAAATTTTGACCAGTATTTTTCCTACGAAGCCCGCCTAGCCTCCTTTCAGAGGACGACCAAGAAGCGCGGATCGGCTACCGGCGGACGAGGAGCAGCCAAGGCACTCAACTGGCCTCACAAACAGATTTCGGCCACTAGCGTATGCGCCCTTTCTCCCGCTCAGCACAACTTGACGGACCGGAAACTGACAGTAGAAATAGCTTGCCAGAGCCGGATTTGTATTCAGCCCTAGCCCCGACAGCCCCGACAATACGATATGCTTCTTGTGCGAAAAGGGATTGGATGGATGGGAAGCTGGCGACGACCCGGTCTACGAGCATGTCAAACATGCGCCCCACTGCGGTTGGGCATTGGTTGCTGCCATTGAGGCCGATATTGGAGATTACGCAAGAGAAGACCCCAACGATCCCGAAATGGTCGAAGCGCGCAAGGCGACTTTTGCCGGCAGATGGCCCCATGAGAATAAAAGGGGCTGGAAATGCAAGACTAAGCAGGTGTGCTAACTCTTGAGCGGCAGAGAGTATTGATTGACATGTCGTGCTGACCTTCAATAGCTAGTAGAAGCTGGGTGGAAGTATACGCCAACTGGGGAGTCGGATGACATGGCTACGTGTGCATACTGTCAGCTGGCACTCGATGGATGGGAACAAGGCGACAAGCCTTTGTAAGATTTGCGCATCCACCACTCGAGTCGCGCCAACTGATAACTAACCTTGCCCTAGAGATGAGCACTACAACCGGTCTCCTGACTGTCCTTTTTTCTCCCTAGTTAGCCAGTATAAAGCTCTAGGGAAGGCATCTAACCGTGGAAGGGCATCACGCAACTCATCTGTATCTGCCCAGTCACGTGGGGCAGCAGCCACCGATATCTCAAATCCTTCTGATATGAGTGCTGGGTTCGACGATAGCGTTGCTACAGGTTCATCTTCGGCCGCACAGCCTGGGGCGAAGAAACCTAGAGCAAAGAGGGGGACGGGCGCGAAAGCTGGTAGGAAGAAGACCAAAAAGGAGGAGCCATCTGAATTGCTTGATGAAAGCAGCCAAATGGAAGAAGACACGCAACCGCCGAAACTTAGGCGAGGCAAAAAGAGGTCGAGTGATGCTATAGAGGAATCGACAATGAGCTTGATGGGTGGGCCTACACTGAAAAAGAGAGCGTCGCAGCTTTCTGTCGACGACACCATTGACAACATTGCAGCCCATGAAGATGACTCCGAAATGACCGATGTTTCCAGTGTTTCCTACAAGAAGAATGGAGCACCATCATCTAGATCAAGGCCGGGTCGCAAACGCACTTCGAAGCTGAATTCACACGCTTCTATGGCATCCTTACGGGCCCCTGGTGGCTTTCTAAATGATGATGAGATTGAACGCCGATTGGAGGCTGATCTAGAATACCACTTCACCGATGACGAGGAGATTGCATACGATTCTGACTCGACGCGGAATATGGCTAAAGCAAGCAGAACAGTAACTGACTCGGAAGCCGAAACTACTCAAATCGCAAAGCCAAAGTCGCCTGAGCATGCCATGTTGGAAACGGCCGTGCCTGAACCCAATGAGATTGAGGTTGAAGATGAGCTTCAAGCTCTACAAGCGGAGATGGAAGTTAAAGAATCAGCACCTAAGAGAGGCCGTAAAGCTGGCGTACAAAAGACACTTAAGCAGCTCAAATTTAAGAAGGTTGAGGCTGAATCTGAATTTTCGGAGTCACAGAAAGAAGAAGAAAGAGTGGCATCGGCTGATGTCAGTGTGAGCAGCACTAGGAGTGTTCTGAAGATACCAAACTTGCCACCTCCTGCTGGAAAACGTGGACGTGGGCGCCCGAGGGCATCACTTACATCTCAAGATGAATCTATCGTTGAGACTGACGAGTCGGCACAACAGCCGATTAAGCGTGGGCGAGGCCGGCCGTCGAGAGAATCATTGGCGTCTTTATTATCCGCTGAGTCTGGGGATACCCATATAGCTAAAGCTTCCGTGAAGCGAGGCCGCGGTAGACCTTCAAATGAGTCTCCAGACTCGACAGGGGCAGATGAAGACAGCGAGGCTGCCTCTGCTCTAGCCCCAAAACGCAGAGGACGACCATCTAAAGCTTCCTCTACATCGCAGAATGCCCATGATTATACAGCTGTTGGGAGAAGCAAAGATGCTTATGCACCTGTGAAACGTGGCCGTGGAAGACCGGCTAAGAAAATGGTCGACATTACGTCCACAGAACAGACTGAAACAGAGGTTGACGAGGAGTTTGTCGAAGCTCCTGAGCCATCAGAAGCACTCCCCCGGCCTCCTAAACAATCACCTTTGCGGGCCATTTTCTCGCCCAAGGAAGATGCTCTATCTCTGGCTCCACTGCCAGGTACTCCGTCCAAGCTTCTGTCTCCTGTACCTTCGGCTAGACAGCCAGTACTGTCACCATCACAATCTCCCCAATCATCAGATGCAGAGAACCAGCCTCCTGTGTCTCGTGCCCCCGCTGCTGGCGATGCAAAGCGTATTATATTGGCACCTGTGGCAGCAACGCCAATTCAGGGATCGCCTTCGAAGCGTAACGTTATGACCGGGCTTCGAAGCACAACACAATGGGCCTCTGCGAGCTTAGAAGCCATCTTTGGCTCACCACTTGGCACTCCAGGAAAGGAGAATGATGTGGATAGATTTTTGAAGCGAGGCAACGAGCTGACCAGTCCAGAGCGACAAATGAGCGTGGAAGAATGGATTTACTTTAACGCGGCGGAAGCTGAAAAGAAGCTCAAGTACGAATGTGAATCTTTGGTCAACCGATTTGAAATGGAAGGCACCAGAGCCATCAAAGTCTTGGAGGGCTTAGAGGTTGTTGAAGCTGAAAGCTAAAGATGAGCGATTCAGTTTCGTATAATGCGTTGTATACGACGGCGTGCATTGAACCATGAAAAATGATGGAGTTTTGTTCTTTCTCTGATTTGGCAGATGGATACGTGGTGGTAACACAAGTTCGTATGACAATTGTGCCTCTGGGCTTTCTTTTTTCTTTTTTTCTTTTGCTTGCATTTACATTTGGGACTAGAACTGGGCGTTTGGACAGGGACACATTTGGGAGTTTGAAGCAGTGTTAGCAGAGATAGCTGCAATGTAGAGCTGCAATAAGCATTGCGAATGCATGAATGGTAGTTGGAGCTGGTTAAAGCTGGCTATGTCCTTGATATTTGGTGCAAGACAGCAAACGCTATATTTTCTCACGATGAGTGGCATATAATAGACCCTCACTCTACTTGCCCGCTCGTTTCTTTGAGAAGTGCGTTTATAGTTTTCATTAAAAGTACGAAGGAGTTACTCCTAGAGAATCAGCTCTATCATTCATTATCGGGACCTGCCTTTGGGTCGTGCTACATGCAATACAAAAAAGTATCTAGGTAGCTGGTAGTTTTCCATCAAGGGAGTGAAAGACAACCAAATCGATACACTATCCCTTACCAGTGTGATATATATTGGATCACTCTGGGCAGCGGCCCCTCATAGGCCAATACTTGTTTCACAGCATTTTTAACCCCCCCTCTCCCGAAGCCGTCATCTCTGTGATCCTGCATTTTTTTTTTATACGCGAGGCTTCCATTTACATAGGCCTAGTATCTATACCGTGATTTGTCGATCCCCACACGGATTTCGCGTAGCATTTCAGCCACACCGAGGGTACTCATCTCCCATGTCCTCATGAAAACGCGCTCTTTGCTTTTGCGGAACCTTTGCAATAGTTATCAAATTATCAATGGTATGTTTTATGTTCGTGGCTGTTGATCGTTTTGAGTTGTTTGATCGATCGGGGCTCTCATGCTATATTTCATTACATGTTATACAGCATAGTTTATCAGGGAGGAGCATCATCTTCATGAAACCGACGCGTAAAGCAGTATTCCTCGTCTCTAATACCGCGAATAGAAAAATAAATTTATCCTAGATTAACAACAACCTTATGCTTTTTAAACGCGTAGACGCCAGGACTGTAATATTGGCTATAAAAAGGGAGAGGCTTGGCAGGAATGGTACGCGGCAGAGGGAATGAAATCTCCGCCGCGGCATCCCTGATCCAGACTACTATCAATTTGGTCTCACTCTCTCTGCTGACAAAAGGGCTGGTGCCGTGATTTACGCCATAACATCAATTCAAAGAGCTTTCTAACCTCTGTAACACTCTCTATTCTCTCTGCAACATTGTATCCTCTTACCAGATATTCAAGAAGCACAAAACGCCATCATTGTTTATACGTCTCAAGCGAATAGTGCTGCCCCAAGCTATACAACACAAAAGCCCCCTCATCGCACAAACAACTCTCAAAGCGAGAAGAAAACAAAAACAAAAAAAGGTCCACAATGATCGAACCGTCCTACTCATTCATCGTGCCCATCACCAACGCAGAAGAATACAACGACTTTGTAACGCACTTCCCGCTCTCGCCGCTCCTCAAGCTGTCTCCCACTTCGACAAGCCTCGTGACTCAGGATAGCGAGAGTTCAGTACATTCAGAAGACGAAAATAAGACGGTGAAGATGCTGAGGAGGAAGTGGCGGACGTTGGTTGATGGGAAGATTCGTTCAAGGGGATATACACCACTCTAAAGTTGGCATAGGATTGGGGTTTGCTGCCTTGATACAAATGATGGAAGAGACCAAATGGCGAGGAGAAGCATTGGTAGCAAATCCATCTCTTTTTTGCAAAGGTTTAGCGGGATAATTGACAGGAACAGCGCGACTTTTACGGGAGCTAGGTGGCGATGAAGATGTATGAGAAGAAACTACTATTCGACTTCATATTTGTATTTAACACATGAAATCATGAAACTAAATGCTAGAAACTTGATGTTTTCTCTATTGCGTGTTCTGTGTATATGAAAGCAATATGTTTATGGAATCGACATCATCAAAATGGTAGCATCGAGATGCCTGCCCGCTCGAGTATTTGGCGAGAGTTAGTGAAATCTTCCCAGAGTCGTTCTCATTACTGCATTAATAATAATATAGTATGCATCCCTATTTACCATATTACAATTACGTACTTATATTTCCAGCTTCTCAATGCCCTTCTCAGCCTCATCGACTTTGGTGTTGGGGCCATTGGCACTGCCCTCCGTCCTCTTGGTTCGCTTCTTGCGTTTCGTCATGCCGGTGACAACAGGGGCCTCCTGTACCCATCGCGCAATTGCATTAGCTCGTTCGGTCGTGAGAGTGTATTCTTTTCCGTCTTCGGTAGACCAGCGTTGCGATGAGAGGGGTTCGAGATCAGTCTCTTTTATAGCCCTATATCCGTTCCTCGCACTATCTGAGCCGTTTGTGCCATTGGCGCCATTTGTGGCCTTCATATTATTTGCATCACTGGTGCCATTGGCCCCGTTAGTTCCATTCGAACTGTTCATGCTTAAACCCGGACCTGGTTTGATAGTAGCGGCGGCACCATCAGAAGATTTGTCAGAAAATAAAGCTTCATTTTGTTGAGCTCGCTTCTCGCGAGCTTTAACGGCTGCTCGGAATGAAACTTCGTCAGTAACGCGCTCATCATCGAGAGTATCTGCTATAGCCTGCTCGCGGATTAATTCCTTTCGACGCTGCTCTTCTTCGGCAGCAGCGGCGGCAGCGTCAAAAGTGCCTCCACCGACAAGCGCTGCCGCAGCCGAGGCTGCTATGGATCTTTCAGAATGTGGAGTAGTTTTGTGGCTGCTACCGTGCTTTAGACAATGGTGTTTACACGAGTCTTCAAGGTATGAAGGTAGCGGCGCCGGCTGGCACAAGTTGTCCCACGAAGAACTGAGTTGTAACCAATTTCCAGCACAGTGAACAAGCTCCGTCCAATCGGCTCGCGCAGATGACCTGTTCGCTTGAAACAAGGGATATCCGTCGGAAAGCCTGACAAGACGAGCAACCATGTAAGCATGTCGCTGAAGTTCTTTGGCGGAGGTCTGAGCGAGACAGTGAGCCAAAAGGAGAGAGTGCAAGGCGTCACTGAGTAGCGGATGATACGTCACCCATTCGCATGCAGTTTCGCCTAGCGATTGCTGAGCACTATGCTTCATTAGATCTTGAGCTGGAAACGGGGGAAGGTCTGTCGGAGGAACAGAGCGAAAAAGGTCAGGTAAAGAGTAAACAGTGTGTGATGTCCAACTGCTTGTATCAATGGCTCTGGAACTGCGGATACCGTGCATGACCATGCTGACACGGTCGTTGAACTCCTTGGCTATTTTGGCCGGGAGGTTAGGCGAATAGTGAAGATTCGAAAGAAAAGACATGTAGTCTTTGATAGCCCGCTTGGCAAAGGTTTTAGCCATTTTCCGTGATTCAGTCTGTTTTCGAAACATCTCTTTGCCTGGGTCGCTAGCCTCTGCCTCTACCTCTCCATCCCCGGAGCTGGTAATTGCTGGATTCTCGTTGGTTTTGCTTGATGGTGGTGTCGGCATGCTGCTCACAGCATTATCAGAAGCGAGTGTCAAGTATACTGACGCCCGTTGGAAGTATAATTGAGCCTCGAGGCTGCTCGGTTGGTCCTTTTCTGGCAAAATGACAACATGAGGCCGTCTCCTAGCGGCAGTGTGTTGTGAGTCTACGATTTGTGTATCCTCCTGTTTGGGTTGGTGAGATCTGCGGATGAACTGAGATATGGACAGGGCATGGGTAAGATCGAAAACTGCGCCTTCTAAGTCGTTCTGGAATACCTTTACCGTCGCGCGTGTTCGCAGCACCTCTGGTTCTCCTGGGCGATCCCCAGTAATCTCTGTCAGAGGCTCTAAACTCGTACTTTCGGCCATTTTCCTTGACGGTATCTTCTCATGGAAAAAGTGAACATACTTGGCGTCAGGATCCTTTGAATTGCGCTGTAAGACAAGACTGCCCACTTCTTCAAGCGGCGACGCGCCCTGCATAGTCGCAACACTGCAGACGATTTCATCCAAGCGATATGCGCGCGCAAGCTTCTGGCTCGCCTGCTCTCTCATTTTAAATTTCCGCTCTCTGCTTAGTCTCCCGCTATGGCCTGGAGCGCCCATTCCATGAGAAATCATCGAAGATATACTTGGAAAGCCACCATTGACGTTGGTCAGTGTCGGCGAGGCGATGTCACTAGCAGCCCTCACAGCAAGATTGGTAGCTTCATCGACCAACCGTCGTACCTTGACAAGGTCAAAGAATGAGGCAGCATCGAGGGGCCGCGGCAATGGCGTATTGTAGTTGATATTGGCGATAGTCTCCAGTATCTCGTACGGCATCTGCAACCACGGTCCGTGATAGGAAGAGATGTAGCGCCAATGTCTGATTTTCATAAGAATGTCAATGAAGCCCGACCAAAGATAAAACAAGGATTATTAAAAAACGAGTGCCATACACATACTTGTTGCGACATATTGCAAGCCCCGTTGGAGCTGCTGTCGATTGAGCCGCGTCGGTAGTTCTAGATTTTTGCCTTGAGCTTGGACTGGGCGACGACTGTGCTTGATGCGTTGCGGGAATAGGCATTGGTGGCTGGCTTCCAATCCCACCATCGTCTTCGCCCGTTGCCTGCTTCACCTTCTTCTTCGCCATTCTGCTGTTTGTTCTCCTATTAAATCTCTACAATCTCATCATGCTCGAGCGCGATTGATGCGATTGACGTCGGATGCTGCTAAAGGCTTCCCGTTAGAGAACGTGGGGTGGTGGAGTAGCTGAAAAGAGGCTGGAGCTCCAGTTAGTGATGTTATAAAAAGAATGCTGGGGCCGTCCTGGTAAGGCTATTGGCGGGTAGGGAAGAAAAAAAAAGGTATGGAGGAAAATAGTTTGTTCTGAAATAAAAAGCTTCAGCCCAAGAAGGTCTGATAAAAAACAAACAAACAAACAAAGGGCGCGAGAGAAAAGCTGTTTGTGATAGAACTCAAAATGCATGCGCCGTAGTCTGGTGGCTGCTTCTTTTCAGCTGGTGGTGGAAATGTCAATCACGTGAAAGACGCAGACCAAAGGTAAATTAGAGGTGAAGCCTGAGACTCCTTTTATACTTCTGATTTCACCCCCTCTAATTTTTCTTCTTTTCTTCCTATATATACTGGGTAAATATATATTCCAGCTGCAACGTAAGTACTTTGTAGTAGCAGCCTGAAACAAAGTCCTGTACGATTCATGATAATTGCCGATGCATTCGCGCGACAAAGTCCACCACCACAGCGGGACTCGCTTCTGTTTTATGAGCTGTCACTGCATGCCATGTTGTAAGCAGGGAGCACGCCAGAAAGAAAACTATTGGCAATCAAGCACAGTTTGCCTGCATGGTGGCGCTCCAAAGGCCGGCCAGCCTCATTATATTCTGCCTCAGCGTTTTGCCCTGCCTTGGGTGACCAATGAAGTTCGACGGAAGGAGATTAAAATGCAACCATGCATTGCGTTGAGTCGTAATATTAAACAGCTCAGCCGCATCCCACTAGTCGCACTTTATGCGCTTCACACGTTAGAGCCGTCAATAAAGGAGGTATGTATGTGAATTTTTATTGTCTAGCTGCAAGAGCCTGCTCAGAAGTAAACATTGTTCTATCATTAAATGTGTATGAGAAGAAAGAAGCAAATAAAGATACCCAGTCCCAGTTCCATCCCGAACAGTGGTATTGCACAAACACTCTACCTATATGCAAGGCGATTCCATTTTAGTGTCTCACAGGGAAAGTAGCATTATGACAACAACACCACAAAGCAGAGAGATCGAGATTTTGTTCCCAGCAGCAGCCCCTGGAAAGGGGACAGTAGATGATGTGGCACCTGCACTTACACCATCACTGGTAGAGGCAGTAGTGAAGCTCGCTGAAGTGGTAAGGCCGCCAGGAGCAGTTACAATGCCGGTGCTAGTAGGAGCACCAGTAGCAGAGAGGACATTGGTAATATTATGGGGATTTTTCGTAGCTAGAGAACCTGTAGCATGATGGGGGCCTGTGGCATTGCGAGAGATTGTTGTGTTATGAGGCCCAACGACCTTATGGGCACCAGTTGTAATTGGAGTCTTGGTAGCAGTGCGAGAGCTGGTGGTAGTTTGAGCTGACTTTGTAACACTGCTTGAGACCTGCAGCTTGGAAAAGTTGGCGCAGGTCAGACGTGTCTTATTTGCGTAATGGACGACGATCGATAGATTGCCAAAGAAGGCCGGATTATCCGGCTTCATAGAGGTGTAGAGGTCAAAGTACTCAGCCAAGAAAGGATCAGAGGTGACTTTGCCGTATTTCCCGCTCAAGTCGCCGACTTGGCAAGTCTCGGGCTTGGAATCATCGCAAGCAGGCGTCTCGCCACGATCGAATGGGTCTAAATGCGCCAAAGTCGATGTGCAATTGCCGTCGACAGCTGGCTTCTCATGGATATGGTACACTACATGGATCAGTTAATTAACCACTGTGATGCCGTCAAATCACATCTTCAGATGGAAAATGCTTACAGAAAGGGCCACCTGATTTCGGAAAGTTTTCGAATTGGACGGTGAATCTGACACCCTTGCCGCCAGGAGCTGCCACTGCCGAAACATTACCCTTCACGTTGCCCACCAGCTCCGCGTTGGGGAAGAAAGGTTTCTTGGGCAGAGTGGCCGTGTATTCAACGCCTTGAGGATTGCCAGAAACGACGGGGGCGTCTTTAGCTGCGGCACAGCTTACGGTTGAGAAAACCGCTATAATATTACAAGCCCGCATTGTAATGACGGAGAGAGGTTTCGTCGTTCTTAGTAGTGGTGAAATAAGATACGTCAACCTGTTTTGAGAGTAAAACTGGATTGCAAAATAGTGTAAGCGCGATACAAGTTAAAATATGGATGAGAAGACTGGATCTAAAATAACTCGTAGAGTGAAGATGAGAGAAGCAAAGTAGTTATAGGTCCGAACGAACAACACGAGGGTGACGGGAAGCCGCAGCCGGGCGAAGCCAAAGGGAAGACAGAAGAAAGACAACGGATGCTCGAGACAACCATGACTTCCATCCTAAGGGCGTACAAAGCACATGCACATACCTAGCTCTGGATAAAGACTCCTCTCTCCAAAAAATCTCAAAACTAATAATACTGCCTACGGCGACGACGATAGCTTGGCCCTTTCTCTCTCTTGTTCTCGAGTAACAGACAGCAATGTTACTTGGGGGCGGGATTGTAGCGAAGTGAGACAAAAATAGATAACCCCGTTTTTCGCTTGCTGGTTGATTAATAGGGCTGTTTGTTTGCTCCTATACTCCTATGCGGTACGACTTATGACTCGACCTGCGGTGCTCTCACCGAAAAAAAAAGGCGATTGTTTGTTGGATCTGTCGATATCCGGCTCCACAGACGTACAAAAATGTATTGCAAGGAAAGGGACCTTGCAGCAGCGGAAATGAAAGGCAAAACAACAGAGGACACTGCAACCGAGCCCATTCTCATATATATTCCCAGATCTCAAGAAATCTCCAATCGCCCGCTCCGTTTCATCTTCATTATTAAACAGATCTTTTGCCTGCCGGGTTCCGACCGAGCCGCCAGGGCTGTCAGGACTTTCAGCCTTTCATTTGGGATTGCTTGGCAGCCATCGAACTGAGATGCTTTTCCCTCCCCCCCCAAAACATTCACCAGGCCACAGAAGCTGGTTGGACAGACAAGGGCTGCCTGATGCGACTTCAGATTCGCACAAGGAGCACCCCTGGCTGGATGATAGGCGGCCAGCCGTGCTGCGGTGCGACATTGGGCGGGCCAGCTGAGCCTAAAAATGCTTCCTTTAGAAAAAGGGGGGTATGAGCGCGTACATAAGAAAGGCTGCAGCTTCTCTGGCGGTATTTGGCTATTCAAAGCTGTAAGTGATTTGCAAGAGTGAATAAACAGGCAATGCGTGAACACAATGAGGAAGCTTACACGCATGGCATGCTAGTGCTCAACATGAATACTAGGCTCATACACCACGCCTTGTGTCTCGATTCCAAGACGTAGGTGGATTACGAGCATCATCATGGTCCTACCATTGTGGAACAAGAAAATGCTGCTTCGTCACTGAGCTTTGCTAAGCCACAACTTCCTAGGTAACAAGAAGGCGTGAAATTGGCATCCCAGCCTTAGTCCCATCTATCATTAGTTAGCCTCTCTTTCTGTCCAGCGATCTTGTTTATGCGCCTCTCATCGCAGCCAATGAAAAGATCAGACCCACGCAAATCTGGCGCTAAATAGCTATTCTAAGGAAACAGAGAATGCCTGCTCAGATCCCTCCCGTCCAAAGGAGCCCTTACAACTCTGGTACACATAAGCGCCGCGTCTCAGGATTGGCCGCCACTTCCGCGCGCCTAAGGCCCACCCCCGGAGTCTAGTATAGCAGTCCGAACACACTCATTTAGTGCCTGACATCCAAGGCACCGAGAAAATCGGGCTGCTTGCTTTTGAGCCCCGGCCGCGGCGCTGGTGAGCTCCGTTTTACAGAATGTAGTTGCGCTATTGGCAGCTACGCAACCTGCATACCACCCAGCCACTAACATCATTTGCTGCAACAAACACCGAGGTTTCATCGCGATTCTTTTTGTAATCTCTTCGGCCGTCTCGTTTCTCTGAGCGAAAGCGCTATACCCTGCCTCGTCTTTCCGGCCGCGCGTCTGGCCTTGCACGCACCCCCCCTTCGCCCATCATGAAGCCCGTCGTCAGTGCTATGCAAGCATGGTCTTGGTACGTCCTCTTCATCTCGGGATTTTCTGAAATCCATCCCAAAGCCGGCATCCAGGGACGAGCAAAGAAATATCAAATCAGTAAGAAACGACTAATGGCTAACAATCTGCGGGGTGGGCTCTGAACAGCACCGTCATCTCCTTCTTCGCCATCATCATCCTCACCGTCCTCGCCGCCCTGTATCGATCCGGCCACGAGGAGCTCGTCGGAGGCGTGGATGATCCCGCTGATGGAAAGGCCGTCTCTGGCACCGTTTTTACTGCTGTCTTCGTCTACATTGTACGTCTTACTTTCGATCCGATCCGTATCCCTCGACATCCAGCAAGCTATACGCTATAATATCCATTACCTTTTTTTCTTGTCTAATAATGCTTTTCACGTCTAGGGCTTCTTTGTGTTTTGTGGCCTGCAAGGAATGCTCCACGTTCGAGAGAGCCGAAGGGGCGCGATTTCTTTGTAAAGCTGATTATACCATGTGACTAGCAAACTGGCGTTCTCTTGGAAGTTCTTCTCTTTTTTAGCCATTCGACGTTCTGGCTTCTGATCTAGGGCGATTGTTCATTGTACGGTAACGGGACTGATAGATAAAGACCTGGTCGTGTGTAATATATTTTTGTCTGAATACGTCGAAAGTTTTGTTCTCTTGTTGGTATGCGCTTTATGATGCTAGCTGCTAGGTAACTGAGATATATGGACCTCGCTGAGACCGTGATGATGCAGTGGTGGCAGCTAAACGGCGATTGCGCGATAAAAATGGCGGTTTGAACATATCCAAGCTGCTAGTCATGGGGAGCTGGCAGAAATGTTTAAAGTCGGCCACATTTACTCACCACAAAAGGTCACATCTGTAACAGTGGAAGGATAATCCATCGTGGCCTTGTTATTATCGCAGAATACACGAGCGCAAAACAGCAGCAACAACAAGTTCAACATAGCTAGGCATAATGCAAAATTTCAAACAAGGAATGAAAATGACTGTCACTGCCTTGTAAAAAATCAAACGGCGTTGACGAGAAAACCATGTCATCATGGTGGAAAATGAAGGAGAAAAATCTATTTTTTTCAATTGCTCGCTGAGCGTAAGATTACACACAGGGCAGCTCCGCCGAAACGATGAAGCTGCTGTTTTTGTCGTAGGCCGTGGTGGACAGAGAAGCCGGCCATCTAATGAACATATCCCAACCAAAAGGTGAATTGAACTCTTTTTTGTCGACATTCCTCCCCTCTATTCTCTTTTCCCTTCCCAGATTCGAGCATGCTTTCGTCGGGCGTATGATTCATTTTTTGTTTTCTTTCTTTTCCATAAGGACGTTTATTTCAGCTTGGACCACAGCTTGGGGGCGGCGCATGCGGAAGCGCAGTGAGCAAGATGGAAGACTAAGAAGATTCTCTCATGTTAGCAAAACTGGACCGATCATTGCGACATATTGAGCTCGATCAGGGTAGCCAAAGAAAATGGCGTGCATTCCCCTTCTTTTTCTTTGGGAGCGATAAGGGGAAACGGTGTATAAACGTACACTCCTCGACGCAGTCCTCCTTGGCCTCGCCCTCGCTCTCCTGCTGGTGAACTCGCTCAACGCACTCGTCGAAGTGGTGCTTGGCGGGGGAGCACTGGGGAGAGTTCTTGCACTCTGGATAGCAAATTCTCGTCAGCATATAATGTCTGTGAAAAGGGGGAGACCAATTGTCGCGAAACGCTCTCGAGGCGCATGAGCTGCGGAAATGCCTCGCCCCGCATCCGCAGCGACGACAGCACATCATGCGCAAAAGAGAGAAAAATGACAAAGGACGAGTGAATCACGAACCTTCCTCGAGCTCCTCCTTAGGATCCTTGGGCTCCTCCTCATCTTCTTCCTCCTCCTCCTCCTCCTCTTCCTCGGCGGCGGGTTCCTCTTCAGGCTCCTCCTTCTTCTCCTCTACCTGGGCCTCGGGAGCCTCCTATCACATCAATTAGTTCCAGACCCGTAAGAAAACAAACATCTCCCCCTAATGCAGAAAAATGTGATTGTAATTTCGACACCGCAGGACAGATTTGACCGCCCCTTCTGTCCAAAAGAGCCTGCAGAGCTGCCCAAGGGTATCACTTTTTTTTCTCTCTCTCTCTTCCCACCCCCCCAAAAACATCCCACCTACCTGGGTTTCCTCAGCCGGAGCTTCGGCCTCCACAACACTCCATGGCGTCACCGCCTCAACAATCTCGGAGAAAGCGTCCCAGATACCCATTGCGATGATTTGGCGAATTGTGGTATCGCCGTGTGATCGGTTTCCGTGTGCGGTATCGTACGTTATGGATGAGGCGTATTGGCGGTTCGGAAGCTGTCGGTCAAATTCGCGAAAAGCTGACCCGGAATTGAGGCATTTTGATTGGTCCAGCCCAACCGACCGCAGTCACGGGACTTGTCACATTATTTTTTGGCTTTGTCAGCAGCAAGAGCGATCAGTGCAAAGTACGTACCTGCCAGGCAGGCTATCGTGCAGCGTGCTATTGGCAGAGCTGGGGTTGCCGTTTTTGGCTGATCCTCACTCCAAGACTGGGGGGTTTAAGATCTCCGATTGAATGGGGAGGGGTTGTATGGGTTGTATTACCCCCTACCTCCACAGCCAAAGCAGAGCGAGGTGACACAAGGACAATGGATGGAATCACAAGGAGTAGACAATCTGCAGCTTTGTAGGGAATATAATTATGAAGAGAGAAGAAATCCTTTGCATTTTATCAAACCGGGCCCTACAAAGAGATGGGCTTGGAGGGCTCTAATATATCCCCCTTGTCCAACTGTAATATACTTGATCGTACTGACGCCATCCAAATTCCACCCAATAGCAATAAATTACGGCGAATTAAACTCAACTGTCTAGCTTGTCCGTTACATGAAGAAGCAAGCGCAAAATCACACAGAGATAGTTCATAGTCTCATTATTCGCTTCACCCAAAAACGCTTCGCTACGGAGCACCCATTATCCTGTCTACTCCTCTTCAGCACCACGATCGGCCTCGTTGCGTATGTGGTCTTCCAATCGGTTGCTGATCTGCTGCGCTTGCGCCTCATCGTAGTTTGGCGGCGGCTCGTTGGGGGCACGGCGACTGGAAGAGCTGTCTGAGCGGTTGGGTCGCGGGACAGTCAACTGATCCGACGATGAAGGCGGCTGCTGCTGGCCACCACCGTCGGCCGAGTAGGCAGGCAGAGGTTCGTCTGGAACCTCGGTGCTGGCGTCTAACTCCCGGCGCATTTCCTGGTATTGGAACAGACGCTCTCGCAAGCCGACATATGCCTCGTTGAATTCCATCATCCCGCCGTCGGAGAAGGTGAACTTGACTTCGACTCGAGGGATCTCAGGTGGAATGCCGCCCCCTGATACGGGGATGCAGTCTGATTTCCAGACCCATCCCCACCACATAGACGACGAGGTCGTTGAATCTTGAAACTTTAGAATGGGGGCGCTGAAGGATTCGAATTTGGGCTCTTGCGTTGGCTTTGAGGGGATATAGATGACCTGGCGTCCAAGTTAGCATTCGTAGAGCGAGGCATTATGGGGCTGTTTCCAAAAGGCTGAACCAACCCGCTTGTTGGTTAGGAAGAGAGCTCCCCTGTCACTCTTGCGCTGGAACGGGACGCAGCGGTCTCTTAGCTCGGGAGGGACGGACAATTCGCATGATATGCGCGAATCGAGCTTGTACAAGATTCGTTCATTGCTCAGCTTCACGAATCCGCCCCGGTTGAGCATAACCCAACTATCGGCATTGTCAGGATCTATCGGCCGCTCGGGAGCGCTCGAGATAAGATAGTCATGAGGGTTGTTCATCGTGGGGCGGGGCCCAGGCACATGGTTCCCATGAACCTCTGGGCTCGATAGCGGGGCAAGAAGCCGTGGCCAGAAACACTCTCTGGCAGGCAGGCAAGGCAAACAGCGAGGATAGATATGGCCTTGTTGACCAAGTAGGCAGATGGGCAGGTGGGTAGGCGGGTAAAGACAAAGGTAAGAGAACCAGGTAAGAATGGGATAAGCAAAGAGCCAGAGACGAAGATGGGGTTGCTCTCCCTTGTGTATGAAGCAGATGAAGATGGAAGCCGAAGAGGAGGCAGAAGAGGAAGAGAGGAAAGGTCGAGGAGGAGGAAGCAAGAACAGAAGAAGAGTGAGGGAGGAATTAAATAGTTTTCCTGCCAGAGGTGACGAGAAGCCCGCAGCCCAGCTACAAGAATCGAGAAATGGGACCGACAGGCAGTGAACCAGAGACGCAGCAGGATGGGGGCATGGGAAGAAGGAGAGAAAAGAGACGGGACGACGGTGGCTCGCGACGCAGGCTTACTTTATTGACATTGTGTATATGTTTCTGACAAGGGTTTGCTCGAAACCCTAGCTCCTATCCGGATCGCTGGGCTAGACGAGCAGGCGCTCGATGGACCGTCCACGTACAGGCACGCCGTGCAGCAGCAGTGCAGCCGGTGTGTGTTTCTTGTGTCCTGGGCGCGGTGGTAGTGCTGCCGCTGCTGCTGCTTGGTGGTGCTAGCAGGAGATCTCGCAAGCGTCCTTTCGACAGCCCTGGAAAGGCTCTTTGGGGCCCTTGTTGATGGAGGTGTGGTGGGGCTTAGTTGCAGGGGCTCAAGGTTGGTTGGGCCAAACGGGGGAAAGACAGAAACGGCGACGAAGGCCACAAAGAGGAGACCAGGGAGAGAGAGAGAGAAAAAAAGACGGGTGGCTGGGGGGTGGTTTGTGACGAGGCCACGAGAAAGACGTGGATGCTCGGAGTGAGTTCAGCCAAAGCGGAGTGAGGAGACGACGGAGCCAAAATGGAACAGAAAAAAAGAAGAAAAGAGGAGGGGTGTGGGGGGAACAGCTGCCTGCATGTACATCCGAGTACATCCAAAGCACTCACTCAAGCGCTGTGTGAGGTGATCTGTCAGGCGGCATGTTGGCCGTGGACGGGCGTATGTAATCCTGCGTTATGCTCGTTTGGAGCACCTTGGCCTGGCCCAAGAGCAACACAGACAGCGAGCGAGTCGGCCACCGCGTACAAGTATGTAGGTACCTAGGCGCGGCGCACAGTACAATGGCAGCGATAGTTCTAGGTACGCAGCAGCAATAGGTACTAGCATAAACTGGCGCTGGGTCCTGTATGGAGCAGGATCCGAGCCAAGTCCACAAAAGATGCACGGAGAACCGCGCAACTAAGCACGGCAAGGCCCTCGCTAGCACCAAAGAGTCAGCAGCAGCAGTGCTAGTCTGGTTTCTTGGTGGTGCAGAAAGCGGCTCTTCTTCACACTTCCACACGTCCAGCCCATCGCACCACCAGTCACAGCTGGTGGCTAGCAGCTCGCCTGTCGCAAACAATGGACGGGGGGCAGGCTGGTACCAAGGTACATACACCCCATCCCTACGAGCACTGCAGTATACAGGTACCTCATACTAAAGTTACCGCCTCCATCTGTCTTGCGTCTAAGTTGCAGTTCTGAGAGGTGTCAAAGATGATAATAACTACTACCAGGTAATTGGTATTTTTCCCATTTTATTACTAGGGTATGGGCCAATATTTTGCTCGACTGGGTAGCAAATCCTTTTCCCATAACACCGGGGCAGAAAAACCAAACATGACATGATATGCGTAGTCTTGGCCTCTCCCCAGAAAGAAAAAGAAACGCCCCTTTACGTCGCCTGCTACCGTCCTGAGGAGAAATGCCCGTGCACTGTAAGGGCTAGGCTAGTTCTTTTGCTCAATTTGGAGATATAATGATGCTGCGGTAACAAAGTGGTGTGTGTGTAAAAATCTGCTGTATTGTAATGAGGGCTTGCTGCGTCCTTCTCGTGTGGCCAGCGGCGGCAAACCCCCCGGCGGCACATATCAAGCAACCCGCCATCATCATCAAATCAAATCCTGGTCGTGCAGAGTTGTACTGCGTGTACTAATCCGAGCACCCAGTCATAATCATAGGGATGAACGCATCTCCAATCCCCCGCTCTATCTTACCTGGCACCTGCCATGAGCCTGGTGGGTGGTATCTTACAACCTACTAACCTACTACTACTATAATCAGCCTTGCCTCCTGCTCCTACAAAGCACCAAAGGCTCTCATCTCACAAAGAGTACGGCAACACAATCTCTCCCCCACATACAGTAGAAGCTACTAGATTCCCCTTATTAGTGCTGGAGAAGGAGATAGATATATCTGCCGGTAGTATTAGGTCTGCGCCTATACACAAGAATAGTGACAGCTCAGACGTGTGCGGGCGGCTGCGGCCAGCTATCCTCATTCGGTATAAGCCTCCTATAATCGAATGGATCGCAGGCCCTGGTCAAGGCTAGGCCAGCTAAGCAGCGCTTGTACCTACCTCGTACCTTGGGCCTGCTCAGATGGCTAGCAGATTAGCGCCTGCAGGACAGCCACGCTTCTGCTCCTCCCGGCGTCCATAGGCCAGGGCCGGGCCCCATATCGCGTCTCTGCCCGCCACTATAATGCCTGGGCTGCTGATCAATCGCTATGCTGGTACAACCTTAATCGCGGCAGGGCGTTGCGACAGACATTGAAGTCAACAACCCATGCACATACCTTAGTAGGCTGCTTGCTACATCAAATACTATGTATGTACCTGCCTATGCATCACACGCGCCTGTAGTCAATGCAAACTCGGAGCCTTGACAGCCTCTCTTCCTCGCCGGTCGAACCTGGTCTGCCGCCATAGATCCTCCCAGCCTCCTCTAAGATTCGCCTCGACCAGGCTATCTGACCATGGAACAACTTCTTATACATGAGGTCAACGCAGAGGCTGCAGCATCTAGCTTGAGGTGCGTCAGCTAAGACTGGAGAACCGCGCGGGAGCTAGGAATATGAACACGCGCGTTGTGTAGCGCTCAATACCAGGGCTTCTGTGCTGGCAATTGGTTACATGACCTAAGGTAGTAGCCGGGGTCGCGAGGCGTCGCGTGGCCAATGGCAACTGGTCCTGGCCCTGCAAAAGTCACCCTCTGGAATGGCATCGAGCTTACCCCGTATTTGGTCCTTGCATCGTCTGGAAACTCTCCAGAGATGTTGTCGCCGAGACGTTCGAATCGGGGATTAACCGTGGGAGATGGCCAATTACTCCGACGGGCTAGTCGGATGTGCTGGGGGCCCAACGCCCAGTAGTCAGGGGAGAGCATCATACATGACATCGCCCGGAATAATAGTCACAGTTTGACGGACCCGACTCGCCGGCTCTGTGGCCTTGGGATCCATCCGACCCGTGGCAGATGTCCTATATAGCATGCTCCGCAATAGGCACATGTCACCTAGATTGGGGACGGGGGCATGAGTGAAAGTGGCCACGCCCAGGTGGTGCTTCATACGTATAACGTATAATGCAAATCCGTACTGCGTGCTCCGTATATGCATGTATAGGATTGTCTGGTAAGCATCATCACCACTGTCATATTATTGTGTTTTTATCACTTTGGCCAGACGTTGGTGGATGCAACTCAAGCATTGACATCCGAAAAGGGCAGAACGCATAAAGAGAGTCGTCGGCCTGATGGAAGTATGGTGAGATAATAATAGTAACGATGAGCTGGAAGACCAAAAGGACGAATGGAAGCGGCCACAGCCAGACGCGAACTGACATCACGCGTGTGCACGGTGAGCTAGGAATCCTGATTCGAGCTGCTTCTATTTCATCCGCCCTGGCTAACTGGCGAGTCACACAAGCAGTCCATGCTGTCTCGAGTTGTCAGGAGATGCTGTGCCCCCGCGCAGCAAAACCAGCCCAACGGATTTACTTCCTGGATTCCGGTAAGATGTAGGCGACGTACTATAAATGTGCAGCCAAACTTCAGTTGTGTCAAATGAGAGACGCGCGGAACAGCCAGCGCCGAGACATTGTGGCTTGCCCTACTGCTGCAGCTCTGCGTTTGTCCAGCTCTCTCAAGCCTTCATCAGAGGCACCAGAGGGGTGTTGGACGACGAAAGGGGAGGGGCGCGACACACGCCACCACCAAATCGGTCATCGATCTAGCCACGCAGTCTGGGTGGTGGGGAAACTGGCCCCTTTTGCGCAATGATAGTATTGATCGACTAGATATTCTGTACAATTCCGTAAGAAATTGTTCACCAATCTATCTTGTATAGTCAGAAATTGGCCGCAGATGGCAGAAGAGAAGATGGGTTTTCGAGTACAGAAGCGCAGTCAAGAGAACCTCTGCGATTCGTGTATAGGCTAATCGACACTGGCCACGCACCTGGAAGCATACAGCTGTGCCAGGTTTCATGCATCTCGTCCAGCCTGGCTGTCTCAGTTGTCAGGCGTAAACATATTCAGGTTGAGCTGCCACGACTTTGCATGGGGTTGGTTGGATCTGCAGTTACTTGTCCATTGGAGACAGCCGCAGAAGCACTAGCACCGGCCCCTGCCATCGGCCGCACATGGGTAAGCGAGGGCTCCAGCATCCACCGGCAGAATCTTGTCAACTTTTTTATTTCTACTTCTCTTTTGGTTCTTTGGCATTGTGGCAGGTTGTGATTCGCATTTCAAGCCCCTGTCGCATTTGATGAGTTCACCACACAGACTATGCTTTACCTTTTCTGTAAAGCTGTGCTTCCGCAGTGGCCGGAGGGGCTCCGACTGGCCCATGACTTGTTGAGAATCAGGCAATGTAGTCAGTGAGATAACCCATCTCCGACATCTCGATGCACAGCGATTGTGATGCCAGACCTCAGTTGCTTGGGAGTAGAATATTTGCAATGTCCTATCACACTTCATCTTTTCTCGGCTTGTCGCGGCATCCTGTACGACTCGACCGGTTTCACAAGATCTAGCTCTCAGCCCGCCACCACATCCAGCGTACATGCTCACCGGCCACAACAGGGCGAATTCATCCATTACCGCCGGCTGTCTGTTGTTATTGTTTTACTCCAGCCGACCCTCCATTACCCCATACCCTGTCTGTCACTCTATACGCTGGCCATCGCGCAGGGACGTTTCTCAGCAAATCGGAAACTCGCTATCATCCAGCCTCATTATGCACGTCTGGGATCCTTCCAAAGATTCTCGTATTGAATGATTCTTTTGTTGTCACCCATTGTCTGTTCACTCGTAAGGAGTTGCATGATCCTACAGTTAGCGCCATCCACGCCAGCTCAACGAGAACGAGTCTGCTTGGGGGTAGCATTCCGTGGTATTAGTGTCTTCTCCAAGCTTGCAAGCCTGAAACCAGCCAGATGCTGTAGTAGGTACTGCTGCCACCGCTACGATGCAATAGCTATCGCTGTGAGGTAGAAGCACATAGAACTTGCTGCACCTTCGTACTGTATTATGCCAGCCCCACGAACGGGGCCCATCGTCCCATGTATGTCCAGGCATTCATTCAGGCACAAAGTCTGGCACGAGGCACCTCATGCACCTTCATGGGGACGCCAACAGCAACCAATGTGGTATTATTTGCGCCGCCGACGCCGATTGCCGGCCTCCGCGACCCTCGTTTTGATCCTATCAAACCGCGCTCTTTCACCGAAATTTGCCAGAGGGTCGGCCAGGCCTGGATGAAGCCTGATGGAGCTTGCAGCAACAGGGCGTTTGGAATGGTACAGAGGTTGATTGGCCGGCCCGTGTTACGGCGGTTCCCGTTTCTGCTCCGGCCACCCCCACAGCAGGCCATTGACAGCCGCTGGGGATTTTGGCTTGGCATTGGGCTTCTCCTAGCTTCATCTTCATCTGTTTCAATGTTCTCTTTCGTTTTCACATTCCCGTTCCGTATCTAAAGTTCTGCAGACACTGTAAGCACTCACTGCGGGCATTGAGAATTACTATGTAAGAGTCGGACAGGGAGGCTGGAAAGCGTGGGAGGTTTAATGCGCCGGTGGGCAGCTCTGTGTGGTCACGGTTGGCTAGCTGCTTTGCACCTTAAAATGCCAAGCACTGCTGCTAAATGAACGCCGCTTGTAAGTGGACGACCACATCAGGCAGTTACCCACAGCTCCATCAGCCCTGGCGTAGCTCTGGCACATGCATGGACGCCTTCCAGTCATTGTGCGGTTGCGACTTACAGCCGCTGCCGACTACTTCGTAGCGTGTGCACCTCGGCCTACTCAGTGCCTCCTTCAGTTGCAGTTGCCGCCGCAGCATCTCCTTCCCTTTGCTCCCTTCTTCCACGGCCCTCCATCGCTACTGCCCCCGACCTTGCCATTGTCTGCACCACTCAGTGCTACCTGCCTGCCAGCCAGTCTAGCTCGCCATAAGCTGCCGCCTGAGGCATCACACAACGCCCAGACACAAATCATTTCCACTGCAAGCCCCGGTCTCTGGCGACCTGGCCCAGCCTTGCTCTGCTCAGTTTCTAGATCTGCTTCGCATCGCTAACAGCCATTGAGCCCGGCTGCGTTCACCGACTTATTCCCACTCTCACCCCCCTCCAGGTGCTCCCTCCAGGTGCTCCCTACAGGTGCTCTCATCTGTGCGTCTGCACTCCGATAATCCGGCCAACTCAGCCCGACTGCCGCGGTGCAAGGTACGACGGCGCGGCGGCCGCAGTAAAGATTGCTCAGCAAGGTCCAACTAATCCTCCGTAGAATAATACTACTCGGAATTGAGATATCCAGCCGAGATAGCGGGCAGAGGAAAATCCCGGTCAGTTCGGCCTGTTCTTGGATGAGCGGCTTGGAGTCATATGCCAACTGAGATCGCCAGCGACAAACATCAAGATTGTCGTCATACTTCATCATGGCTCAGTCGTCAGCATTGTCTGGCGACATCATTGCACAGCTTGCACAATACTCGGCGTGTGATATTTCGGATGCTTTGCTGAAGCTCAAAGTCCCCGGCGCCGGCTACATTGCTGACCTCGTTGCATATAGCCCGCAACAAGGGTGCCGAGCTACTGAACCACAAGTTACCATCGCCCCTGTGTTCACAGTCTTATTTGCCCCAAAGGAACGGTCGTCCGACGATGGCTTGCCCGCGAAAAATATCCCCAAGGATTCCCATTGGGTTGATTTGATCCAGCCAGGGACTTTTGCCGTGCTAAAGCAGCCCCCAGGTCAAACAAACGCCATCTGTGGTGGAATTTTGGCCCTCAGAATGAAAGTACGCGAGGCAGCAGGTATCATGGCTGCCGGAAGAGTGAGAGACTTGGACGAGTTGAGAAGCACCGATTTGCCTGTAAGTTTCCCCCATCGCCATCTCATCTATCCCTGCCACGCGATGTGAACACACCCCCTCCCCTCTTCGATACTCTCCTATTATGGACGAGCTCTTAGCACTGGTCTAAATGTTACAGATTTGGGCCTATGGTACCTCTACCGTGGGGTCTGGTGGTAGCAGCGTGCCATGGGCTACCCAGGTTGCTGTCGAGGTCAACGGAGTTCAAATCAGCCCAGGCGACGTTGCGTTTAGCGACTCGGGCAACGGCGTTGTGATTATCCCACGAGATAAAGTCGACCAGGTCTTAGAAATGTTGCCTAGCCTTGTTGCAGCGGATGCCAAAGTAAAGGAAGATGTTCTCAAAGGCATGTCAGTCTATGAAGCTTTCAAACTACACCGGGGAGCATGAAACGATAAACACCTGCCTCCAGCGAAGTAAGTCCTATTGAGCGCAGCTTGACCTATAGAGAGTCCCGCCTGAACCCACGCCTGCCGTTGGTTAAGCATAGTCACGAATTGTACATCACAGTTTGGAGCAAAGCGTCTGAGCTCAAATTTCGTCAATACCTATAGATGAAGTGGCCCGCAGGCTTAGTCGTGTCATTAACTCATGAACATGCAATCATACAGAAAAACCCATGCCCCAATGTTTCGACAAAGGAAAATACATAAGAAACAAAAACCATAAACCCCTTGGCGCTACCCAATGTCTCCATCTCAACTGGACCAGATGCCCAGGAGCGCGGGAGAAGATTGACATGGAAATACCCGCCAGCAATAAACACCTTAAGCAATCTTCTTATTTGGTCCTTTTTTCTAATTTCCCCCCCCCCTCCATCTCTCTCTTTCAAGTGGTTATTTCAGATGCAGAGCCACATATTGCAAGTGGGTTTATATTTCCGCATACGTAAAATGAGACCATATCTGTGCTTTACGGATGTGGAGGATATTGGGCAACCCATACTTCTCAGCAACTGTCCGCTGTTTGGAACTAGCGGTGACTCTTTTTCTCTTCATCATGATAACCACCCGTCTTTTGGAGGAGGTTTTTTCTGTGAATGTATCTGTGTCTGTGTCCGTGGCTGTGTCTTTGTCTGCTGCACCTTGTTGGATCCAAAGTCAAGCTTCGGCATGTCGATCTTTGGCGCGTCCTCAACCTTCTTTCGCTGGACGCCGGATTTTACTGGGGATCGGGCATCAGCAGGCGGCCCGTATCTGACGTCCTTGACGTCCCATTTATCCTCCGCTGCCGCAGCCACCCACGTCCTGAGTCCTGTGTGGACACTGCCGTAAAATTTCTCCTTGCATAGTCGCAAGCTGCCCCCCATGCACCGCTCCCATCCAGAGATGCGAAGGTCGGCTCTCAGCTTGTTCCTCTCTTCCGTGGTGAGGGTGCATGCCAGGATGGCATTCATCAGGTCCAAGTGAGACGCGAGATAATTGGTCGCGTCCCACTCCACGCCGCCCACATAAGGGGCAGCGGGTACTGGGGCCTTTTCTTGTGGGAAGTGGCGGCGCATGTATGCATACTGCTGGTCTTCGTTGTTGGTAAGCCGGCCCATGGCTACATCACCTGAGTTGTCTGTCTCCGGCGTTAGCGCGACCACGTTGAGGTGATGAAGGAAGATCCAGAAGACTTCTTTGGTCACGCTGACGACCTCCTTGCACCAAACTCGGTAAGGCCGTTCTTGCCTCATTTCCAAAACGAATGGAAGTGGTCGGTTAGATTCATCCGGTTCTGGATCTCGCAGGTGTCTTAGGATGCTTCTAGCCCTGATAACACGCTCGGCAGTGGAGGCAGACTCGATATACGTATACAAGACAGATGTGATGATATTGCGCGTAGTGAATTCGCTAGGGCCCTTCTTCTCAGGGTCGAAAAGCATGTGTAATAGTTTCGGAAAGAGGTCGGCCTGGACAGAGTGGAGATACTCCATTGCTTTGGCTGTTGTAGAGAGGGCCTTGAGGCATAATAAGTTCTCGTGAAGCAGAGCGTCCTCGTGCTCCTCTCTATGTATTACCGAGTCAGCAGAGGGACAAAAGTAAGAAACCCATTTTATGATATAGCAAGCAGCGAAATGAAGATGGTTTAAGGACAGGGGGAGAAGAAGCTTACCTCCATTCTACCTCCATAATGCGATTTAGCAGCCCGACGATTTCTTTCATTCCTCCTTGCTGGATAAACTCTTCAATCCAGGCGACGGTCTCATTCCGCAGCAGGAGCCTTAGTTTGTGGAGTTTGCCAACTTCCACCTGCTGCGGCTGGCGCACTTTTCTAAAGTACGCAACATAATCAGCCGGGCCTTGCTGGAGTTTGATCTTGGACAACAGGCCGCTACTAGCAGATGAGTTGGCGCTCGAGGTTGGCCTGTTGTCGCTGGCTACGCTGTCGGCCGATTTGTTTCTGAAATGGCGGCCCAGCGTGCTTTCTCCTTTACTGGACTTTTTAGACGACGAACGGTTTTTCGATACCGAACGGTTTTTTGAAGTTGAACGGCCTTTCTCTTTCTCTTGCTCCTTCTCCTTCTTCGCGCGAGAGAAAGTGAAGCTCCGACCGCGGGTTCGCTTCGGCTTTTCCTCCTCGGCATCGGAGACGACGGCTGATGTGGAAGTAGAGGCGACGGCAGCGCCGTTAACGCTACTGCTCATGCTGGTTCGAGGGCGGTTCTGTTTGCGCTCTAGCTTGGCGGCTCGCATTTCGGCCCAGTCTTGTCGAATGAACTCCATCTTAATCGTATCGCTCAAGTTTCGCATCTTGTAGCGCTGGTTTTCTGGAATATTTCGGCGGTCTAAGAGCGCCTCGAGCTGCTTGTTGATGTCCTTTAAGTCCAGTACAGGACCAGCTGCTGAAGGGGAGCCGGCTCGAGGAGTCGACGTCTCCGACTTGGATCGGCCATGGCCGAAGCTAGCAAAGGTGCCAAAGACTTTGCCTCGCTCTCGGATAGACTTACCCTTGAACGAGTCTGACTTGGTCCCGTTGGGCGAATCCGACTTTATAGATGACTTCTTAATGTCTTGCTGCGATCTGGTAGGATACATGAAAGTGCGCGGTCGTTCCTTAGCCATCGAGCGTCTCTCTGAGGACTCCCTAGTACTCCTAGTTGGGCTAGGGGGCGGCAAGGAGTTCATGGATTCATTGTTGGCGAACTGAGCGTAAACGGGCAACGTAGCACTATGCGGCGGCTCAACCGGCGTTCTATTCTCTTTGTCCTTCCCTGACCGTATTTCATCACCATCTGTCACCAGCTTATGCAGGTTCTTAACCGTCTTGGGTCGGCTGAGAAGCCCCGTGAGGCTGGTTCCAGATTTCGCCTTCTTCGGACTCTTAGTTGGAGAGGATTCGCGCGATTTATTCATGCTCAGGAACAAGCTCTTCTTAGTAGGTGAGTCTGAGCGGCTCTCTGGCTCGGGGTCCGGTCGGCGTTCGTCTCGAGATTTACGCGGTGAGGGTCGAGGAGCCGGCTCCTGCTGATTATGCTGAAGCTCGCCAAGGGCCCCGGGATTGTTTCGGGCGAAGTTGCCGACGGGCATGACGTTGGAGAACTGCGCTTCCAGTGGCGAGGCCTTGGGTGGCTGCAGCGCGGCGTCGGTGGAGGATTGATCTCGGCGGTGGATGAACTTTAGGACGGACGGCTTCGCTCGTTGATGCTGGTGCTGAGGATTGCCGAAATTGCTGCTGCTGGGATTATAGATGCCATTGCTGGAGGCCATGGCACGCCTCTGCTCGATACGTCGAGCAGAAACACTCGCCTATTTCCTTTGCGTTTCTCTTTGCTGTTCGTGTATCTATATCGGTTTCCGGTTGCACAGCCGGGCGCTCCTTTTTTGGGGGGGTTGCGAAAGCCACTTGTTGTACAAAGGGACAAGAACGGGAATTCGACGTCTCGGACGGTAACTATACCCGGGCTGGTCTGGAACGCGCAATAACGAAGAAGACGAAGGAAATCACAGAAGGGGGGCCTTGGCGGGCCAAAAGGGACTCGGGGGTTGATAATCAAGAAAGTGATGAAGTTGGCAAAGAACGAAAAGAAAGGGCGCCAAAAGAAAAAGAAGAAAAAGAAAAAAAGATGCCTCAAGTTACAGATGCCAAAGTGACATTGCAGATTGCGGGAAGGGAAGATGTAGAAGAAGCTTCGTCGGCACCCAGGCTTGACCCTTTTCAACCTTGTATTCTGCTCTCTACATGTCTTGCCGGTGTATTGCGTCAAGTGGAGTATCTCTTTTTCTTTTTAGGGGAGCGCTGACAATTTCCAGGGAGGAGGGAGCCCCAAGAAGAAACACGCCCGTGGGTTGCGGTCGGTCGCGCGCCTCTCAACACGACGGGGCTTAGCTGGGGGTTGGTGAGTGGGTGGCGGGCTTTGGTTTGTTGTTGATGTGGGGAGGCGGTTGCCGGGCAACGGGGCATGGGACATGGGGGGGCCGCCGCGCTAAGATGCAAGCATTTTGATGCCAGGGGAAAAACAGGACGGGATGGGATGGCCGGGCCAGAAAAGATGTCATACGGCGCGATGGTGCTGGTGCTAGTGCTGCGACTGAGGAACTGACTTTGTGAGCTGTCGCAACCTGCGTATGAGGTGCGGCTGCGAGCTGTGGACGGATACCTACTAGGCCTATGTCATGTACAAAATGCTTGCGAGACTAGGCACTCCTACTTGGGGACTAGGACTACCTATTACTACCTAGGTAGGTAGGTACTAGGTAGCTCTAGCTGATGTACTCTGTATGTAGGGACTTATTATGGAGTAAACAAGCACCACATGGGAACCTTTTTCTTCCTTCTCTCTCGCTCCTCTCTTGTCGCGGAACTGGATCCCTGTCGAGCCGGGCGTGTGGCGTGGCAAGGAAGAATTGGGTGAATCTTGAGTGTGTGAGTGAGTGAGACATGCATTGCCTGACAACGATTTGCCGGTATCTGGGGAACGAAAAAGGGTGTGGGCATGTTTTGGTGGAGGAAGTGATTGGAGGAGGAGGGTGAGGAGTTGGCAAATCGTGAAGGGGGGGTGGGGGGGGTTTACTTCATTTATTGAAACTTTTTTTTTTGTTTTCTTTGTTTAATTTCATTTATCTAGGTTTTTGACATGTGGCGTGTGATGATGTGTTTGATAGGATGGCGGTGTGTGGTATGCGTAACGCAGCACTGGCGAGATCTATAGTAGGTAGCAGTTGGTATTACGTGGTAAAGAAAGAAGAGGAAGGAAAAAAAAAAGTAAAGAGGCTGGACTACGAAATACGGGCCTATCGCATCGAAGCCGGAAAGTTCCAGGCCTTGTGAGGGGGAGTTAAAAAAAAAAGAGGAAAAGGAGAGAAGAAGGATTAAAAAAGGGAACTGTGACGGCGAGGCTGGAGACAAGTGGCATGGTTGCGTCACACACGTGGCTGGGGATTGTGAAGAGAAAAAAAAAGATGGCGGAGGAGGGGGACCTTGCGGATATTAAAGACGATGAGTTGAGTTGTTATTGGGTGGGATGCAAGAGAACAGGTGAATTGGCCGTGCAGGAGGAACTGAATCGTTGCATGAGATAGACTACGTGGCGAGGTGGCAGGAAAAAAAAAAAGGCGGGCCGTCTAAACGAGTCGATCGTGATGAGATGTCACAGCGCACGGGTATAAGGAGCTGGAGTTGCTTCATTTGTTGACAATGGCACCGTGCGCGCTGTGCTCATATATGGAGCAAGTACATGGGTGCCTTTTATTAATACTATTAACTTTCCTATGGCTTTTGGCTTAACTTGAAGAGAACAAGGCTTTATTAAGTTCTCGTACTATATACATTAGTACGACTGACTTTGTTTACTAAAAGTGATAACACGTTTTATATTTTTAACTATAGCTAATAACTTTTGTATTAATTTTACAGAATTTATGCTTTCAAAACAAACACAAGCATCTTATTATTCTTTTATTGATGCCCCCCCAGCCTTTTTTTTTTTTTTTTTTTTTTTGTCTGTATGATGAATATCTTTGTACAAAGTGAAGCTGTTTCTGTACTGCAAAGGAGTGCGAGCTTTGTAAGTGGTGCTATATTTAATAGCAACCCGAATACGAAGGAGGCCCCTTAGAGTAAAGCTGCGATTGCAGACTGCAAGCCAGCGCCTACGATTACCAAGGATCTGAACTATCCGAGGGTTTTTCTTCCTCTATCGTAATATGATTTCTTCAATAACTCACAGGTCAACCAACGGCTGGTAATTCTTATCATCACCGTCACAAATACCACCGTACCACGGCTAGAAATAGCGACGGGAATCACTGTCTCTACAGATGCAGCAGATTCATATGGGTAATGAAGAGTTTTTTACATCATTCAATACTTTGATCATAATATTTTTCTTTATCTCCCCTTAACACGACGACTAGCATTACAATGTGATGATTTCTATCTTGCCCATCTCACTCTATGCAGCTTCTCGGAAGAAATTCTCAATACCACAGGATGTGACCTCTCTTTCCCATAGTTCGCGCCAGTAAATTATCCATAGTCTATCTTCTCTTGATCACGCTGCCTCTTCTACTCACCAGCGCCAGAGATGCTTTGAGATTCGACAAAGACGCTCAAGACCAATTAAAGCAAAGACGTTTACTTAAGCTTCTACAGATAAACACGGGATACGTCGTGACTTATAGCTCGGCTGGTCTAGGGGAAAAAAAATAGTAGATCAGACCCAAACGCCATATTCAGCTTCTTGCAACGCGACTGGTGCAGGAAAGCATGAATTTGGGGCCAATATTCGCCTATGTGACGCGACTGACCAATCTATAAACGCCAGCCCTCTTGATTATGGCACTGGAAATGGGGCTAGCGTTGTGGAAATTCTCTACTGATTTAATATTAGCAGCGCCGAGGGTGCGGATGGAAGAGATGCCTGCTTACCAGCAACTCGTGTATGCCGAGCCGTCGTCCAATCCTTATATAATAGGATTTTATATTAGTGCATATAAGATTCAATGGTTGTACTCCGTAGTTTAATTATCTTCACGTCATTATGCACGTTGTGTAAAACTGCAATGCCGATATTGCTTGCATAAGGCAGGTCGTCTAAATTGAGATGAGCCGCATCTACTGTCATCTCTCCTCGCTTCTTCTTTTGCGTTGTAGCATTCTGCTCCCAAGTGTCTTGTAAGCTCATTTACTCTTGATAGTGGCTGGGGGCATATCGGCAACTAGAGTAAGCAATCGTCCAACCTGTGAGGATGGATATCTCTCTATCGAGCTAGCCAGCTCCCAGAAGGAAGCATGATCTAAAGACTGTGTAATAATACCGGTTAATAGCTCCTCTCAAATAAGTATTAATCCATCTATGGAAGCGTATAGCACCCCGCTAAAGCTCAAACTCCATGCTAAAATGCTATGAGCTTAGACTTTGATAGCCAGATCAAAACGACCTACACATCAGGGCACGCGGAAGCTGCCTAAAGGCGCTCAGGCCACTAATTTGGGAGTCATTATGATTGTATTTCGGAGCCCGTACCGATAGGGTTAGCCGAATTTGCAAGATTGGTCTTATGCAGAGAGGATGATACCCAGGAAGTACTGCCGGCATTGGAGATGTTTGGCCTCCAACCCAATTCAATCTATGTACGAATGTGGGACCCCTGTTGTCTGCATAGCTCGGGAGATCGACCCCCCCAGTCTAGTTTGGACCCTGGATTCACGCGTAAGAAATCATATACATGATGCATACTGCATGCAAGCAAGAGCCAGAAACTGTAGATGCTAGTCTAATTGTTTCCACGCTCTTTGTAGTATTTCTCCTGATAGCTTGTACAGAAATAGCACAGACAGGACAGGGGTTGTGTGATTCGAAAAATATTTATGAAGCAGCAACACACGTCAAAAATAAAATGCTATATATATATATAGGTAATAGTAAATGATACAATACATACATGCAAAGCTAGCTGATAATACAACCAAAGGACGATTTTTTCCATCTCGTCATTCTATCCTCCATCAAAATTATACATGAAAAACTAAAAAAATACAGATATACCAGTCAACCAAATACCGCTGCAGTCTGTAATCTTTGTTTCTCTATTTTTTCTTTTTTTCTTTTCTTTTTCCCCCTCCATTCCATTTGCAACGGAAAGGTTTTTAAAACTGCTTGCCCTTGTATCCCTTGGGGGCCAGGACGACGTTGTACTCCAGATCCAGAGTAGCCTTGTCGTCGCCCTTGAGGGGCTTGAAGTCGATGATGAGGTCATCCTTGACAGCGAAGACGGTGTCGGTGGCCAACCAGGGGTCGTCCTTGGGGTAGAGCTGGGTTGTGCATCCCTTGTATTCGGGGTGGGTGACCTATTCAAGACGGCTGGTTAGCAGTGTTTATCGTTATTGGTGAATTTGCGTTGCATAAAAAAAAAAAAAAACTCACCATGATGTGAATGTGGGCAGGGCGCATGGGGTGGCGATCCATCAGCGACAGCAGCTTGTACGCAGGACCATCGGTGGGCAGAGAGTAGGCAGTGGGGTGGTAGCAGTAGAACCAGTATTTGCCGTTCTCGTCGGCCTTGAACTTGCCGCGCAGGTTGTTGGGGGTCTGGTTCTCGGGGTCCTGGAAGTCGTATTTGCCGTTGGCGCTGGCCTGCCAGATGTCGAAGACGGCGCCGGGAATGGGCTTGCCGGTCAGCAGGTCGGTGATGGTGCCGTGCATCAGGGCGACGCGGCCCTCGGGGTTGGGGTCCTGGATGATGGAGCCGCCGTTCTCGCGGAAGGGGGCGTTGGGCGACCAGAAGGGGCCCAGGATGGACGATGAGGTGGGATCAATGTCGCCCTCGGCGACGATCTTGTTGGCGATTTCATCAACGAGGCTACAGTGGCGTGTTAGTCAAGGCGGGAGCTGCATGGCATGCAAAGAGGGCGAAAGGCACATACGATTCCAGGCCGAGCACATCAGAGACTCGGTGAGCCTCGTTTCGGGTCTTGGTTGAGATCTGGCCCACGGCGTTGATAAAGTGCACGCCCGTCATCCACTCGTCGACAGTGAGCTCAACCTCGCGGGCAAAGTCGTGCAGGTGGGTTAACAGGGCGCTCATGACCTGGCGGTTGCGGGGAGTCATGTTGGGACCCATGGTCTCAATGACACGGCGGGTGAAGGTAGGGTCGAAGCGGGCCGAAGCACCGTTGGTGGTACCGTTGGTAGCCATTTTTGTGTATGTGTTATGTGTGTTATGTGTGGTGGTGGTGGTGGTGGTGGTGGTGGTGGTGAGAGTGTGTTGTATGTAAATCGAGAAGCGAGACTGAAGCTTTGCCGGTGGTATCTATCCAATGTATAAAAACTACGAGTGCTGTATGAATGCGAGAGGAAGAAAGAGAAGAGGAATAGAGAACTGAGAATGCAATGAAGAATGGAATATGGAAGGAGAATGGAAGACGGAAGACGGTGGGACGTTGAGATATATATAAAAAAACATCACAGCGGCCGTCTTCCACCCACAGGCATTAGGATTTGGCTTGTACATGCATCTATACGCCATCGGGCGGGTAAAGAAACTGCTGTCAGACAGAATAGCCTCGTGGTGAGTGGTCGAGGGGCAAAGTGTGGGGAAAACATGCGATGGGCATGAAGCCACCGGCATATGGGGGATTATTTTTTAGCCACTTGGTGTTGGCGGAAACGAGGCCCGGGAGCTGGAGTCGGGACTGGCTGCGCGGTGCGGTGCTGTGCTGTGATGGTGAGCGGCCCCCCGGGACAGCCGCGCCGAATACAGCGGTTAAGAAGTACCAGTTGGGCGCTTGATACGCTGGCGGGATGCGTTACATACATTAGATACCATGCCCAGCAGCAGTAGCAGCAGTAATAACTGTCAAGTGCCTTGATTTGACTTGATGCCTGGTAATGTAATACAGCAGTAATAATAATCACTGTAACAATAATAGGCATTTGAGAAGCTACATCCAACAATACTGCGCGTCTACGGTACAATCCTTTCCCCGGATGGCCCTCCCGGCGACGCATCCCCCACGGATACAAGCCATAACTACCCGAAAGCGCCTCTTCTCTTCGCCTGCTGCCAATTACCGAGTCTACAAACCGGCCGGGAAGCCCCTCATTTCTTTAGCGCCTGCGGCCCCCCCGCCAGCCCCCAAACCCCACAGCTAGGCGAGCGAGGCGAGCTCATTTTCCTGCTGTGCCCCGCGATTTTTGTCATTTCTAGTGCTCGATTCCGGGTCCAGCAGGCGGCAAGCGGGAAAAAAAAAATCCAACGACAAAATGACGACGGTTTTGCAGCCTGTTTCCCCTGACTTCGCCATTTCTCATATTTTGGGTGCTCCGGATATAGCGGCGCTAATTGAGACACACAGAGAGCGGCACTAGCATCGGGAAGTTTTTAGCACGGCGCGAGAGGCTTGGGGGATGCAAGTTCGACAGGGGATAAAGCAATATCCTCCAAATGGTTGCTATGATGTAGTGTAGATAGTAGTAATACTAGTTAGTAGTACTGTAGTATATCGATTTTACTACTCTAAGCCTTGAATCTTGTCGCGTCGCGAATGAATTGAAAGTTCTCCAATATTCATCTTCTCTCTTTTTTTTTTTTTTGTTTTCCATCGTACGATTCTCTTCTTCACATGACCTTGAACCGGCTCGCAACAACGGTTCGTTCGAAGCTTCTAATTCCTGATACTACCACGATCCCCGTTGGCGCGCGACCTCGGCCCATCCGTCCACAGCAGCAGCTGCGACAGCTATCACGACTCACGAGCAGCGCAATAAGCGGGAAGCCGCACACTCCTTCGAAAATGGGCATTCACCATCTCATGGTCGGCACATGGACGCCGCCCGGCGCCATCTTCACATTCGCCTTTGACGATGAGGCGCTCACGCTCAAGCTTGTTCGGCGCACTGAGATTGCGCACGACGAGCCCATCTCATGGATGACTTTTGATGTAAGTCAGAAAGACTCACGCCAAGCTGATTCAAAAAAGGAACAAGGAGAACAAGAGAGAGAATCTTTAGCTTCTTATGTCACGAGAGAAAAACTAACATTTTTTTTTTCTTGTTACAGCATGAGAAAAAAGCCATCTACGGCGCTGCCATGAAGAAATGGTCCAGCTTCAAGGTCAATTCCCCCACAGACATCGTCCACCAAGTCTCTCACCCAATGCTTCACGACCGTACGTCTCCCCATACCAAACAAGATATACCCCTCCCCCAAAACGCAACGAATCCAAATCTTGACCGTCTCGCTCTCCTACAGCTCAAGCCGCCTCCCCCGAAACAAACACCCGCGCCATCTTCCTCCTCTCCGCCAAAAAGCCCCCCTACGCAGTCTACTGCAACCCCTTCTACAAGCACGCCGGCCACGGCTCCGTCTTCGCCACAGACGCTTCATCAGGCGCCCTGGCGAACAACGTCCAGAACTACGAGTACCAGCCCAACACCGGCATCCACGGCATGGTCTTCGACCCGACCGAGACGTACCTCTACTCGGCCGATCTCACAGCCAACAAGCTCTGGGTCCACAAGAAGAAGCAGCCCGAGTCCCCAGAGCTCGAGCTCGTCGGCTCCGTCGACTGCCCCGACTCGCGCGACCACCCGCGATGGGTCGCCATCCACCCGTCCGGCCAGTATCTCTACGCCCTCATGGAAAAGGGCAACCGCATCTGCGAATATCTCATCGACCCGTCGACTCACATGCCCGTCTTTACGCACCGTCACTTCCCCCTCATCCCACCCGGCATCCCCGATCGCTGGACTCAGTATCGCGCTGACGTGTGCGCTCTCTCTTACTCAGGCAAGTATCTCTTTGCGTCGTCTCGTGCCAACAGCTTCGATCTCACCGGCTACGTTGCCGCGTTCAAGCTGTCTGATGAAGGAGTCATTGAGCGCCAGATCTGCCTGAATCCGACGCCCACGAGCGGCGGACACAGCAATGCCGTGGCACCGAGCGATTGGACCGACGAGTGGGTGGCCATTACGGACGACCAAGAGGGATGGCTGGAGATTTATCGGTGGCAGGATGAATTCTTGGCGCGGGTTGCGAGGGTGCGGGTTCCGGAACCAGGATTTGGCATGAATGCCATTTGGTATGATTAGAGACTGTAAGATGAGAAATGAGGCTATAGAAGAAAACAAGTAATAGAGAGGGATAGAGAAAATCAACAACATGCATCATATTGAGGTAAAGAAAATAAAGGGGATGTTTGCCCCAGAGCCCACGGAGCAGATTCCGTCGCCCTTGAACACGCTAGCATATAAGTAAAGGTGAAATACACGAATTAATTTTGTGGCCTAGCCCACATCATCTTTCTTTTTTGAGGCAGTATTCCACAGTAGCCATTGCACTCCATCGTTCGCTACTTGTTTTCACATCCCCCCCCTATTCCGCACACGTTTGAAGCTGTACTTTATCTCGCCATCGCTATCTGGTTCCATTCTGGTCTTTTCCTAATAGCGGCGTCGTTTCGGTGTGCTCATCTGCGCCCTCTGCTTCGCCGTTGGCCGGCTTCGCAGTCTCGGTTGTGGTTGTAGTCACTACCGTCGTACCTAGGCCTTGCTTAATCTTGAATACACTTCCTCTTGTGCTGCTCAGTGGATTCGCCGCGCGGTTCGCAGGACCGAGCCGGAGTTGCTGTCGCATCTCATCGAGCGAAGCTTTAACAGGCACCGGGTTCTTTCCGATGCGGCCGTCAGGACCTACTGAGTGTTGGCGTTTCATGAACACAGCTGTCTTGGGAGGGCGCTCAAGGTGGCCTGAGTCACTCTTATAGGAGCCGACTTCATGGGTCTGACCTTCCACATTTTTGTGGTTATTAGCCACAATGTCTGGCGTCTTCCTTACCGCTACTCCCGCGCCTGGATTGTCACTGTGCCTACGGTGCACCCGGGGAGCAGGAGTCAGACGTCGGATAGCCTTGTGTACGTCGACGTAGACATCTGATTCGTCGACAATTTCCCTATATGCCTCGCGTTAGTAACAGACAGCATAGCGTGTATGGAAGTTGATTTTATATCTGATAAGGGACCACATATTAGAAATTCCTGCACTCACTCTCCGATAAGCTCCTCAATAACATCCTCCAAGGTAACCACACCAAGAGCACCGTGGTTAGACCCAGGGAATTCAGAGACCAGCACCATGTGGGATTTTCCCTCTTGGAAGAAGTTGATAATATCCAGGCAGCTCGTCTCAGGCCGTGTTTCTACAACAGCCCCCAATTGGACGTCCCTAACCGGGATACGATCTTCGGGATCATACGTAATGAGGGTCTTGACAAGAAGCATTCCCACGAAATCGGTCGGGTTGCCTGCACGGTAGATGGGAATTCTCGAATATCCGGAAGACAGAATTGTATCCATGGTATCCTCATCCAAGATATGGTCTTCCGCAAGCGTAAAAACGTCGTCCATGGGAGTCATAACTTCCGACACGGGCTTGTCCTTGAGATCCAGAACGGCAGTGATGATGGTGACCTCATCTTGGTTCAATCGCTCCGACACTTCGCCAAGAGACTTGTGCAAGGTCACAAGCGTCTTGAGGCCACTCTTTTTGTATACTGTGCCGTGATCCTCTCCGAGAATCCAATCGAGAAGCTTCGCGGTCGGCCAAGCGATCGGACCCAAGAGGTACATGAGAATCAAGACAGGCGTCGACATTGTTCCGCCAATCGGCAGGCCAAATCGCACACACACTGACTGAGGCACGATTTCGCCAAAAATGACTGCATTCGGGATTAGTATGGAAGAAGTGGCGAGACGATACGAGCAAGCAAACAAATGGCCAAGACAGAGGGGCTAAAAGTGCTCACCGATAAGGATTGTGCTGCCTACGACAGCGGCAACACCGCCGCCCAAGAAGCGGTCCAGTACCACGGGGAGCGATTCGTTGACAATGACGTTGGCAAGTAGTAGGGTGACTAGAACCCAATGCTTTCCCCGGTTGAGCAGTCGAAGAACTCGTGCCGCGTTCTTGTGTTGCGGCTCGGTAGGGTCGCCAGATACGACCTGGAGGTAGATGGAGTCTTGGCCCATCAATCTGCTACAGCGTCAGTAACCCGCGTCACGATTGCCACGGTTAGAGTCTAGTCACGTACGCGATCGTCAAGCCGGCAAATGCGCCGCCCAGCAAAACAAGCGTCATCGACGCGACGGCCAGCACCCATATGGGAGTATCCGTGTGCTCCTCATGGCGCTCTTGCGACGACAAAGGCGCCGCCGAAACCGCCGTAAAGCAGAGGCCGAATACTCGCCCCAAGCCCAGCACGGCAGGGCGGAAGCTGGCGAGGCCTCCCGGGGCGCCTCTCCTGTTCATAGCCAGATTTCGACTTGGGTGGCTTCAATCGTGCCGCTACAGGCGTTGGAAGAGGATATAGAATCGGTTCGTCTCTGTCGGGGAGAGAATGGTGGATAAATGGTGTGGCGATGCACGTCCCGTTGCGATAGGAAGACCCGCAGTCCCGGCTAGCTGCTGATGGTCGCTGCCGAAATCTCGACTTGTCCGGATCGTAGGAAGAGCGGCGTTAATGTTGCTGCAGGACGCAACAACGTAAAAGGAAAAAGCTGATGTCTGTCTGGGCCGATGCCGATGGATCTGGGGTTCTGAGCCCTGCGCAGAAAAAGAAAGAAAGTTGGGATTTCGGCTCGAGCTTCGTAAGGCAGGGAAGCTTTCAAGCTCTGTGGACCGCAAGCTAGCGGCTTCAGTGCTACTAGTAGGTACTCTGACTCTGTCCAAGCGCCGTGATGACGACAGTTCCTTGTTCCTGCGCCAAAAAGCGGCCCCACGGCTCGGCAGCTCGGCAGTAGATGCTAAGCATCATCAGGTATAAGACAACCGTAGATATCGGCTTGGATTATCTAGTGTGATCAAGCAATTGAAGCATTGCATCAACAAGGTCACTTTTTAAATTCAATACTATGTTGTATGGTGTCGCGATGACCGGTAAACCAGCAGGTTATTACTTTGTGGTATCCAACGTCTTTCCCTAATAAGTCACACAGAGCGGCCTAGGCCAAATACCAGCTTAATCGATAAGATCGGCTTTCCGTTTTATAGCTGAACCAACACCACATCCAAGACTCCTTCAGACCTGCGTAGCCCCTCCATGACCTCTTCATCCACTGGCCTATCTATGCCCAAAATCATCAATGCCTCGTTTCCTTGCTTCACAGCACCAGAAGCGCCTTGCTTCGAGTCCTCGTCTAGGCTCGCGACCTGCATGAATCTGATGTTGATTCCATGAGATCCCAGCACCATGCCGACGCCTCCAATCTTGCCCGGCTCATCATAGTTGTGCAGAAAAATCATTGTCCCCTCCGGCGTGAAGGTTGCATTGAACCGATCCAGCTTAGAGATGTACAGCCTCTTGTCTGATGCGTACCCTTGAATAACTTGCTCGCCGCTCCCGTCGTCGGCATGCGCCTTGAGTGTCACCAAGTTAGCATATGACAAATCGCCTGGCTGATGCGAGTGCGTCTCGCTTATTATGATGCCCTTTTCTTTGGCAATCATTGTGGCATTGACGATATTAACGTGAGACTCGCTGAACGAGGCAACCAGCCCCTTGACCAGCGCCGCATATAGCGGTTTCGTGTTGGACATTCCTGCCAAGTCGCCATGATATATCAGCTCGAATTTGCGCCCACCAACCAATCCTCCCTTGGCCCTGACGAAATGCTGGGAATAAAGACGCCCCATCTTCTCAACCAGCTGCACAAACGGCTGCACCTTGCGGTATTCCTCGGGCAGAATGATTGGTGCGTTGACAGCGCTGGTAGGAAGGCCACCTCGTAAGATTTCAAGCACTTGCGTGCATACGTCTATTGAAACGTTCTCCTGTGCCTCGACAGTAGACGCTCCCAGGTGAGGAGTAGCCACTACTTTTGGATGCCTGGCGATCTGGCCAGCGGCCGAGTCTGCCTGGGGAGGTTCTGAGGTGAAGACGTCAATTCCTGCTCCAGCAATCCATCCTTCATCAAGAGCCTTCACTAGTGCGGCTTCATTGTACACTCCGCCACGGGCGACATTGAGCACTCGAGCCGTCTTCTTCATGCTCTTGAACTCCGCTTCACCGACGAGGTCCAGCGTTGTTGCAAGCAAAGGGGTATGGATGGTTAGAAAGTCCACGATGGGAAGAATTTCCTTCAGATCAGACGCCAAGTCAACGCCCGCCTGCCGTGCCATGTCCGGATTGGCATACGGATCGACAGCGACGACTTTCATGCCGAGACCCTTTGCCATCCGTGCAACATTCATGCCAACTTTACCCAGTCCAACGATACCAAGAACTTTTCGTCCCACCTCGATACCAACGAGTTTGCTTCGTTCCCAGCCTCCCTGCTTTAAGCTTCCATCTGCTTTGCCAATGTTTCTAGCAGTAGCGAGAAGCAGAGCTATTGTGTGCTCTGCGGCAGCAAGAATATTTCCAGAGGGCGAATTGACAACAATGATGCCTCGAGAGGTTGCTGTTGGCACATTGATATTATCAACACCAACGCCTGCTCTTGCCACCACGCGAAGTTTCCTTCCAGCAACTAACACCTCCTCTGTTACCTTGGTCTCAGATCGGACAATTAACCCATGATAGCTTGGGATCTGAGCTATGAGCTCAGCGTGGGTTAGGCCTAACTTGACGTCCACGTCAAAGTGCGGCTCCAACATTGCCAGGCCATCTGGCGAAACTTTCTCGGGGATGAGAATACGAGGTCTAACATCACCAATGTTATTGGTGGCACTAACGCTTGTTGCCATTGGAGCCATTTTGCTCTGTGCAATCAGGCTTCGTAAAGATTCAGCTGCCACGCAACAGCAAATATATTTACTTGCAAAGAGAATATCAACTCAGAATGGTATCTCAGTAGAAAGGTAAAGGTATTATGGTAAACAGAATTTGAATTAAACGCTAATAGCTCTTGGAATGGGAAGCGGCCGAGAACGTCTTTTATGACGTTTCGCTGCGCTGGGCGACCCCTCAGTAAGCTTTCGACGGTGGCATTTGATGTTGTGAACGCCAGCCGCCGCCACGCGCGTACAGTCATAAACACAACTAAGAGATAGCCAACGCTCCAATCCCGGTGTCTACGGGCCTGGCGTGGCTTGTATCAAAACGAGCCGTGCGGTGTATCTATCTGCCCATTCAGAGATGCAGGATGCAACCTTACAAGTATGCACGGGTCGACTAATTCGCGGACAATGGACGGTTGGCATAATGTGTAAATATCCAGCCAGACGATCTAATAGGCCAGTCGCCAGTCTACGGTAGCCAAAGGTGACTCTGTTATGTCATGCGATTTGGTATTATCTTTTACACCCCCCCACGAAGGGTAAGGCACACACGCAGAAGCTGATGGCAGGCAACGAATTGACATTGGCGGCTAATGTCCTATGAAATCGCTTGGCAAGCCAACCTTGGATGACCCCAGCCCGAGATGCGGAGACTTAAGCGATCGATCTTGGAGAAGCGGGGGAGGGGCGTTGGCTTCTGGCTAAAGCTCTTCTGGAGTTGCTCTGCAGTGTATATATCCATTGAGCTGTTCTTGGTTCTAGTCTGAAATACGGCCCGTTTGGCAGGGGGTTTCGGTGTATTCATTGTTGCAATGCTAGGGTGATATGGCCTGACTTCTCTCCCTTTCCAGCTTATAAGTGGGATCTTGTCTGATTCAAGGATTCAAAACCCCCACTAGGCGGCCTCTCGTTTTGCAAGTTTTCGAAATATTTCTCGCTGCTTTTGGGGGGTGAGTGATATGTTGTGGTCGGTGTATTAGTTGCTGACGTGCATCATTAGAACGCGGATTTCCACCTTCTCCGACGTTGCACCATACAAGGCTTGAATTTGAAATGACAAACCCGTGAGAGAGACATCTCCCTTGCATTAGGAAGACGCCCAGTTGGTAAGACTTGTGACGAAGCGATGCGCACAAATGAGTGAATTGCTCGCTTGCATATACAAAACCTGTGGGATTGGGCCACAGAGCCAAATGTTCTAAAAAAGATAACCATGCATGGCAATCGCCCTTGCATATGAACACGTATGATTCCGAGTTATCCGCAAACACTGAAATCAAGACACTGTTTCCAAGCAGTTACTCGTCCTCATCATCATCCTCTCTGGCTTCGTCATCGCTATGCACCTCTTCGTCATTCTCGCCATCTTCTTCATCACTCTCTTCATCGTCGAGATTAGGATCAGGCATCACGACGCTATTGAGAAACGTAATCTATCGTACGCCACATTCAGCATGTAAATTCGAAATGGATACACAAAAGAAATGGCATTGATGAGACTTACGAAGCTCGATAGACCCCTCATCGTCTCTTTGATTTTGGCCTGTGCATCGTCACTACTCAGGACATCGTCGTCAATCTTGGTGCCGATAGTGAAGTTTCGAAGCTTTAAAAGCTCTATATCGCGATGCGTGACTTCGTAGCCCTAAATCGCCGAATAAGACAACAAAAATCAGCGAAATCAGTCGCCTTCATAATGCTAGGATAAAAGGGGCGGGGATAGCTCCAGACAATACGACAAAGAAAAAAAAACATACCATGGGCTTCTTCTTGAGCGCATTCTCTTGATTCCGCGCCACAAAAGCCTTCACCACGGCCTCCACCCCATCCTTTTCCTTCACCGTTGGGAAAAACACCTTCTTAAAGTGCGGGTCACTAAATGCCCGTCGCCACCTCCTCGGCCTCTCGTCGATGCTCTGCCGCAGCTTGGCTATATACGCCGCCTCCGGATGCCACAGCCCGCCGCCTATGAAGGTGGCCTTGGGCTCGCAGTGAACGTAGTATACCGCGTAAGGACCCTTTTTGCCTGTACGGGACCAAGCAGCGGAGAAGTGAGCCTGTATTTGAAAAGTAAATTAGATGGGTAAAATGAATTCGACGAGGTGGGTGATTGAATTGCGTACCTTGTACGGCGTCGGATCTTTGCTGAAGCGAATGTCACGGTGAATGCGGAAAATAACGTCCTTGGCGGGCAGCTCGGGGATGGTTTCGTCAACCTCGATGAGTGTCTGTGTGGTTGCCTCGACAAATGACTGCCAGTCTTTTAACGCCCTTCTATACTCTCCATCGTGTGCTGCATTGAGTAGTCAATTAGTAATGGACTTGAGATTAAAGGGCAATGATAGTTTGTTTGCTCACATTTCAGCCATGACCTCTTATTGTTTGCCTTCAAGTCTTTCAGAAACAGCATAGTATTCTTATGCACATAGTGGTCTTCATAGGGAACGCCTCCTGTATCTCGTAGCTTCTCCAACGGGATGATCTCAACCTTTCGTGGCCCATCGTCATCATCGTCATCATCGTCATCATCGTCGTCATCACCGTTGTCTTTATCATCTTCATCTTCATTCGGTGTATGATACTGATCTTCATCAGACTGCTCCTTAGCTTTCTTTGCAGGCCGTCCACGGGATTTCTTCTTTGGCTGCACTTCCGCCTCTTCCTCGAACTGTTCTTCTGCATCAGATTCACTTGCTGCTTTCCTACCCCGCTTTCTGGTCTGAGTTGCTCGCTTCTTGCGGCTAGACACTTGATCTTCACTCTCATCTTCGTTTGAGCTTTCAAAGTATACGCTCTTCAGCTGCGTGCTAGACAAGCGGCCGGAGCGCCGGCGCGTGCCGGCCGACTCTTGGCTGGGGGCTGATCGCTTAGCAGCAGGCATTGCTCAGTAGTTGAAAGGAGTCAAAATCTTGACTTGAAGTTTCAATGGCCAAGTGAAATTTTGAAGGAAGAAAAAGATAAATCTCAATCTCTCTTTGTCAGCCACTTTGCGGAAAGCTGGCTCGATGTCGTAATCCATTACCGCGACGGCGCGTCTTACGATGCGAACTGGAACCGCGCTATCACGTGATATGTTTTCCAATTTACGGAAGAACTTACAGGACGAGCCGTCGGGGCATCTTTGAAGGTCAAGAGTAATGAAAATTGGCAACTTTTTGCTTCTTTCCGGATTTAGAGCGATTTTAAATGGCATCATTCTGAATATTCTCCAGAAGAGCCTGGTAAATGCCGTTTTGCAGCAATTATGTTGCTAAATCCTGAATACATGTCCCAAAAGCTCCAGATACTCCTACTTGCTTGTCTATCATCACCTACTCACGCCTGCGTTTCCAAAGACATCTCCGTCCGCTCAGGCGTAGAAGCCTTGCAAATCCCTCTCATGGAACGAAACATCTTCTTCAGAAATTTGAGATCCTGCATCTTTGCACTAACCCACTTCTCAGCCAGCGCTTCCACGCTCTCGCCGTCCGGCCCCATCGCCTGAGCAGCAGCGGCACAAATCCTCGCCACACTGTGCATCCTCTCAAACTCCTCCTTTGGTATCGCGTCCATTTCTTCCGGGAGGTAGATTATGTCGACGACCTTGTAGAGCCGCTGTGGGAAGTTCATGTTGAGGACGGGCTCCGACTCGCTGAATTTGATAAGCTTCTTCTTGTAAGCGGTCCAGTTGGCTGGCGGGATGGCTGTGAGCTCTGATGTGAGATAGATGAGCGTGGCTTCGAGACGCTCGCGGCTACTGTTGGCCATGGCTGGGCTGAAGCTGACTCTGGGAGGCTGCTGGTCTTGGAGTTCTTTGAGGCGGCAGATGGCGTTCGTTATTTGAAGCTGCTTGAGTGCCAACTCCTCTGCGGTCACGCCTTGAACCATATCAAAGAGTTTCATAATTAGCTCTTCTTGAGTATCGTTTCCTTGGACTCCTTCAGGCTCGATAGCTTCGAGGCTACCAATTTCTCCATCCTTCGACTGAGCGTTTGGAGTAGTCACCACAGTGTCATCGAGATCCATGGCTTCAGTATTATCGCCGTTGGTCGAGCCTTGCTTCCAACCAATGGTACTAGCTCGGCTAGTCTAGATAAATTGTACAAACTCAGTAAAACTTTTTGAATGACTTCTCCAGTGGAAGACTGGGAGAGGAGAAGAGGAAGAGCTGGACTCACTGGTCGCGATATGGGTCCTTCATCTGGAACTAAAGTCTGGTTATTGCCAGGCAGAGAATCCGCCATAGTAGCTGCTTGAAGAGGTAACGATGAAATTGACGAGTGTATTCGCTTGTTTTTTTTTTCTTGTTTGAGTAGCTTCTTCAGTGGCTAGTAGAACATCTGATGTTGTCCTGTTGATCGACCGAAGGGGGGTGAAGATGCATTCGTAGCTAAAAGAAATCGGTGTGTCAGTAGTCTCAAAGGAAGAAGCTCAGCTAAAAGCCGATTGATGCAAGGTAAGCTTCTTAAATGCATTGGATCGAGCGACCTTCAGACAAATAGATGATATAGAAATGCATCGGGCCGCGAGCCACCTGGCAGCCTCAATCTACAAACGTGTGCACTTGGTGGGATCATAGAACATGCGGTGCTGTAAAGGTTGGGAGAAGTGATTAATGAATTGAATTAGCAGTCTACTTTGATTCCACAATGCCTATCATCAATATTATTTGATCAGTACCTTGCCATGATTTCTCTTGGTAATACTGACGAGCTTGGCCGAGAGCCTATCAAGGTCTTCAATGCTCCTAGAAAGAATAGTGTATAGCCACTACTTAGTTCTGTAGTTATGACGAATATCTGGAGAGAAGTCATTGAGCGTCCCTCAAACACAAACATCGCACCTATGATACAGTGATCCTTTGGCATAAACCAGATATACAAAGCTCACACCACAAGCTAACACATTTGCTAGGTATCAAATTCAAAAAGTTCAATCTATGCATCTACTTTACAGTTGCAGAGTTGCATTCGAATTTTATAAGACTAAAAACATATCCGCGTCATAACCGACGATAACACCGGGGAACTTCTTTGGTTCCTCTAGATAATAAAACATCTATGCATTTTTTTACAGTTCGTCATGGAAGTCACCCTCCTCCTCGCCACCAGCACCCTGGTACATCTTGGAGGTGATGGGGTAGGCGACGTTGGACAGCTTCTCCTTCTGCTCCTCAAAGTCCTCGGTGCTGGCGTCGGCGCCGTTCTCCTCAAGCCACTCAGTAGCCTCCTTAACAGCCTCAAGGATCTATTTCATAAAAGTTAGCAAAATGTTCGCTTCATCACAAAAATGATGAGTTCAACTTACAGTCTCCTTGTCCTCCTCGTCGATCTTGCCACCAAGACCCTCCTCGTCGTTGACCTGGTTCTTCAGGTTGAAAGCGTAGTTCTCAAGACCGTTACGAGCCTCAATGCGCTCACGAGTAGCCTTGTCTTCCTCAGCAAACTTCTCGGCCTCAGCGACCATGCGGTCAATCTCCTCCTGAGTGAGACGACCCTTGTCGTTGGTGATGGTGATGGACTCCTGCTTGCCGGTGCCCTTGTCGTGGGCAGAGACCTTCAGGATACCGTTGGCATCGAGCTCGAAGGAGACCTCGATCTGAGGAACACCACGGGGAGCGGGGGGAATGCCGGTAAGCTCGAACTTGCCGAGGATGTTGTTGTCCTTGGTCATGGAACGCTCACCCTCGAAGACCTGGATCAGGACAACGGGCTGGTTATCAGCAGCAGTCGAGAAGATCTGGCTCTTGCGGGTAGGGATAGGAGTGTTGCGGGGAATGAGCTTGGTCATAACTCCACCAGTGGTCTCGATACCGAGAGTCAAGGGGTTGACATCCATGAGAACGATCTCCTCAGTGCCTTCCTCACCGGAAAGAACACCAGCCTGAACGGCGGCACCGAAAGCAACAGCCTCATCGGGGTTGATACCCTTGGAAGCCTTCTTGCCGTTAAAGTACTCCTCAATCAAAGACTGGACCTTGGGGATACGAGTGGAACCACCAACGAGAACGATGTCGTCAACCTCGCTCTTCTTGACGTTGGCATCCTTGAGGACCTGCTCAACAGGCTTGAGGGTCTTCTTGAAGAGATCCATGTTGAGCTCCTCGAACTTGGCCCGGGTAAGAGTCTCGGAGAAGTCGTTGCCCTCGAAGAAAGCCTCGATTTCAATACGGGTGCTCATCTGAGAAGACAGAGTTCGCTTGGCCTTTTCGGCTTCACGCTTGAGCTTACCCATAGCCTTGAGGTCCTTGGAGATATCAACGCTGTTCTTCTTGTTGTAGGCCTTGGCCAGGTAGTTGATAACACGCTGGTCAAAGTCCTCACCACCAAGGTGGGTGTCACCGGCGGTAGCCAAAACCTCAAAGACTCCGTTGTCAATGGAGAGGAGGGAGACATCGAAGGTACCACCACCAAGATCGTAGACAATGATCTGGCGCTCACCATCAGTCTTATCCAGACCATAGGCGATAGCGGCGGCGGTGGGCTCGTTGACAATTCGAAGGACGTTGAGACCGGCAATGATACCGGCATCCTTGGTAGCCTGACGTTGGTTGTCCTGGAAATTTGTTAACACAAACGATTCTGTTTCTTTCCTCTTTCAAGGGATGGGACAAAGAAACTTACGTTGAAGTAGGCGGGGACAGTGACGACGGCGTGGGTGACCTTCTTGCCCAAGTAGGACTCGGCGACCTCCTTCATCTTGCCCAGGACCATGGCGGAAATCTCCTCAGGAGTGAACTGCTTCTTCTCGCCGTTCACCTGGACCTGAACAATGGGCTTTCCATCCTTGTCAATGACCTTGTAGGGGAAGTGCTTGATATCGGCCTGGATGTCCTTCTCGGCGAACTTGCGACCAATCAATCGCCTGCGTAACTGTTAGCAATGCATCTATTTATATCTTGACGCTCATTCAAGGGCTTTGACTGACTTGATATCGAAGATGGTGTTGGTAGGGTTAGCGGCGGCCTGGTTCTTGGCTGAGTCGCCAACCAGACGCTCCTCATCGGTAAAGGCCACGTAGGAAGGAGTAATTCGGTTACCCTGATCGTTGACGAGAATCTCGACCTTGCCCTTCTGCATCACACCGACACAGCTGTAGGTAGTACCCAAATCCTGTAAAGAAAACGTGTTAATAACCAGGCAAACACCAATGGCGGGGTTGTCTCCAGCCTTGTCCATGTCTACTTACAATACCGATAACAGTTCCGTAGTTGTCCGCATCATCGCTGGCATTGGCCTTTCCAACAAAGGCCAAAGGAGCGAAGAGGAGGGTGATCCAGCAGAGCAGACCCAGGCCCAAGGCCAGGGAGCTCCGTGAACGAGCCATTGTGAAGAAAATGTGTAGAAAAAAAAGTATGCGCCGACCTATGTACCCCGCGCACGTATAAGCCCGTTAACCGGCTGAAAAGAAAAAGAAATGTAAGGAAATGCGCAGCGATCTAACGCAGCGAGCTCAATTGTTTCCTCGAACCAGGCGTGTTGACCAGGTGAGGGGGTATCTTTGCTGGAGAGAAAAGGAAAAATGGGTTGGAGAAGAGAAGGCGACGATCGGCCACTTATGAATGCTGCCCCAGAAAAAGTTGAGGTGTCCAGAAGGCTCCAAAAAGGCCAGATTTCAGGTAAGTTCAAGGTACGGGTCCCTTGCGCGGGCCAAACAGGGCCCCCAGAACCTTCTGCCCCGCACGTGACAGGGGTCTTAATTCTGCGTACTGTGGTGTCGCGCAGACGTGGGTGCAGCCATACAGTGCACGCATCCGTCAGATACGGAGCACATGGCGCCCTGTACCTGCTCGCCGGGCATTTTTGACAGCCTACCAAGAGGCTCCAAACACTACACCTACCTATTTGGAGGTGCTGTGAACAGCCAACGCCACACGTTCTCCATTTTGCCCCTCCAGCCTCCAGGCGAAGAGGCCACGCTGCTTGGTTCTGATATTAGACGCTGACGGAGGAATTTCGATGCTATTCCAATAGCGTGACTCAGAGCTAGACTATGGGGGTCTGCGGCTGGCAAAATGGGACCGAGTCTTGGTATTAGGCACAATGTGATCACAGAACAGGAAGCTGTTTGTTACTGAAGCGCTGTGGCCACGGTGTACCATTATTGCACGCTGCCTTTCTTTCTTTCTTACCTTCCATGTATAGTGCGCTTATGCTTTTAATGTTTTGTATCAGGTTTGCAGGTGTAATAAGCGCCAGTCCGCCTTCAGACCAAGCGTAGGTATTACTAGTAATTTCTCCGCCTCAGCACTCGGCATTTCCCGGTGGATACCGTAGAGGCAAACACTCTGCTGTCAAGTTCAGATTTGCCACAACGAGGCTGAAGTTCTATAAGTAGATTGCCACTTACAAGTGGTACATTACTACTACTGCTGCTGCTACTACATACTGCCCATGATTGTGGCTACGTGGTATCAACTATAGTCGGTAAAATATTTCTACACGTCATGACAAGCACTACCGTAGTACTACAGGAATGCAAGGCTACCGAATAGATCCTTGGATACTTCTGGTTCGCTAGCTTGTCTTATCTGTCACATCTGGTTGATGAGCCTAGTAGTTTGTAACGAAGGAGAATCTTACAAAATCCGCAGTTCTATCAACTTATGGCACTTTGACATTGGTATACGCGTTTATCTAACAAGCGCCCATTTGCTTTTTGTTGCAAAATATCCCCGTTCTATACCCGTAATCCAAAGAAGAAAAGTAAAAGGAAAATAATGCTATTTTTACTCTAATAAGCCAGCGGCTATGGTTTCACCTTCACTTCGTATAACAACCCGTTGTCCAGCCTCCAAGGGAACCTTGGCCTCCAGCTTGATCAAAATCCGAGCGACTCCTCCGGGCTGTACAACCTTGGGCTTCTTTTTGATCACTTCGCCAGTGGCCTTGTCAAGAGTAGCCGCTATGGATTGGATCTGGCCTGCTGCGTGGAGTCTGCCACGGTGAAGATCCACTGGCATCGGCATCAGATGCTCAAATGCCATGGCTTTCATAGTAAACGTGTCGCCAACAGCGATGGGATCCGTTGTGTGGCAAATGATGTCGCCGATTTTAATATGAATGGGGTCGATATTTGTCAAGGCAACGCTGACATTCTGGCCAGCCACTGCCCAGTCCTTGGCCTCGGTATCAAGCATGATAGATTTGATGTACGCCGATTCCCCGCTTGGCTGCACCAGCACAGTATCTCCAATCTGGATTGTGCCAGAGTCTATACGGCCGGCAAGAGTCGTGGTTCCCTGCTGCGAACGGAAAATCTCGGAAATCGCCATTCGAAAGGGTTTCTTTAAAGCTCGTGCGGTTGACGGCCCAGATGCTTCCAAGCCCTGTATTAGAGTAGGTCCTGTATACCAAGCCCCAGCAGCATCTTCCGTTCTCTTGACAATATTATCTCCATTCAACCCTGATATGGGAATGAATGTGACATGCTTCTCTTGAAATCCGAGACCGGTCAAAAAACCAGAGACTTCTTCTGATATTTCCTTGAAGCGATCCTGGGACCACCCGACCATGTCGAGTTTATTTACAGCAACAATTAGCTGTTGAACACCTAAACTCCGTAGAAGCAGAACATGCTCTCGCGTTTGTCCTTTCAGCCCCTTCTCGTAAGCTCCAGTGTTGGCATCGATAACCAGGATTGCAAAGTCTGCCTGACTAGCGCCAGCAATCATATTAGGCACAAAGTCTCGATGGCCCGGGGCATCTAGAATTGTAAACTTTGTTGATTCGGTCTCGAAGTGGTTGGTGGCGATATCTATCGTCACTCCTCGATCTCGTTCTTCGCTTCTCTGGTCCATGACCCACGCCAGCGCGAACGATTGCTTTCCAATCTTTTCACCTTGTCGACGGTATTTGTCAACTGTACGCTCTTCAACAAGCTTGAGCTCCAGAAGAAGTCGACCCATTAATGTACTCTTGCCAGCATCGACGTGTCCTAAACTATGGTCAGTGACATCCACCTCGGAATAGCATAATTAAACGAACCAACAACTACGAAACTAGCATTCCTCTTGCTAGCATTTTGTTCAAATTCCTTGATGACATCGAGACCTTTACTATTAGGCGGCGGCCCATCGTTGACCTTAAGGCTTGAGACACTGCTCGCAAGCCCGCTCTCTTTGGCGGCTTCCTCGTTCTTTTGTGATTTCTTCGCGGCTTTCGGCGCGGCTGGGGTTTTTTTTCCCGCTGGTTGAAAAATTAGAATTAGCCCATCATTTCGCCTTAGCAAAATTCGAACCTTTCGCCTGAGCTGCGAGCACAATATCGTCTGGACTGGGCTCCGAGAAGGCGTTGGCTAGGAAAGAGGAAGATTGGGTGTAGGGCATTGCAAAAACATTAGGCCTCTGCGTTTGGTCTGCCTCCAGAGCCGAACCAAAAAGCGTGCGCGCGAATGCAGAAGGAGCATGGCTATGGCTTATTACCAGCTCCTCTTCAGGTTTGGCATAGACACCGGTTTCGCTTTCAACGATGGTTGATGAACCAGTATGCCCCCCGATAGAATTGCTAACGGCGCCGCTTGGTACCTCGCCCTTCTGCACCAATGGACCAGGGCCCGTTGTTGAGTCGCGTTGCACGTTTCCGCCTCTCAGCTTCGAGCCAAGGCTGGTGTTTTCTTTGTTGCGACTATCGGAAAGCGAAAGCTTCGAGACTTCGTCTTCTGGCGGAACGACTCTTTCTTGGTCCTTCTTCTCTTCGGCCTTTTTCTTGCGAAGCGCGGCTAATGCTTGAAGCTTAGACATCTTGGGGGCGGAACTGCTGCCTCCCAAGAGCCCTCCAACAGGGCGCGGCGGCTCAATAAAGACGGCTTCTCGGTCTTTCGGTATGTCTAGCCACGGCATATCGTCGAAAAATGTTGGAGATATCCGAGGCTTCTCCATGATGGGAAACATGCGTGTGTGAGAAGGAATGCCGTAAAGGTTTGTGGAATATGCATCGTGCTCAGGCGATTCGCGGTTTGCTTCAAAGGTTCGCAAAAACAGGGCTTGCTTGGCTGGTAAAGGGAACGCGCCAGTCTTACCTTCGGGTGCCTTTTTCGGCGCTGCTTTGGGAGCTGCTTTTGGAGCGGGAGCAATAAAGGTCTTTGTCAGGTAGGCGACAGATTTATCAACGTCGTAGTAGTAATGCCATAGAGCTTCTTGTATTTGCGCAACTGTGACTTTGCTTGCTTCCGTACCAAGAGCTTTCTGTACTTCTGCGGTCCCTTTTTGCATCGCAACCTTGTCTTCAGGACTCATTTCGTCCTCCTCTTCATAATCGTCATACTGGTCGACGAAGTCATCGTCGTCATAAGTCGGAGGCGCCATCGCGATCGCGTATATGAGTGCCTTTTTGACGTTGTAAAGCTTGAGGATGGAAAGATATGCGCAGTGTAGAGCTTCGTGGGTGGATTTGTATGAATGATCTGGCTGCCGGCGCCGAACGTTTTCCCGGGGCTAGCTGCTTTATATGACGAGCGCTCGGGGTTGACTCATTGATTGATTAGGCAGACGCCGTCACAACGGTATCCGCGCAGTATTTAGAAATATGCCTCGCGATAGCGATATAAGCTTCCAGCAGTGGTGAATCTAAGTTTCAAACCCCAAAAAAGACAAAACCAAGTACCGACAATGAATGACTGAAGCAGCCCAGCGCTCCATAGGTAGCTTCCAAGACAGTCGCTGGTCGTGAGGGGCAACTGTGCTCCATCCGCCAGATTAAGTCATGGAGGGGCAATTTTGGAAGCTTGATAATATGGCGGGGTGCCGGTAGGCGGACTTTACTTTGTCCGTGTCCCGCACCCTTTGTAGTGGGAGTTGCCTACAACTCCCCCCAAGTGGTCGAAAAATTCGGGCACGATTGCGGAAAGCTCGAAGCTATACTCTGTCACCAAATCAAGGGGGTCATTATTTTGGTGCTCAGACTGATTTATTTTCACTTGTCTGTACAAATTTGACAACAAGTTTCCCCCAGCCAAGATGTCGCTGAGTAAGTCGAGATCAAATCAAACGATAGCCATGGTGGTCAGGGGGGGCATTCAAACTAACAAGTACGCACTTTAGATCTAGATGTTTCCAACGGTAAAGGCCCCGATGACCCGGATACGGCCACGAGATCACAGCTAACATTCAGCGCGCAGCGGCGGTGATGAAGGATGAGCAAGGTCGGCCCTTCATTGTCGTCAGAGAGTAAGTTACAGAAACTCGTGTGCAGCTGCCTGCCGTCTAACAGCGGTCTAGTCAGGGGAAGAAGAAGCGCCAGTTTGGCAACGAAGCTGTCAAGTCACATATCCTCGCTGCCCGAACAGTCGCCAACATTGTTAAGACGTCACTCGGTCCTCGCGGTCTCGACAAAATTCTAATCTCACCGGACGGCGACATCACGGTCACGAACGATGGAGCTACCATTCTTCAACAGATGGATGTCAGCAACCACGTTGCTAAACTGCTAGTGGAGCTGTCAAAATCACAGGACGAGGAAATCGGTGATGGCACAACGGGTGTTGTTGTCCTCGCTGGTGCCTTATTGGAGCAGGCCGCCGACCTCATCGACAAGGGCATTCACCCTATCCGTATTGCCGACGGTTACGATCAGGCCTGTGATATTGCTGTTGCCGAACTGGACAAGATTTCAGACACGATCGAGTTTTCAAAGGAGGAGACTACCAACCTGCTCAAGGTCGCGCGGACGAGCTTGGGAAGCAAGATTGTCTCCAAGGCCCATGACCAGTTTGCCAAGATCGCAGTTGACGCGGTTCTGTCGGTGGCTGATCTCGAGCGGAAGGATGTGGACTTTGAGCTGATCAAGGTTGACGGCAAGGTTGGTGGTGCTCTCGAGGACACTATCCTTGTTAAGGGTGTGATTATCGACAAGGACTTCTCTCACCCTCAGATGCCCTCAGAAGTCAAGGATGCCAAGATTGCAATCTTGACATGCGCTTTCGAGCCTCCCAAGCCCAAGACCAAGCACCACCTCGACATCACAAGCGTAGAAGAGTTCAAGAAGCTACAAAACTACGAGAAGGAGAAGTTCATAGAAATGATTCAACAGATCAAGGATACTGGCGCGAACTTGGCCATCTGCCAGTGGGGTTTCGACGATGAGGCCAACCACTTGCTGCTCCAGAACCAGCTCCCCGCCGTTCGATGGGTTGGTGGTCCCGAGATTGAACTGATTGCCATTGCCACCAATGGCAGGATAGTGCCTCGCTTTGAGGACCTGAAGCCCGAGAAGCTGGGTTCTGCCGGCATTGTCAGAGAAATGTCTTTCGGAACGACAAGAGAGAAGATGCTGGTTATCGAGGAGTGCGCCAACACCCGAGCTGTGACCGTTTTCGTACGAGGAAGCAACAAGATGGTATGATTGAAAGTCCGGTCACGCAACCGCGAATACTAGCTAACGTGAAATATTTAGATCATTGACGAGGCCAAGCGTTCTCTTCACGATGCTCTCTGCGTTGTAAGAAACTTGGTAAGAGACAACCGAGTCGTATATGGAGGTGGTGCTGCAGAGATTGCTTGCTCTTTGGCAGTGGAGGATGCTGCCGGCAAGACTCCCGGCCTGGAACAGTATGCCATGCGCGCCTTCGCTGAGGCCCTGGATGCCGTCCCCATGGCCCTGGCCGAGAACAGCGGTCTCAACTCCATTTCAACCCTCGCAGAGGTGAAGAGCCAGCAGGTCAAGGCAGGCCCTGAGAACAGAGGAAAGCTCGGCGTTGACTGCATGGGACGAGGCGATAACGATATGAAGTCCGCTTTTGTTATCGATCCGTTGATTAGCAAGAAGCAACAGCTGCAGCTGGCGACGCAGCTGTGCCGGATGGTTCTCAAGGTTAACAATGTCATTGTGTCTGGCGCTGAGGATAACGATTTTTAAGGGGGGCTTCAGTCTGAACATAGATAAGGGTTTTTATATCAAAAAAGCATGGTTGGTCAAATAGAAGCCACTTTGCTCGTCACCACGAGCTGATAATCTAAATCAATCTACAAAATTCATATGAGCTTATGCTTCGTCCATGATAATTGAAGTATTTGACGCTATGTACCTCTCAAACTCCTTTTTCAAGAGTCCTGATTAAATAGCAAATTCTATTCTGATAGGCCAGGTTAATTGTCGTGATTTCAGACCACATGGGACGTTTGTAGCCTAGGCCACACAGATAGACCCCGCCCTGTCTTATTATCATTAGGTACCTGCACGATCTAAAGTGGGTTGAAACTTTTCTATACTCTTGTTGGTGAGTTTAGTTTTCTGTATGCACCTTGTGGTAGCAAGTTACAGGTGTATACCGATTCTCACGGGAGCAGTGAGTATACTGTTTCCTGATGCCTTCTACCATTTTCTCTATACTTAGCTACTTCTGTCTACTCTCTGCCTCGACCACTTTTAACGCATTTTAAAGTATAAAGTGGTTATTGTGCTGTCTTACTTTATACCCATTCTCCATAATCGTTGTATTGAGGGATACCGAAAAGAGGTTGTTAGTACAAAGACATAGTATATAATTTCCAATAGAAAAAAAGGAATAAAATCAATTCATAGCCATACTCACAATTGACCGAGTTCCGTTCGAAAAAGTAGCTTGCTACCACAAGGTAAGTATAGAGAGCTATATTTACCGGCTAGAATCTAGAAAAGGTCTTTGTCTATACAAGTATCTAGGTAAGTTACACACACATATATATATATATATGTAATTTAGATCACTGTACGATCTCTTCGAGGCTGCTACATAGCCGCTCCGGTGATATCAAAAGCATTCCACAGGAGAAACTACGAAACTAAGGTGTAAATAAATGAATAAATAAATAAATAAAAATACTTATAGTTTGCTTAGCAACGATATAATAAATGGAAACTCTATTTTACCCACCGCCGTGGTAACATACCCTCCCTTTTGCGAGCAAGCTTAAGTCATTACGCTATATACTTCTAATTCACTTTTTCTCCAAGCCAGCGAAGTTTGCGATAGATTATGATGGCCTCCATGTCCTATACAAAATGCGTCTTATATACCTCACACAGCGCTTGCGTGAAACATTCATTAACGTTTGAGGGTAGCCACAATTTTACGCCCAAGTCTACACGTACTCACCTTATCGGAGAGAATATGGCGTAAACTCGTGCATCATTGCCCTAGTCTTCAACTTTGGCCAGAGCAAAGCTTTCGGGGCTTCTGTATTCTATTAGAATTATTAATAAGTTAGTTTACGCCGGCGTAATAAGCAGGATTGAATCATTTTTAAGGGAGAAACGCCATCAGTCCACTTCGTTTTGGCTTCGAGGTAGTTGTGTTGATGGCGTTTAGCAAAATCCGTAAATGGCGGGCAACTAGTGAGATCAAAAGGTATAATAATCATCATTCAACAAATCGTAATTCTTCTATTAAAGCTTGCTGTCTCCCCCCAAAAAATGTTTATTTCAATTCTCTCACTCTCCCGCCAGCTTCATCTTTCCTACATCTCATCTCTAATATACCATCTCCATTTCTACCACTTAAGAACTTCAACGACTCCAACGAAGCCCAATTATTCCTACTGAAATGGCCCCTGTGGGAATTACCAACGGCATATTCATGGCGGAATTACCAAATTATGTTGTGGGCAACGCCAGCAACATTTTGCTAACCGCGCTGCCAAATTACGTGGATCCCGATGTCACCAGTGCCCTTCTTGCCGAAATCTCAAGCTACTTCGGTCTCGAATCCTACAAAGAGTACGCTTTGATACTTTTGGGTTGTTTATTATCTGGCCTATCCGACTGGCTACTTGTCTTTGGAAGCATAGGTTGGGCCATCGTTCAACACCAAATGGTGTCTCGCCTAACGTCTGTGCCGTACGAAATGGGATGGAACTCTCGTTCTTTCAGGTTCAAACCTTCCACCAGCGGTTCGATGATTATCGCGCGTTTTATATGGAATTGGGTATCACACTTGAGCATGTACATCAGCAGCAGGTTACCTGGTGAAGATTCAATCTTGCTGCTGGTTATTGTCAGCTCGCTTCCACTGGCTGTACCCTACGGTTTCTATTCCAAGTGGCCGGTTCTATCAACGATCTGTCTTATGTGCTGGGGCCAACTCTGGCTAAAAGATATGTATTCGGGGCTCATGTGTACGATACTCTTTTTGGCGTTCTTGATATGTTGGTGAATACTAATTTATGTGTTCGCTTTAGTTCCTCTCGCGCTATCAATTTTACCTTTATCGATGATGGTTATCGCAGTGCACTTTGCTGAAGTTATTCAGAGTCTCTGTTCGGTACCATATGGTCACATATGGCAATCTTTTCGAGGCAAATTTTACGCAATAGTCGTTCTACGATCTTCACAGGAAATATGGCGTTATGTCTTGATACTCTGGCCCCTGCCTCCGTACTATACAGTTGGAGTCCCTCGATTAACAGAAGGCCCTTGAATTCCAACGGGCACTGGCATCTGGTCCCAAGCACCAGTGACAAACGACTATCAAAGAACGAAAAGAAACAAAGATTGTATTTATAAATATAGGTAGATAGGCTCAATATAAACCGCAAGGTGTCGGTGCAACAAAGGGCTGTGTTCAACCCCAAGTTCGGTGACTTGATCTGATAGGAGCTATCTGAAGGCAATAGTTTCAGTTCTCTAGGTCATCAACTTCGACCAAAGCCTGGTCTCTCAGCAACAGTAAGGTTCAAGATAAAGTTTCTCACCGATGACACAACAACGCTGCGGCTAAACTTAACAATAGAAAATGAGAAGTATAATGGCGTACCCAACTTTACGTTGTAAGCGTATAAACCTTCGTGTTTCCCCCTTAGAAAATCGATGAAGTCCAACTCTCAAACACACAGATCTTTAATATCAATGAGCAAATACACACATGCTCCATCTCAAAAACAGCTCTAGTGAGGCAGCCTCTGCATAGCTCCGAATAAACTCGCAATTAACTATTTGTACCTTACTGCTGGCGTTGGCTTCACTGCTACCTCCGACAACTTGTGTGCTTGTTGATGGATAATACTGTCGACAGCCTCTCTACACGAAGCATTGACAAGTTTGCGGATATTGAAGACAAGACGCTAGGCATCGCTTACCGTTGTAACCTGTTCTTCCCAAGAGGAACTAAAAGCTCTTCTTGGACAAGTGGTCAGACCGTTTAGTAGAATAAAAAAATTATTCTCAAGTCAGGGAGAAATCTTTGAAGATTGGGAGGCTTCAGACTGACTGACAAGCATGTCATGAGATCCGTCAAGGAGTGGAACGGATCGACAACTCCTCCGTAGCCAGCACCCATGATACATTTACCGCCAGAGCCTTTGGAGACAGCTCTCTCATTTTTTGTTCAGGGCTACCGTCCGCTGTCCAAGACATTGGCTGAGGTGCATCTCGTGACGAGTATGGCGCACGGGTCCAGCTGACGCTTTCAACCCAAGCCGCCCATTACCAAAGCGGTTCTATGGGGATACATTTTGTTTTATCATGACAACAACTCTCATATACTTTTTAGTATCGGACTGCCTCCTACCTAGTAGTTTATGTTATACTCAACTAATCTTTTATAGCAGGGAACAATGTTTATAGCCATAGACTAATGGCAATTACGTTATTTCTTATTCCGTGTAGATTCCTAGCGATGGTGCTCCTTTAACCTCTTCAAGAGGGCACGCGATATACACTGAATGAAAATTTCCTGCCAGTCTCGTCTTTAAGGCCATATCAAGCAATACTAGCTAACCATCGATGGTGCTATTTCTGTATATTGCTTCTTCTCTGGTGATTTGTCCATCTCTGAAATAGTCAAGGACTTGGGCAATACAATTAGGAAAATGCAGTGTGATAAAGGAAGACCACACAACATACCGAAAGTATCCAACGTGCTGCGAAGGGGTCTGGTATAAAACTCGCCAGAAACATATAGAAGCGATAGAAACATATCTCCCAATAGCTCAAGCTTGCTGGCAACGCAAGGGGGTAACTCATCATGTAAACCGTAACCTCCGTTTATTACGTCGAAACTCTACAGAATACAAGCGCAGACATTTTATTTCTCAAAATTAATAAAATTAAATAAATAAAAAAAATTTATTCATTTAATGATTAAAGCACGAAAATTCCTGATGCCCAATGTCAAATTTGTAGCACGTAGGCCCGCTCGGGGCCGACTTCCTGGCCCCCCCGAATGGAACGCTGGATATACAATGCATTACGCGCTAGTTAAGCCATTTCTGAAGCAAACAGATTTGCTATATTTGTAGAGCATCCTTGCTCCTTACAGTGTTCACGGTGTCATCTCCGTATCTACTCCGTACTGTGCACTCTCTTTGCTACGTTATGGGTGCTGTTACCTACCAAACTGCCATAATGTAGGCTTCTGCTATCTACCACCATCTTCTGCTCTCTCCTGATTTCATCTGACATTTAAAATAATAGCATTTGTATTATAGTATCTTGTATTTTATACCCTCAGACTCTTTTTTTTTTGTAAGTCATTGTCAAGGGATGCTCAAACGCCAAAGCTAAGCGTTAAAAATTACGGTCTAACATTACCCCTTGCTCACTCGCGGCACACGTGTAAAGGATTTACATGGTAAGGTCTCTTTTTTCAGCTGCGGCTGATACCACCGGTGAGCAAACAACTTGGAACTCGTGCAAAGCCAAAGGGGAGTTGCAGTAGCATCTGTTTTACAACGCCGTTTACCTATTCCTAAAACGGAGACGCGGTATCCAGTCGGTGAGAAACGAAGTGTTACGAGCACACATGAGGTCTCGGGCGAATTCACATGCACAGCATGCGGGATGGTGGTAGGTAGGTGTGGTGTTGCAAGAAAGAACTTGCTTTCCATTCATTGTCAGGGCATCCTTGTAAAAGGCTCAGAGGCGTGCAACTCCAGGTCAATCAGGAAAAGGAAACCATGTCTGTGCGGCGTCAAATCGGGATGAGAGCGTCGTCCACGTTGCGTAATGAGCTCGAATGAAATTGCACAGGATGTTGTGCAATGTGATGACCGCCGACCGGTGTGATGGCATCCAGATTTGTGACACATACAGTGTAGGTGGCTCAAGACGCTCGTCGAATAGGGCTACAGAATGTTTGTCGGCTTTGAGCTTGGACCGTTTGCGAGGAGTACCAAAACGGTGAGCCAGTCAGATACCGCCTTCTGGTGCCCTCGTCTTTGCCCAAGATGCGAGTGTTATTTATTAGCGAGAGCCGGGTACTGTCGTAGCACTACATTCAATAGTTTGAACAGCTCTCTGTAACCCTGGTATGACTGATTCGTCTATTGAATCAAGTCATTCATTGACTCGAGAAAGAACCAGGAAATGGATGCTGCAACGATGACGAGGGATCGAGGTGATGGCTGACCCAGTAAGCATCTGGGCAGACGATGATACGGCTCGTGCTGATAAGCTCGCCACCTAAGATGACGGTGGTTTGGATGCTGCAGCTGTATTTTGGGTTACATGGGTAGATACAATCGCTCAACAGGGCATCGAAACGGAGTGCTACTATACCAACCACCTACCAGATACTACAAGTGTGGTATGTGTGGTGATGGCTACACGGCAGCACAGAGTGCCCTTGAGCATTTGCGACCTGAATCGCCCGCCCGCAGCTCATATTGGTGGTGATGACGGGGTACGGAGTACATGCAGATAATATCAGATGGGTGACGTCCAAGTAACGCTCGTACAGAACTTGTGTGCAGTGAGAGGTGTGTGTGCGTGTGTAAGTGTACCTGTACTCTGGCAGTCTGTGTTATGAGGGAGCGGGTGTACGTTACACGGCTGTACGCACATACAACCGTATGCAGCCCTTCAGGTGGCCAGGGACACATGCTCCGTCTTGCATAGCGGCAGTAGAACGAGCAACCGTCAGATGGCCTGGCGTTTTCTGGCCTGTGATTTCAGCCACGGCCGTTTTGACGCTTTAGTATGGGAGATAGCCGCGTTGACGCTACTGCGGGGAAAGGTCCCGAAGTCTGCCCAACTTGCAATGAGGGTACACACGAGTGCTCATGGTCGATACCTTGGCCAAAGAGGAAAAAAGGAGATAGGGCAGAAGCAAGTGTGATGACCAGGGGCACGAGATATACGGGAGTATGTCTTCGGAGATTCCTATAATCATCCAGATTCAACGGAGGGCTCAAATTTCTGCTCACGCTCATCCTGATATGCCCATATACCTGCACCCTTACAGGTCCGTTGGGTAAAGAAAACAACAGCCACAATACAGCGGAACGCAGAGCCGGCGAGCCTGATTGTCGAAGGATTATTAGACGGGGAAAGTCGAGTGAGGCGTGGGCCAAGCAATGTCCTAAGCAGCTGCTCTAAATCGATCCGTGGGGAGGCAAGGTACAAAGGTGCTAGTCCGGTAGAGTCGATATGCCCGTCCAGCATCTATTACTGTGGACATGTGAGAGAGGAGTCAAGCACGAGTTGAAGCAGCCTTGCAGCCTCTTCTCGATACCCAAGCGGCGCCGGGGAAAAAAGGGAGCAGGGGTAGCGGAGGCTGCAGTTGGTGGTGTTGAGTACATGGTATTTGAAAAAAAAAAAAAGGGGGGAAAATAAAAATAAAAATAAAAATAACTAAATAAAAAATAAGAAGAGTACCTAGCACTAGTATCTTATTTTCGACAGAACACAATCTATTCTTATATTATGCTGCATTGGAGGTGGTGTCGAGGCTCCACCGGCTGCTACAAGCACAGCTCTCGCTCCTCTTCTGGGCCGGTTTCTGCTGCGACTGCAACGTCCATGGCGCCCAGTTTGGCCATGCTGCGACGCCTCCTCTCTGTCCCCTCTGTCTCTCAGCTCAGGCATGTGTGCAGGGATGCTCGCCATTATGCTGCAGCAGCAGCTGTGATGGGCCAAAAATAAAAATAAAAAAATAATCAATAAAAATCAATAAAAATAAAAATCACCACCAGCAAAGTCCTGCCTGCCACACTCGCGCACCGCCTCTCACCGCCCCCAGGCGCTGATGCAGCCGCCATCCCGCACCTCCCAGGTCATCTGCCTGACAATTGCTGAGCTGGCAGACCTCCACCGCCGCAGCCATTCGTCCAGCTGTCCAATCCTCCGCTGTGGATGTGTGCAAGTTGCTTTTTTATGCACAGCAGCGAGACAAAAGAACAATTACTCCGCGATCAAGCATGCTGCAGCTTGTTGCTTTCTCCGTGTGTCCATTCCCCCAGAGCCATTGCATCGTCCCATGTGCGCTGCTCTGACTGCCCGCAGCACCACGGGGGTGCTTTTCAACCAACAGATTGTAGTATTATAGTACAGCATACTATGTAGCATATAATACTTGTACGTAGCATGGAGCACAAGGGCACGACAACCCGGGCTTGCGGATGGGGCATGCGAAGATGTCCAAGGCCGGACTGGAGTCGAGTGCTGTGCTCCTTGCTTCGTCCCGTACCGACTATTACATACATCCAAGGACTCCTCGCCTAAGACTGCACGGCACCGAGCATGATGGCACTATGACTAGCAACAAGTACCTGCTGTACCTGCCGCTCGTCTTACCAGCAATGCTGCCTCAGATGCCTCCTCTTCGGTGCCTCTGTCTCGCCGATAGGCGCAGGTCATCTGGAGTTGCAACTGGGGCGTGTCAGTTGTGTGGTTGATCACGACGGGCAACCATGCGGCAACTGAGCCATGGCCAACAAACTTTACTTTTGCTCTGGCTGTGCTGTGACTACCAGAGACTGACCTTTGCAAGTCTCTGCTCTCCCGCCCTTCTCCACGGATCGCACTGCCGGGCGTTGTGTCTGTACATGGCATGGCGCTGCTGCACAGACACATACAGGCCAGCATGATGCAGCAACCCTTGATATCTGCCACGAAAAGACCCAGCAGCAGTCTCCATATTGTCTGATTCAGGCTGCATCAGATTTTTTTTTTTTTTTTTCTTGTCTGGCTTTTCCCATTTTCGCTTCTTGCGTCTTGGTTGCCTCCTTTTTTTCCCTCCCGAGTTAAGACCACCCAGGTGTTCAGATAGGCATGCATGCATATAAACGGCGGCGCAGCTGCAGGTGTCCACCAGACAGCTTCTGCGAGAAGTCATTCCATTGACCAGGCCATCATCAGGCAAATAGGATCATTGCTTTTTCTCCCCGGATAAACGAGCAGAAAGAGAGTTGGGAAATTACGATATTTGAATAAACATAAAATAGAATAATAAAAGAAATTAACTTCTTTTTTTTTTTTTCTTCTTAGGTGTCTCGCAGGACAGAGAAGCACCACTTCACTGCAGATATTGCCGTGGAGTGCTAGTGCTAGACCTAATACCCCGAGCACCTGAACAAGACATCGGGCACAACTCCGCCCTTCTTAATCAATGAATCTTTTATTTTATCCTCATTATTGTCCGTATTCAAGTTTACAGTATGGCATAATGGGCATATTATCAAATACCCGCACTCCACCAAGAGGTAAACCGTTTGGGTTCTGTAGGTACTTGATGTAATTAGTGTACGTACCTTCATGTAGCAATAAGTGCCCCATTACCAATACGAACAGAGATCAAGAATCACGCGACGGGTACATGTACAGCTTTGAAATGAACCAACCGAATCCTAGATAACTCATTCTTACCCGCAAATCCATCTTCAGGCCCTTTTTAATTACCAATTGCACTGCTCAGCATCCCGCAAGAAGATGTTGCATGATTGCAACATACTGGTACTTGTGCTGGTACCAGGCCCAATTTGTCATAGATGCAATATCCCGAGAGGCCTTCCTATTTTGCCAAGATAAACAAGGATCGACTGATGAGATGCTTAACCTAGGTGTCTGCTCCGTTGCCGTATTAAGAGGAGAATTACTGTATCTGCATGTGTGCAGCTCTGTGCCTATACGAGCAAATACGAAGTAAATAGCATGCTCAATATAAAACATGTCCGTACTACGTACCTTGGGTAGGTACATGTAGGTAGGTAGTCCATTACAGTAGAAGCCGAAATGAGTGTGTCCGATTTGCCTTGCGGTGTCTTTTCCGCGCGCAGACCATTTAGGTGGCGTAGTGTGGCTATCACAGCAAGCCATTCCCGCCCCCTCCTCAAAGGTTCTCTTTACCAATGTACATAGGCTGTAGATTATCCGCTGGTCCTTTTATTCTTTACTGGCTCGCTTTTTCGTGTACGTGTCTTAGCTTGGGCATTTGTTCCGGAGCTTTGAAGTAACGCAGGCGCTATGTATCTTATCTTCATTGCATTTTGGGCTCAAGAGGAATATACGGAGTACCTATCACTAGGTCTATTCATGATAAAGAGGATGATTTTAAGGTTGAGTATCATACCAAATGTATGCCCATTCATTGGATAAGTTGGTTTTAAACTCAAGAAGCGTGCCAATGCTACGTCCATATATTGGATACACCATGTTAGACTGGAACGGCTACATTAAGTTTATACAACTATACACCTGATTCAGCACGCATCCAGTGAATCCATGCTCATACAAAGTAGGCGCCACAGGTAAATTTGAAGATCTAACAGCGGGAGTACAAGTTTTCACCCATTTCGGCTGGCCGTCCAGGGGATCAAGGAATGATACATGTAGAGTCAGGCCACTGAGCCCCATGTGGCACAGTTGAAAGCGTACATCCCATAATCTGATTATAAAAGAGCACTTATATGGCTTTAAAGTGATGGTTACCCCCAAGTTATTACTTACTCTCGAGTAGCTTCACTTTTATCCTCATTCATGAACTCGCCACTGATCTATCCATAATGAGGATTGCATTGCTATCCCAATGTATTTCATGCCTGATTCTTTTGTATGGGGCGCGAGGGGAGTCCACTATCCAAGAGATATGCGGCGGTTTTCAGAATATACAGAGTTGCGACGCATCTTTTGACATTCCTACCGGCGCAAAGTCAAAAACATGCCCAAACAAATTCTTCGAGGCAGGTTCAGGAACCTAGAAGTAGAGGAAAATGTAAAAGGTTCAAATCTGATTAACTTAACATTCCCCAATAGCCAAATAAATGCAAAACAAAGGCCAAATACCGGTACCCTTGTCCTACAACGCGCAAGCCTTTCCGTAGGTGCGATGGCTGGACTTGCGTGCCAGGTAAGCTCACACCCCAAAGGCCTGTCCTAGTTGCAGGTAGTCAGACGGTTTCATACTCCTCAAACAACTAAAACGTGGGTTTCAAAGGTACGGACGAGATTTGGAGAGACATGCCTTGTGGTATCACCATCTTGACCACCTCCATCAATGTCTGTGGGGCGGTGCGCGGGCTCGCGGGTAACATGGGGACACAGTTCATCGAAAAAGCAGGCGCCATATGCGGCTGCTTTCCAGAAGCCCTCAATTTAATTGCGCAAGGTATTTATCAGTCCGTCAAGGATGGGACAGACGTTTCGGAAGCAGCCTTGACGGCCATCAACATCAGTAACAGGCTGGAAAAAGTGAGGTGTCTTCTTGCTACAATTTTATGCCACTGTATACGACTTCTAATCACGATACCGCAGTGCATGGCTGATAACGGTTTCGATGTCAAAGATAACAAGGCCCAGGTTGAAGCCGCAAACCTCTCGCCTAGTCAAGGTTGGATTGTCCTTCGTGCTGCTGAGGTATACAGATTATCTCACCCCAAGCATCTCATCAACAAGCTTGCCGTTGCTTGTTGTGTCTCGTACTAACCGCTTCCAGATCGATTTAGTCACATATGCCGATCTAATCACTACCATCATCCCCTGCTTCACCCCCGCGGGATGTCAGCCCAGACTCATCGTGGACTTCTTTACGAATTACTTCACAAAGTCAAAGGAGCTCATGAGTGACAAGCTTGTTGCCGTTCTGAACGGTTGGCTGGACATGATTGATCGCATGGAGAAGAAAGGCCAAGAAGTTATTAGTGCAGCTGAGAATTTAGTGGGCCAAGCCAATTCAATTTCCGACGAGATCAAGACAGCACTGAATGAAGTATGCACGGGAGAAGCATGTCTTGAGCAGCAAGCTGTGTCTTTCATGCAAAAGGGCAAGTTTATTGCCTCAGAAAGCTATTACAACACTTAGTTTGCATTTGCTGATTTTGAGTGGTTTGCAGTGTCGAATCTCACTGCGGCAATCCATCTAGTTGAAGACAGTAGGGTGGCCGCCGTCACAGCCGCCAAAGTCGTGCCTGAAATGGCGGCTCTTACACGTTCTACAATCGAGGCCGCCCAGGCGGCGCCGGATATCGACTATTTAATTAAGCTCATCACAAAGAGAGCGTTTTCAGGGGTCGGTGACATCTGGAATTCCTTCCAAGTCATACAGAAGCTTCCGGAAAATGCAAAAAAGATACAGGATTCCGCAGCCCTGATTCAAGGGTTTATTACCGGAGACGCTGGCCATTGGCGCAACACCATGTCCATGCTCAGCGAGGTGTTATCTGTGAACTGGGATGCGACTCCAGTGGGAACTGGGATGACCAAGATCCAATCTATCATAAGGACAAAGCTTGAGGAGCCGGTAGGCAACTTGGCTAACTCAATAAGCCATCTAGGTGATAGCCTAGACGCCTTTCCCATCAAAGACGGGAAATTTGGAATGCAGCCAGGAGTCGCGAGCTACCAGCGTCACAGCACTGTGTCCATGGACGTGCCATGCACACGGCAAAAGCGGGCGTCTTTTAGCATCGCTGGCTACCAAAAATCTTTTGATTACCCAGAGTTCTATCTGTGCCCGTACGGTCCCAGAGAGATTCCTTGGCCAAACCAACATATTCCTTTCCTTAAGTTGCGAATTCAGTAAATAACCAGCAGCATGCAGTTAGTTATTGGCATTGGTACCTCATTTAGACCTTGGCCAAAATAACTAGTACACTATCTGCGTCAGTTTAATAATAATATCTTGCTTTTTCCGGCTATTCGAAGCCTCACAATGCAATCTGTGCGGAAGATTGAATGCAAATAATGTCGAACACTCCTTTCAGCGTCTATTGTATAACTAACAAGACATTTTCATACATAATTACGCCCAGCAAGAGTCTTGAAGTGCTAACTACTATTAGGGGATAACTGCTTCAAAGAGTTAGTGCAAAAGTGACTCACTACTGGATGACTACAGGCTATGATGATGCTAAAAACTTCTCGCCATGCTTCTCGAAATGAACAAGTCCAAATCTGGAAATTCTCGACGTCTCAACTAGGTTCTGCACTAACTCATCTAGCGCCTAATTCTAATAAATGGCTGTTAGTGCAGTACCCCCAACACCTATTACTCACTGCTACCAGTGACTCATAGGGAAGAGGCTGCTAAAACAAATCTCCCACTAGCCTTCTTTTGCTCCAAACTCCAGCTCCAGCATTCCCCAGCAGCCCCACCTGAGCTTTCTGATCATCGCCTCTTCGCCTCCTCAGAGCGAGGTTTAAAACGACAGCTCAGGAACGTTTATCAGACTTTTTCCTCACCAACCATAGTCGCAACTCAGACCTTTGAAGATTGATTGTATTTTTATTGTTCGTTCTTTGGCGTTTGGGCTTTCCTTCTGTTACCCGACTTCTGATCATTTGTACAAATATCCGTTGCGTCCGTCAAATTTTCGCATTTTCTCTCCAGCTATCATCATAAGCATATTGGATTCAGTTAATTTGAGTTCTTTAATCATGATTTCGCTCAAAAAGCAGCCAGATGGCGTCCCTGTGGACCGCAAACAAGCGGTACCGAGTGCCTCTAGTTCGCGAATCGTCCCCAAGCCTGTGCCCGAAGCGCAGGTCCAGGACCCGCGCGGTTTTCAGATTGAACAACTCAAGAGGAGATTTTCACCCAAGGAATCCACAACTTCAGAGGGACATACATCGCTCGTGTTCAAGCTCAAACCCTCGGACCCAGATTTCCCCTTTGAACTGCCCTACTTGGATTGTGATGTCCGCATTCCAGAAGAGTATCCGGAGGAAAGGCCGGTGCTACTAGTCAGGAATAAGGATATTCCTAAAGGTTTCAGCATCAATATTGAGAGAGGCTGGGACAAGCTAGCTGAGGAGAAGAAGAGCTCAACTCTGTTGGCCCTGGTGTATGCTCTGGACAGGAACCTGGAACGATTCCTGTCGGAGCAAAAGGTTGACACGATAAAGCTAGTATCGTTCAAGGATACGAGACATCTCGATCAAGCAGCGGAACTTCAAGCGTCCACTGTTGCTGAGTCTCCTATGACGCAGAAAGAGATCTCTCCTTCTCCTCCTCCAAGGCGCTATATCCCGGAGCCGTCATATACTAGAGAGCAAATCGCCGAGGCAAAGACCAGGCGAGCTCAAGAGATCCGCCAACTCGAGGCGAGAATGGGAAGAATGGCCCAATTTCGTCGATCCGGGGATGGCGTCATCTTTACGCTACCAATGGAGCCAAAACGCCGTGCAGAGCTCCCCTCTGGGTTGCATTCTGTGAACAGTATTCACCTCATCATTCCGCTCTTATATCCGTTACAGCAGCTGCGTGTTCAGTTAAATGAGGCGAATGCTGAAGATGCGGAACCAATAGAGGACCTCTTCGCAGAAAAGGCTGCGGAACAGAAGCAAATGACGCTTATGAGCCATGTAAACTACTTGGCTCAAAACCTTCATAATCTAGCTAAGCAGGCGCATGCACTGGCAGCAAAGGCTGAGAAGGAAAAGGCCGCTGCGGCTGCTGCAGCTGCAGAAGCAATGGCGGCGGCGAAAGGGAAGCAACCGCAGAGTCTTGAGGATTCTTCGACTGGCTTACCACAGCCGCTTAGCAAGGAAAAGGGCCACATTCAGGTCATTCCTCGACCCCCTGAGTGGAATGTCGGCTATGAAGATGATGAGTTAGAGGACAGCTACTCGGACTCGGATGACGCAGAGGAGGGAGGAGCGGTACTAGGAGGCGAAGATGATGATGCGAGAGCACCACCATCCGCTGATGAGGTTGAACACGGCACAATGATATCGTTTCCCAATGTTGAACTTCACAGCATTGAGCTTCTACAGATATCGCTTCTAAGCCTCAGTGTCAAGTGCGAGCGATGCAAGACTCTAAATGACATCACGGGGCTCAAGCCGTCGGTTGAAAAGGCGTCTAGCTGCAAGAAGTGCGCGACGCCTCTCTCTGCCAAGTTCAACCAACAGCTCGTTCACGAGCATTCAGCGAGAGCTGGCTTCATTGATCTATCAGGATGTAAAGTGGCAGACATGCTGCCCAGTACTTTTGTGCCTACGTGCGCCAAGTGCTCGACCCCTAGCCAAGGCCTCGTTTCCGTCAGAGGCGAGACCACGGCCAACGTCTGCCGCGAATGCCACAGCAAATTCACTTTCAAATTCCCCGAAGTCAAGTTCCTCTTTGTCTCTCCGGGATCACTCCCCCCGCCTGCGGCCGGCATGCGGCGCAAGCAAGAGAAGCTCGGGCTCCACGCGGGAGACCAGCTACCGGAGCGGGGCACCTGTATCCACTACCGCAAGTCGTATCGGTGGTTCCGCTTCTCATGCTGCAACCGCGTGTATAAGTGTGATAAGTGTCACGATCAGGCGGAGGATCATATCAATGAGTGGGCAAACAGGATGATTTGTGGGTTTTGTAGTCGCGAGCAAAACTATGCCGTTGAAGCGTGTCGCTTCTGTGGCCGTAGCGTGATTGGCAGGAGAGGTAAGGGGTTCTGGGAAGGGGGCAAAGGAAACAGAGATAAAATTACTATGAGGAAGAAGGATCCGAGGAAGTATAAGAGAATTGGGACATCTGCGGTAGCCAAGAAAGATTAACGGGTGTGCTTCAGCAGCCAGTTTACGTTGTACAGATTACATGAAGCTGTATTGCTGAACTATTACAATACCTTCTCTTATGGACTGTTTCGAGATGAATTCTACAACTTTTTTTCCATTTTGATAAAAGGCCGGTTGTGATATCCTATCCGCCATTTCTAGAACCCCTAGCGCCAGGAGTGAGGGTGAAGGAGTAACCGTTACGTGGAATTCGTAACAGCTCAACAGTCCGGAGAAATGCAACCTGCCTTTTGTTGGATTCATAATGAGATATGGTATAAGCATCATCTTGGAGAAGGAAGGGGCAAAGCGGCCTCTAGACAACGTCGACGCAGCCGGCGTATTACGTATTTGACCACGTCTGCACGAAGCGAGGCGGAGAATAAGGCGGAAATGATGTAGAAAAAAAGACGGTTATATAAATTGAGAGAAAAAACAATTATTATTATTTTAATTTTTTTAAACTAAATTGTAAAATGGAAAATAAACCGGCTAAATGCAACGGAACCCAGAATCGGGCTGGAGAATGTGACAGCTCGAAAAAATGCTCGAAGACATCTACCCGCCTCGCTACTGGCGCAATCTAAATCTAGCATCCATCGGGTCTTGCCCAAAGGGATCTTGTGTCTGCTTTTTGTAATTCCCATGATGCGTTGGCCTTGGGGGTGTTGACTGTCTGAGGGCGCCAAAGTTTTTGCCTTGGGGGGGGGGGGGGGGGGGGGGGCGTATATCCCGATGACCTTGTCTTGGTTATCCTTCCCCCCGAACAAGTCTCACGGCTATTCCATGCGACCCTGCTGATCCCGCGACAAGTCCGGAAGTGGTGTCCGTCCCCCTGCGTGAAGTGAGACAGGAACCGAGAAAGTGTCATGGGGGGAGAGATGGATGGAGACTTCTCGAGTTTGGTGCACTTTCATTCTCTCCATGGGGAAAATTGGGACGAACCGATATGATCCTCCCGGTCTCAAGAGCGCAACAACAAGCCCGTCTTGTTATGCGAGGGAGGAGTGGAGGACATGATTTCTAGTCTAAGCATACATATCAGGCGGCGGAGGGAAAACAGATGGAAGACCGAACAGGCCCGAAAGGGGAAACAGATTGCACGGGGCGACTGGATTCGGTTTGACCGTTGGTGTCGTTGATAGAGAAGTGTACAAAGTACATGCCTCCCAAGAGGTCAGATGAGGCGCTGCAGCTTATTGGTGGCTGGGGGTTTCTCCGACTACGGCCCGGCCACGTGAAAAGCGCATTGCCCTCGGTCGAAGCCTCGTCTATTCCAAATCTACGTGACAAACGTGGCATTGCTTGCTGATGGACCTGATGCCACCTCCTAGCCTCGTCGCAGTGGCGCATTCTCTCCGGATTTCCAATGGGGGTGGCAAAACGGAACGGGATCTACAAAAGCACGTTCCCATTCTTATTTTTCGCATACAATGTATCAAAAGTACTCACATAACGGCAGTAACCGCAAGCCTGTCAAGCTTTCTGGGCGAGCGGGCCTAAAGGCACGTTTCATGCGTCTTGACCCCATCTCCCACGTTTTTTTTTTTTTTTTTCTGTTTTTAAACAGCGACCAACAGCTTGTTAACTTGTGGCTAGTAGCCCGGGGCTAGGCGGCTTTGGTCGCGATCTTCGTTCCCCCGCAAAATCGCCGAACCGGTTTTGATAGGCTGGCTCGTTTATACAGACAAAGGAGTGTGTACATGTACTGTACCTCCAGATTGGTATTCACCGAGGAGATTCGGGAGATGATCACCCCTGGATGCACGTGTTCTGCTCCTGGCCTCTCACTCGCATGGTATTAATTGGTTGCATTTACGCTATTATGGATGAGGCCTTCTCGTAACCACAGAGGTCGAGGCAAAGGTAGCAGTGTGAACAGTCTTTCTTGAGATACTCGCGCAGATCACGTCTACGAGCTGATATTTTGGTTCTAGAAGATCAGCAGAATACGACAAGTGGTCTCAGATGCAATTTTGGCTTTCCTGATCCAGAGGATCAACCGCTAGTGCCGTGCTTATATGCATCGGCTGTGTGGGCTAGAGTTGCAAGCGAATCCGAGATGCCACTTGTCAAGCTACATGAATCTCTCGACGATAATTCAGTGTTACCAAAGAAATCTTAGGGCTCTCATCATGACAAAACACTGGAATTGATGATTGGATGCCAAACCGTGAGCCTCTTTCCTATATGGGCCGGTTCAAAAAAATCAATGGGGGCGGTTTGAGGTAGAATCATTCTCGCTGTCATTCGGGTATTTACGGGGAACTATGCCCTTTACATCGAGTAATCCAGAATGCAACTGCATACTTTGATTCGTGGAACCTATGCAGAACTCGTTTTCAGACGGGACGGCCGGGAGTAAGCCAATCTCTCATCTGCGTCTGCGTCTGCGTCTGCTAGTGCTTCAAGTGACATGCAGGCGTCCACCAAGACTTTGAAGGAATCATAGCCCGGAAGGGCTCCGTAACAGCACACACTATTTCCAGAAAATTACCGGAACGAGGAAATCATAGCATTATCTTCGTGGAAGTGTAAGTTGTAATATACGGCAACAACGGCTTAATCACCTTCAAGGAAGCGGATCACGCTCTATCAAGCCAAATGGAGACTCAGGAACTACCATGGATTTGGTAACTATGCACGTCTATGCGAATTGCACTTTACGACACCGGCGTCCTCCGCAAAACTAGGCTCCTATTCAGCAAGCCTTATATGGCAACGTTGAGACGGGGCTCCAGGCCAAGGCACCCACTTGCGCAAGACGATCAGGGACCAAAGCCAATTTGCACATCAGCCTTGTTCGATGCAGTCTGCCATCAGCACTATGGGCCGCAGCCGTCAAGCCCATGGGCTATCCGCTTTTGCTGGGCTCTCCCCTTTTGGTCCAATGAGAAGGCATATCGATATCCGATGCGACTCCCAGACGCATGGCTCGCCTGGCTATCCTACCGCTCCTGCAAGCACTTCTTGGGCGGCATTATTTCCTCTTTTTGCCGTGCATTTCGTGCTTCTGGCCCCAGGGGGGCCATGTGCCAGGGAAACGAGATTAGGACTCAAGCATACGCAATAATTCTATGCGATTTACAAACGTATTACAGCGAGTATCAGCGATTGTTGGCGAGAGGTATGCGAGAAACCCTCCGAGAGAGCATTACAAGCTCTCATGTAACAATAGTGCCATGCTAATGCAGATGGCATAATCAGTGTATTTTCCCGTGCAGTCCTGCAGGCGACCTTATTTCAGCGCCTTACTGGCCAACGACATGAGGCACTCCTCTGTGAACGAGCTAGTGTCATCGATCAGATTCCCACGTAACGTTAAACCTGCCAGAAAAGGGAAGACGGATTCCGTGCTCTATCCTTGTGCAGCCAGATCGCTCCAAAGTCACAAGGTCTTCAAGGCCAAGAGCCAGCATGGGGTCGTGTAACCCCCGGCCACCGGATGCCTTCCGGCGTGCTAAAAGGAGGCACTTTTGAAAAACGTGGTGATCAGTCCAGGGTCTGTCACCTTGGCCTCGGGCTGCAGATTTTTTTTAGCGGTCCACTGAGATTTCCTTAATTTTATTCCATGGGTATGTATAATATCTCTTTTTTTTTTTTTAATTCATTTTTTATTCATATTATCTTATGTCGGCTCGAAAGGTTTCCGTTACCGTCGGCGAATTCATCTCACTCGTGACGGTACAGAAAATGGCATTCTTCAAATAGAGGGGAGTTGACTGATTGGCCGAAGTTTGCAAAGCGACAGCTCTTTAGCACGAAGCCACGCACGGGTGTGGCGTACTGGCGCTCAAAGATCGTTGCAATACTAGCAGGCGTTTTTACGACCTATTCGCGACAATAAAGAGGGCCTAAATCGATACGTACTGGTATTTTGGACGCCTTGGCTATATCAACTTGAATGAGACGGTCCGAAACGGTGGGTTGGGACCTCTGGGGCCTTGCTAGGATGAAATTCGAAAAAAAAAAATGAAAATCGCTTTTTTCTTTTTTCTTTTTTCTTTTTATTTTCTTTGTTTTAAAAAAAAGGAATAATTGGAAAAAGAATAATAGCCTCAACGTATCCCTGGCAGTGGGTTTTCACACGTCTACCCTGGCTTACATGGTTTGGAGTTCCGCCATGACAAGAAGCGCCCCAGTTGGTCGGCCCTGTTCAAAGTGCTTTTATGGGCCGCAGAGGGACCTGCCTAGCACATTCGGAATCGCCGTCCAGCATTTGCATCCTGCTCAGCGAATCAGTTTCTCCAATTCTGTTCTTATCAGTATGCTTGTTCAGAGGCACGTTGTTGGAAGCTTTCAACCCATCGAAAGTGACCAGAAATCAAGATTCTCCTGATGGTGAGAAAGAAAGATCATACCAGAAAACACGAGACGCAAGAACAGTGGCGGCGGGCTGCCAGTCACGGGTGGCGACCAATTTGAGCACGTCACATATCGACATACCGTCCTGGGTATAACCTCAAATCCTGGCTTTTGCTGGCGGAACCGGAACCGGAAAGAGTGACTTTTACATCTCTAACAATGACTCGGCTCGACCACTCGGCAGTCGGTAGGTAGCAATTTTCCCATGTGCAAGCCTGGCACTTTGCGATTTGGCTGGGCTGGGGGGGGGGCTGGTCAGAAAGGAAGAGGTGGCATAGCGGGTCAAACAGCACCGCGTAGCCCTGTTCTTTTCGAGAAGACTTCTATTATGCAGCAGCGCCCCCAAGAAAAGTGAGACTTAAGCGAGAGCACTGCTTCCTCGATCCGAAGGGCTGTCTATCATGTGAACAGTTTGACCTTGCAACCAAGTAAGGCTTCACTTTCGACGCCCCTATTGCCAATTAGCCAAGAAGCCGGACATCCGCGGAGGAAGACTTCTCATGGGAGAATTATTTTTATCCTGTCAGAGAGCGCAGGGGAAGAATGAAATAACATGCCTCGAAATTGTTTTTTTTTTTTCGCCTCGTCTTCTTGTCGTGCTGCCCAGATCGGTCCGACAAAGATCTGACTTCGGTCTGGTGTTCTCACCTGGACCCATCGCTCTCTGTCTAATCCCTTTCCCTTTTCCGGATTGGTTTGGCCGACCGTAATGTCAGTGGAGTCTGTGATTAAGGCAACAGCTTTAGAGATACGGGATGCTCATGTGAGGTTGACTACTATGGCGATCTTCATGTTTCAAGTAGCGCCAAGGCGCAGCCGAGAGGCGGTCCGGCGACGGTATGCCATTTCGTCTGGTGAGTGGATAGAGTGCCCGCTTGACAGGAGGCTTCCCGGGCCGTCTATAACATTGAATATTGTACTGGACGTATTTCGGGATTGAAAAGCAGAGTTGCATTATTAAGGGGTCAATGCAACGAAGGCTGCTCCTTTTGCCTTTTTTAATTCTGGCAGTGAAGACGGAATGCGGAACAAGGTATTCAACGCAATTGCAAAAAAAGCTCAATCTCTCACCATATGCCATGGTTTTACTTTGAAACCACAAATCTGAAATTGCCATGGCGAGATGAACAGTAGAAGAGAGCAAAGATTCATCTCAATTGGGCTTCTCCATAGACCAGCGTTGCAGCAGATTGGCGATCACTATATTTAAACAGCAAGGGCGCGACTTCCAAACCACTCCAGTGGTTCGATAAAAACGTTTTTCCCTTGGCACCGCGATGCTAGAGCATGGTAGCATTACCGTGCGGCTGGGACAAGCATCGTCTCTCACAAATGGAGAGCATTGCGCATCGAATGTCGTCATAACCTGGGGAAACCCAGTAACAATGTTGAGAGTTTTGAAACAGAAACTGTCAAAGATTGATGAAAAGCGAGAAGCTTTGACGAAAGCAATTGTGCTCGATGATCGAGTTATGCCATGGTACAATGAAGTCTCGAAAAGACGCTTATACGAATGACCATGCAAGTTGTCGTCAGGTCCAGCCTCGAGTAGCAGCAGTAGCAGCAGCAACTCCACTGAGCTCAATCTGCTCAATTAGCAAGTGCTACTGAAGACTCTCACTCAAGGCCTCTTCTATATGCAACAGTCTTTTTATTACTGCAAACCTTGGGTTGGTATTATCTAGTAGACATCCATTTCGACACAAACGAGGCGACTGCACTTGTCACAAATGCCAGTGGTCCCAGGGCACTCACACCGTTACCTCTAAGAGATACCATACGGCCGTGGCACTCCCGTAACAGTACATGGGGCGCATAATCTGGCCGGCTGTCATTTTTGCCCTGCCCGTCATGTCATCGTTCATCAATGAGCATCATCGTCATCACGAACACCACCACTGCTACCTTCCACCTCCCTCCCAAACGAGCGTCAGACTTGCTTCCACATGCACAGGGGGCTTCATCACCCCATCTACAAGCAAAAGGTAACCCCCACACCCGGAATCCAAGGCCATGGTTACCCGTTACCGTATCCGTGAAACGGGATACATGGCCTGCGCCTTGGCGGTTTCCTGAGCAATCTGAGATGTGACCGGCCATCTATGAACCCCCATCCATACCTGCACTCATCCCAAAGCAGAGCTGCGCATAAATGTGTCTTTGATACAAGGCCAAAAGAATCATAGCCTCGGACCCTTACCGAAGCTTTTTTCTCACCGCGGGGGCCTCGCCCTTATTCTTTTATCTGGCAGCCTTCTCCCGGCTAAATTGGCCTAGTTATGTTATTATACACGGGCCGGGCCATCGCGTAACTTGTAAAAAGGAGTGCAGGGATAGCTATTTATCCATTGCTCCAAGTAAGTGCACTGCCAAAAGAAGATGGTGGACAAGACAAAAGCAAGGCAGTGATCGAAGATCCAAGCCCTTAGTAAATCTCACTTGTTAGTCGTGGTCAGCAAAAAATCCCCGTCGCCTTTGTGTCTTCTTGTAAAAAGAATAGTGTTCCCCCCCCCCTTCCCCAGAAAGTCCGTAAGGAGTACGGAGTAATGCTCAGCAGAGACGGCGTTTTTGCCTTCTCTTACGCGAGGAACTGGTTCTGGAGCTAATAGAGCGAATTGCCGCCGGACAATTTCATCAAGCCGGCGGAGATCATTGACTCTATTGTAAACACCGGCTAGATGCCTCAGTCTGAGATAATAGAAAGTGATATATGTAGAAGTAACTGATGTCTCGGCTCTGGATTACCCATGATTTGTCTTGCTGACAACTCTCATTCCCCATATAATGCCGTATTGATAACTCGGAGGAAAGGGACTTTTCTGCAACGCAAGGCACGTGTTCTGCATCATTGGGCATTGACTGAAGCGACATTTGATACAGTCTGGAAGGGGGTGGGATAAGCCATCAACTGCAACGTCCTGATACGATTTGGAATAACAACAAGGGTTGCTGCTGCTGCTGCTGCCGCTGACGCTCAAGGGTTCTGCGGCGTCTCCGGTGATGCATGCATGCTCTTACATGCCGCATCATCGTAGTGCTACATACGCAAGTACGAGTACCGATGCCGCCCGGCACTCGCACTCCTACGTAATACGGCTTTCAAATGCACAGTTGCATTATACAAGACCACGGCGTCCTGGAAGTTGTTCGTGGGGTTCTCGCCTTGCAGAGACCGGGAGACCAGGATTTTGCAGCAGTCCACGTGAGGATGCTATCGTTTTGGGATGTTATCATCTCGGCTGGCCTTCACTTTCATCGTCTGCTCTCTTTTTTTTTTTCGCTTTCAACGGGCTGATGTTGTCCCGAGTCAAAGCCAGTTTGCCCAGATCTGACACCATTGTTCTCCATCGCACAGGCAATTGGCCGTCTGTCTCTAACCTATGTCTAAGCGCTGTGAATAATTTACATTGCCCTCATTCCCGGATACATTGCCCAAGGCGGAAAGCGTTCATTTGATATGCTGCCATGCCATAAACGGCCAAATGCAATCCAATATCCCGATTGCTTACTTGTTCGAAGCCGAAGACGTACGATTATAGAGTGCACATATACCTATTGTAGTATCGGGCAGGGTCAAGGCAGCGACCAGTTCCGCCCCCCTGGTAAAAAGAAAGAGGCCGGCCGGGGTGGAAACGAGCCCGGGATTACCGGGGCCGGCCCATCGGACCACCCTGCCGAATGCAATATTTCATTGTCTTTTTTCTCTCTATTGTTTGTGGGGAGAGAAAGATATGTGATGGCTTGGATTTATGCTCGCAACTGAGAAGAAAGACGAGCAAGGTTGTTCGGATTACTTTGTTTGGAACGAAGAGAAATGTCATTGGTGCGCATACACGCATGAACGCTGTAGTTGGCGTGTTCTACATTGGCTTATAGAACAGCACTTCGGGAGACTCGGACAACAGATTGCGATGTTGGGCCTCTAGATGAAGAGTGTAGAAGGAGACCATACGATTGTGTATGTTTTGATGCAAATGCCTAGCTTATGAATTGTCCACGCTATAACTGCCTAATAGCTAAGGGATGCGTGCTCCGTAAAATGTATTTAATTGATCGCATTATAGAATCATATTCTCTCCACGTTGAAGCGAGAACGGGTAAACACATTCATCTCAACAGCAAGAAAAAAACAGACGTATATAAGGGTGTCAAATGAAGAAAATTTACATTTAGCTTGAGCATTTGTAGCTAGATGTGTAAACGAGAAATGCGAGTCAAGGTTAGCTAGGAGCATATATGGAGTAGGGTAAGTTGTTGATTTAGCGAATTCAACTAAATCCTTGATATTGCGCTAGCATGTAAGATGCAATTCGATTCAACTACATGACTAGAAAAAGAGCAACATCTTGCATTATTTTATTATCCATTTAGAACCAGATGTGAGAAACTTGCCATATCTTCACGCTCTCAGTGTATGTTCCGGCAGGTGCATCATGACGTTACATCCACAATTAGACATACAACGACCTCTATAAACCCATGCAAATTACAAATGTGCTTTTCCACGTTCACGATGCGGAGGATTATCCATCTGGTGAATGCTTCTTGTAGCTGTAATATTTCTCATCTTTATCATACATGATACTCATCAATTACTACACTGCTAATATCGATTCTGCTACATACATGGACCGACTTACAACAAGCAACCCCGCCACCTCTGTATATGCCACTGTATATATCACCTCAGCTTCTTTTTACTCCTAACTACCATGGTCTTTTTCTTTTATTCTACTCATATCTGAACCAGTTTCTCATCTTCCAACTCCCATCGCTCGTATTTAACTCAATACGTTAAGCAATCAAATATCCCACCTCTATTACATCGACACCTTCATTTCCCACGTAATACGCCACCGACTCTTATGTCATTCAAGTTTCTCCCAGAAACACATCCATCCCCGAATCCTCTCTGACTGTAACTCTCTCCCACTCTCCCATCTCATTCGTCCAGTTCACCTCCAAGCCACTTCCCACCAACATCCCCCAAGAGAAACCAGCTTCTTCAAAACCCATTGGTCCAGAACCCTTTCCCCCCTCCACTCAGCCCACCCTTCTCAAAGTGCATCATGATCACCGCGCTGTAACACTGCAGATGCCCGGTCTTAGCGACTTACACACGTTATTTCTCTCTTACCTCACCCTCATTTTCAAAAACGACGAGACGATGCTAAGCGTGGAATTGGACAAATAGGACATCCCCCGCCACCCTCCCCAGCTTTTTATCGCCGTTGCACAGGCTGCCGCCAAGACGGGACCGAAAAAAAAATGAGGATACCATACCATTAGATAAGAAAAGAAAAGAAAAAAAAAAAGTAATAGGAAAATAATAATATAAATAGATGTTACGAAAAAAAAAAAAAAAAAAAAAAAAGAGGTCACGTTCACGGCCTGAGCTGAGTCGGCAGTCCAAAACAGTCGGTGTGACGAAGAAGCAAGACACGCAGTCCTTTGGGGGGCGTGATATGAGACACGGCCTCGTGGAGGCCAGAGCCATTGCTTTGACACTGTACCTGTCAGCCAGCTAAAGAAAGAAGAGACATTGAAAAGGCAGAAGAATAAACGTAATAATTAAATGATTTAAAAAAAAAATTAGAAACAAAAATAAAAAATAAAAACGCAGCACACTCACAATCGGTGGCGTGTCTCGCCGGCGCGCTGTGCAACGCTGGCGCTGGTCGTGTGAAGGGCTGGAGTGAACGCAGTGGCTTATTCCTGGCCCGGCTCATCGTCAGCTCGGTTTGAATTCCCGCTCATGGCCGAGCCTTGGCCCTGTCTAATCCATCGCCGAAGAATGACAGTTTCGGCTTCCTTCGTCCATGTCGCTCAAGAAAAGAAAAGAAAAAAAAAAGGACAATCACAAGAGCAAAATTAGGGGTTTCGGGACTTGTCAGTTGCGCCCGCTTATACTTTCCCTGGTGAGTTTGGGCGCTTCTCGAGAAGGAAAAATAAGAATAAAGTAAATGAACAAAAATAAGAGTAAAAATTGTCTTGCTCTTGTTTCTTCCTCTTCTTTTTTTCCCCTTCCTTTCTTTTCTTTTATTTTTTAATTCCTGAGCCTGACACCTCGCTCTCTCTATACTGAGTCGTAGTGTCTCCGCCAAGCTGCTTCGATATCATGTCATGTTAGAAGCCTGATCCTAGGAAAAGACGACAAGGCCCTCGGACAAACAGCAACCACATGATCACCTTCCACTTGCTTTTTCCCTTCAAGATGTCGAAAGTGGACGGATCCCGACGCCTCATTGCTTCACTGCACTGTGACACTCTCTCTCATCCTTCAGACCTATTGGTACAGTAAGAAAAGACGAACAGACAGGAGGGGGCAGCCGCGGCATTGCGTCCCGTCTCAGCCAAACAAAAGCAAACATCTCTTCCCACGGAGCAAAGAAGCAGCTTCCCATCTCGGGAATGACTTTTCTTTTTATCTCATCTTCCCCCCCAAATTTACTCGTGATCAAAGCGCCATTCTAGGCAGAGCTTCGGCCTCTCAATCCTGCCGCTTCCTTCATCGCCGCATCTCCCCGTAGGGCATACGTTGGCTCCCGTCTGCGGTGTTTCGTCTTTTTCCCTCTCATGTACTATATCCAATACGCTCAATGGGATAGCACTCTCTACAGGGGAAGAGAGAGAGAGGGAGCCGGGGGGGTAACCTCGGCCAGCATTTTGTTTCTTCACACCCGTGTCCAGATAAGAAAGGATATGAACATGGTAAGAGAAGGGAAAAAAGAGGGTAGCGCAACAGCACACCGCCATCAGAAATTGTGCGTGCGTACAAAGTCACAGAAGAGAGTCACGCTGGTCGAATCGGCAACAGGCTCATCCGGAATAACTTCGATGTGTTTGAAGCGGACGGACTGAGCCGAGACTCGTATCCCGTGTGCGTCATAATCTCCCTTTCATGCCTAGAGTGCTTGTTCCATGTTGATGAACATGAGGGCTTCTCACCAATCGTCTTCTCATACGGCCTTTTGAACGAAAGACGTCAGCTCGTGTCTGAGCAGCATTGGAAATTACAGAGACACACAGTGGCACTTATGAAGAGTCAAATAGGACCGAGAAAACTGCTTCTTAGCTGGTTTCCGCCAGGTCAATCCGCAGCTCCTTCACCTCACGAAAAAAAAGCCACAGCCTCACTCATCAATGACTGGTTGGTTATAAATGAAAAGCCAATGCGTATCTCCGTACACAGAGAACTGAATACGAGTTGATCGTCTGGACATGTTCAACCACACCTCTAGTCTTTGTCCACGCCTAATCTCCAGGCTATCAAAAAACAGATGAGATGGCGCGGATGTATGTATGTTGTCCGACGACCCTGACCCGGCAGTGACACGCTGTACTCTGAGATGTTTCGCTGGAATTGCTCATGTGAATTGAAAAAAAAGGTAACAGGTAATTTTTCTTTCGAGGTACAACCCGTTCGCTTCTATCTACAGTAGCCAAATCTTACCGTTTGTGATACGCTCAAGAATAGAGATGGGCAGTGTGTAACTCAAGCATGTCAAGTCTCAGCTTGGCTGAAGATAAATAATATATTATTTAACAATAAAATAAAAATATTCTTTATTAGATTCATGGCGGCACTAAAAATTTATTTAATATTAATATATCTTTTTTATTTTTCGTTACTATCCTTATTACTACTTCCCCTGATGCTGTGTCGTTCGAGATAGTGTATCCTTGCAGCTGCTTCCCGTCCTCAGCCCAGCTCAGCCCAGCAAGATCAGATGCTTGACCCTACCTCAATAGCCCTTGCTTATCCTCGGATAATATTATGAACCAGAATTACCATTATTATTCTCTAATTTCTTTCACAAGGTCATGGACGCCGACCTAGAGCGCCTCTCGCCGGCTTCCCTCGGGCGATACCGGAGAACTTCTTCCAAAAAAGAAAAAAACCTCGATTTACACGTGCCCTCCTTCGGCAACCTTGTACATCCCGGTTACAGGTTGATTGCCTGCTAAAATTGCGACCTCGGTGATGGAAAGCAGAATCGAGAAGCCGCCTTTTCGTATTATCCCGTAGCCAGCGCCATCATGCACAAGGGGAAATGAAATTGTAGAGGGATAAAAGACCCTCTGCCATGCCAATTGGTCCGCTTCAAAGCGAAGCGCAATTCAGCCAATAAGTTTCCCGCTGCCCACGGTGCAAAAAAAAACCCCCACGCGGGTTCCCCAAGGCCATCAGCAGAAATGGCGTGCTTTTTGGCCAAGGGGATTGCTTGTCACTAAATGTGAATGTGACGAGTTAGAATTTTCTTCTCGGTGCCTTGTACGGGATGGATTGATCGAAAGAATCAGAAGAGACGTATTAAATCTGCTTCGAGCAAAAGAGCCGTCTCTCTCCGGTGCGGTAGCATTCCGCGGCTTACATACGACGACACCACCCTCCCTCCTCCGGGGAAAAGCTGTAAGGGCCCCAAAGGTTCGTGAAGCCAGCACACACCAGCCTTCGAGTAGGTATATTGCCGCCTATCAAACATGGGTCTTAGTCCCTGCGGTAAAGTAAGCAAGGCAGCTCTGCGCGATCAGATGATCTCGGGTGCGGGCCGGTCGCGCTGTGTCAGGTTCTTCTTTTTTTTAGAGACATTGCGAAGCGCCACTTGCGCGTGCACATGGGGGCTGCTGCGGTCTGGAGAGCCAAGAATGCGCAAAAGATATGGTAAAACACATGTAATAGCAAACGTAATTTGGGCCGATTGTCAATGCTCAGGTCGCGGCAGAATCGCAGAGCGCAATGGGGGGGTTAGCATTGACCGGTTGGTTGCAGCGCAATTCCCCCTTCACAACCGAGAACTATCGAGTACGTCTATCGTGCGTCACATCGCATGGATAGCTCTGCAAGCTTTTGTTGCAGAAAAGCCCTACGGTCCGCAGCTGTGTGCATGCTGCTCGCCCAAAAAGGGCTGCGGGATCTGCAGCATGCAGTAGGCATCCTGATATGAATCAGCCGCCTGCGCAGAACTGATGGATGATGACTCTTTCGCTGTTGAACAAGGCCGTCTGAGCTGTTGATTTGCCCGTCGTCTCAATGCACTTGGGATTTGAGTCGCTGTGACCTCTTGGCTCGACTCAATCCAGGGTCCAGTGCGTGTTTTCTCGGGGTCCAGCAGGGAGTCATCATCTGACGGGGGTGTGTATCTGTCTTTGCTGAGCTCGCCAAATCGTCGGTGAAGCCCTTCAGGTAGTAGCAGTGGCTTCCGGGCCAAAGGTCATGAAACAGCCTAAGGAATGGACTGGATGCTGGAAAAACGCACCTCCACCACCGGATCAGGCTTTTGGGGGCTGAATTCTGTAGTGGCGGATAGCTCTTTTGGACAATCAGTCCATGGGTGCATCATCAGGGGCGGGGAAGGCGGAGCGGGCGCCATCCTGCAGCCGCCACGTAGGCGGTCACTTGAGCAGCGAAAACATCGTGTGGTACGTCTGAGTTGCTGTTTCGAGCAACGCAAACAAACGCCCACAACGACTGTATGCTAGTGCAGCAGCCGGCATGGCGGCATCGCTGCGACAACCCGCTATCAAAGGGACGCCGACATGGACACAAGCAACTGGCAGCCGGTGAGCTTGACTGCGCCTAGACGCACTGTAGATCGTAGAATGGCCTTATCACGGGGGAGTGCCAGTTCATCGCTTTCAGACGCATGACCGGCACCAAGCTTCGCGCACCAGCCTGTAACTGTCCCATGGAAGAGAAACGCGGAGAGATGAAGGGGTTGGTGAGCGCTGCCTCAAAAGAGCAATCTGCCTTGGCAGCATATGCCAACGTTTGTCTGTCTCTCTCACCCCGGTTTCCCTTTTCCTCTCCCCCCTCCTGGCAGGGTGATGCTATCATCATCAATGCTTCCACATTAGCGTACAGCCTGCAGAGGCACCACCACCATTCGTTGACGATGCCGATTTGCACGGCAAGATAAGTGTGTCATCCTAAACGAGGCTTGTTAGCTAAGAGCGTCCTATGGAGAACCGCAGAGTAAGGAGTGCAGCTACAAGCCATCCAATACAAACATACCTGCCTTATCCATAGCCATCCTGCTGTTTATACTCGCACCTCCGCCCCCATTATGCAGCATGTAGTCATCCGCCAGCCGCCAATGAATGCGTATAGGACCGCCCGATTGCTCCTGAGAAGTGCCGTGGTTGGGCGCAGTGCCATCCGAGTCTGGAGGAGGAGTTGCCATATGGAATCCAAAGCCGGGGCCCCGGATGGAGTGTGCACTTTGCGCATTCATTCACGGGTCATCATGTCCTCAAGCCATTCGACAAGATGCAGACCAATCTCGATGATTCTCGGACAAGGCGACAGGCCATTGTCAAGCCTTCCTCATCCGGCGATGTCCTGTTGGCGGCAATAGGTCTCGAACAATGGCCCCAGGTCTGGGAAGAAGAATCGGATTAGAGGCGTTGCTGTCTCAGCATGGCTGGCCGTGCCTGGCAGACCACATGACGGAGGCGTTGGATGCGTCTTAGAGAGTCGGGCTGGCAGCACAGATCGTCAACCGTCGCCAGCAGATCGAACGCCCAGCGAGTCTGGAGCCGGATTTAGTCGTCGGCGGTGCCGGGCGCAGCCTTGGAGCGAAGCAAAATCGCCAACTGAACGACGCAGATGGAAGTGGAAAAGCTTATGGCCGCACAGACGGGCAGGCCAACATGCTTCAACCTCATTAGCCAGGTCAAGCCTCTCCCCAAGCCTCCTTTTTGCTCTCTACCGTTTTTGCGGAGGCGGGCTGAAACGCCATTGGCAGCAATACGGGGTAGTGGCAGTTGGGAAGTTGTTGTTGGACGTGGTACGATTGAGTTTGCAGGGCGAAGGGGGAGGATGTATAACCTGCCCTTGTTTGGACCAACAGATAGATGCAATCATTATACAGTAGCAATTAATTCATATTATTATACATAATTTGATTTCATTTATTTTTATTTATTTCATCTTGGTTCCTTTTCTGCTCTCGTTTCTTTTTTTGGCTCCTCTCAGCCAACAGCAATGATGAATGTGGTTGCGCACACCCGCTGCTCATTCCCTTTGCTGCTGCCTGGCGCAATTGGACCGATGCCCAGAAATCTCACAATAAACCATTCACTTACACAGTCCTATTCACCTCACCACCGGAATCCCGACGAGATGGTACACCATTGAGCAACATGATAACGAAGTAACCCATTAATTACCAAATAATTTCGTTATGAAATTGGAAAGAGAAAAAAAGAGAGAGAGAGAGAGATTGGAGCTTTTCACAAACCGTGCGAGCTTGAATAACCTTGAATAACAGCTTCATGCTCCCTTGATATCAGGGAGACTGGGGGAAAAGGTGCTGAGACCCCTGGTCTCATCGCGAGTCACAAACATCGTAGACATGCATAGTGTTTATCTGGTACCAAGTCTCTCCCGCGCGTGCAGGCGGGTAAAGGGCTAATTGATCGGCTTCGATGCCGTTGCATGCTATGTATGCACAACATTAAACTTTACAGAATAGACACTGCGCATGCCTCGACTAAACACACGCGCATAAAAAAGAAGCATGTTGGGGGCGTTCTAGCATGCCAGCCCTACCAGCATGGCCATTGCACAAGGTCCATCACGCCGCCAGAATAGATAGCTGCACGTTGGATGAAATCTTGATACTATCTAGAGAGCAGCTGTTCATGATGGCTGCCAACAATGCGTTGCCGGTGGTGGTGCACATGCCAGAATACGGCGCTACGGCGATGCTAGCACCGCGGCTCGCCCGTAGCCCTTCCGCAGCTTCTTTTCATAGCTCACTCGCCAGCTACGTTCAATGCAAGTATACAATCAATTCATCAATTCAATTCACTCCGTCGACTGGTTGGCACCGCGAGGCGCGTTGTGTCGACTTGCCTCGTCCATGAATTGAATCAATAACACACGGAAGCTCAAGCTCCCTCACGGCGTTTGTCCGGAGCTACTTCTCATGACAAAGGCCCGAAGTGGGCGGGCCAAGTCTCCGTTGCAATCCAACGTGTGGAACAAAGGAGTCTGAACAGATCCGGTTTTGATAGCAAGTGATTGACGGCAGTGCCATTGTGCCTGGGAGGGGATCTAGTGGCTGGGAAATTCCACCGCCTGGATAAATTCCCAATTGATTTTATTTTATTATCTGTTTTATTTTCATTTCTTTTTTATCCAGCGATTTGTGTCAAAACCACCCCCATTATTTATTTTATTTTTATTCAAATTTTTTTTTTCTCCTTAGCTTGGGCTAGTTACGGAGACTTGCTAGAATAAAAAAAAAATTGTACCATGAAAAATTCCACTTTGCCCCCACCGAGCCCTTTGTTTTCTTCCTAGCGCTCCAATTTCGTATCACCCCTTCCCATCCAGCCAATATCCTTTCTTGTTATTCTCTTTTTTTTCTCGATAGGTGGGAATCGGGGATCCGCTCGATTACGGGCATGCAACCTGCGATGGATGCTGAACAGAGAGGGGGGAAAAGAGGCCTCTACCTCTACGGAGTATCGGTACCCAAGCAGATTGTGGACCGGATTAGTCCACCGACAAGTGGATAGAAGGCTTTTGGGCCCCTCGCTCTTTGGCCGTGATGAAATGTCACCAACCAGGCCTTCTTGATAGCTTGCGGAGCTTGTGGCCGTATACGTAATAATACGAGAGAGCCTCAAGAGCCGGGGCGGCGGCGCGCCACTACCCGGCCTGGCAGGTGATGGCAGGTCGAGGCTTTAGGTTCCCCGAAGTCGACGATGGCCTCACCAAAAGGACCACGCGCTATCTATACACACCTGCTCACTCAATCCGTCCGTTCCAGAGTAAAAGTTTTGCCGGATCGTCTTGACAAAAAGGCACGGAGCCTCAGGCACTGGGATCCACGTGTCTTGAAGCTCCCGGTATCCCCTTGCCGGCCCCATTTCCCCGATTCCAGCAGGCGGTCACAGGAACAAGCCCAGATGTATTTGTCCGTCAATATTCACTCATCTGGGGCCGCGTCTCCATTTGCAGCTTGTTTGCCTGTTTGTCTGTGGATGTGCGCGCCCACATGAGGCATTCTATTGAGCACAGGGGAAATACCGACATGTGCCTCTTACGTTATCCTGCATTAGATGAGAAAAAAATTGTCAAGATGAGATATATTATCCACAAAGGTGGTGTTCTCCTCTTCTTTCTTGTCATTTCGGATCGAATCGGGATGGCACGGGTGGCGTGCATTTGACATGCGCCCTGTGGCGCAGAACATTGTGGGTTTCTTCAGCAATTTTTTCTTCTTTCCCTTTTGCCTTCTTTTACCGAGCTGGAATAAATAGAAACCACATGCAAAAACTAGTTTGCTACTGTATACTTACACACAGTCAACGGACACGGCACAGCTTGCTCCATTATCACAAGCCTTCCCCCGTCATTTGACCGTTATTTCACTCCATACAGTAACAGCCACAGCCGAGAAACGTTGGTCCCTGATGAGCAACAGGTTTATCAGTTGGAATGAGTCGTGTCCTCGGTTCATTGCTCGGCTTTTAACGCGCTCTAAACTAACCTGTTACGACATGGGGCGGACCCTGCATGTCCCAGAAGGAACCACAAGGCCTCTCTTTTCGCATCCGAGGGCCAATAGCAATTCAACCAAGGTAAAAGCGACCCCGTAGCAGGTCAGTAGCCTCGTCGCTGCGCTACTCCGGCTGCGGGGCCGAAATTGCTGGCTTCAAACGCCAAACGCCCCTCTCCTAGGCAGACAGGAAGAGAATTGAAGGGGGGGACATGACTTGTGTGCGCTCTTAGTGCCAGAACTTGGCAATCTTCTAGAAGCAACATGGAAATCATTTCCGTTGTCAGCTGCACGGCGATCCGTTTATGCGCAGCTGTCTCAAGCCGAGTCATGACCCCCTCGAGGCCGCCAGCTTGTCAACATGTCAAGCAGTATGTGCTGTGTCGTCACTTGTATCCGTCCGGAGGTACACGATCGATTTTAGCTTTGCAGATGCAGAGAGATAAACAAGTGAGCAGAAAAAGAGGCGGTCCGCCGATGCTACCCCCCCAGGCCTGGCTGAAGAAACCGCCCTGCATGTTCCAGAAGAACGCTGAGCTAACATGGACGTTCCCGCTTTTCCTTCTTAGGCCGCTTTCTTACACTCTTCACCAAAAGATCGGCCGAAAAGGGCCTGTCAAAAGTAGCCTCTCCTGCTTGAGCAAAAAGCCATCGGCCAAGGCCTGCCCTTTGATTCATGCAAGCAATCGAGTAGACTAGCTCGACCGCCTTTTCTCACGGATAAGACGTCTCCAGTATGTTAACACCAGGTAGGTAGGTGACTTGAACAAAGTGAAAGTACAGTACTTGCACATGTCCCTCTCCGTTTGCTAAACACCCCCAAACTAAGCTAAATGCTCACTCGCGATCAACCCGACCTAGTGGAGAGGGACTCGTTTTTCGTTTTCTTCGGCCAGTACCGTTACAGCGCTTACACTACCGTTTCCAGTAATTCATCGTTCGGGAGTGCGCCGTGTCGCGCGCGCTACCCCTCCGGAGAGGCCAGATCACCCGTGGATTACCCGTAGGACGCCAGTGACGAGGCTACAAGGTGCACGCGCCAAAACGTGCCCAATGTCCACCGTTTACCTTGGTAAAGCATAATGCGCAAGTCATGTGCCTCTTCCCTTGAACCGTGCCGTCGTCCTTTGTCAGCAGTCACTTGACGCATCTCCGCAATAACAGACCAACCAACTTGCTTACTTTATTTGTCTATCCATTGTCCCGTATCACTTCACGAGGCTAGGGAGCGATAGCTTCAGGGTCCAGTTCATCACGGCCTTCTCCATCCGGTTCCAAACATCTGCCTGAAGGTGGCAATTCGGACGGAGGGGCAACAGAGCAAGCTGTTCAGCCTCGGCGATATACTCTGCAGTACCTGTATTATCCTGCTCGTGTCAGAAGCGCGCCTAAATGGAAATGGCCTTATTTTACCCCGCGTGGAGGCGGTAGTTGACGGCGATGCTCCGCCGTAGCATTTACGGGGTATGGCGATGTTGCTAGCTAGGAATCATCCGATGGTCAGTTTATGCAACCTCGAACCTCGAACCTAGAACCTAGGCTGTGCGGTCTTAGCTGTGCGCTGTGCTATCAAATGCCAGCTCGTGCTAGCATGTGTATTTGCGCCTGCTCTACAATACCGTGCGGTGCGGTGCTTTGTCAGACATCGAGCCGAGGCTGGGCGAAGCCACTCCTCCTTTGAGCTATCGTGAACCCCCGGCCCGAGATATATCTCCTACCGGGCTATGCGAAATACTGGAGCCATGCTGCCGTTTCCTACTCCTGGCACACCGTCAGATAGGACCGGTGGCAAAAATACGGACCATCTTGCCATGTCTAGCAAGGTGTAACGGTAAAAGACATGGTTGCTGCATATCGCCACTAACTCCCTTTGCCAATGGATCTACGGCGGCTCATGCAGCAAGCTCACTTGGCGGGCATATCGAGTCTGGGCCTGTTGATCAACTTGCTGCTACCCTGTACACGGATGTGCACTAATGGAGCGCCAAGCTCAATTCCAGAGTTGATCGCCTGTTTCTGTATCACAGTGTAGCTTTCGTCAGCAAATAGTCGGCAAGTTCTGGGTCTCGAGAAGCATTCACGTGAGTCAATAAAGTTGCATTACTCGACAGGGAGTTCTTCTCGTATACAATGTAGTCTACACGGTGGTTGATCCCTCTATTGGTGGATCGCGTTCTAGACATTGCTATGAACCGAGATACCCACGGTATCCATCTGGTTTACACTGGAGTCATGTGATGCGATTAATTGCTCTGGACCTCGCCTCATGATATTCAGGATTCGGGTACCGCCGAATTCATGGATGAATAAAATAGAAGGAAAAAAAAAATGAATTTAATTCAATTCATTTTTATCGAATAAATTAATTTTTTTTGCATTGATACCAAAATAGAAGCCCCGTGCACTCCCCCAGTTTATGCGTCGCAATCGCGATATCGGTTTCAATTGGATACCTCCAATGCGGAGTACATTGGTGGCTGAGCTACTGTGCCTTACTCGCTGCATTTGGTAGCTGTCACTCAGGTACCGCTCCGCACGCATCAGAGTCAACGTTTGCATCCAACGGTACACGCGTTCATAAGCCACTGCCTTATGCAGATGAATTAAATAAAGAAACAAAAAATGGGTAAAACAATAAATAAATAATCATGTAAATAAAACCGACTAAAACAATCACTCCTTGCCATGATTATCATTCATTGCCCCGTTCTTAATCTCCATGCGGTCTCAAGTCTCTGGCCCTCCTGTGTTCACTTCAGCAAGTCATCGCCACCCCTGGGTTACGGCGCCCCGCCACAGGATCTGGAGGAGCCTCTCGCTTATCGAGGTACCTGCTCAGGCACTGGAAAACTCAAAGTTTGGGGGGGCTGGTGACTGGCCTCACTGCGTACATGTAGTATAGATATAGCAGTAGTGAGCTTGTGTAGTAGCAGCACCAGCACCATCTAGATTCAGCCAGAGTTCAAATTGATGCAGCATCCGTGGTAGCATTCCGCATCTACATGTACATATGCGCCTCTGGTACGCTTGCGCAGCTAGAAAAGATCCGGGCGTCTTAGCAATGGAGCCTGTCCAAGGGGAAGAATAATGCTTTCCCCAGACTTAGCGTTCCCAAACGCATTTTGGGCATTGTTATACCTCCAAACGGCCCCGGCAGCACGGACAGGAATGCACCAGAGACACAGTCGTGGGCTCACATCGGCCGAATTCTCGCATTGCCTTTTGCCTCAATCCGACTCATCTGAGTCAACATACTGCAGTCTTTTCCTCTTTCGGCCCAGACCCTCAAAGGGGCGCGGATAGTTGTATACGCAAACGAAATAAACCTATGGCTTAGTATTGCAAGCCTCTTCACAAAGGCGCGATTGGAAAGTGGGCTGTATGTAGGGCAAAGTATATCATATATGACAAGATATCTTAAAAAAATCCAGATTCATGTCAGATCAATGCATTAGTTCGTTACCCTTATTGCGATGAGTCGACGATGATCCACCTCCCTCGCGTCTAATGTCTCTCTTCTCCCCCCAGAGTTTCATTGACTAGAGAGACCCGGGCCAACAGCGACATGGTACGTGTATGATCCGAACACAGATTGGCGCAAGCTAGCTTAGCACATTTCTCATCTACTGGCTATCGTTTGTCGATGCACAAACCGTTAGCTGTTGTTTTGGATCGAGAAAAAGCAATCTGTTGTGTAGGGAGTTGAAATAGGCATCTAAGTGGCGTGACGATAGGCGGCAGGGTATGGCTGGCGGATGGGCCTTGAAGAGAAGGGATATATACTCTGTATGAAAGTTGATACAACTAATAAAATGAAATGAAATACAATAAAATAAATAAATGAGAATAATAAGCCATTTCAGACTTCTTAGGGAAAGTCGGGTCTCAAGGTCCAAAGGGTAAAACTGGCTAACCAACAACTAGATCCGTATCCACAAGCCGGCAGGCCTTCCGTGCTCCGCGCACACATGCCATATCGCCGTCTGCATTTCAACACGCAAGGAAACAAAAACCCAACTAAAAAAAAGAGAGAGAGAGAGAGAGAGAGAGAGAGAGGTGTATGTCTCATTGCATCTCACATGACCTAAACAAGAAAATTGTCAAACCGGTGTCTCAACCTCTATTGTAACAGCATAAGTTTCCTTTACGCAAGACTTTGTCCCCCCAGAGGTGGAGCTGAGACTGCACTGAGGCGGTCTCGGGATTTTCATGCCAAACCAGCAGAGTGCGGAGTAGAGAATGTATGTATGTATGTAGGGGACCTGGACACCGTGGAGAACAGGAACGAGACAAGACGTGCAAATCACGGGGATAGGGGAGTGGTCAGTAGAAGCAGGATTTTCATCACATTATTCTTGTTTTTTTTTTTTTTTTTTTTTTTCTTGCTGCTTTCCTTTTCTCTCCAATTACAATGCGGGCTGGGATGTGATAACCCTCTAATTGGCCCGCATATATCTCTCCCCCCTGTGTTTTGTGTCGGGAGCTGAAAAGCATGTACAATGCCGAAATAGGAAATCTTGCCTCGAGAAAACAAACAAGCAATTATAAGTGGTCGACCTTCCGATGAAAAGCAAAGAAAAAAAAAAAGGAAGAGCTGTCCTTGTTTTTGCGCGCGTGCATGCATATACGGAGTAGCAGTTGTTATTATTAGTCCCATCCTCCGAATATACATGACCATTGCTATGCTGCTCCCCCGCCCCGAAAAGCCCAATCACCGCCTGATTCAGCCTCACGCGCACTATGCCAGACCGGAAGCCCGTTCCGGCAGCAGACCACATGCATCTCTCCTTTGCCAGCTAGCCCAAGTTCATAGTTGGCTAGTCTTTCCTTCTTACCTTTGCACTCGCTTCTTTGTGTGTGAGCGTGTGAGTGAGTGAGTGAGTTTGTGCCGCTATTGGAGCCACGGCTTTAAAGCAAGGAGTGCTAATAAATGCATGCGGGCTTGCTACTTGGCCGCAGTAGGTTAAAAGGCATCTGCCGCGTAAACAGTGGCATGTGTCACCTTTCTTCCCCTACCCCCTGCCTACCTATTTTTTTTTTCTTTTTTTTTTTCCCTTAACACTCTAACCTGCTTATCTACCTACGTATCTATCATTTATGACAGGTTGCGGAGTCCGCCGCCTGCGATCGTTTCCAGCTCGCTGGGCAAATCTGACGGGTCGCAAATGCTAACCAGCGTAGCCATGGCTCCGGCTGGTAGAAGCGGACGCGCGGTTTGGCAGTAATTAAATCCAGTGGTGCGTCGGGCGTCATGGGCGCCTTGTAGAGAGGGCGGGCTTCGTCTTAAACGGGCAACCAGCCTATTGTTTGTTACTCAGCGTTGACTTACCACAGCCCTATTTGGGAAATTTGAGATGTTGTCGGTAGTAGTAAACGCAATCTGTTGTATTTTCGCACCACAATTTCATTCCTCGGTAGACGTAAAATAAAAGGCAAATACAAAGAGTAAATAAGAGAAAAGAAAGAAGGGGAAAAAAAAAGGTCCAGACGAGGATATCACATGTAAGCGGGGGAAAGACGGATGTTCACGAGCTGGCAGCATTTAATATAGGCCTTGCATCGATATTCTCCATATGTAATATGTGATGGCCACCCTCATTTGCTCGCTCGCATCTGCAGGGAGAGATTAAAAAAAAATTAAGGAAGAAGCGTTACAGCACGGCACATGCTGTCACCATCCATCACCGCCATTCTATTTTCCTTCAATCGCAATATGTCTTCTCCCTTCTCTCCCTTCCTCTAACGCACACTCTCGCACGCATGCATATGGACTCACCTTCATCTCTGCTTGATTCAGTAGCGGGAGGAAGCGCTAGCCGCACCGCGGGTTTGCAGTTGCACCCGCTAGGACTCCGGACCGGGGATCCGTTTTGCAGTCGTGTGGAGACCGGGGGTTGAGATGCCGCTCGATTCGTTTTCCCTGTTGCAGCCAAGCGAGAGTCCAAGTCCAAGTCCTGTCGCAGAGCTTTGAAAAAGAAGGAAAATGAGAAGATAAAAAAGAGAGAAAAGGAAAAAGAAAAAGAAACAGCAAGGGGAGGGTGAGGATGAGCCGACGACAGCTTCGTTTCCTCGAGTGAGTACTAGTATAGTAGCACTGTAGTATAATAAATTCTTTATTTTTGTTTTTTTAATTAACTATGTGACAGCTGAGCCCATGCCCTGTTGCAAGCTGGGCCGTAACACATGATTCGAAAGCATGCGGCAAGCCTCCTCGAAGGATCCTGTTTGATGCGAGCATAGCAAATATGCGTCAAGGGTGCATGCATGAGTTGAGCGCTGCGACGAGTCCGGCCATGTCCGTCCTCGGGTTTCTTTATTGTACGAGTGCTTGACTCGTTGTCTGCTGTATTATAGAGTGGTTGATTCTATTTAGAAATAGTTACGGGTTTGAGCTGAAAGAGGAGAGCGTGCTTTGTCAGGATCCAAGGCGGTGGTTGATTGGCCGGTTATCAACTAGACTGCACTTTGGCAGAACTGGCACACACCAGCGAATCGCTATTCTCCCCTGGCTGAAACATCAAACCAGTCACGGGAGCAGCAGAATAGGTACTATATTTTGTGGCTTGAACAAGCCTCTCTGTGACTCCCAATACCGCGTCTTGCCATTGAGAGACATGCATAGCCGTCCCATTAGAGTGTTTTTGCTAGAAACTCAAGACCCGTTTTCCCCTCCCTGGGGTTCTCGCCTAGATGTTTCCACCATACCCTGCATCATCGCCAAACGATAAAAAAGAAGAAATGATAAATAAATAATAACCAACCGACCCAATCGCGCGCACTATCATTCATTTTTACATAATCCTAAACGCCTTACCACTGATCCTTGGTAGACTTTAACCTCGACCGGATGCCGGATGCCTAAGCCGCGCCCTCTCCAACCCATGTGCCGCAGCTGAACACCAAGTTTCTTTTTATTATATTAGAGGCGTTTTTTTTCCGGGGAAGCTGAAGCTACGACTGACCAGGCTTTTCTCGGGTGGCGCTTGTACACTACGCTGCACCATGTCGGGCATCAATGTTAATCATTAACCGAGAAAAAGTAAAGATGACAATGAAAGTAGAAGAGAGGACATTGACTTGAACGAGGTAAGTTGCCCCGAGAGAAATCGTGGCATCAAAGGGGGTGCAGCTGAATAGATTATGAAACTTAGCTACGTGATATGTCAACTTTTTTTTTTCTTTTGGCGTAGCAACTTATATTAAATGATTATATAGCTATCATTTATCTCATAGCTCGTTTATTATCTTTCGCTATGGAATTTTATTGAATTCAATCTCGTGAAATAGAAATAGACCGGCAGATGGTTGTTGCTGGTTCGAATTAGGTATAGCTGTATTATTGCGACTGATTAAAACAAACACACGTAAAACTGATTTGCCGCCTACCGCCTTCTTTTCCGCAACATCCTAGTCATTGATACTCTGTAAATAGACAAATGCCAGACACTAACAGCCTCTTCCATCATAGAAGCGGATAGTCAATCCAATAAAGGTTGATTGAATGGCCGGCACAACACGGGTTATCCCAAAAGTGGGCCTCCATCTTGGGAATTGAAGCTTCAGCAAACACCAACATATAATAGGTATAAACCAGCTAACGGCTTGTCGATAAAGCAAGCCCCTTGACCCCAGCTACGCCAGACACGTTACATTCTCAGAATTGCTGTTGCTAACTTTCCTCGGAGATATTCTCGCGCGACACCCAAAAACACCCCCCCCTGTCGTGCCCTCTCTCCCCTGGGCAGGAGCAGCATCGTCGTCGTCAATTGCGCCTCCATTCCGGGCAAATCGTGTTGCTTGTTAGCCGCTAAATGCTCGCACCTAGCCTCAATGCTTACTGCAATGCCGGCACTTCATTTTAACCGCCATCAACTATACCACCCCCTCTCTTCCCCCTTGCCGGCAGGAATATATTCAAGGCAGGACAATGACTAGTATCAATAGGTGACTAGCATACGGAGCAGAGAGCAGAGCACAAAAAAAGAAACCAGAAAGAAAAAGAAGACGCAGCGGAGCGGTGAGTTGTGTAAACCGGCGTCTCTCGCGGCGCCGTTACGTCTCGGGTGGCTCTGGCTCAGCTTACCTGCGTTATCATCCGTAATCCAAATCTCCTAGTGTACTAAATACTAGAAGAAAAAAAAAACGGAGCCCGCGCTGGATCAATTGCGCATAATGTAGTAGGAGGCCATAGCGGGGATTGTAAAGAGGAGAGAAGAAGAATATCAACAACTCCGCCAAATCTGCCATTGGGGTTTGCACCGCCTGTTGTCAGAGGGTTCAATTTGGTGGTGCCAGGGTCATTACATTTGACATTTCGATTGATTTTAATTGCAATATCGCGATCCGAGCAGTCTAATTTCCACGCGCCCGGATTCACTTGGGAGCTAATCGTTGACGGGGGATATCCGCGGGCCCGAATGTTTGGGAAATATCTTGAGAGCCAGCTAGTGCTACGCATAGCTCGTTCGTAGGGGCAAAAACCAGGGACGATGTCTCGTCAATGACCCCCGCCTTGGTTTAATTTCAGTCCGTATCAAAGAGGCCTAGCAATAGCGCGGCCATGAAGCCTACCGGCGACTTACACTCGTGCTAATACAGACAAGTACTACGGATGCTGAGTGGCAGTCTCACTGCTCCGTACTTGTATGAGGCGATCTTACAAACATGAATGCTAGTGATGCTACAGTAACCCCGTGGGGGAATGGAACCAAATAAAAGGAAGCCAAAAATTAGGGGAAAAGAAAAAGAAATACTGCTGCCTGCTTGGGCTCCTTGACGTTCCGGGGGGGCCCAATGAGAAACAACAAGCTTGGACTGTGGCGATGCTAGTTTTGGCTTCGTTCCATTGGATTGCGTGGTTTTTCTCCCCCTCTCCTCGTCCTGCTCTCTATGATCATGTCCAGCGCAAATAGAATAAAAAGAAAAACAAAAAAGAAGCCACCAATACGAGTATGCGGCCCGTTGCGGTAGGCCACAGCCAGCCATTGGCCAGAAAGGCCAGACAGGATGCTGGGCTCGTGAGCGATCGTTGGCCTAGCCGTCCTGTTTCATTCATGGGAATAGCAAGAAGCAACAGGCCGTGGACCAAGGAAAAGTCTTGAGGTCATGCGGCGGAGAGCTATGCGTTGGCAAGCTCTGGCTGCGTGCAGCGTTGTTTCTGCTCAGGACGGGTGTCCTGGTGACCCAATGCAATGGCCACGGCGGGTCGGGAGGACCCTGCAGAGCATTGGATGGTGCTCACCCCCTGAGAAGCTCAATCGTCTCAACTGCTATCAATCGACGCCACCAGAGGCCCGGGACAGGTGACCCCGACTGTCGCAGACGCTCTTCTGTGGTGCGCTGGCGCCGAGGGACTGGGCGAGCAGGCCCCAATGCCACCCTCTGAGCGTCCAGTTTCGCAGCCTGCGAGGCTCTGTATCCGCGGACGGTGCCCCATGATCTCGAGATGCATGTAAACGGCGGCGGCGAGCAGTCAGGCGTAACGGACGAGCAGGCCGCGGCAGCCTTGGGCAGCGGCAATCAAGCAGCAGCAGCCGCTTTGGCTCGAGAGGCGAGGCGCAGATTTTGCCTGCGCAGGGACAAGGCAATGCGAACGAGGCCTTCTCTGGCGGCCCTCTGTGATCACCACAAGACAGACGGCGATTCGTACAGGGCTGGGTCACCTGGACAGTGTGCTGGACCACTGGTATCAGAGCCCCCGGGCCGGCTGCGGCCCCCAGCCAGGGCACGTCACATCAACGGCGGCTCAGTCAGTCACTGCTGGCGCACACGCAGCGCCTCGATTCGCTGGGGGGGACCCTTTGAATAACCCGACGGTCCAATTGCGCAACCAAGGATTGGGGCCTTTTGATAGACAATCTCTGTTGATAAGTATAGCAGCAGCTAAATGGCGATGTGCAATTCGCGCGCCAATGTGTGATGGAATTGGGAGACACAGTCTGGTCTCGGTGCATAGCCAAAAGCCATGCCGCCATTCGCAATGGGCCTGCACAGGCGCAAGGCGGACGTGACATTGAGTGCTCGACTCCATCGTGAGAGGCGCGCGAATGCCGGCAGCGCACCGCACCTCGCAGGCTTGCCGAAAACCGCCACATGTCCAAACTGTACGCATTCGGCATCCGTCAATTCGGGAACCAAACGGAGGATTCTGGACCGTTTGCTGGCTCGTCAATTGTGAACGAACGCATGGCTGGACCGTTTGCGGGGGCGAGGCAGCCTGGCAGCGCGTGACGAGAATGGCAGTTCCAGGCCGGCAGAGTCACTGCCCTTTCAGGCACAGCGTCACCAATCTGGCCAGCGGTTAATCTAGAATAGGCAGTGGCTCTTCTGCTTGGAGGCAAACCACATTGTCCGCCGAAACGGATCTCTCAAGGGACCGTCACATGATTGTGTCCGTCGCGACAGGGCCAGACGCTGGTACTGGGATGGCAGGGCTACAGCAGCTGAGAGCAGCGCAGGAAGATGCTGCCCTTGGCGGCTTAGTGTATTGTGCCAGCACTAATCTTTCCTGGGTAGCGCTTTCCTAGTGGTGGGCGCGACTGATGCCTCTTTGGGCAAAGATCAGTATGACTGGTCGCCGCGCTAATCTCTCCGGGGAGTCGGCGGCACCTCTCCGAACCAGCGCACAGGTTAATCCCCCTTGGTATTTCCTGCTCTGGGACGACAGGGCAGCGTTTTTGCCCTGGAATCCTCGCGAAAAAGCACCGCTCAAGCCCCCACCGGCGACATCGTCGGTACTTGCCGCGCCAGCCAAAGCCACAGCATCACGTCAGTAGCCCCAAGTAGCCACCCTTCGTCCCAACTAGCACCTGTGCTGTTCTCCTGGCGGCGCCTCCGTGGCTCCTGCCGGGGTAAAGGGACACACGCATGTCTGGTGCGAGGTACGTATCCGCCGCCAGGTATCTGCGTACCTGTTGTACAGTACTTTGTACCCCGTACCCCTCCACGCCCATTTTCCCCTCCCACCCCCCCGAAACCAACACCCCGGGGGTGTTCCGCTGCCCTTGCGTGAAGTCAGTCAGTGTCGGCACACCGCACCCTCCCATCCCACCTCTCTTCTTAAGCCTGTCATGCCCAAGATACACCCTACTATCGAGGCTACTCTTAATAACTAGATCTCGTTCCCCAGCTTCTCGACAACCTCTTGATTCTCCATCTCTCCGCATATCCATACCAGGCGGGCACGACGTCGACATACTTGAAGGACCTCCTCTTCCCTCTTCCATCAACACTCGCAGCCCTGTATATCCCCAGCATATACCCGCTCCCGACGCCTCTCGAATCATATTTTCGCCCAACAAACTATCTCCCCTCCTCGACGAAGTATATTACGCATCCGGCCACGACGACTGCCATTGATACATCGTCGATTGACTGGGACTACACTTCCGGAGACGATTGGATTTAGTAATTGTCAGAGTCCAAACCTCATCACCGGGCAACTACAACTTCTCCACCTCTGCGCATCTCTGCAACAAAAACACCACACTCTCAACTATCGCGCTCCTCGCAGCTCGATACCCTCGAGCCTCTTCCTCCCGGCAGCGATGCCCTACCGCCTAGATACTCATGTGTTAACGGTGGATGCGAACGTCATCCACAAAGTCGATACCGGCAATCCCGCCAACTTGTATTCCATGTGGACAGGTGAGGAGAAATCGCCCCTAGCAAACAGCATGACTGGCAATCGGTCCGATACTAACAGCGTCTTCTCAGTCTTCTCTCGCTGTGCAGATTCAGTTGAACAGGGCCGCAGATTAGAGAACCTGAGCTGGAGACTCTGGCAACGAGAGCAGCTCATCGACAACGCCCACAGATCCTCAATAGCCCGGACGGCCCCCAAGGATATTCCTTCCGAGGCCCGATTTCCCGAGCTTCCTCAGCTCTCTGGCAGCGTCGACTCCCTCGCGGACGAGGACACTCCCGAATTCACTTCAGTCTCAGCTCCCCTGGAGATCCGCCCCAGGATACGACGGCTAGAGTCTTCTGCTAGCCGACGTGACCGCCACATCAGTTCCGACGACTTTGAAAAGATGGTCGTCTCCATTGTCAAGGACAAGGCTCCCCTTTCTGCCCCATCAAATAACACCTCCCCCATCATCGCCATCACCCGCTCTGGATCTACCACCACCGAATCACAATCCTCTGAACAGCCCTCCGAGGTATCATTAGCATCCGCCGAGATGTCTTCCGCCGCCACCTCCCCCAAGCACCTCGCTGGCATTCCCGTCTTCAACGCCCCTCCCATCGATGATAGCTTTCCCGAGCCAAGCTCATCACCAGCTCACAAGCCCGTTCAGTCCAAGAGACAACCCCCCAGGTTTGCGCTGGGCGGATCAGTCTCTTCAAGCGACTGCGGACAGAGCGTTGATGCCCACAAGTCCATCTTGGCTTCTAAGAAGCCCATGTTCAAGCTTGGTGGATCATCAGAGGAGGATAGCTCCCTGGCTAGCAGCCGCAATCTGCCCTCTGGATCCAAGCAGACCTCCTTCAGCAACAACCTCATCACTCACCACATCGATGCCGAGTCTGCCATCGACTCCGACACTGAGGGCGAGTACATTGATGAGAGTGCCATTGACGACGACGATGACTCTTCCGACTGGGAGGACTCCATCGACGAGAGCGGAAAGCCCAGCGTTGATGAGAAGTTCTTCCAACGTGTCGAGTCCAAGGTCAACCTGGCTTCACGACCGTCGCTCATCACTCTGATGATGGCCAGCGACCGTGCTAAGAGCCTTGGCAACCACGCATCTCAGTCTACTTCGGCTCTTTCCAGGTCACGATCCGTCCTCAATGGATCATCCCTGGCTGCCTCCCCCAACGACTCTGACGACGGTCCTCTTATGATGAAGGGCACTCGCCAGTCAACGCTGAAGCCCATCAACGAGATTCCTCGATCCAACGCTCAGCCTATTGCTACTACCAACCACGTCCATGCCCAGGCTGCGCTCTCTCCCCGAACTACCCGCCGCAACATGCTCGCTACTGAGCTTACCGAGTCTCTCCGACGCCACCTTCTCTGGGAACGACAGCAGAAGTCTTCTACTGCCAACGCTGTCCTCAAGCGCAGACACACATCTCACGATGTTGCCAACCTCAAGCAGTACCCTGAGCGAGCATGCCTGAAGCAGAGCGAGGATGTCAACGCCAGCAGCTGGAACCAGTACTTCACCAAGGAGGCCAACAACGGATACCATTCAAAGGGATGGTAGGTGACGATTACCGACTGAGATTTAGTTGGCAAGGCAATTCATCTATAATATAATGCCTCGGCCGTGTACATCATTATGGCGTTTTGGGGGTTTCGATTCACAACCATCATGGCAGCAAACACTTGGCTGCACAGGCGAAACGGAACTACTTCATGAATGAAGCGACATACTTTTACATATTTTCTTTTTTCTTTTCTTGTTATAACTTGGTCTCATAATGTCTAGTTGAGACAACAAAAAACTCATTCGCACTTTATGTGGCGTTGCTTTTCAATGATACCATGGTCTTGAGCTATTCGGTTTGATATTAGGTGAGCTCTGACGATGCTCATGGATTTGTTTCTACTTCTGCAACCCTGCTCCATTGAGAAGCTTGGTATGCATCGAGTGTATTTTAGTGGGGGGTTGGGAATATGTGTTTCCAGGGGCAACCTTGGGCGAGGAAAATTTTTTCTTTTTTCTATCATTTTTTTACTTGCTCAGCGAAAGACGATTAGCGGGGACAACAGAATCCCATGCACGGATCTACAGAAGACTTAAAAAAAAAGAAGGCAGCAAATAAGATGAAAAAAACTGGTGGAGGCCAAAAAAGAGGAGCTCCCGTGGGTCTTTTTCTCAAAAAGTGTGTTGTTTTCTACGAGACAAATGTCAAAAAGGGTTTTACCATAGCAAAAAGGGTGTCTTTTAGATGGACAGCTTAGCAAAAAACATTAATAAATTCGTGATAAAGAAAATTCTGTCTCTCCTTGTGAAGCATCTGCGTGGGCTGTGACTTGCATGATGGCGGAATCGCATGGGGGTTTTCGTTTGCTGATTAACATTTGGATGCGATTAATTGACGGGTTGACTAACGATATCTGCAGTACCCAGTACTCTCGCCTTAGCGCGGGTGGCTGCTGCGAAATCAAGTACCGAGTACTGCTCACGGCACTTTCCGCCGGGCAGTGCAGCCAAGCAGGAAAATGCGAGTTTTTCTTGCTCATTTGATTTCTGCTGCTAACCAATTGAGTCCCTATCTATCTGCTGCATATGCACGTCCGATGCTTTTGGCATGAGAAAATTTTCAAGCAAGGGCCCAGCGGCATTGACTCATTACGTGCCAAAATAACCCCCCTCTCCTCCTCCTCCTCCTCTCTTTCAAGCCCATGGCGGTGAAGGAGATTGAATGAATGACATGACCACGCATGGAAGGGCCTTCAAGTGGAAAAACGAACTCCATCAGGCTGGCCGGGCGCTATTCCGCCAGCCCACCCAACTCCACAGAAAAACCGAGAGAGCCGGGAGTTGTTGGTGAGGGACCCCAAAAGCAAAACAGACCGGTTTTTTTCTGAAGGAGAGGGAGGGGGGCCGCGCGCGCCAAAAATCACCATGGTAAGAGGGCCCAAAATATTGCCCAGGTGTTCCGGATGTTTACCGCTTTGTGGTGATCGGCTATGGGGCTTTCGGGATCGGAGGGCGGAATAAGAGCAAAAGAGCTGAAGAGAGCTAGAGAGCTTTGGTTGAGAAGAGCTGGAGCTAAGGGGGGGAGCTAAGAGGTGGTGAGGCTGAAGGATGAGTGAACGGGCGACGATGTTTTTGAAGACAAGGCAAGGCAAGACAGGGGGGAGGGATGAGAGGAAGTGCGGCTGGCCAATGGGGAGCATCGTGAGTTTGCTTTGTTCTCACTTTTGCCCGGACACGCGGATGCAGGCATTTGATTATGAGTTGTTAATGCGAGGATGGCTGCCGATGAAATGGATGGCAAAACGCGTTGGGGCTTACGGCAATTGATTGCGATGCGGATGGGTGGAAGAGCCCCTTAGAGGATGGAATAACACGTTGAGAAAAGAAAGAAGAACAAACAAACAAAGCCAGCCTCAAGCCACGATGAGATCCGGAGATCCGTTGGCATCTACGGATCGAGAGCCGGCATGTGAATTGCACGTTGCTTTCAGGGCGAAACAATTGTGGCATAAAAATGGAATCATTAATATGGATGGATGGATTGCAGAAACATATAAACACTGGGTGGTCAACCACAAGCACATGGCAATTGTTTTGTGGTTTGTTTGTGGCTCAATGCTTTTTTATTTTTTTTACGCGCTTCTCAACATGCATCAATAGCCGTTTGTGCAATCATTTACCGAAAGGTGTGGACGGCTTAGTATGGCTTTGGTGGTGGTTGGCAGCAAAGGGGAGCCAATTGGGGGCGTTGGGATCGGTATTTGGCCTGGAGTGCCGGTTGGATTAAGCCGACAGATGGTTCATAGGTATTTTCGGTTTCTTGAACTTGGTGATTGTTTGCCGCCTGGGTTTGGGAGTGTAAGATGAGTTCGTTCTAGTCGCGCGCTGTACTTGGTAGTTTGATAGATGCCTAGAATTAAATATGCGGGGTTTTTTTCTTTCTTTTCCTTGGTAGGGGAAGATGGACATGTGAAGGGACTAGCACTGATGGCTGGAAAGTCGTCAGCGGAAGATTTAGGGGTCTAAGGGTCTGCTACTGGTCCGTAGTGCGATCAGAGCATGCACGCGCGGCCCAATAGAGATTGTGCTTAAAGGCAACCTTGGAGATTCGCTGAGCGCCTTGGGCAATAGTCGCGAAGCTGGCGCTGCTTAGTTTTTTGCTGCTGCCTGTGGCTTGTACTTGGCTTGTTAACTGGAGACGTGGTGTTTTTGTGGTTTTCAGGGTACAGTACGTTTTAAGCAATGTAACAATCACTTAGTAAAAAAAATGGCAACATACAAAGAGCATTGCTAAAGAAAGGATGAAACAAGACAAAAACACATACACTAGCCGCAACGTTACTGGCATAATGGAATTGAATCGTATGAGGCCAGCTCATTGTGAACCCCATGAGTCGAGAGAGGATGAAATGCCTGCCATGTAGAAAAGCTGCCAGAAACAGCCAGAAACACAAGCCGCTCACATGTAAGTACATACAAAACATCATCCCACGACAAGAAACACTGATGGGGAGGTTTTTACGAGTACGATCGGGCCCCGCTTCCCCGGCAAAATTACGTTCGGCTTTGTTTTTTTCCTCTCCCCCTCTCGGGTGGCTAGTTGACTTGATTGAGAGAAGACAGCCGAGAGAGTTGCAAGACTGGTGGTTGCTAATTGAATGTGTAGGTAGAAATTTATTTATTTATTTATTTTATCTCTTCTTTATTTTCTTCTTTTTAATATTTATTTCTTGTCAAAACTTAACTTAGTCATCGTCTTGCTACATCTAGCGCATTCAGTTGGAGTGCGGCTAGAAAACCCGGGGAAAGCCACAACGCTCTGGAGTGACAGGATGGCGCTGGGCGGATCTGGGGAACAGCGACAGCCTGAATGTCAGAGTGACATTTGGGTCTGGTGGACACTTATGACGACGAACCGAGAATATAGCCGATGAAACATGATGATGCTCTGCTGTTGATGATGATGATGATGGATGATATCGCTGGTTCTGGGCGATTAGCGAGGAGTCTCATCGATCACGGTGAAAGTGAAGTCATAGACTGCGAACATCATCCCGCCAACCGGGAAAAGAAAGAACAGCAATTTATTCTGAGCAAAACAGCGGGGACCTCGTGATGCTCGATCTATGCTCCCTCTCCATTAAGCGATTGGCGACTGCCGACGGGCGATCGTCACCATCACCTGCCAGTGATATAAGGCTGCTTCCCTTCGGCCATATCATTTCCCAATTTACAGGGAAAAACAAAACACCAAACGCTTGGGGTCGTGTGCCCTCCCCCGGTAGGCTACCACCCACGTTTATAGTTAAACCGGACGTTGGTGGGAAAGCCATTCGTCTCGCTCGCCCAGCCTCCACGGGGGCGTTGCAAAAGCCCTTTCTGATCGTCGCTTCGACGAGATCACGCTCTGAAAGCGCCTGTATATTAACTACCACGACCTTGTTACCGTATTGGTGCCGTTACGCCCAGCAACGACCAAACGATGGTTCCCGATTTGGCCTATCCCTAGTGTAGGTCGCATCATCTTTGACCCCCAAACAGAACGATCGACGGGCTTCTTTCCCACGCTTGTTGGCCAACACCCTCTTTCTTCGCTTCGTTTTTCTCAGTTCACCCTCCACCAAGAACGAGAACTAGCGACAACGCTAGAAAACGAAAATCAATGCCCGTTAGAGGCGGCGTCCTTGATTTAATCTTTTCCGTTTGTTTAATTCTCTCATTCTATTATTTTTCCTTTTCCCCGTCTATGGGTGGAAGAAACAAAACGAAAGACGGCATTAGAATCCAGTAGTGTGTTGGTAATGGTCAGTCCTACGCTTCTTTAGTGGCTATTCTTCGACGGAAATTAGAGTCCAGAGACAAGGGTCCGTTTAGCTTTAGCTGTCCCAGCCTACGAGTTCCCCCATGGGGAAATGATGCTTTCCGGACCCCACACCCGTTCTTCTACCGCGGTTTTGGGCGACGTTTGGACAGCAGCAGTGTTATATGTCGTCAGCCTTGTCATGAGGGCCTCGGCTCTCCACCTCCACCGGCTCGTGTCTTGCCCTGTTGGCATTCCCNCCTTTTATCCCATAGAATAGAGCCTCACAATTTGGAATGACTGGTTTTGATGGCTAGTTGCGTCAGATAATATCACGAGAGCACAGTTCCTCACAAGGGCCCCCTTTTGCCCTTCCCGCGTATGCAGGTAAAAAAACCAAAAAACAGACTTATGTACTGTCCTTACGTCAGGTCGTAACGCCCAATATAGGTAAGGGGTCCATATGACTCGAGCGACGATCCGTCTCAAAAAACATGGCATTCACTAGCCCTCAGCAGCAGCAGGAACAACGCCTTGCTACGGGCCTTTTTCATCCTCCGCCAACGCAGGAGAGGGATAAACAATCAAGCAACGACTGCAGTAGTTCGTCTGACCGGAAGCTAAGCAGCGCCCCCCCGGAAGACCTCCGAAGGAAGAGATGCATGTCGGCACAGTCGCACCGAATAGAAGCGTCTAGGCGGCTGAAGCGCGCCTTTCCCCCTTGGTGGGTTCTTTTTTTTTTTGTCTTTTTTTGTTACGTATCTTCCTCAGATGGTGCTTTGGGCGGCATGCGGCGCTGGCGGTTGGTGGGTTTATTTGACTCAAGCCTTTATGCGCATGATATGGGCATAGCGGTGAAGGCAAGACCTGCAGAGTGCTGAGCAGAGCGCAGTTTCACATTTATTTATTTATTTTTTTATTTGCTAATTTGTTTTTAATATACTGTATACTACTGTATCGTCTGAGTAAAGTAGTTGCATGTAGAAAGAGTGAGCATTAGTACTATTTCTGTACAGCGTTTGTTACTGAGGGATCTGACGGTGGTTGCATCGTCAAGTTGGCAATGAAACGCCAAAACGTGAGTAGAAGTCGCTTCAACCTGTCAAGAGAATAATAATGGGCCTCAAGGCAACTAATAACGGTGACAAGCATGAAAATCTAAACTCTAAACAATAAAATAAATGGTTAAATCAACAAATGGGTTTTTTTATTTTTATTTTATTTTTATTATCTTTTTTTGTCAATCATTTCAAAGTATGTACGTACACGAAATATAACCAAGGTAAAAAAGGCGAATTATGTCCAGTCTTTTCCCCTTTCTTCACTTCGGCATCCAGCCCCGGGAATTCTCCCGAGAAATGTTTCTTCTGTGCTCTCCCTCTCCTCGGATCTTTATTGCGGACACGCCACCGAGAAAGCTGAACTTAAAAGGGGGACCGGTCAGGATGGGCGGTCATGATTTGCTAAGAAGGCCCGGAGTAGAGGAAAAGCCCATTCGGGGGCGCGCACACACACCCTGGCCACTAATAAACAGCCCCAGCTGTACTGTACCTTACGTGCTGTAGGCAGAACAATTTAGTGTGTCCGTGGCTTGCTTGTCGTCGCCGATGTTGGCTTGCGTTAACGGTCCGAACGACGAACGAACGAGAAGAAATGACGAACTGACTAAGTGAACTGGCCCCTTAGCGGCGAGGGTGCACAGTACAGTCAGCGAAGGGCTGCTGGATTCGGATTCGTGTCAGATTTGCGAAGAAGAAGAAAAGGGGAGGGTGGGAGAGCTGATCTCGATCCCAATGATAGACGTAGGTTGGGCGTCTAGGGGGGCTACGTCATCGAGGCTGGGGTGTTTTGATTGATATGGCCCTTGTTTTTGGATGCTGCTCTGCATGCGCTTATGATGATTTCTTGTTTTTTGTTTGCATGTGCCCGCGGCCAGGGCCGGATGACAAATGAAGATCATATGGAGAAGGAAATTAAAGCAGAGCAATGGTAAATTCAGCGATAAAATAATATTGTATTTTATATTATTTGTTATTAATTTTATTTGATTTTCAATAGTCGACGTTTTGGGCTGATTTCGCTGCTGCTTCGCGAGGAAGCCATGCACTGTTATTAGCCTCTATGGTACGTGCCGAACTTTTTCTTACGTTATTTCGCGTGCCCGGAATTGATCTCTCAAACAGGCAATTTTCCCCCTCAAGTTAAACCGCCGTCATCGAAAAGCCACAGACATACTAATACTAATAAATGGGGGTTAATAATACGCGGAGTGCTGCACCGCCACTGCTTTCGCATGTCAGCAGCACTCACAAACCAAACTCATATGTGTGGCGCACCCTCGTTCGGCGGCTGCCCGAGTGTGTAGGATCAAATCTGGCTTTTCTTGTCGCAGATGTTACCCAAAGTGACAGTTGTGGCTGATGAGAAGGGAGGGCGGCTTCGTCGCGTGGCGATCGTGTGGCACGTATGTTTCATCTTTGGCTGTATGTGCCCTGTGTGTGCTGCGTTTACCTTTTTGCCTTTTCTTTTATTCTTTATTTACCCAAGGATGGACATTGGTTGCTTGTGCTAGGAAGACTCGGCCGGAGCAAGGGAGCTGGTTTGCAATTGCCACGGGCTCGGTAAGCGGTAGCGCAGATGCGTCTCGTGGCTTCTTTTCCGACGGAAGTAGAAGAATGTAGGATCAACTTTGCCGAGCGTGATTCAGGAATCAGCAGAGAAGTAGTCATGGAAACCGATACAGGCCTCCCCCCCGCATCTTTCGCTCGTCGCGGAGAAAAGCGGACAAGACTACGAAACAAGCATTTTTTTCTCTATCTTCATTATCTTTGCGCATGTTACATCGTGCAGGGATCGTTTGCGAGATAGAGGGATTGCGACGTGTCTCAGAGGAAAAAGAACCCTTCCTAGATTAAAAGTTTCCTGAATAGGCAAGAGAGGCGACCAGGATTAGCCGACCCGATGCTGCGTTGCATTCCCGGAGGAACGCCATTCTTGGAGGGGACTTTTTCTATTCCTTCTATAAGTGACATGGTACTTTTTTTTCCCTTCTCTGACAGCCACCCGTAATCAATATTCATTACTTCATATTTTCATCTCAACGCCCAACAATCTGCTAAAGAAGTCATTCTTTCTCCACACGGAGATGGCATTCTTTTTTTTTTTCCACGCCAACCGCAAATGCACACCAGTGACAGCACCAGCTGGAATGGCTGGAATGAGCGGAAGGGTTGCGTGGGGAATAAAAGAAAAATAATATAATAATAATTGAATAAAACTAAATTTAATCAAGAAGAGGGTGTGGTGACCCCACTTTTCTGATTCTTCTAGAAGCCTTCTGCAACACGTGGGAAACCAAAAAAAAAAGCCACTGGGGATATTTCGCGGTTTGTGAGTGGTGGGTGAGTGTGTTTTGTACTAGCAGTAGGTGGGCGTGGCCTGCGTGGTACGTAGGGCGAGTTTTCGGTGGCTTGATCCCGAAGACATGGGAGTTAATAAAGTCGTGGATCAGTCTTGCTGCGTTAAATTCAGGTTCTTATCGGTCCGCTAAAGTGTCGTCTGTAACTTAAAGCCAATCTCCTTTACTCTTTGTGTCGTTGGCGGCAGGTCTAGAAGAAGGCTCACGACTCGTAACAGAATCTTGGCACTTGCCGCTTCTGGAGATGTTTTATTTGGCTGCCTGGTGCTAGATGCGATGTTTAGGGGGTGGCTGTTAGAAAAAGCGATAGTGTTTGCATGGGATGAAATAATTAAATAATATATTTCGTGATTAAATCAAGAAAGAAAAATAGAGATGGCGCATGAACGATTATTACCGCAAAGTTGTTGTTTCAGCGTTCATCTACTCATGCAAAGTAAAGTAACTCTTGAATTCTACGCTATAATTTGCCGCCAGCGACTTCTTCCAAAAGGGCCGTTGGCGCCGTGCTGGCAAATGGCGAATTTGCCAGGTGAACTTTTTTTTCGGGATCTCAAAGCCGTTCGCGGGTTTCACATCCTATTTCTTGTTAGTTCTTCTGCCCAATTGCCAGAAGCCGCCACACGTGGCACCGTAGATTCTACGGCCCCTCGGTATTCCATAATGGGGCTACGTGAATGAGTGAGCCCAAAGTCCGCTGGAGGCGGCGACGTGAATGTGGCTCAGTCTCTTTGAAGCGTTTTCCTGGCGTCGGGTTCTTCTTCCTTCATCTGGAAGATGCGCATGCAATCTAGCAATCTTCCCCGGAACGCGTGGAAAGTGGGTAAAGCGGAGAATGGCTTAATAAGGAAATCTCGCAAATTTATTCGTTGTGGCAATGGCCTGTCAGAAGTGGGATCAAAATTTGAAAAAACGTGTGTAAGTCGAGGGACTTTCAGCCACGAAATGAGTTCGACAGGAGATGTACCTATACTGAATGTACGGAGATGAAATTTATTCCCGTTTGGCTGGTGCTGGATTTCCAATCAGAGTTGTCGGGGCTCGGTCAAACTGCAGAAGCCATCATCTTTCAAACTTGCCATTTGCCTTGCTTATGATTAAGCGAGCATCCTGACATGCAGCCTCTTTTTGCGAAATAACTAAAGGTAGATGGATGTACGGTCTCACTTAAGAATATGGTCCAAGTTGTTGCGCTATTGACGCAGAATAAGCAATGACTATGATGCTATTGATAATGAAAGAGCAAGAAATTGCGAGATACACACACTCCCCTCTTTCCAAACATTTTTCGGTTGTTAGAAGTTTGAAGATGATGGCAGTCTGTATTTGATATCGGCAATCAACCGTATCGATCTGGAGGCTTCATGGCCCCCGGCTGTACGTTAAGCTGCGCAGCGATCGGGTAGATGCGATGCAGCTCTGCGCTATGCCAGATCCGGCGCCGTTTCAAGCACGTGACTCTCCAACCGGTCTGCTGATGCTGGCTGAAGAGTCATCAATTAGCTGGATCTACGGATATAGAACGCTCTTACAAGGCCGCGAAAATCTACGTAATGAAGCCTCGCGTCGGAGGCGAAGTCATTATGAAACTTTGCTCTATAAAGTTGTCTTACCAACAGGATAAATGCAAATTACTTTTTTCTTGTCAATATGGCCACGTCGAGGGACGCGTGATCAGTTTCCAGGCGAGGCGTAACGCCTTGTAGCTGAGCAACCAACGAGCAGCGCAATGGAACGCGCGGGAGCAGGCAAAGCTTATTATATACGAGGGGCTGCTCTAGAAATGAGGGCAAATATCATACCGCCGGCTTCAATTGCTGAAATGCGGCCCTTCACGGCATTATGACTTGCCGCCTTCCCCCTCTTCGCGGCCGGTCGCTTGTGGCGCAAATCCAAACCAAGTTGTGAATGGGCATGTTTCTGGGGATAAAAACCAATTTTGCTTGATGGCCCGAACGCCACTGCTACAAAAGAAAAAGAAGGCTTGAGCAGCTTTGCCATCTGCTTCGTTGCGGGCCTTTTTGGATCTCTGCGAGTCAGCAGACGTACATGGGGATGCATTCAATGAATCACAAGCGTTTGAAGTGTAACCGGTTTACACAGCAGAATCTCGATCCCATCGTCGACAGCAGCCCAGCCGGTGAATTACCACGGGTATATAGCAAGCGACTGTAAGCACGCTGCACGAATGCTTGCTGTCATTCAGGGGAAACGGAAAAATAGCATCACGGCATAGCCCTCGGCGCGGTGCATGCATTAGCATGTGCTCATCACTCTATCGGCCCCGTTCGTAGTCGTCCCTGTAAGCGCAGAGCTGGATGCTACACATCACTTCCATCGCATACGAGTATCGCTACGGTGTTCCTTGGCCTGGCTGGGGCCCTGTAGCGAGCTGCGCTGCGTTTATTAACTACCAGCCCTACGGAGGGAGGCATGGATACACGTATGTATAGGTAGTATACTGAGTAGATGGTATGCATATCTTATCCTGCACTTTTGCTTTAATTAATTAACAAGGCGGTCCCATCGCCTTGCCCTGTCACTTGATCGCGTTTTACTTCCCGCCAGGCGACATTGGCTGCGCTCGACGGCTGGGTCATGGAAATATGCTTCGTTCGCTGACGCATTTATTATCAAAATATTGCTTTTCGACGCGGGCAGAAGCTTGTTTGCGGGTAGTGCTACGAAAAGCGGTTAAGTGCGGGGATCGAGGAGTAGTAAATAATGATACGCGCTGGAATTCTCAAAGTAAAATAGAGTAAACGGTAAGCAAGGGCCCTCCCAAGGAATAAAAAAAAATAAAAATAAAAAATGAAGAATAAAGCCAATAAAATAATAATAATAAAAACAAAAGATAAAATGCGACGTAGCGTTTTTTGGGGGCCTGAACGGCAGCCATCTTAATTACTAGCCAATGCCAACGCCTTACCCTATCCTGAACATTAACCTGCTAAAAAAAACCGAATATCCTCCAGTAAGAAAAACCAGCCAGGAAAATTCGCCCTCTCATGTGATTCCTATTTTATCGCCCCTCCCCTCCAACAGCCCAGCCCAGGCGGGGGAACAAGAGCAAAAACAAGCCGCAAGGGGAAAAAGCGAGGGGGGGAAGGTGGCTCAGCTTTTCTGTTTTGGCTCTGCCCTACAAAGTGAGCTGTGAGCTGTTTGCTCGGTGTTCTGTTCCTGTGTGATTCCTGCGAAGTTGATATGCTATTGCTCACAATGTTCAGCTCACCTGACGCGAAGAAGAGAGCCTTTGCTATCCGCGCTTCAGCTGCTCACCCAGCCATTGCAGCCTCTTCATGAGTCTGTCCTAGAGAAAAAAAAAAAAAAAGATGAATCCTCCTCGGTTTGTTGCCTCTCCGCCGCTGACCGTTGCGGCTGCAGCGGCTGCCCTCGGGCAAAGCGAGAGGGAGGAGACGAGAGTTGTGAGGCCCTACGCGGTGCCGCAGTGGCAAACCACATGGCCCGATTAAGAGCCAAAGCACCAAGGAAGAAAGCGGCATAGCAAACAGCGCAAATGTCACTGGTTGGTGCAGCGGTGTTGGCATTCCTTTCGGGCCTACGTTCGTTTTGCGTGTATGCCGCTGTGTCATTCATTCTCTCTGTTTTTCGCCATTCTTGGCGAGCGGGATGGACGAAACGCTGACAAAGAAACGTGCATTGCATTGTGCCGTCTGCCTCGTTCAAGTGCTTTTTTTTGCCATTACTAGTAATATATTACTTGTTTGAATTCGGGCTGCCTCTCGTTTGTCGTATCGTGAACATGACATCATGGTGTTTTTGTTGTTATTCTTCCCCGCCTCGCTCCCTCTCTGATTGCTTACTGTCAGTTTTTGTGTTCCTGGGCAAAAAAAGACAAATTGATCAATTGGTGGAAACGGAGAGGAGAAAACGGTCAATCGAAGACGGTAAGCTCGAGTAAAACAAGATTTGCTTCATCGAAACAAAATAAATTGCTCTCAGCTGCACGATATAATATTGCTGCCCAGCCACTAACCACAACATCAAAACGCGAGCATCAGAGTTTTTTTTTTTTTTTTTTTACCAGCACCACGTCCTTGATGCACGCCATGGACCGTGAATATTTTCACCGAATCCGGAGTTGATATTATCCATGTTATGCGTTGTGCTCATCTTGGGACTCTGCTGAAGAACTGCCGAAGATTCATCATCACCATTCCGCCACAAATCGGTGGAGTGTAGCGCCATACATATGTAGATTAACTTGACATCAGGCAACCCCGGGCCTGGACCTGCATAAGACGTTCAGAGATATATTATCATAAATCAATTATCAAATGGTCAATGGTAATATTCACCCCTCTGGCAAACGGCTCCAGTTTCAGGGCCATATAATTTCAAGCCACACTGCGCCCAGTTCTCGTATTTCTCCCCTCCCTCCTCTCAGGCTATGCAAAGCTATCAACTACCGACCGTTTCGCGGCTCCTCTTTCCGCCCTCCGCAGTGAAGCCGCTGAAAGGCTGTTTGCTCATTCTGCAGCAAGCCAAGAGAAACTTGTCGGGCCAATCAGAGCCAATTTAATGTTTTGTTCACTGAAGCAGCATGTGAAGAGAGGAGAAGAGAGAGAGAGAGAAAAAAAAAAGCACGTGTCTATACAATCAAGAGGCACCCAAGATATATGTGGCGTCGCAACATTAGGCTTTTTTTTGGTCGAAGCTACCTGAACCTGACGAACGGATTGCCGGAAAGGTTGTGGCTCGGCAAAACTATATGAGATGTGATGCCCTGACAAAAGAAAAAAAAGAGAGAGACACAGAGAGAGAGAGGGAGGGAGACCAGGCACCATTAAAGATTTGCGGCTCTTTTCGCCTATCGAATGCATCGTGCCTCGTAGCTATTTCAACCAGATAAATTGAATTCTGGGCGATTCAATCTTGTAAGCCAAAGCGCCTTAGCGCCGCGATAGCACGAGTCGTAGCTGCTCCTCCAATTGGTGTAAACTGATTTTTTCTCTCACCACCATTGGCTTTGAAGCTTTTTTTTTTTTTTTTTTCCGTGTGCATGTGCCTGCTGCTGCTATTTTTAATTTGAAAAGTTCTTGCTACAGCATATAGGTTTTTTTTTTTTTTGCCTTCTTCTTTAAAGTATACGAGGCCGGCTATGCCGATAGCTCAGAAAAAAGATTTGTTTTGTGGAAAACAAAATGGAGCGTTGGGCACCCTGCTCCATGCAGCTTGATGCTGGATGACGAGATACAACACCGAGAACCGCCGAGGCAGTCGCTTCGTAGTAAAGATTCCGAGCGCGGCGCTGGCTAGGATACACCGACGATGCCGAAATTGTCCTTGGCAGAAGTCTGTCTGGCTTTGGCTTCCGTTTACAGAATCTCTGGTCCTTTCTTGAGGTCTGCCACAGTTCCGATTGGTGATGGGGGATTCCAATTGTAGAACCGAGAGATTGAGATTGGGACGTGTTTCACGTTGAGTAGAGCAACAATGTAACTCTAGAAAGGTGTAATTACTTACTGAGACTTTTGAGAGATCTTCCATCACGAGACGCTGTATAAGGGAGGTGCACGGGATTAGATCTGATAGCCGATAGAACGGGGGCTTTACTTGGATAATTGAAGTGATGGATGGATGGAAGAAAGAGAAGTGAGAAGTGAGAAGTGAGCGAATAGAAAAAAAAGAAAGAAATATTAGAATAAACAAATAGATACAATAAAAAATATTATAATGGCAAGATACGAATATTATTATTCGGGAATATTACCCCTGCAAATAGCAAAACCTGTATCGTCACTCTACTTACTATATGGATCATAGTGGCAATAAGACACATCAACTTGAGCAGTTTCGAATTTTCCACTATGCGAATTGTCTCAAAGTGGGCAAGTAGTGTGATGTTTTATCATGGTCGGAACAGCGGATAGCCTGACAAGACTCTTTAGATAACACGCAGATAGCACGGTCATCAAATGAACTGGCCATTGAATAAATACATCATTTGTTTGCCATTATATACATTAGTGATTAAATATAGAAATATGTCATGAAAGATGGTTGTGTCCCTTGGACGTTTCAAACGGTTGTTCTCGTTCAATCCTCAGTGTTATTTGTCGGCTATTGCGACCATTTCTTGTAGTTAGACGGTTTCTAAGAGAGCATCGAAAACAGAGTGCCTGATTGATACTTGCGTCCTATTTCACAGACGTATATCATATACCCTTACATTGTTGTTCTATCAATCGATGCGAGATTCTGTTGCTTTATGTCGACTTTGGATGTAGAAGAACAATCGCCATCACACTAAGGCCTACGAATGAAATCATCATATCTGAATAACATTGAAGAGTAACATGCTCATTTTACTGCACACATCCAATAAAGATCTGTTTAGGTTATTCTAATGTAATATCTTATGCAAATGCTTTTACCAGACGTAACTGTCTGACGCTTTTAATGCTACAAGTCTCAATATGGACATATTTTTGGCTCTACCTTCCCTTACATCATGAGTCTCCCGCAGCTGCCAGTCCCTGTCGATTCATAAGAACCGATCTCTGAAAATGTTTCGCCCCCGTCGGCTCTAGCGATGGCATTTCCACTGTAGTTGCATTCGAGCTGCGTGCATCCAAGGGATTCTGCTCCGGCTCGGCTGCCAGAGGCCGAGCTACTCGTATAAACGCCTCTGTCACCGCACGCCGATCGTCTCTAGTGGAACGACACTTCTTGACGTGTATGAGGGCCTCGTCGAGTTTGTAAAGGGCCTCGCGATGGTCGTTGTTTTCCATGGGATGTACCACAGCTCGCATCGCCGTCGTCTTCATCGCTAGCTTGATGCTCTCCTTGCACGCCCGGCTGCCGCGCCACCACTGGACTTCCGACGTAAACTTGGCTAGGACAGACTTCAAAGCCTTGTAACTGGCAGAGCCGGTGTATGCGAAAACCAAGTTGGAAAAGTTGTACTCGCTGTACAAGAGTTCTCCCTTGCCGTTCTCCCTTGCCGCTACCTCGCATACTGTGGCGGCTCCTCTCAAGTCGCCCTTTGCTGAGAGTATTTGGGCAGCTTTGTTATACACGCTGTCATGAATGCGAGCCCCTTGACGCAGGGCTTGCTTAATAAGATCGCCAGCATCATCGCCATTCTCAAGCCTCGTTAATAGCAGCGGAGTCAGGGCTTCTGTAACATCGTAGCCTCGACTACGAGCTTCGTCAATGAGTGACGCCGCCTGACTAACACTCCCATCTTGCTTCTTGAGGTAGCCTATGACTGCCAGGCGAAGGCAGCGTATTGATGGGCTTAGCCCGCTCAACAGCAAGCGGCGGTACGCCTCACAGACGCGCTCCCACTCGTTCTGGGCCGAAAGCCACTCCATGCAATCGAAAGCATCTGCCTCAGACAACCAGCTGTGTGATTGAAGCGAAGCGGGTGGCACATCGCTTAATCTTTTCCCGTCGGCTTTACTTGGAAGTACATCCGAAAGGGCTGGTGCTAACCCTTGAAGATTTTGATGCAAGCTTGTAATTGTTTTGTCGGAGAAGCTCCAATACTTGCGACACCCAGAGTAGAAGCGGCGTATAAACGCATCATCCATCTGAAATCCGGCTTGGGAGCAAAATTGGAGCCATGAAAACATTGAATCGAGGTCATGGCGGCTTGCATATCGATCCAAGACAAGGTTAACCCATCTGGACTTTAGAGGTATGCTATAGTTGCGCACAAATCTCCTGAGCAAGGTCTCGAGGCCTTCCGCAGAGCAAGTTTGAACGAAAACATCAATAATTTTGCTGATTGTGTATCGCAAATCGTTTGGTCTTGTGCTATTAGCACCCTCAAGCGCCTCTATGCCATCACGAACTGACTCCCAGTGCCCAAGAGCAGCCTCTCGGACTATTAGCCTACTTTGGAGCTTTATGTCTGAATTTGTTGCATCCGGATCCAATATACAAAGGTATTTCATCTCCTCTTGAGCAAAGGGATCATCCCCCGCCCTGAGAGCCTTCGAAACCATAAGCCGGCGCATTTTGTATTCAACATTGGAGGGTACGGCAATCATTTTGTATAAGCCGGCGCTCTGCAGAAGGCGATAGATCTGCTTGATATCTTTGAAGCTTTCCATAGCCTCATCCAGACCAGAGAGCATTCGATAAATCATCATACCCTGCATCCAGAACCTTTTTTGTTTGTTCTCTGAAAGAAATTCAAGAAGCTGTTCCAACCCTTTCTTATCCTTCTTCTCCCATAGCCATTTAACTACGGGCGATAGAACTTGAATCGGGTCCTTAAATATTGGAAGTAGGGTTGCGAGAATAGTTGTGATTTTAGTAGAATCATGTTTGATCGTAATGCTGAGCAATCGTAATCCACTTGATTTCACAAGGTTACTCAACCTGGGAGTTGTTGGTCGAGATGCCATTGAAATTTGTAGCTGATCAACAGCCGTATTCAACAATTCGGATGTCAAAGTGTGATTCGCTTGGTGCACCTCTAAATCCTGTAGCATTTGCTCAAGCTTTGTAACTTGATCGAGATAGGGTTGAGTGGCTTTGTCTGGCGTTAAAATAGTGGCCAGCGAAAGGCGGACCTGAGCCGAAGAGTCGAATTGCAAAGGTCCATGCAAAGACAGTGAACCGTCTCGCGCTTTCGAGCGCCTTGGGATTGGCTCGTCATCTCTATGTAGAGAAACTTTAACCTGCGTATCTACATCTGTTCCAGGTTTTTGTGAAGCCGTCTCATTGGAAGGAAATGGTAGAGCGGATATCGTAGGAGCCGTCAAAGGCTTGAAGGAGATATCCGGCGGCCGAATATCGGTCAGTGGCAGAATAAATCTAGCCGCATCCAACCCGAAATTTGAGATATGCGACTCAGCTTTTTGCTCTCTGCTGCTAGACGCGACTCTGCTAGTGTTCTCATGATGCTCGAATGAATGTCGATGTATGTGAGCATCTCCATCAAGGGCGGGAGAGTTGGAGAAGCTACCCCGGCGTCGTCTTCGATAGGGATTTTTGGATCGCGAGGCAGACGGCAGCGATAACACCTCATCCCCAAGATCTGCAAGCCTATCCTCCCAGCTTTCGCTCAGTGCAACGGCGCCCCTGTTGCTTTTGACGGTATGCAGCTTCCGCGCATTATCAATGGCCGAGCGAGCTATCTTGAGTCGACGACGGCGCTCTTCGGCGAGCAAAGCGACCGAACATGATGTTGTGAAAAGGACGCCTCGGAGAGCATTAAGAGCGGCCTTGGAGGGCACGGGAGGAGTGGAAGCCATGTCGACAGCCCATATCTGCAGCTGCGCTGCTTATGTATGGCGGATTGGGCAATTCTGGCGAATCCAGGAAGCGTGATTCGCGATTTGATCTCGTCCGGAAGCTATCGTAAGATTTCTGACCATGGCATGATGGGTGCAAATGTCTCGGCAATAGTGTGGAAGAATTGGTGGTTAGTGGGGTACGTACCTCGCCCCGCCAAACGTGGTGCAGACAGGTACGTACCTCCACCTAGAACAGCAATTTACCTGCGTTTTGCGTCGACGATGGAATATACAGGTGGTATTCAGCCGAAGGCTTGTAGATAATTCTCGGTCCGTAATGCCAACTCCGAATGAGTGCGATTTGACAGGTCCATGTATCAAATTGATGCTACGTTTGTTGTTATTCCAGACCAATAGGCCAGCTGTTCGTCGTCTGTCCACGCCACTTAAACCTCGTAGTAGCCAGCAAGGAGATGCTTTCGAGCTTTGCCTTTGGCTGTAGAAACTTCTACTACGGGTAAATCTTACATTAACTTGCCTGGACGAGTTCCTAGCGTGTGTATGCAAAGTTCTCTAGCAGCTCCTAGCTTGCCGCTCCATCTTTTGGGGAGCAATTGATTTTGCTTTACTTGTCGATCGATCCAGAGTAAATTAGCAGCCATCAGATTACATGCTTATGTCTCGCGTAGATCAGCTAGCCTCGCTGAGAACAAGCTATCTGTAAACTGCTTGACTAGAGTGCCATACGTCAAGCGACGAATCAATCATGCTCAGCAGTACTGCATCCAAGACGCATTTACGCAATCGTTTGCTCAGCGGCGGACTTTGGCCCCTCGATGGTTCATCGCACGGCCGGACGGCAGTGCTAAACCCGGGCGATTTGCCGTATTGGCCTGCCATTGCATCGACAGCGGCATCGTGCAAGCCAACCCCGCTTCTGGATCGAGACAATCTGTTTGTACATCTTTTCCGCAATTTGGCGGGCCTGCTAGGACTCGAGCGGTACCTGGGACAAGTGGCATTCATAATAAACATGCAATTCGGAGTTTAGGGCGCTGGGTCTAGGAGAAAAGAGCTGAAACGATGGACATAACAGCACACTCCGGCCGAGCTCTATGTACCTTTTAGACTTGCAACTTTGGCTTTGGCGGGGCCATGTCTAGAATGATACGGGGTGCGGAGCTCAATATAGGCGTATATGCTCTGATGCGTGCTTCTGATTGGCATTTTCTCATGCACGCGGCACATGTGCAGGCGATTGGCACCCCATCAATTACATGTACCCTTCCATCACCTCTGCTCTTGCTGCACGCCAAACGGGCTCCAGTTGCGATTGCCCATTTGCATCACACCAGGATTTCGGTTATGGCTGCGAGGAGGCCAGAATGTTCATCCGAAGCCGTGCCTCGGATAAGGCTGGCGAGCAGGAGGTTGCTGCATTGCCAACTTGTGTTGATGCGACTATAAAGCGCCGCCGCTCCTCGCCTGCTTCCTTTCGACGCCATCAGTCCTCCACTGGATTCTCTTTGCAGCAACAATAACTTTAGATCTGGCTATATTCCTCTGTTCAAGGACAATAGGGAAGCAAAGGACAGCACATCGTATAGTATCAGATAATTTCACCTCCGCTTCGCCAATATGAGCATCTTCGGCCCGCCCCCAGCTCCCAAGAGCCCGCTCAACCGCTATCGGTTGCTGTCGCCAACTGCCTCTGTGAGAGTCAGCCCTCTCTGCTTGGGGGCCATGAATTTCGGCTCAGCATGGTGAGTTTTTGCAATGGCGCTGGAACCGAAAACAAATGCCATGTTGCTGAATCAGATCATAGGAAGGATTTCATGGGAGAGTGCGACAAGGCAGCTTCAGAATCCATCTTGGACTTTTTTTACGAACAGGTACGTCTACTAAAGCTGCTGTATGAAGACTAGCACGCATATCTGTCCACTGTATCTGCGACATTCTCGATTAGGTGTTAACGTCTTGTTTAGGGAGGTTAGTTCACCATGCCAAAAGTATGCTCCGACATATTTGGCGCGGATCACTAATATCATCGTATAGGCAACTTCATTGATACGTCAAACAACTATCAGTACGAGGAGTCTGAGACAATCATTGGCGACTGGATGAAGAAACGTGGAAACCGCCATGAGATGGGTATGTCGCATTATAGCCCGAGCGGCCTTTTACTTGATTTCATCTAATTGATTACTTAATTCAGTTATCGCGACCAAATTCACCACCTGTTATAAGATGGGGCCTAACCGTCCCCATATCGCTGCCAACTACACTGGAAATGGAACCAAAAGTCTAAACGCCTCTGTTGAAGCCAGTCTGAAGAAGCTGCAAACCGACTATATCGACTTGGTGAGATATCCTGCCGAGCTACAATTGGCCCTTCATCCAGTATACTAATATATTATAGCTATATGTGCACTGGTGGGACTATGCCACCTCTATCCCTGAGCTGATGCAGTCTTTGAACAGCCTCGTTGTGGCTGGAAAAGTGCTGTATCTGGGAATCAGTGATGCTCCCGCCTGGGTTGTGAGGTACGTATGCACTCAGTTACTTGCATTTAGAACCACATCCTGCTGCTCGGTTTACTGATATTTCAAATACAGCAAGGCGAATGAGTACGCCCGAAACCACGGCTTCCGCCAGTTTTCCGTTTACCAAGGACGTTGGTCCGCAGCTTCTCGTGATTTTGAGCGCGACATAATCCCCATGTGCAGAGATGAGGGAATGGCTCTCGCCCCCTGGGGAGCGCTGGGTGGAGGCAAGTTCAAGACCGAGGAGCAGCGCAAAGCCGACGTGGGACGCAAGGTCGAAGCCAGCGAGGTCGATATCCAAGTCAGCAAGGTGCTTGAGAAGATTGCTACTCGTAAAAACACGGTGATTACGAGCGTCGCGCTGGCCTATGTTGTTCAAAAGACTCCCTACGTATTCCCCATTGTTGGTGGAAGGACGGTGGACCATCTCAAGAATAACATCGAAGCTCTCACCCTGCAGCTAACTGAGGAGGACATTGAAGAAATCGAAAGCGCGTACCCCTTTGATCTCGGGTTCCCCAACAACATGCTCTGGGGCAAGAAATTCAATGGGTCTCAACAGAAGATCTGGCTGCTTGAATCCGCCGCTCACTTTGAATATATCCCTGAACCCAAGGTATGGCAGACCCATCTAATCCTGCTGTGTATTCCCGCTGGCTAACGTTTATCCTTGTTTTAGCCCATTACGCCGTCCAAGGTGGGAGAGTAGAGCACCCGCTTTAGAACGTCGTGTTGGAGATGGCTGCCAAGTCGCCAATCGCATCAGCAGAGACATTACGAGCATGAAATGCATGCGGCTACTGGCTGGTGAGCTGCAAAAGTGAAAATCAAGAAAAAAAAGTTGAAGTCATTGGTTGTTGTAGCAGCTATTGGCGAGAAAAGAGGGAGCTGAGAAACGAAACCCTAGTCTGAGTGTTATTTTAAGCGCATCCAAAGTTAGGAAGAATCTTAGGATATGAATTCATTGCTTCATTTTGCTGCTCCAGAGGTTACCAGTGTCTACCTCGAAAGTGTCTACTACTGCGTGCCTATTTCTGTAATTAAAGTGAGAGGAATAGATTGGCGTTAATTCCACGCTCCTGCATATATGTTTCACCAGTGAAGCTTCTTTCCTTCCACTGCTGAACAATGACAAAGTATTGCCTTGTATTATTATTAGTTCATGATGCATAAAAGTTAGATACGGTCTGCACATTGCAAGACACTGGAGACAGGCTTCGCCTTTCTTCCTCTGAGTATGTCTGAATTGCATAATCCCATCAAAAGCTGGGCTAAACTTCCGCATATTCCTAGCTTTGGCAGATTAACAAATATATTTGTGCACTGAGATTCTAGGTTCGTCATGCCAGTTCTGCATAATATGCTCCCAGCATTGAACAAATAAACATAATCTCCGCGGTCCAGAAACTCTCCTTGTCTTTTCAATACTTTTCCTCGACCAGTTTGGATAGTAGTGAAATTTCCTCCACGGAATCTCCAAGCAAAAAGCCTACACCGCAACGACCAGCCGCTCTACACAATGTTTGTAGGAGGAAATATTTCATTTTCGGCGGGGTGAGCGAAGCGGAGAGTACCGATTGCCGCAGATGAGATTGGAGTCGCCTCCGCCGTGGAGTTTTGTGCTTCGGTACGAGGATTGCTTTGATGCTATGGATTTGACCCAGAGCCATGCGCCACTTATATGGAAGAAAGAAGAAACCCGCTGAATGACGGGTATGATACTGGTGGCAATATGTCACTCAAGCTACGATGGTTAGGCAGTCAAGTTAAAAAGTGTAACCATTTTGTTTTATTAATGGGTATCTACATACCTACTTTGATCGGTGTATATCAACTGTCACATGGCTGTTATCATAATACAAATATCCTATATCCTACCCGAACGCCGAATTGGATTGGGCTTCAGTTCACACATCCCGTCGCTATTTATTTAGCGCCTTTGCCCTTTGCCTCGTTCTCGCCTAGTTCTCTGATAAAGACTGATGTCTGTCCAGCGCCGTTGTAGTCGTTTTGACCCGTCTCAAATCCTGGGCATACTCCAACAGCCAGATATTTTCCATCGTTTGAAAACGCCAAAGCCGCGACATTGTTGGGGAACTTTTGATACTGTTTTAACCTCCTCTTGGCCTCGGCATCCCATAGAGCTACTGTACCATCGCCGCCTCCTGATGCAAAAGTTCCGTGGGCAGAGTGGAACGCGAGCGCATTGACTGGGTACACGATGTCTCCGTCGCCATCGGGAGCCGCTTGTCTGTGACATTTGAATGCGTATTTCCTAGCTTGAGACTCGGCTGTGTCTTCAAACCACTCAACCGCGACACGACCTTCAATGCTGCTGGTAGCGTAACCGGCGTCGTTAGGCATGCAGGATACGGCACGAGTAAGATATCGGAGGGACGACTCGCGTTGTTGCCAGGGTTTGAGGTCGGTGCCGCCGGTTTGGAATAGCTCGACGATTGCCTGGACATCATAAATGTTGATGATACGGCCTGTCATGGCGACAACGATCTTGCTGGGACTGCCGGCAAGGGCCTGGGGCTTGCCCGGGAGAGCGATGGTGATGGGAGTGCTTGAAGGGTCGTTAAGATTGTGCAGGTTGAGGGTGCTGTCCCAAGACGCGGAGACGAGGATGCCGCAAGATTTGCTGTATACGACGCGACGGACGGGAGCAGTGTGCTTGCTGAGGGCGGTCAATTCTCCGGTTTCAAGATTGAGGCTGTGATTTCATAGTCAGTGATGGCTCTAGTGTTGGACATTGTGCGGCTAGAGCTGCAAATTACCGGTTGACCGTCCAGTCCATGCCTGCGGTGAAGGCCTCATTGTCGTCGGCGCCAAAGCAAACGTCTAGAACCGGAGCGCGATGCTCGTATGTGGTTACGAGGCTTGAGGCCTCGGGACCATTCGTAAGGTCATAATGGTATACCTTGTTATCCCAGGACGAGACAAGGAGCTTCGTGCCTGAGATGGGCGCGAATGCGATTGCTGATACCGCGTCCCCGGGGGGCGGTGAGAGCTCGTATTGCGTTGCTGGTCCTTTGTCAGCTACGTACACCAAAAGTTGAAGCTACATCTCGCAAACACCATCAAAAACGTACCTGGAGCCATTGCCAATGCCCGCTCAGCGATGACGATGTAAGTTGTTCCACGATGGAAGCTGTTGTTTATTTAAGAGGATCACGTGGAGATAGCCCACAATCGCAGATGTGGCGTTGTGCAAGGCCCCGCCACGAAGTTTGGCTCAAGCGCAAAATATCAAAATTGTGACTCCTCATCCCACTTCGAATCGACTAGAAACCTAGCTCTACTTCATTTCTACGAGTCGACAACGCACGAGTCTCACGGTAGCTGAATTCTACCCGACCGTCGATTTCGAACCGCATAGCAATTTTAAGACGAATTCAGACACTCGCGCGAGGAGCAACGGAATAGAGACTCGGGTTCCTACGAAAAATCCACCCCACTTCCTAATATCCTCTTTTCCCAATCGACATTCATTTCCCCAGATTGTCATCGAACAAACACCGCCAAGATGTCTTTAACGAACTGCCGTTTTTACGAGGAGAAGTATCCGGAGATCGACAGCTTTGTCATGGTCAATGTCAAGCAGGTGGGTGTTCCTTCAGCGATAAAGATGGAGGGTGGAAATATAGGAAGAAAGGAGAATCTGACCAGAAAATTCAAAATGACGGATAGATCGCCGAGATGGGTGCCTACGTTAAGCTGCTGGAGTACGACAACATTGACGGCATGATTCTTCTCTCTGAGCTGTCCCGAAGACGTATTAGAAGTATCCAGAAGCTTATCCGAGTCGGGCGCAACGAGGTTGTGGTGGTGCTCCGTGTCGACAAGGAGAAGGGTGGGTGATGAACCAGATCCAAACGGAAGGGAGTGTTGAAGCTGAGGCTTATTTTTAAATCGCAGGATATATCGATCTGTCAAAACGACGTGTCTCTCCCGAGGATATTGTCAAGTGCGAGGAGCGATACAACAAGAGCAAGATGGTCCACTCTATCATGCGCCACGTTGCCGAGAAGACCCAGACACCTATCGAGTCTCTGTATGAGAGCATAGCCTGGCCCCTGAACCGCAAGTACGGCCACGCTATTGACGCTTTCAAGCTGTCCATTACGTATGTAGCCAGATTGGTAACAGTTGTATGATTTCGGAAAGGGGACTAACTTGGACATAGCAACCCCGAGGTGTGGGAGGAGATCACATTCCCTAACCAGGTCGTCGACGACGAGCTGAAGCTGTACATCAGCAAGCGACTCACCCCTCAGCCCACCAAGGTCCGTGCCGACGTCGAAGTCACCTGCTTCGGCTATGAGGGTATCGATGCTGTCAAGGCTGCGCTGCGAACCGCCGAGGCCAAGAACACAGAGAACATGCAGGTCAAGGTCCGACTTGTTTCGCCGCCTTTATATGTGCTTACTAGCACATGCATTGACAAGGCGCAAGGCATCACTCGTCTGGAAGAGGCCATCGTCGACATCCGGACCACCATTGAAGCTGCCGGTGGCAACCTTACCGTGAAGATGGAGCCCAAGGCCGTCACAGAGAGCGATGACGCCGAGCTGCAGGCACTTATGGAGAAGAGGGAGCGTGAGAACGCTGAAGTTAGCGGTGATGAGAGTGTTAGCGACAGTGACGACAACATCCCTGAGACGATCTAAGCGTCTCAACGCGCAGCTCAGCTCTATACCAACAGCGACACAGCAGCGATTCCAAACTCGACTGAAGAGAAAAGGAAAAAGCGGGTAGCATCTTTTGAACAAATGGAAGAAGGCAAAAAACGAAAAAAGCTGTCAGCGCTCGTATAAAAAATGAGAGACATGGCCTAGAATTTGGTTTAAGAAGTTTTGGCAGTGGGTAATGGCGTCTTTTGCGTGACGGACGACCTAAAAAGCCGTGGAAGTCGGCATATATTGGAAGGGGTAGATTTTGGCCGTGACTCCATGACGTTTGATTTACGTGGAGCATCAAAGCTATTTTCAAGATTAAAAAAATGCTATAAATCAAACAATCCGACCTTGTGCCACTGTATTCACTCGTAGGCTACAGCTGTGTTGATGCTTTGCAGCAGCAGTATTTAGCTGTGAGGTCACTAAGAGCTTCCGCTGTGGGATGAGCTAAACCCAGAAGAGGCACTAACAGGCCAATGACACCACTAAGCAACTTTTTTTGACAGGCGACCACTTGAGTATCAATTCTTGATGATGACTTGATGAATTGAATTTTTGAGACCACCGCATCAAAAATATATATATAATTTTTTTTACCCACATATCGAGTTTTAACCACGTCTTCTCCGAGAGCATCCCCATGGCTCTCAATTCAATATGGGCGCGAATAAGAGGTAGCGCAGGTGGTCCTCCAAGCTTCACCCGAACAACGGTGTTGAATCTCATCGGCTTTGCGACCTGGATTCCGGTGATTGCCTGGTTCAATCTGCATGTGGCAGAGCTGACGGTCATTGACGGGTCATCGATGTACCCCTTTATGAATGCAGATAGGGATTCATCGCTACGGAGGGACGTGGTGCTGAATTACAAGTGGTCGCCGCAGGAGGATTTGCAGAGGGGGATGGTTGTGACATTGAGGTGCGTAACGTTTATGTCGTTTCGTTTCATGATTGGGAACATGGAATATGAAAACATAAAGGAACCCTTGGCATGCTAATGAATCAACAGGAGCCCTTTTCATCCGGAGGTGATTGCCGTCAAGAGAGTGGTTGCCCTAGAAGGCGATGTGATCAAGACGAAGCAGCCGTATCCCGTGGCGACAGTCAGGATACCACAGGGACATGTGTGGGTAGAAGGAGATGGCCCTCCGGGCTCGAGCTTGGACAGCAACACTTATGGGCCAGTTTCAAAGAGATTGTTGACGGGCAGAGTAACACACATTGTCTATCCGCCGAAGAAGTTTGGGCCGGTGAAGTGGTGGGAGCATGACAGGCCATTGGTGGAGTGATTAAGGGAACAAGATGCCGTGTACTACTACTACTTGCTGTATGACTAGGAATTTGCTGCACATGCATTCAAGAGGCGTCTGGGTAGATGAAATCATTAGAGGGCACTGCACTGTATCATACAATACGAGGAAATTCACCGAGAAACAAAACCGTAACAATAGCATCGGATTTGCTTGCGTCTCTACCTCCGTGCCTTGGTCAACGCTCGGCGTGGGCCAAAAGCTCGCCTCCGAACAGAAGCCCGTCAACCCGTCAATTCGCCGGGCACCCGCCACAGCGGATCTACGGGACATGTGTGGCTGAGCCTAAACCGCCTATCAGATTGCGCACAGCAAAAAGTTCTCAGAAAGATCGGAAGCCGACGCGACCTGCTCAGCCAGGTACCGAAGGAGAATTTGACTTCTTTTTTTCATCGTCATATCTTATCTCCTGATCCTAATAGACTCTAAACAGGGGGAAATAATTCCCAAGTTACGGCCTTGCTTTCTTGTGCGCTGGTTTTTTTTTTTCGGCGGACCCTTTCTTTCCATTTTTTTTGTCACTGCCCTTATTTTTTTCCCCTTTCGCATCGATAAGCCTTCAGTCTCATTGGGCGCTCTTTGCAAATGTCCGAAGGTCTTTCCACCTCTTCCCAATTTCCTCTGGCAGGCTTCTCAAACTCTGCGACTACAAAGCCCGAGAGCGCCGCAACAAGCGATTCATCGACGACCGCGGCAGCAGGCCGTGACGGAGCTGCACTGGACTCTGCTCGATATGCCGGCCACCACTCGATAGTCTCGTCCGAAAGCCATATTGCAGGGGGGCTTGCGAAGCCGGCGCATACGATGCACAGCGAAGATGTCGAGGTTGAGGGCCGGCCGCCGTACATTCATGTTGGTTTTTTCCTATTTATTTTTTTTTCTCCCTCTTGGTCAATTTTGGCGGTTTTGCTGGTCTATGACGTTACGCTTGCGATGAGGGGCTATGTCGAGTTCTTTTTGCGCTGACTATTGGGCTGACTATTGGGGATTCTGCTAGGCTATGATTGCGGGAGGTATTGGAGGTTCAACTGGTGACATGCTCATGCACTCACTGGATACCGTCAAAACGCGACAGCAAGGCGATCCGCATTTCCCTCCGAAATACACATCCTTGGGCCGATCATACCACACCATATGGCGACAGGAGGGCATTGCGAGGGGCTTATACGGAGGCTGGATCCCGGCTTTGGGCGGGTCATTCCCGGGCACATTGATGTTCTTCGGGACGTACGAATGGAGCAAGCGATTCTTGATAGATCACGGGCTCCAGCACCATCTCGCCTATCTCTCAGCAGGTAAGCCGCATGCCCAACAGACCAACGACGATCCCTTTCCTTGGCTGCCAAACTAACCTTCGATTTCAGGCTTCCTGGGAGACCTCGCAGCTTCCATTGTTTACGTGCCCTCAGAAGTTCTCAAGACCCGACTGCAGCTTCAAGGACGCTATAACAACCCCCATTTCGTCTCTGGATACAACTACCACGGTACCCTCGACGCCGCGCGCACAATCGTCCGATCAGAGGGCGCATCGGCGCTCTTCCACGGCTACAAAGCAACCCTATATCGAGACCTACCCTTCTCTGCGCTACAATTCATGTTCTGGGAGCAGTTCCAGGCATGGTCCAGGGTATACAAGCAGAGCCGCGACATTGGCGCCCCCCTCGAACTCTTAACTGGTGCCGCTGCAGGTGGTCTGGCGGGCGTTATCACATGTCCCCTGGACGTCGTCAAGACTCGCCTACAAACACAGGTCAACATCCCATCCGACCCTGAATCCGCACACCATGAATCTTCACACCGAACGAAAGACCCCAACCCTCAGAAGCGATCAATATCGACGTCATCACCAAGCACCCATAGACCTAAACCGGGCGCCATCGCGCTGAAAACATCGTCAGTCTTCACCGGACTGAGGGTCATCTACCACACCGAAGGTTTAGGCGGCTGGTTCCGCGGCGTTGGGCCCCGAGGCGTGTGGACTTTTATCCAGAGCGGCTGCATGCTCTTCTTATATCAGCGGCTGCTTCACAAGCTGGAGGTTTGGATGCCACTAGAAAGCTCTGAACCTGAAGTTGCATTGTAAAAAAACAAAAAGAAACAACGAAACAGAAAATCATTGCTTCTTCCATATATATATTTTTGGCTTTAATTTTTTTTTTCTTGTTTGTACATGATAGTGGGGGCGGGCATGAGCATTATGACGAGAAGACGCGAAACAAGCATTGGAGAGATGAGAGGATGGATATGGGGAGGTTTTCTTACTTACTTGATTGAAGAAGAAGATGAAAGGGAAAGGAAGGGAAAAGAAAGACTCAAGCATTAAAAAGAAACAGGAGAAGGTGTTAACGGTGAGGGCGTAGAACTAGGCCCGGTCATTTACATGAAGGCGTTTTGGGGAAGAAAATAGAACTGGGACGATAAGACGGGGTTCTTTGATATATGATATAGATAGAGGGCATGGGAAAGGGACATTGTGTGCCAAATCTCCAACAAGGTTTTTATTACTTGTACATTATTCTTTTGCGGGCATTGCGCTGTGTCATTGCCGATACGTGGTTTATTTAATACAGAGCATTCAGAGATTACTTACAGGCTGTTGAATCTCCTTTTGTGCAAGTAGGCCTAAAATAGGGCGAATTCAACCATCATTAGGCGGTAGACATGGAGGGAAACAATATCAACCCAAGGTGCTTCAGCCAGACGGGGAAAAAAAAACGGCCACCAAATACAAATGTATCTCGTGCCAAACGCATAAAAAGATCGTAGACAAATCCCATACAACAAACAACACCACAGCAGCCGCCTCTTATCGCCTCACTCCCAACAACCAAATATCAAGCATCCACATCACTCTCTTCAACTACTCTCTCCTCTTCAAAATCCTCCATCCTGGTCATCATATCGTCTCTTGCGAGACATGCCACAATCGCCACAGTCAGGGCATTCCACACACTCTGGCCCTGGTCCTGGAAGTTCATGTCGAGGAGAAGACTTAGATTCATAGAGGGCTCATCTTTGGAAGAGTCTGCAGTAAATAAGAAGACTGTCGAGGAGACGATGAAGAAGCCGTAAATAACAGGAGGGGGGCGTCGGAATGGTAGCGGTGAGGGCAACAGGGGCGATGGTGAGAATACTGTTTGAGCATGAGGAATATCTTTCATTGAAATGTCGTCCTCCTCAAAGCATTCCGTTTTGACGATGGGCTTCTCGTCTTCTTCCATCTTCACGCTGACAAGGTCTACTGTCTGCTTGCCCTTCTCGACAGTCTTCTGCTCATCGTCGTCGCTGTCAATCACTTTTGTTTCCCCGTGAGATTCTGGTTTTATAATGGGGCGGAACCGTATCAATCCCAGTAGCTTACTCATAATGCGTGAACCAAACGTCCCCCACGATCGGCCTCTTTCTTCAAGCAGTTGTCGCTGCTGCTCATCTGAGGCTTCAGCCTCACTTTTTATTTGCATTTCGACTTCCTTGTCTATATCCATATCTTCGGCAACGTCTTGGTTAACGGCGAGGATTTTGCGGTGCAATCTTGCCAGAGCCTTCATTCGTGCCTCTATGAAGCCCGTGAGGTCAGATTCTTCGGCATCCCTGTCCATGACCTCGACAATGATATTAGGGGTGTACTGCAAATGGTTATATCCTCCGTCCTCGGCAGCCCATCTTATGAACTTATCCAAGGCCTTTTTAATCATTTGGGCTGTCTTTCGTCGTAGTCCGGACTGACAGGCTGTCCGGACACAAGCAGTCAAGTCGATTAATCTCGTTAATGCCGTGGTGGCTACACATCAAGTCAGCTTGAGACCGCAGGGCCTTGTTATCAAAAGGAAGTGAACAAGGGAAAGAGGGCTAGAGGAGATATTTGGGTAGCCTCTGACCTAGAAAAGTGCTCGTGTGCGCATAGATGATCGGGTTCTCTCCTTTCTTGCAACAAAAGCAGTCTCCTGAGATGGGCACACCGCGAAAATCAACTTCCCAGTGCAGCGGCAATAGAGGTATATCCTGTCTCAGGAATAGGATCTCGAAAAGCTGCTCCTCTGCTTTCGCCCATTCTAACCCCCCGAGATAGTTCCTCTTCGCCATCTGCATGTCTGACAATGTCCTGTTGCTGACGAGCGGGCCTTCGCCATCTTCATCTCCCCGCATCTTAATCGGCGTATAGGCTGTTTTCCTAGGGGAAGCCGAATATCTGCTGGGCGAACTTCGTGGCGTGGTGCTGTGACTCTTGGATGGCGTCTCGCGACATCTCCTAGCACTCTTGCGCCGAGGAGTTTGGCGTCCGGTGGCTGGCCGAGGAGTGGACTTACTGTCTGTTGTCGTTGTTTCCATGCTTAAACGCATAATCAGCTCATGAGGTTCATGAGGCTCGCACATTACGTTTGGGATGAAGCGAAAGCTAGCAGTTGAGTCTCCCCCGCCTGCTCATGGGACGACAGGGCGGGCTTGCAGATTCCACGTTTGACTTGGTAGCAACTGACGGAATGACAGTATAGCAGAATAGAAGTGGTTGCGGAGGCAGGTTAATGCTTTTATAGGCGACTCGAGTGCTGAAGCAGGCCGTTTGCTAGTGCTAGGCAGCTGCCCAGGAATCAAGGGGAGATGCAGCAAGAATGGCGGTACAGTACGTGATGCCCGCTGTAGGGAGCCGATTCCTCCAAGAAACCCATCTGTACCTGGCTTCGGCGATCAACATTGAGTGAATAGACGCCAAAATTCGAGCCATTGCATACTTTAGTAGTAAGTATCCCAATAAGCCTCTCAGGTTATCAAAGCCAGCAGTTCTGGTTAGACTCGGAGCGCAGTAATGTACACAAAAGTGCTCATGACTCTGTATGCATGTAAACGGCAATGTCTTCACCTCGTAGACTTCAATTCAAGACTTCACTAAACACCAGCTAGGCCAAGCTCAACTGCTGCTTCATCTTCTTCCCATATGCTCAATTAAGCCGCATCTACTTGATGGCGCCCGTTGCGTGGCGGACAGAAGGCCAGCATCGAAGAGGATCTGCGACTACGGTTTGTCGAACCGCTACGATATAACATGTTAAGCATCAGAGAGTCGTCTTATAAACTTGGTCATATTTTATCATTTTCTCCATAAGAATAACTTCTGCAACCATGTACAGACTTCGCATTCAATCTTTCTTCTGCATAAATGGCTGGCATGCCTCATAAATCTCCAAATGCCCAGGGACCTTCGATATCCTCTGAAACACACCTTCGTCAATCACTTTGGCGGTCTGGATAGCCCCCGCAATGAAGAAATCAACCAAGCTCGGCCGAGCACCAAGTATAAACGGCCCATCAGCCTTATTCGTGTGTATCAAAGCATCAATGGCCGGTTTATCGCTTTCCAAAGCCTCCCACGCCTCATCTTCGTCCTCGAGAAGCTCTTCCAGCGGACGCCCATCCCGAGCCTCACGAGCGCTTCGAAAGTACTCTTCTGCGCGAGGTGAAAAAATAAGGGCCTCTCGCGGCATCAATGACTTTTGGAAGGTCGGACCAACTCCAGAGCGTAACTTGCGCATAATCTGGGTGCCCAGCTCTGAGTCGAGTTGCACCGGCGGGTCAGGGTAGGTTGACTCAATGAACTTGGCGACAGCAGGTGAGTCCATGACATACTTGTTTGTCGGTACATGATAGATGGCGGGAACCGTATAGTTCTTTGTATTCCCCGTACCAGGATCGTGAGGCGGCAAACCTCTATGGTTCTTCATGTCAATGACTGTTCCATGCACCGCAGCCACAGCTTGAAGTTACATATCTGGATAGCGACAGGAAGAATCGAGCAGAGGGTCAAGTAAGATGGAATGCATTTAGAACAAATGCTCTATTAGAAACCTCAAAGAAAGTGGATGTGACTCACAACTCTTTCAGCGTGGGCTCGATGTCTGGCATCTCGAGGAAGACGGTTTTATAAGGAATTTTCTTGTAATTGAGCATCATGCGGATGCGCCATACAACAGGCGAGAAGCAGACATTCTTCGTACTAGCCAAGTCGTACAACACAATCTCATGTGCGGCGTCTTGTACTGCCATGTTGCGCGTTGTGTTATGAACCACTCGATTGATTGATTGAGCGAATGTGTAGGTGAAAAAACTCAAGTATGCTATAATTGTATCGATATGATTGCAGTTATATAGCTTGTATTTAGCCAACTCCACTATAGCTGTGAGCTCCTTATAGGGTTCATTTCATAAGATACATGTAAGAAACTGCGCCCTTTGAAATATATATTTCTGATCCTAGACCCTACGCTCTATGCTTTGGATTTGTCACTTTTTATGATTCGTTTCTGAAGAGTAGTATAAACGTTTGCCATTGGCGAAGTTGAGGAACTTATTACGCTGCTAGCCGAAAGAATTGATTGGTTTATTGAACCGGCATCTGCATGGTGTCGACCATGAAAAGACAGACGAGTGGAGGGACGTTTTACACAGTCTTGATACAGTGTAAAATACAGTGTGAAAATATCGTATACTGTAGTTTAGCCACAGCCCACCAGCCAATCATGACCCCACATAGACAAAACTTTGGATATCGAAATCCTAGCTGCTTGATCGTATAACCCAGAATACCAAGCAGAATCCCTTCGCATTACTACAGTCATGGCCGAAGCAGTGAAGGCGGCTGCACGCCAATTGCCCGCGTTCAGGCTGGGCCAGAAGCAGGTTTACCTGTACGTCGAATTCCGCACCGAATCCTCTCTCGCGCAAAGCCCATGCTCACCTGCCACAGGCCCAATCATGTCATCACGATGCTTCGAAAAGAGCACCTCCCGCCCAACGAGGCCTGCTTCAAGGTCCCTCTGCGATTCACAAAGTTCGACCTGAGAGACTACCTATGGAACCTGTACAACGTCGAAGTCACCAAAGTGCGCGCCTACGTCAAGCAGCAGCCCCTCACCCAGCGCAGCACCAGCTCTCGCTCCTGGTACCGACCGCAGCCCCAGAAGATCATGACCGTCGAGCTGGCGAAGCCTTTCCAGTGGCCCGACGTTCCTACGGATCTGGAGCCCTGGAGCAATGACCTGTGGAAGATGCGCGAGGATACCATTGAGAAGCGGAACGAGGAGCAGCTCGTGCGACAGAAGATGCAGATTCCACTGAAGAGCCAGGAGCCACTGTCTAAAGATCGGCAAGAATTAAGTAAGCTGGCGAAGCAGATGCTGTCTGGAGAAGTCAAGTGGTCAAATGATGTGGCGCTGGATCCTCGGTGGGATCAGATTCTAGAGAAGGAGAAGGCTAAGAAACCAGCTGTGACAACAACAACAATGTCGTCATGAAAGAAAAGAAATATTAAAACGAATGACTAAAAGAGGGAGCACGCACAATGATTTTTCTCCTCGCAATCGATTGGGATATACAGGGAAAAGGGAGACTATGGCAATTGGCCAGTGTATGACTTAGACGCATAACATGTGCATATATGTACTATGTATATTACTTTTAAACTTGTAAAAAAGCAAAAATATCTCGCCTGTGTTTTACATGGAGCAATGGGTTTCATACGGTGAACATCCATCGTTGATGGCGGTCCAGTGCTCCGACTCCTGGAACTGCAGAACTTGGTCTCCCCAGCTCCACCAGCCAGAGGTGAGGTTGCGAGCAAATACCTCTAAAGCTGGGTAGCCTTGGCCAAGAATATCTTGAAACAGCTGTCGCAGATTTGGTTTCCGTGAATGTACGTCTGGAACTGCCAAAATAACTTTAGGCTCAAGAGCCTCTGGGGCCTTGGCGCCGATGCGTTTTGCAACCAGCAGCGTCTCCCATGGTTTTCGCCATGCAGACTCTATGTCAAATAAGGGCTCGCCCGATGAGGTGATTTTGAGCCATGTCCACTGCGTTACCAGTTCAAGGCCCCAGGATGCAAAGAGACCTTTGGATGAGGTTACTAGGTCAAGAATGCTGGATTTATTAGTGATCCACATAGCCACTAGGCCATCTGGAGCAAGATGAGAAGCCACGGGTATACTAGAAAGAAGCTGTTCTATTTCAGAGAGGTTGGATGCGGTATTGTAGCGGCCTGTTTTCTTCCTTCGGGCAGATCGGTTTGGCCATGGGGGATCAAGCACAATGAGGCGGAACTGCGGTGCTCTGTCAACGAATGTCTGTCGCAGAGCCCGGATAGATCCGTGCAGGTATTCAGCCCCATGGGGCATCCTGACAGCACTCATTGCTGGACTTGCAGCGCTGGTGGCATCACCGGTGGCAGCAGTGGCGCCACCAGGCTCAGTCTTTTTGTCGTTAGCAGCCTGGGGAAACAGCCCATCCGCCGCATTGCAAAGCCGGGGGAGGCAAAACGGTCCCGAATATCGGCTATGAAGCTGGTCCAGGGCGCTCTGCACGGCTGCTGCGGCCATCAAGTCCGCAATATGAGCTCCTGCAGACTGCGAGTTGCGCAGCCAATGATCAGCTGTTGCCCCATCTCGCGGCTCCGGGGTGGTGAATGGCTTAAGTGGCGGGGCCCCAGAAACGATTCGAGCCGATGGCGGGAGGCCGGGGGGCACTTGGGCCTCTTCTAGGGATCTGGGGATGTCGAGCAAGACGACATTGCCGGATTGGAAGAGGATTGACGATATGGTTGAGGGCTGTGGTGATGATGATGATGATGATGAAGAAGAAGAAGAAGACGGCGGCGATGATGCTTCATTACATGCGCTTACAGAGGACATTGCCAACAAGCACAGCGCCGCGGAGATTATGCAAGCATCGTGGTGGTATCAAGAAAAAAACCGAATTTAGCACGTAGAGTGTAAGGCAAATTTCAAGTACCTTAGCAAGTAGGCTATATGTACTAATGTATACCTGCACGCTGTACTGTAGGCAGGCACATTTATACGGTGCGTCGAGCCAATGAAGATTCAGAACACTTCAGAAGATGGTAAACTGGATGGTCAATGCAGGGAGTGGCCGAAGAATGCGCAGAGCGCCACGAAAATTGTCCATCATCAGGGCGCAGAATCTGATAGGGTTAATCTGCATCCAAAAAATACAAATGGCTGCCAACGGCATGCGCCGGGAGGGAGAAAATAGGAACCGCCCTGGTACCTTGAAATAGGCGTTTCACCCCAAACGGCTCAATCTTCGGCAATCCTCGGCCCCAGAGGACCTACGGCTCGAAAGAGCTCCCCTCAGTGGCGGTTAGTGACCGGCAAGAGACTTCGGCACAGGGCAGAGCACACGGGCAGGTGACCAAAGACCAGCGCGATATGCGGTCCGCACATGTACCGCTCAGGTACCTCGTCGCACAAAGCAAATGACGTCTCGGAGCGCTCGCAAGGAGCCGAGTTTATCGATTTCTTTTTCTCGTCCTGATCCTGGGAATTCTCAAGCCTCAGCCCCCCTAAGCATTTGTCCTCGCTTACCATTTGATCGTTCCTTTCTGTTTCTTACTTTTTGGCCTTGTCTTTTTCCTTGCTTCGCATTTTCGTCAAACTCTGCGGGCATGTCGTTTTTATAGAATCCATCGGCCATTATTCACAACTACTTTTGCGACTGCGACTGATTGTGCTGCAATGCCGTCCGCCTATGCGGACCATGGCTCCATGGCCGACATAGCACGCGACAAAGCTCTGCAGCATGGCGCTGCCGTGGCTGGCACGGCAGCGTCTGCTGCTCCCCGGAGGAAAGAAGCTGCTTCTCCTAGAAGCGACGAAATCTCGGCACATCGCGCAAAGACTCGTTCGTGGGATTACATCTGGAGGTCCGGTGTCGCCGGTGGTGTTGCAGGTTGCGCCGTAAGTTGCTGTTCCCAAACACCAATATCTTGTCAAAAATTCGCATAAAAGTACATTCAGTCAAAATACAAGGGATACTGTTCGCTAACTGCCCTTACCATAGGCCAAAACGACGGTGGCGCCCCTAGATCGTGTCAAGATCCTTTTCCAGACCAGCAACCCCCAGTTCGCAAAATATACAGGCTCCTCTTTCGGCGTCGCTACCGCAATGAAAGACATATACCTACAAGAGGGTGGCCGAGGACTTTTCAGAGGCCACTCGGCGACCCTCCTCAGAATTTTCCCTTACGCCGGCATCAAATTCCTCGCTTACGAGCAGATTCGCTCCATCATCATCCCTAACAAAAACCACGAGACGCCTTTCCGACGGCTTATCAGCGGCAGCCTCGCCGGTGTGACATCCGTTTTCTTTACATATCCTCTAGAAGTTGTTCGAGTTCGCCTCGCTTTTGAGACTAGACGCGATGGCCGCTCATCGTTGACCTCAATATGTCGCCAAATTTATAACGAACATCCCATTGAGAAATCTCGAACCGCAAAACTGCCAAATTCACCTTCAATTACGACAGCTGTAGACTCTGCCGCTGCCGCCGTTGAGTCCGTTGCGCCACGAGTCGGACTTGTGAATTTTTACCGCGGTTTCGCTCCTACTTTGCTAGGCATGCTGCCGTACGCTGGCGTATCTTTTCTTACCCACGACACTATGACAGACCTACTACACCATCCTTCCATCGCCGAGCATACAACTCTGCCAAAGAAGAAGAACCACCCGGAAGGAAAGCCTGCTGCGCTTCGATCTTGGGCCGAACTTACTGCGGGAGGAGTTGCCGGTATGATCTCACAGACGAGCTCATACCCTCTCGAAGTGGTCCGGCGGCGCATGCAAGTTGGAGGTGCTGTTGGTGACGGTCGAAGACTGCGAGTCGGAGAGACAGCGGCCATGATCTTCCGGGAGCGAGGAATCCGAGGTTTCTTCGTCGGCCTCACAATCGGATACGTCAAGGTGGTGCCTCTAGCAGCGGTGAGCTTTTACACTTACGAACGCATGAAGCTTATTCTTGGTATATAAAGAAAGAAGAAAAGAATGCACGGCTGCATTGGCGTTGGATGGATTTCTGCAAGGCACTACATGTAAAAGGCCTTTTACTATTTTTTTTTTTTCTCTTTTGCTGGGTGGACTTTTTTCTTGTGTGCTTGTACGTTTGTGTGTTTGAGCCTCCACACATAGTTTGAAGGGACGGAGTTAAGACTGGGCATCCCACTTAGCATTCGGGATATGTGTTATTGGTTATATGTAAAATAAATCCAGAGCGCTATAACAAAATGAAGCTAGAGCTACATTATCAATGCATCGTGTCTCACTGTTGTTGAGTCCATTCACTGTTTTGCCACCTTCAATATTATCCATGTGCTGTATAGTCACACCCGGTTTTCAAATATGTCGCACACATAGCATCATCTGAATCATCCATGTTTGGAATGTATAGCCTCTATTGCTATTATTATGGTTATAGCTATTGTTAGGATCATCAATACAGTCGTCGTTCTAGTTGTAGTCACTCGTGGTTTAGTTGGGAACCGTGCTGAAACCTAATTGGCTGACACGCCGCTGCAACTTTTTAGCCTGCGGCTAGCTTCTCAGCCTTGCTGCACCAAACACTCAACCTCTCTCCGTCAACTTCATCCTCAACCTCGACCTCAGTCATCAACCCAAGCCTCCCATAACCAACAGACTTTATTTCCCATGCACCGCGGCATGCCGATCGGCTTCTCATAAAGTATCATCCATTACATCCTTCGCCTATCGCCCATTTCTCCCCAATTGGAGAGCTCGCCTGTCTCTCCACAGCTCCAATCCTTTTTCCCATCTTTTTGCGCGCCCCTCGCGTTCATCATGGCGCCCACAGACCATGATCCGCTCCTTGTCCTCCGCCAATCCATCTCCAGCGGCCAGCCGTTCATCCCGAGCGCGTCTGACGACCCTTCCGCCGCCGAAGTCTCTCTCTCGCAGGCCACGCACCTGCAGTTCACAGGGCTCTCCCTCGCGCTGCCGATAGACTCGCCCACGCGCTTCATCTCTAGCGATAAGCCGGTCGACCTGCGTAGTATCTACTTCGCCTGGCTGAACCGCGAGCTTGCCATTCCCGAATACAATGCCTCCGCCACGACGCTCAATGACGAGCTCAGCGCGAATGGATCGAGCGGCAAGGTCCAGAACCTGGGTTTCATTGAAAGACTCGATTTGATCACTTGGCTCGAAGGTGCCAGTGAGGAAAGCGAGTACATCAAACCTATAGCTGGAGAGGCGAGCGCAGCGGCTGCTGGGGCGACCTCATCCTCGAAGACTGGCGCTGCGGCCTTGGCTGCGTCAGCTAGGTCAGGCAAGGGGACCATCGACCCGAGGCTGGCGAGTGTATACGACGGTGAACGCAGAATGGGTGACCGCAACACAGTCCTGAGGGGCATTAAACCCACAGTAGGTGATATAGCTAGCTAAAGCTACTTTTATGCTGCGCATCGCGTGTAGATGTTATTCGACAGCTGGCTAACTAAGCGATAGGATTTCTCACACGTGCGGAAACTCGCCATCCCCTTCATCCAAAAGAAGTCTCTGTCCTCAGCTATCAGCTCGGCCCAATCTCTCTCCATCAACCAAAAGGGTCCTTCACGTCGCCCCGACCCCATTATCTTGCTCTCTCCATCCGCCTCGTCTCTCCTGCGCATGTCCAATGCCCGTTCATTCCTCGAAGACGGCAAGTTCGTGCCTCCTGATGCAGGAGCGTCCACCGCCTCCATGTTACACGTTCAGCGCATCATCCCCGGCATCGATCCCAACCGACCAATGCGTTTCATTCTTGTCGAAGGATCGGAGCAATTCAAGCCCGAATATTGGAACCGCATTGTTGCGGTGTTTACGACGGGCCAGACGTGGCAGTTCAAGAATTACAAATGGAGCAATCCGAATGAGCTATTCAAGCATACCATGGGCGTGTACGTCGGATGGAGAGGCGACCTGGCGCCGGATAATATCCGCGGCTGGGGTCACCGCGTCACAACTACGAGTGTTGACCGCTGGAGAGGCGAGGACGACGTCGCCTCGCGATTCAGGGATAAGGAGGTCGTGGAGTACATTTGGAAGTCTATTGAGATGAACATGCGGAATAAAGGTTGGAGGAGAGACGCCGCTCCGTCGTCGATATAAGCCGCAGTTGCTACATTAGGGCAAAGTTGAAAAGGGGGAATAGGAAATCATAAGTGAAGCGTGAGAGAATGGATTATGATAGGGTCGAGGCACCAGGAAAGAGAGCCAAGGTGTAAGGATGCTCCAACAGAACGACAGTCGTCTTTGAATGGACGAGTAGCGGCTGTTGGGGAGAATGTACGACTAACTCACAACGTATACATATTTTTTTTCTACATGTTGAAAGGGAATTGGAGATTAGGAGCGACGGCGTTTGGCCTTTTATCTTTTTTTTTTTTTTCTTGATTGGCCCAGCTCTGGGACAGGGAATGGGCAAGTGAGAATGGCTGGAAGATCTGAAGAGGCGAAGAGAAGAAAAGTAGTTAATAAAATGGGATATCAAAGACTGTTTTAACGGTGCTGCTTGTTCTGTCTATGGCTAATTGTATCAACCAGACCAGCAGTCAAAACAGGCCAAATCTCATGCCTCAGAGCCTTACGCACAGACATGTGAATATCTCGTCATCACCCCAGGCATAATTCGTGTTAATTAATGTCATCGTCATCGGAGACTTTTTGGCGCGCGGTCTCGTCCCTTGAGAAGCTCAAAATGGCTAGAATGGAGATCTACGCTGACATGATAACAGACCCTGTTCACGATGCTTATCTTACGTTTTGGTAATAGCATCTCATTGCTAGGATGTCGGAGTAGGCCGATTCGTCACAAATCAGGCGACGGAATCCTTGATTGCGTTTCATGCGCGGAGTTACGGGAGACGGTATGTTCCGTCGTCTTCTTTCTTTCATAGAGTTACTGTAGCATCATGTTACAAGGTGCTCTGAGTCTTATCAACGAGGTGTCTGTGTTCCGTGCAAGGGACAAGTTGGCTTCTGGCCGCTGGCAAATCATCCCCTTATTCAACGTCGTAGCCTTGGGGATCCCCCGCATAACGCTAACTTTGTAGGGAATTAAAGAGACAAAGCTCACAGGTATGTCCCTATCAGGTAGCTCGCTAGGATGCCACGAGAAAATCTGGTAATTGAACGTTTTGGCGTTACAAGGGGGGAGTGGAGGGCCCCCCCGGCTTGCATACGTATGTTTCTTCTTCCTCTTCTTTATTTTCGCCTTTTTGCTTTAGGCTTGGGGGAAAGGCCCGGAATATTCTCCATAAGGTATAAATTGATGGTGATATGCAGCCCTTTGGACGGAGATGATGGCCAGGGGGGGGAGGGCAGCAGCCCAAGACGAGGATGAAAGGGCACACTCCCTCCCATCGCATTTGATCCCTGGAGCAAATAGGCCCGACATGCCCGTGTGCATGCTTTACAACGCACGGCAGACACGTTCTGGATAATGTAATAAGGCCGTAGAGCCTTCGGCCGAGCGAGGTTACTTCCGAGAGTTTACCGCCAAGGGCCTGGTTCTCTTTTCCATCCAGGCACACATGTGCAGCCTGATTGAGGTAGCATCGCTTCACCGAGCGCTGCATTGGGGAGGCTTGTGCGTGTGTCCCTGCCATGTAGGACTCAGGAGCGCCAGTGCTTTTTCCACCGAAAGGGGGCTTGTCCATGGAGATGTCGAAACAGCCAGGCCCTGGATCGTGCAGCGTTAAACCGTTGAGCCACGTTGTCCGGATGCAACATTGTCAGAAACCGCGATCATGCCCGCCTTGCCGGACATGTAGCTATGTAGGATCAGCATGGTTCTAGAATGCGTGGCCGGGAGACGGACTATCCTATTGCAGAATAAGGTGTGTGCACTCGTCCAGTAACAGCAGTATAGTAGCATTTGTGAAGATTATTGCCTCCTCAGAGCGTCTTTAGCCCAGGCATCTTTTATCTTTGTAGGCAGCAAGCAGTTGACTGAAGCTTGGATGGATGGGTGTCAGACGTGGCAGTCTTACAAGTGGTTGTTCTGCGACCCTGCGCCTGAAACACCATGCAGTCATGCAATCTTGGATGAGGAAACAGAATCTACTAATACGAGAAGGGATGATATGGTGACGGTAATACTACTTGCCTATGGTAGCGTTAATCAGACTGATGTTTGGGGAGATGGCTACCTGTATCTTGTGCAGCACGAAGGTTTTTTTTTGCGGATTCAAGAACGAGCCACTTGAGACTTGTAAAAGTCGCCGAAGTAAAATAACAGCTTCTAAGATCCAAACTTTCTAATACCAGATCTCAACTCAGTATTGTCGAGCTGTATTGTAATTACCCTTGCAAATAACTTGCGTCTCTACTGTCATCTATAACGATTAAAGAATTGTAGCTACTATTAGATATGTATATAGGAGACTGCTTGGTCTTTCTGCAAAACGATATATATATATGAGACAAAGTGACTAAGTATATTATATAGCAACCGTCGATCTCCAATCACATATATGTATGTCATGCAATTATGCCGTATTGACTTTATATACCTTGAATTGAACTTGATGACGGTCCAATCGCTGTATCTCACACAAATGACGGCAATATCGCATACCTTAACAATTCTCAGCAAGTATCATCCGAAAAACCTGGCGAAGATGAGAAATGTCACTGGAAGCAATTAGGAACATTTTAGCTTTTTCGCGGAACGATAAACTCTACTGGTGAGCTGTGAGATTTCTTGGTTTCGCGATGCTACATATCAGCACAATATGAAGTTTCTACAATTGAATAGCAAAGATTGTAATGAGCATTCAAAGAATATAATAAAAGCATACTATAAATTTAATGAAATGGCGAGTACCAAGGCATAAAGACAAAAACCAACAAGAGAAGTCTCTCTTTTCTCTCTTTTCCTCTTTGCGCCTGACATAACTCATTGGTGACCCTCATTGCTAAATTCGACAATCGAAAGCGTTCCATCGCTAAATGATTTGTACCGAATACATACATAAGAGTTCTAAACGTTAAAATACTCAAAATAAGATAATCAATAACTATCAGCATTGTATAGTTGAGAAACTCAAAAGCCGCAATTATAGTTAGTCTTCTTGGCACTGCCAACTCTACCCCAAGTGTAACCATCTCTTCAACAACAAAGCAAAAGTACCTAGGCATAAATCTCGCATTCTAAAAGACAATTTACGTTTTATTGTGTAGTTGACTATTGAAGAGTATGACTATCAACTAATACGCCTTCTCCATAGCATTCCCCCCTACTATATGGTCCACAGATGCAACGCCACTGCTTCCTTGGAGCTTGCACAGCCTCTAGAATGGTTGACTGTTAACTCTCCTTACAACTACTGTAAAAGGCCACTCTGGCTATTTGGTTCGTTCACGGGACTTTTGTTTTAATTGCATTTCTTCCTAGTTTAGTGAATAATCGCCAGACATTTACAATCACACCATAATCGTTCGCAAGCCACGTTATCAACAAAGCCCCTCATCATCATGGCTGTGCCAAGAGGCTAGAACAATCGAATTCAAGAAACGATGCACGTCCGCGAAAGAATGTTTAACCACAAAATCTAAGTTAATTTCTAGACCACAGCCACCGCGCGCCGTGGCTTTTCTCGGCGCGCCAGCGGAGACGCAAAAGAGAAGCCATTTCCTCTACAGGCTAATACTAGAGAGTTTACTTCCAGATTGAGAGATGAGATGAAGTAATATTTCCCCGTTGTAAACATTGATGGCGTTTTGAAACAACAGTCCGGCTATGCCATGCTATTCCTTTTTGCAATCACGAAAAAGGGCAGGGGACGGAGAGAGAGAGAGAGAACGGGAAAAAGGCATATCTAGGATGAAACTTTCGGGGAATTTTTAAATTTTTTTTCTCGTCTTGTTTTAATCAACGGCGTTGCCGGTTGGGTGATTACCGGCCTCCCAAGCAAGGATTTCGGAGGAGTCCGAACAGAGGAACAAGGGTCTCTCTCTCTTTTTGAGCGGCGATGGCGATGCTCGGGAATTTCATGCATACGAGAGAATAAAGACGTTGAAGAGTCGGTATATACTACCAAGCTCGCATTGTGGAGAGAAAATAGACTGTTGCACCAACGTCAGAGCTTTTTTTTTTTTTTTTCCTTTTTTCTTGGCTAAAGTGAGTTTATGTCTGGTGTGTGTGTAGCACGTCCTCGTTATACAAGCATCAGGCAGCAAACTCTGTCACCATCATGGCCTTGAGCAACGCCCAGGGTTGGTGATGACGAAACTGGCAACTGGCCAGCGTCGAGACCACGCTTTGGCCATTTGGAGATCAGTGTATGCTGCAGACGCGCCGAGACTCAGACGCACCGGAAAATGCCATGAATGATGTCCGAGCAAAAGCACAGACGGTAATTAAACGAGGCTACGAATTGCTCCAGACAGCAAACAGTTGGTATGTAGACTATAATACTCCGCAGTTAAAAAGGAGGAGTAATGGGAAGAAGAAGAAGAAGCCATCTAGACACTGTATACAACATCTCCGATATGCCGAGCAACTTCCCGCTTCCCGTCGTCCAATTTTTTATCCGCCACATTTTAACAAACACTACATCGTTCGATTTGTTAGGACATTGTTCCCCTCGCTTATTTGTTTGACCGCGCCTTTTGCCCAGCCGAAGCGAAAAAAGAGCCTTTTGTCAACAGCCGAGGACTGTGCGGGAAGCGGTGGGAGAGGGGCGGTGGCTTTTGACCGGGGGGACGCTAGAAAGCTCGGCGAAGTCCTGAGAAGAAGTTTCTTTTGCCCAGCCGAGAAAGAAGAGTCTGGGGAGCTCGAGCCGCAGTTCGATCTTTGGGGAATGGGATGTGTGTAGTTTTTGCTTATACATGCCTTACGGATAGGCATGAGGGTGCGATGCCAGCCAATCAGGCTAGCTTTTTCTGTCACTGCAGTTGCTGCAAGTGGAAGTGGATGAGCCTATTCTGGTAACTGAGACTGCAAATGCACCAGAGCGGTCGGCGATTTTTATTTTTTTTTCTTAGAGGACTGAATATGATACATGTAAGCATAGTAGACGGGCAATCTAATACATCGCACTGGTGTCTCCTTCAAGAACGATGCTCTATATTGCTCGATATACACACACGACGTACATCATGCAAGAAAAATCCCTACTACCTACATCATCTCGTTTCACCCCCCACCAACGAAATCTCGCTGAATCTTGCATGCCTAGAATTGGGGGCCAATAGGTGGGAATAAAAAAAATTTTATTAGACATGGGTGGATTTCACAATCAATAATCCAAAACCCACAAGCATGTCACGCTTCAAGGAGAAAACAAAGAAAGAAAAAAAAAGGTAAGATTTTGATAGAATTCTCCTAGCTGCCTTGACTAGTACGAAGCTTGCTTTCTTCCTTAGATAGATAGTCTCATAGCTTGCCAGGGGGGGACACACTCTTAGCCGCCATCGACTGATTTTTGTATCGAGTCAGTTACCCGTGGGGGTCGTACTTTTGCTAGCTGCAGCGTCTCTCCGCTGGAGTTTGGGTAGAATGATGGCTAATAGAAACGCGGATTGTGGAAACTGGTGGGCCAATGAGGAGAATTTTCCCTCTTCTTTCTCTTAGTCGTGGAAATTTTGGGAGGGGGGAGAGAGAGAGAGAGAGAGAGAGAGAGCGGTATGTACAAACGAGCATGTAAAAGAGCTGGGCCAGGTATGGCTGTGGAGATGTGACGGGCACATACCTTGTTACAAGGAAATATATTACTAGTTGCCCGTATGGATAATATGGAGCAGGCAGAGATAAAGAAACAATATGGAGTAGATAAAATGCGAATCACCGCTGCCTAGTGCGTTGATAAAAACCGAACTGATGTCATGAACCCAGCGCAGAAGAGAAAAAAAAAAAAAAAAAAAGAGAGAGATTGTGTAATGTATAGTACATAATGCCACGAGTAATACAATAAGCGGTCGGTGATGCCATGGCGCGCAAGCTTCAGGTAGCCAGCCCCATATCAAACACAATGCCTCGTCTACGCTTGCTGGAATGCACCAAGCAAAGCGAGTCGAGCATGACGGGCCCAATAACTAGGCCGGCACCTGAGACCTGCGTTTGCATTTTGCATTGATGCGCTCGCGCAGCCAATAAGAGGCTTCAACCTGCCGCAATAGGGAAGTCCGTCCCGGTTGCATTATCGCTATACTGTACTACTCCGTACTGTATTTGATCTTGCCATCTCGAAATGGTTACAGCAAGAATGAGAAACAGCCAAGATGGGGTTCAAGCTAAGACTTTAGACTTAGTCGTTGCTCAGCCGTGACTGGTCAAAGGCAAAGGCGCTCTGGAGATGAATGCATATCATTAGACTGACTAGCATAACAAGCTAGGAACAATGCTTTAGTTTAGCAATGCTTCCCAGCCAGTCTGCGCCTCATCTTCTGCCTACGTGCTGTGCTGTAAAATGTGATATGGACGGAGCCGCTGTCTGGGCTTCTGGCTGAGTTCAGAGTCGGCATGCAGGGTTGTTCCGTGTGTGTCGTTTTGATGAGGGCTGGGCAGTAGAGAAAAGGGGGGCGTATGTGTAGTGGGCGTGCGACTTATACAAATGCTGAATTGGGCCTACCTTGCCTTAACTTGCAGTATGTAAACAGGCATTAGCAAAGAGGCTCAACCCAGGCACAGGTTGGAAGCGAAACCCCTGCTTCTCGAGACTTTGGTGGTTTTTTTTCTTCTAATCTTTTCTTGGCGTGCATTCCTCTTGATTCTCAATTTTTTCACTTTTCGCCACTGGCTCTACTGCCGGCTTGAAAGCATTAAATTCCCCTCTCCACTTTATTGGGCTGCGGAATCTATCGGCTCCTGGCTCGGGAAGCCCTTTGGAAGGCAATTGGAAAAAGGCATCGAACAAGAGAACGTGATTCGCCACAGAGGGGAACAGGGGCGTGTGCGTCGAGCCCAGCCTGCGACAGAAGAGCAAGGATTGGCCTAGTCTGGCCCAGCACATGGCAAAGTACACGAGCCGTCCAGACTAGCGGGTGTTTGGCGACTCCGTTGTACAAGTATGTATGTACAATCGTTCTCATGGACGCTGGAGGTGACGATAGACTCTTACTCGTGTAGATGTGCTGTATATATTTAGCAATGGTCAAGGGACGACCCTGAACGACCCTCACCGCGCTTCTTCTGGATACAGTATGTTGGCCGCCAGTCATTTCGTTATCGCCGTTTCAGATGGAATCGCCCGAGATGGTGCTACACCCGCACCATCAAATCGAGCCTTGCCCCATCAACTACTAGCTCTGGTGTCCTTGCTGCTCTGTGCCGCCATCTGCCGTTATTCCCACGCGCGAAGCCAATACTATTGCCGGCGGCCACACACAGCTATTGGTAGTGGTAGTATCAAATGCCAGCTAAGCACCAATGGCTGGATTGACTTCTGGCGGTCCTCTGTCACCGCTCAACGTGCCCTTGCCTTGTCCCTGGATACCTACAGTAGATAGTATGTACCATAGAATGAGGGGGTGTCTGATTCCTGCCGTGCCGTGGCCCAGCACATGGCTTTAGCGCCCTGTTGAACTTGTAAACTTCACAAGAGCGAGATGCGGTGTGCTGCTGGAAACAATAATGAAACCCATCGGATCCTCCGGACAAGAGCTCAATAGCTGCCATCTACTAAGCAGTAGCGCTTGTAATACTTGGTGCTCCAAAGAAAGCCAAAAAAAAAAAAAAAAAAAAAGGCGTAGTGAGATGCATTCGGAATCGCATAATGCAGTGAACAAGAGTGAAACCGTCCATCCGACTCATGAACACTGGCTATTTGCATTTTCTCCTTCGTATCGTCTTCGCAGGTGGGAATCGCAATATAAAACAGATCCACAAAGCAGAAACTCGACATCACATCATCAGGCCACCCACCGCCCGCTGGAATCCATTGCAGCTGGTTCACGTAGGTAGCACTGGAGCTGGCCTTGGCAAACGGCACTAGCGAGCTGTCTCGGGGAATAGAAGGGGAAAGAAAGGGAAAAGCATAATGCTTGTAGTAGCAGCAGCACTATTAGCTGGGGCTGGCAATGCCAAAACGGTCGTGTCCACAATAAGCCAGCCTTGCTTGATAAAGTCTATTTGCTGGCACGCGCTTGTTCCGAAACTTGTCACATGTCATCAATTATTCGCAGAGAATAATCATATAGTCGGCACTATCGCTCGGCTAGATCAATATCGAGGATACAAGCTCATTGTTGACGGAGACTGTACAGTACGAGTCTGGGAGGTGAGCTGTACGGGACAGCGGCAGAAAGGCGGCATTCCACCTAGGTGGCTGGCGATTGGATAGTACCTTAGTAGTAGTAGCACTGCAGTACTGCGGTACTCCTCCATGTACGGAAGATATGAGCACAGCGCATTGTACCCCCGTACTTCACCCAGCCTGTCGTGTGTTGGACGGGCGTCTCAGCCATGTCGCTGCAACTGCTAGTGCGCCATGCCCCCCCGAAGATCGCACGTGTCACGCACGGCAATTGCCATGTGGCATGTTGGGAGCTGTAAAGCGAGATTCGGCCGGCGTGCTAGAGCATCGGGATAGAGATGGGATAGCCTGGCCAACAGCTAATACGAGTTATATGATGGTCCCAAGGTTGCTGGCGCCGCTATCGCCGCTGCTATCAAAAAGATCTTGTCAGCCTTACCTGCTGGTAAGTACCAGGTAGTAGTAGTGGATGGGCTATAAACAGAGGTAAGATTGAGCTCTAAACGCCATAAGCTTGGATGCAGGCGCAATAATATATGTATGTACATGCATGCAAGGTTCGGTGGCTTACCAACACGGGCATAAGGGCTGTTGCCAGAGATTAGAAACTAAACAAAACGACTCCTGCTCTGGAATACTATCTCCTGCACGGGATATGCCACTAACAAATGCAAGCTGCCGGCCAATCCTTCGCTCGGCCGGGTAGAGGGAGAGGGCAAATGGTTCCAGGCTGCTGACCCCGGTACAGGACCCTTTCTGACAACTGTAATCACTGGATGAAAACAAATCTTGAATTTCGGTTCGCTTCCTTCGGAATGGACATACCTTATGTGCCAGCCAGTAATACCAACTAAGGTACTAAAGCAGACAGCTGCAGCCGCAGCACCGGCACTTCACTTGGTCAGCGGCTGGACGCCGTGCTGACTAGCACCGTAGAAGCGAGCAATTCCCTCGATGCATACGAAGCCTTTCCCTTTTGTCGTCGTCTGTGCGACCCTCCTTCTCGCCGCGGTCGACTCTGTGTGTGCCGTTTTCGGCTGTGGGAGCCCCCTTTCCTCGTCTCGATCGTGAGCCGATTGTTGAGATTGGAGTGACGGCGCCGCGATGCAACGGCAACTGCAGCCAATCCATCCATCCCATCCGCCATCCCATCCACGCGGCGCAAACAGTGGCAGCACGCGCCGTGCGGCCGTTGCAGCGTCGAGTCATCCAATAGCGATGGCCTCTGGGGACGAACAGGACAGCTCCACTCGCAATCCCTACCGTCCCTACCCTTACACACGCCCCTCTCTTTAGAGCGACAGGGAATAGCAGCGGCTTTTGCTGGCGCGCTCGTTGTTTTCTTGACTCCTGCATCTTCAAGCCCACGTGGCACGATTCCGTGTGTGGAGAAGAAAGTCCACCGGTTCATCCCCTCCCTGTTTCTGACAAGCCCCTCGCTTACATGCATACGCCCTTTGCCTGCTGCCGCGCTACAGCGGTATGCACACAGGCAATGGCAGAAGGGAAAAAGGAAGAAGAGAGTGAGAACAAGCTGTCTGTTAGCGCCCTTTGCACAGCCAATACCGTCGCGGCAGGTGATGTGATGCATGGCACGTCAAACAGGCCAACAGCTCAACTCGACGCCCTGCTAATTGATAAAAGGCAAAAGGCTGCTATGGAGCGCAGAGGCCCCTTCATTCTCTCGCGCAAAAACGTGGCGTCAATAGCCGAGCGAAAAAGGCATCGTCCATTCTTCTACTGACGTGCAAATGCCAATCCACTCAGGGTCGCAATTTGTAATGGTCGCGGTACGTACCCCGCAGGGCTGCCCTGGAATCCAGTCCATCGTTAATTCGGCCTACCAGACGGCCGACTTGTAAGGCCGATGTCAGTTTGCAGATGGAATCAAGCCTGCACTGAATCATTCATCCACGCGCATGTACGTTCTTTTCTCCAGGTCCCATTTTTTTTCCTCTCGTCGCTTTTACTTTTTACCCATTGCCCGGTCCAGGATGATGTGAGAATATGAGCCGAGGAGAAAGCCAAAAAGGAAGCACGAAGCCAAACGTCGCTTTCGATTGGGTTTTGCACTAAAGGCGGTCTACCTGTTTCCAGCAGCCTCTCGCCAAGGTTCAACGGGAAGTGGCAGAACATTTTAAGGTGCGTTTGCGTAGATCTACCACGTGGGATCCATCGGAATTGCACGCGAAAAGTCTTTTGCACCTAACGGGAATCTCGGCGCGCCGTGGAGGCGCCAGTTGAGACAGTGAAAAGCCAAGAGAAGAACTGGGGCGCCGCCGGGCCATTGAGAGCTCATTCTCCTCACCCCAAGCTTTTGGCCAAGCCGCCGCCGTTGTCTCCGCATCGACCGACTGTTGCAGCGACACTAATTACTTGCTCTTGTATGATCTTTTGTCGTGCGTCTCTCGGGTAGGCACAGTGTGATGCAGATCCTCGCGCGAAGCAAGCCTCGCGTTACTGTTTCGTACCTGCAAGTAGTAGGTCGTTGACGATGTGAAGCCCAAGCCTAAACGGATGACGGCTTACTACATATTCAACTTACCAGCCGCGGACTGTGACTTCGCGTTGCAGCGCCCGTGGAGTTTAGCAAGGGAAGAGGAACAAAACATTAAACAGAGCAGGGGCCCTATAACCTAAAGGACGAGCCCAGGTAGCATTCGTCCGAGATGCCGCTTCTCTCTCGGCCGCCAGCGTCAGCACATCGGCCGCTCAGCAATATGCCCGATCTCCGGGCCTGGCGGCGACAGGGATTTCGGGCTGGTCAGAAGTCGAACGCATGACTTCTCCTTCCGGCTACAGAAATCATGCCAGATACCAGTATGCAGGTGCGCATATGTGCGAGTGTGGTGATGTGATATTGGACACGGACGGGCAGCAGATAACGCACACCTTGTGGAGAACCCGTAAAACAGCTCTGCTGCTGGGGGGCGGGAGTTTGGCAACATCCGGAGCTTTGGCTTACATAGTATGTACTTGATAGGCTCGGCATAATACTGTAGCTGTTGGTCCTCGGTTGCTGGGCGCCTTAATGCTCAGCCTTGCATGTCGTCCCCCGTGATGACACGAGATAGAGCTTCGCGTGGCTATCGAGAGCGGACTGCCGTGCACACTTGGACGTAATACCGTGATCCAGTCATGGCCTGGTGTAGCCAATGTAAACAGCTCAATATAGCAGCTGTCAACTGCCGCTGTGAGATCCCGCCTCCCGTTATCTGGGCTCTCCAGCCAAATCTGACTCGATGGCATCAAAGGGAGACGATGAGAGGGAGTGTTACCCAGTGGCAATGCAGCGCCCATTCGGATGGTTTTCACGTAGTTGACTTGAAATATGAACAAAATTGCCAACTACGCCATGTGTCAAACCAGGGTTTGGCTCTTTCTTTCTTGTGAGCTTTGCTCCCATTGACGCAGCTCGGCACACACCACATACCTACAGCAACATGTATACAGGTATAGTAGGTATATAGGGATTAGGTGTACCCCAGCACCGTAACATCGCGCAACAGAGGCGGCATGCGAAACGGCCAAGCAGCATGTACACAAGGCCACTAGCACGTCAATCAAGGAGCTGCGGCGTCCATATCCCGCTGGGAAGGACAAATGGCAAAGATTGACTCCATTGCATCCGGTTTAGTTGATGAACATGACATCAGTGCGAAAAAGCTATAGCTGGATAATGCCTACCCTACATAACGCGAAGTAGTATTCCGAGGGACATCCGAGGAGACAACCTTTGACTCTCTCGCATGCAACATGCTACTAGACCTACGTACTGCCTTTCATCTCCCCTCTACAATCATGTACATACCTGTACTAAGGTACTATGCAGCCATACTGGCACTCAGTCTAATATACACTGCCGAGTAGGGCAATTGATGGAGACTAGGCCACCACCCCGAGAAATGCATAACTTATTCATTCCAATGCATATACCCTTGAGTGAGTCGGAAAGAATCTCGGGACGAATTCAAACCCGACTTTTACTACCAAGGGCTGGCCTTTAAACAGTAGTCGGGTCTTGGCGTGCCTTAACGCCATAACCACGTCGCATTTTCGAAGGCTGAATACGAGCTTGAGGCCGCAACAAGAACTAACCTTGTTTTATTTTGCTTCTTTTTGGGCTTTTTGTCTTCTAAACCCTTTTCAAAGCACGCCTGTCAATGAAACAAGTAGGGGCGTCAACTGTGGCGCGTCATACAAGTAGTCAGAGAGAGGCATACCTAGGATGTAGAATATAGAAGAAGGCAGCATCTCAAAGCAAATAGGCTCACACGTGCAAAATTTGTGAGCGTCTTCTTACCTTTCCATGTGCACCTTCTCTGCAGGATCGTGCATCCAAATTTGGTTGTCAGATACGGCACCAGAGTAGGTAATAGCACCCAAACTGTATACCTAGGTAGGCACAAACAAAGAGAGCGTATACGGAGTAAGCACCCGATGAGCGGCCTTGACAAGATCTCGCCTTGGCAGATCGGCCTCGCTCTGCTACCCTCAACATCACATACATGGCACCATATGCCGATCCTGCTTAAGGCTTAGCTAGCGCAGACGTGGCCCTAGCAGAGTTAAGCGCTCAGCTTTACGACCTGAGCCAAGCCGCAATAAGCTCCCATCGGCATTTATGACGCGCCGTGTCGTTCGCGGTGCTAGTGCTCAGCTTCTTGCTTGACTTGAAGCTTGATACCCTCCTGAAACAGCCAGCATGCAGCGCAGCATCACTGTCAGCCAGCGGCGATGCACAGAGACAGACTACCGCTAGGTCTTAGCATGCTTGCGTGCGCATGATTTTTCCAGTTTCCCAGAAACCTCAAAGGACGCAATGCAGATTCAGCTTGATCTTTGTCACACCGCTATATGCAATAATCATCATCGCCATCACAGTCCGGCAATCCTTCATCTTCGCGTCGTCGCAGCTAGTGTCGCGGAGAGAAGGGCAATACCTACATGTAGTTTGTTGTTCGGGATGCATTGGTGCATGTAGTATAACCCATCCCAGGGTCTGTTCTTCTTATAAAATACACTTCTCCCAGGGGAAATTGATATCCTGTAGCCCCTAGACAGATGAATACGATGCTGATGACGCCTGGTCCGTGTCTCTCCTGATCCCCTTCTCCCGCATCATTCGTCTTCTTTTCCTCCTGTGTCAACCAACCCCCTGGGTCTGCCAGGTTTCAGTCACAAAACTGCCGCCAGCTCCGAAATCCCTAAATAGCTCTCCCTGATCAGCTTCTTGAAATTTTAGGGTTCGACTCCGATAGGATCATCTTCCAAGAAATTAAGCTTGACGCCGCCCTCGGCCATCGCCTTCGCCGCCGCCACTTGCAGGCTGTGCTTTGTTCTCATTTTTCTGACCGTCTATGCTCTTGATCCTCCAAATTACGGCTAAGAGCGAATTGCTGAGAGGCTTGTTTTTAATTTTACGTCGTCTTTTACGTCTATTTTGATTTGTCTTCCTCGGTGGACTGCCTTCAACAGATTGTTACAGCCGGAGCGAAGGATGAACTATTAGTGCATTGTGCTACTCTTGGCAGTGCAAAGTACCTGTAACCTCTCCTCCCACGACTTGGCCGTTTTCAGTGCCATTGAAAGCGCGACGACTAAGACCCGAAAGAGACATACCCCGGATTCTTCGCCGCTCTTGGCCAAGTCACGAGCAAGAAAGGGCCAAATGTGAGCAGTGTGATTTTCTCTTACACACGCATTTTATCACACTATCATATCGCCATCCCAGCAGAGCGCCCCTCCCAACAGCGCAAAGTTGCGTCCGCTCCAAGATGGGCCCCTGCTTGTTTCGGGGGCGATTTCCACTGAGCTTCTAGAAGGCGTCGACGAGTGGCCAATGCTCATTGGCCCATGCGAGGGAGGCCCCGCCGAATCCAGAGATGACAAGGGCCAGCTCCCCAGTGACCACATGACTGTGAAACCCAGACAACCGCTGCGTACTATCAAACTAGCTTGATGCTAACGAATGTTACCCAGTTCACTAGAGAGGGCGAGAAGAAGCAAAATCCCATCTAGCGTGAGAGAGGCGCTGTTGTTCTGTCGGTAATTCGGAGAAAAGTCACTACGTGCGCTGTGACGATTTACACTTCCCACCCCTCGGCTGGTGCTCTTGCGTCACTGTGTCTTTGCTCCCCTTATCCCCTTTCCCATACCAGTTGGCGAACTCCGAAGCCCGCGGATTGAAACAAGCGGATGGAAGGACCATTCGTCCGGGTAGACTAATATCAGCAGGATAAAGGCAGGAAAAACCGGTCATAGCGAATCTGCTTCATCACGGCGTCACCGAGTTGCACCGCTTCTTCAGCTAAGAGAGGAGCCGTAGCGCAGGGAAGGAGGAAAAAAAAAGATCCTGGCCCTTCAGCTAACTAGCGGTAGTAGCCCTAGGTTCGTATGCTTTTTTTTTTTTTTTTTTTGTCTTATGTCGTTGATTGGGGCGCCCGCTTGCTATTCTGAGATGCACTACGCTCGAAACGCAGCCCATTTCTGATATACCGGTACCTCAAACAGACTTGTTCTGTGATGGGCCTCTGGTGGAAACCACTAGCTGGCAGCTTCTCGGATTTTTTGGCTCCATTGGCGGTGAAGTCGTCGCCATTTTTTTCTTCATCGAAACTCATCACATTGTCGCATCTGCGGCTACCCTGGACGGCGTGCATGAATTACTAGCAGCACGCCACTTCCTCGATAGTTGAATACGGAACCCGAGGAGAAAAAAAAAAAGAGAGATCGGTCATGCCTTTGTAAACCACGAAACTCGGCTCTGATGACGACTGAGGCTCCTAGTGGACGATGACAGGATTTTCTGGCTGTGGTGGCGGCAAAAGCCACGAGGAGAGCCCTGTGCTAGTAGCCCAGCAGAGAGCCAGGGAGAGCCTGGCATAGCGCTGGGCCATTACTGAACGCAGCCCCATCCCTGGAGCCACGCGCCGATCTGGGTCAAACTTCGCACGAGGGCGGCTGGGCATGATAAGAAGTGCGACAAGCGCTGCTGCTGCTGCTAGCAGTTACAAGCAGGCCGACTTGCACGCCAGCCAGCGTCAGCTGCCCCACAAACGCGCTGGGCCAGCTCGCTATTCTCTTGGCCCTAGTTCTATAAGCAGCCGGCGCATCTAGTAGCCCTGGAGAAGACGCAGGCGGCCCGCGCTCGCTGAGGAGCAACAGGACTTGCAGGGGCGCGCGAGCGCTGCTGTGATTTATTACCAGTCAGTGCACGGCATGCATACGATATCACTAGCAGCACTACAGAATGTACTTGTCATGGCGGCAGAAGGGGACGTTGTGGGAAACCAGCCTTGGAAGTGTCCATGGTAGCGTACCTAGCTAGCGGTGGTAGTTCTGACTGCTGTGACGTACAGCGCACGAGCACTACAGCTAGTATAACTCGTATGCGCGGGACAGCTCACATCACCTTTGCTCTCTGACTCACGAGGCTGCTGATGGCTCTCTGGTGCCTGTAGATTGCTACGGTTACCGCCATTGCTGCTCTGCTGCTGCTGTGCACACTGGCAAGCATGCGCGAGGCCCCAAGTGGACACTCTCAACACGTACCAGCACGAGCACCAGCAGTGCTACGAGACACTCCCCCATGATGAACCATCGTGTGCCGCGACCACGTTTTTACGGCAAGCCACATTCTTGTATCCTTGCACAACGTTGATGAGTCGGCCGCCTGGGGCAATGCAGCAACCGGGGCGCTTGTGTGTCCACGGCAGAGTTTCAAGAGTCCGGATTAGCGCATACATGACTTTTGGTTTCCTTTGCCGGCTGAATGACACTGACTTTCTCATGCATCATCTCATCCCGCATGCCGCCTCTACCAGTAAGAGAACAATCGGTGAAGAAGCCAAGCAATAACGCAGTCGTCGTTGCAAAGAGTCACGAAACATTCAAGTTACCCCGGGACATGCAGGAGTCGTATGCCGCTGCATTGACTTGATTGTCCCGGATCTGTGCAGAAAGCCAGCATCACAACAGCGGTCGAAACCAGAAAACCACATAGTCACGGGTCAGTCGGTTCTGCTATTATGATACAGTAGTAGTGCTGTAGTATCTGAATTTCCAACCCTTTTCTTGCCTTGCCTCATCTCGCCTACGCCCTTGTCCCGCCTGCTGTGCTTCTTCTCCTTGAGACTGAGGATACAAATGATTGAGAAGCTGTTGAAGAGAGACCACCGAGCGGTCAAAACGCAAAACGAGCATTGCCTCCCGCCATCCTGAGATATCAGCCCATTTCTTCGTCGTCTCGTCTCTGCCTCTCGTCTCGCCCTTCTGCACGGGCTCACTCGGACAGCGAGCGAGATCAATTCAATGCCTGCCAGGGTCTATTAGCATTGACTGCGGCGCACACAGTACATGCACCCCCTGTAGCCACCCCTCCTGCGGGGCCCTCTACAGGACCCCTGCCCGCTGCCCGCACCCACTCCTCCACCCCAGCGCCACTAAAGGGCTTGAAGTTCAGGCTCCTTTTGTACACGCCCCCCCAAAGCCCTCCCCCCCAGAAGCTCAAATGTCCCTCTTTTATTTGACCTCCCAGCTCACTAACCTTCCATGTTCTAATTCTTCTTCTCAGATGGCCGTCTTGTCGCAACCTCTCAACACCATCGTCGAGCCTCTGCCTCATCCGCCGGGACAGCAATCCGACCGTACAAAGTCTCTCACGGCCGCCTCGCAACCTGCAGAGCGTCACCTCGAAGGCTCCAAAGCTCCACCACCAGTCTCACATCCTCGCCGCCACGCCAGCTCCGTCTCGATAACAGGCTCCGTGCCACGCCACCAGCGGACCTCGAGCAGCATCCTCTCACGTGCAGTCGCTGCTCTGGATAGAACCCAGAGCGTCATCGCCAGCATCTCGGAGCCCGTCATCCGGAACCGCCAGTCCAACCCAACGCTCGCCCGTCTCTCGCTCAACGCAGGCTCGCACCAGCAGCTGAGGGACGAGCCCGCCAGCCCCGACAGACCAACTGCCTTTAGCAACCCGTCGACCCAGTCCCTGTTGTCAAACCCAGGAGACGGCCAGTCTGCTTCAACGTCATTTTCATCCGCCCAACAATCTCCCAGCCAGCCCCCGAACGGGCTGAATTCTGACTCGCAATCTCCCAAGATGCACCAAACATCCTCGCGCTTGCTGCGCATGACCGATGATGAACGGCCCTTTACAAGAGTATGTAGCTCTATCACTGGATAGCTTTGATCCTGTTCTGCCCTCATTTCTCTGCCCTTTCGCCTATTTTTTTTCTTTCCTCTTTTTTTTCTCTCTTTCCTTCATCTGCTGCCCCCCCGCCCCTTCTCTCTGCCCCCCCCGCCTGATCCTCTTGAGCGGGCGCTCATATGCAGACCAATATGCCCTGCATCAATCTCATCTACAGTACTATTGGACCCTGGTCACCAGCATCAATTATGATGCCGAATTTTAATCCCCCCCACCAATTTTCTATTCTCCTACGCTTTTATGTGAGCAACAGTGATATCTAACGACGAAAAAAAAAACTTAGGATTTCAAGGATCTCTTCTCCACACTGATTGTCAGCCTTCTACCACTTGGTTCTCACAGAGTGCGGTTGACAAAGGTGGACTACACCTTCCTCTCTGAAGATGCCATCAACAACTTGGGTTCTCTGAAATTCTCTCAGTCTAACCGCATGCCTGACCCCAAGGACCCCTCAAGAATTGTCACGACGACAACCACCACCACCTTCTCCATGGCGAAGGACATGGCCCGAACAATCTGCCAAAGATTTGTCGACGCTCGCTTCATTGAGTCCGCTGATGGAAAGCTACAGCCCATCTACAACATGAAGGGCTCCGTCTGGCAGCTGACCGCCAAGGGCGTTGCAATTCTGGATCGATTTTGCGGTAGGAACGGAATCCAACAGAAGCAAGTTTCCGAGCTCGTTAGCCTGCACTGCTGCTCCCTCGTCATTCTGGAGAGAGAGCAGCACAGCGACAAGATCCTCAGCGACCGGGGCACTGTCGAGGTCATCTTCCGCCGATTCGTTGGCGCTGAGACGCGGAATGTCAAGGCCAATTTGGCTGTTGCGGATTCGGACTCGTTGCACGATTACGAAGATGGTCTCACCGGTGTCAAGATGGCTGCTGAGCGTCGGGTGAACGGAAAGGTGTACAAGGATACCTTTACCGGCAAGGCCACATCGGATTGGTTGGTGGACTGCTGCACCATTGTGGACAGGCGAGAGGCCATCGAGATTGCGTCCCTCTTCGTCGAGTTTGAGTTGATAGATACTGTGGTCCAGGACAGATCCTTCATGCTCGGGAACCCTGGTTGTCATCTGTTCCAGCCTACCAAGTATTCTGTCTACCAAATCTCGCAGCGAGGAAAGGATGTGATCAATGGCACCAGCTCTCGTGGCCGCCCATCCGAGAGCGAGGCTGGAACCGGCTCACAGCGCAACGGTGTCGTCCGCGACTCCAACACCCAGCGTCTCGAGAAGATCCTCAATGACCCCGCCCTCCGCCTTCTCTTCCGTGAAAACTTGAGGGAGATGCACTGCGAAGAGAACCTGTCCTTCTACAAGGATGTCAACGACTTCGTCCAGGGCTGTAAGCAGGCTATCCGACAAGCCGAGTCCACACCCTCATCGCAGGCGATGGATATCATTAAAGAGACCATGGCTCAGGCCTACGGTATCTACAACGCCTTTTTGGCCCCAGGCTCACCATGCGAGCTCAACATTGACCACCAGCTGCGCAACAACCTGGCCACGAGAATGACCAAGGCTGTTGGTCAAGAGACCGGCATGGTTGAGACATTGCAGGAGGTTACTTCCCTGTTTGAGAACGCTCAAAACGCCGTCTTCAAGCTGATGGCTAGTGTAAGTGATGATACCTGCTATATCATATGCTCTAATGATTAATACTAACAATCCATTGCAGGACTCTGTGCCCAAGTTCTTACGCAACGCCAAGTACGAGCAACAGCTGCAAAACTTCAACCTCGACGGCGTCCCTGGACGAGGCGGCGTCGAGCGGAGCCTAAGTCGCTCCAACCGAAAGTAATGGCCACCACCTGGGTACATGCTAACGAAACTTGGACGACGGATGACAGGTGTGCATCACCAACGCACAGCCTCTCACGAATGCGACGACTCACCGGCACATGACGCAAATTTTTACTCTTTTTTTCTCTTCCCTTTCCGCATATGTTTTTTTTTTTTCCTTTTGTGGGGTTTTCCCTTTAATATGTCCAAGGGTTGACTATATTTTGCTTTGTCAAAGGGCGGCACGACTTGATACCTACTAGATTTCTGCTCTCATATCTGCATCGAACCGGTGTTCATAGTGTCATTTGCCACTTGTTTTGTTTGCTTTTTCTGTTTCCGGACGCTTGCGTTACATTTTGTACGCGTAGCATGCTGGAGCAAATGTATTTTCTTTTCTCGACCTAATTCACCGCCTGGATGGATTTTAATGGTTGCTACGACCGGTTGAGATTGTTTTTCTATTTGTATTTTGATTTGGACAAAAGAAAAAAAAGAACGAAAGAGTGGAAGGCGTTCAAGGGAAACCTGGTATAGAAGAGAGGTCACATGGCAACGAACACGGCACAAACATGGCGGCTTGTTTTATGTACTCATTTTTTGTTATGTTGTAGTTTGGCACTTATGCATTGCTTATAGAAAGGAGGGAGTGGAGGAGGGGATTTGGCCGGAATCGATGGTTATGGCGGTGATGAACGACGTGGGCTACTGATCTGCGCGTCGACTAACCGCGCCACATGTTACCAAAGGATGGAAGAGACGCCTACGGGCTTTTTGCGGTGGATGGGAAACTGAGACACTGCAACGGCGAGGGCATCGAACAGATCGATGCTTCTGAGAGCCTGCCGGCACAAATGTTATATGTATGTTTACGGTCTTACAGGGCCTGCAATGAATGAGAATCGAAGGCGGAATATGCCTGAGTCAAATCAAATCAAGAGAATTAAGAAAAAAAATTCAATTCATCCCAAACCAAGAAAGAATCCAGAAATGCACTAGTCAAATTTCTGGAAGATGATGCCATCGTGAAATTGTTTTTCATTTGCTTTTCTTATTTTTGCCATATAGGTATCAAGGGAATGGAAACAAATTGCGAGGCTGGTGGTGGTTTGCGGTAAGTGAAGACCTGGCATTGGCATGAAAAGCAATTTGCTTTCGGCGTGTAGTTGGAATGCTGAACGAGGTGCTTTGGCGGAATTCTCGAGGGGGGCTGGACAGGAACGAAGACGAAACGAAGACGAACTATTTTCAGAACGAACGAGGAAGGGAGAAGCATGCAGTGTGCCTGACGGGAGGCCAAAATTGGCAATGGTATGTTTTACTTGCTTATTCTTTTGTGCTTCCGCTCTCATCCCTTGTCTTGCACTATCTGTTCTGGATGCTTTGCCTTCTACATGTCTCACAACACAGCAGAATGTCGTGCCGTAGACGGCCTCACTAGTTGATGCTCTCATTCTTTTGCCAGCTTTATTGTAAGTTTGTTGGTTCCTTGTGTGCTTTGTTATGTTTCTGATTTTCAGCATTCAGGCGCTTTCGTCCTTGATCTTGTCGATCTAGGTGGTGATCTGATCCAGATGCTTGCGTGCTCACTTCCTCCCATTTTCATGTATATAAACCCCCCGATGGATCTGTCCAGGATGAGCTTTTCTTTTCCTCAGCATTCGCACAGCAAATCAGCTTCTACCTCACATTCGCTTCTTTCCTCTTCCTTCGTTTCCTTTTTTTCCTTTTTCGAGAGTTTCATCTCTCCAAACATTCGTTTCCCTCAAACAACACACATTCGCTCTTCAACAACAACAACAACAAAAAACAAACCTTCAAAATGCGTACCTTCTCCGCTATGATCGTCGGCATGGCCTCCATGGCCGCCGCCAGCAACGTCTACAGCGCCCCTGAGTCCGCTGCCGCTTACCCGGCTGCCCCTTCGAACCCTCCCTACCCCGTCGACGGGTACCAGGACTGGGAGCACGAGGACAACGACGAGTACAACAAGCACGGCTGGCAGTACTCTGCTTACTCTACTCCTTCTTACAGTGCTCCTTCTTACTCTTACGCGACCCCTTCGTACTCCGTTCCCAGCAAGAGCGAGGAGTACAAGACCTGGGAGCACAAGGCCACCACGACCAACACTTGGGAGCACAAGGAGACTTCTACTAGCAAGACTTGGGAGCACAAGGAAACTTCCACAAGCAAGACTTGGGAGCACAAGGAGACTTCCACAAGCAAGACTTGGGCTCCCAAGGAGACCAAGAGCGAGTATGAGAAGGCCACTACCACGACCAAGATCGTCTCGCAGTACACCACCTACTGCCCGGAGCCCACCGTTGTGACTGTCAACGAGAAGCAGTACACCGTCACCAAGGCCACCACGCTGACCATCACCGACTGCCCGTGCACCATCGTCGAGGTATGTTTTTGAACTCCCCCCCCCTTTATTCAGCTTTATATACTAACCACTATCCTCTCAGCCTTGCCCGACCGAGACCGCCAAGCCTCCTCCTCCTCCTCCCAAGTACACGGACGGCAAGCACGACGAGGGCAAGCCTGCTCCCCCTCCCCCCGGCCCTCCCAAGCCCCCTCCCGTTATTGTCAGCGGTGCTTCCAGCTCCTTTGTCCACGTCGGTGCTGCCGTCTTTGGCGCCATCGTCGTTGGCGTCCTCGCTCTGTAAGGGGATATCTGCTGCTGCCAGGGAAAGCTTGTGGAATAGGATGATGATGAAGAGATGGTTGACGCAGAGGATGAACATGATGAGGATTAACAAGGAATTCATGCTTGGAAAGGAGTCTTCTATGTGGCCCTCTTTGCTGGGGAGATTGGGGTTTAGGTTTTCCTTCTTCTTCTTCTGGGGATAGAACTTATTATTTTTTCATACTTCGAGCTGCTTCTTATCACGGCGTGGTAGTTCAGCCTCCTTTTTTTAATTTCAGCATAGAAGGGCATCAAAGTTGGAGCTGTTTGTCCGTGTGAAGACTTTTTTTTATATTTTGGTTATTTTAGTTTTGCAATTTATTGATTTGATTTTGTTAAAACTTGGTCCTTATTAATGTCTTGATATAAATTTATGAGAGTGATAACTGTCCTCTACAGAGATCCTTCTCGCCAGAGGGAGACTCGAGACGCTTTCCTCGGCCACCTATGTTAAGGAGACCCATCTCTTTTCCTGCCAACGCCACGCATATAATCCAACAAAATCTCAAGTCAAACAATAAACTAAAGAAAATACAGCCCGCATCGCTTTCCAATTGCATTCGCATGCATCATGTTATCTGGTACATGAAATGAGAGACTTTGGCAGGTAACCATGACCCAAATATTACAACAGATTTTTCAAGGAAAAAAAAACGAGATTGCTATGCCAGTGCACAAATCCAATGGGTATCATTACTGCAGCTCCTGAGCGTACTTTGTCGCCATTGTACGGGGTCCCATTCGGTCCTCTACGTATCCGTAGTGCGGGCCTCTATCCAGCCCTCCCGTCTCATACTGATAGGCCTCTGCCTCATAGGGATCTGATTGATAGGTCTCTGTCTGATAGGTCTCTGTCTGGTAGGCCCCTGTCTGGAAGGTATTTGTTGTCTGGGATGTCGGGAGCGGTCGTGATGGTGGTGTTTGCCATGAGATTGGCCGCGCGGGCAGTGGCTTTGTCAGCAACTTATTCTGAATCTTCAGTGGTGGCAAAGCCTGCTGCTGTCGCTCCTGCGTCTGTGACTCCGACAGCTGAGGATTCGGATTTGAGCCGGCAGCCTTTGAGGCTATGGCCTCGATTAGTACGCCGTGAGCCTTCTTAATCGTCTTCTTAATGAAGCCAGCCATAACCATATTGCATGTTATGATGACGTCCTCCCGAATATATAGCCCCGTCCGCGGCGCCCCCAAACCCAGCTCCATCGGCTCCGGGTCTTCTCCGGGCTCAGATCCAGCAACAGACCACTTCTCTCGGAGGTCAACGCCCATGGGTGCATGGCAGTGAGTCTGCAGACCCGTTGGCAGGTCGTGGAATGCGGCTGTATATGAGACTGCGCCTGTAACAAGGCCACCGGGAAGGTAGGAGATTTTATCGGTGATGGAATACCAGGTGCAGGCGTGCTCTTCTGGCAGGGCGTGAGGAGGAGGAGGAATGATATGGCGATCGGTGACCAAGGGATTCAGATCGATCATATCGCGATGGTTGTGGAGGAAGTCGATGGCGGCTTGTCGGGAGATCCCCGGAGGAAGGGGAGTGATGGAGGTGAAGACTGTTCGTTTCGACATTTTGGCCCGGCTTTGACGGAGTCTGTATATGGGCTTCTCTTCCACTTTCTCTTTTATTCTCTTCACTCGTCTTGTCGCATAACCCTTTGGTGACTGGCGTTTACGCGGAAATGTTTCTTCTCGCGAAACAAGAAAAAAAAGAAAAGAAAAAAGAAAAAGAAAAGAAAAGGCAGTGCTGGGTGTGTTTCAAGTTGGCGTTGCCACTATAGAGTGTGCGGCTGATACAGCGGTCTTATGTCTGATATCACGAGCCTAAGGCGCGGGGCGTTTGTGTGGTGGAGGGGGGGAGGCTTAGGCGCCGTTTCAGAGCTGAAGCAAGGGATACCGCTAAACAGGCAAAGAGCGACAGCAACAGGATTTTTCAACTAGCCCGAAAGATCAGGGAAGGGAAGAAGGGGAACAGAAAAGCAGGAGGAGCAAAAGAGCAGACCTGGCGCCCGGAATAAAACAAGGCAGGGAAGAATAAATAAAGGTCGATGGGTGCTCTGCTCTGTAATATGGCTTGTAATGCGGCCACTTATAGCAGCAGCGCTAGCCTACAACCGCGAGCCCGTAAGCCTGGGACAGCCGCCGGAAATTGGTCTGCCGGAATGAAAAAACAAAGGACAAAAGAGACGAAGGGCCCGTTTCGAACGAATTCGGAGCAGCGCGCTTTCGCCTTTGTGCTGACAGGTGTCAGCCCCCGAACTTGGTTGGATTGGGCGGGTAACAAAAGGGAGCCAACAAGCGCGCTATGCAGGTCTGTGTGCGTCTTGTATTGTGTTGGCGCAGTGTATGTATTGGCAGTTCTTAGTTTCTTGGTTGAACAGACGCTTGGGCACAATAGCAAGAAAGTGGAGGAGAAGGCAAGGCGACTGGCATCGGCTGTTTCAAGAAGCCCTGCGCTCTGCGTTGGCGTGCCGGTGTTATCGTTGGCGACTGGTTGGTGTTCAGCGGCAATAAGATCGGACGGGATCGCGTTGTAAGTATGTACGGGGCAGTTCTGGCCATGTCACAAATCACCGAATCCCACTAAAACGGGGTCCAGGATGAGACGTTGCGGCTGTTTCTGCCTGTGACGAAGCGAAGCGGTTGGTGGAGAAGCCGGAAGAGAGACGCTGGAGGTGGGATGTGGGATGTGGGGACCACGTGAATGGAGCAGCGGTACGTACCTGCGTCTCTACTATACTTGCAATGGGCGGATTTCTGTACTACCACACTGAGGTGGTTATCGCGGTGTAGTAATATGTACGACTGGCTACTATGCAGTGTCCCGATGTTTATTAATGCGTATTACTACCTACATGTCTCTCTGTACATGACTCTGCGTCCCTGCTAGGCATGAGCCCAGCCTCTCTTCTTATTCATCCCATTTCCCGAAACAGACTACCACTCCTTAGTCAGCGGCCAGCACCTTACTCAATCGCAGTTTATTCTTAGAACTCGTGGCTGTTTTTATTTTTGTCGCTATCGAGGCTGTGCTTGTTTTTTTTTTTTTTCTCTTCTATGCGCCACACGCCGGCTTACTCGATTCCACATACTAACCTTATGTGTAACCCCATCTCTTAATTACAGCAGCCGTTCGCAAGGCTGAGCTACGTAATAAGCTTCTCTCGTTCTCGTGCATGTTGGAAAAAATTCCGCTGACGTGAATAACTTCCGCTTATATACCATTTGGCATGGTACTCCTCCCCCCTCTGCTGCAGGTTGCTGTATCTATCGTCAAGGGTCCAGGAAGCTGCGGCTGTTGCGGTGCAAGCGTGTGAATGGACGATTCGGAATCATCAACACCACTTTTCTCTTTAAAAATGCATGTGTGAATAAGCACGAGCGTTTGCCGTTCCGGGCCACGCATATCCCACTAGTAGCGGCTGCTAGCTGTATACGAAATGCCTCTTTTGGAAGTTTATAGATTATGTTGCACCCAATTCTCGGGTGGGAGTATCCGACAAGATGCCTTCTACTAGTTCCGATTGGATGCATACATAGTGGTCTTCTTTCTTCCTTCTCACGATAAAGATTTACGCTTCTGACAGGCCCATGAGCCGTCAATATTCCATACGAGGTAATTCACCGGCACAACACTACTACTATTTTGCGTATAGTGATCCGATATAACGGTAACATTCATCACCCGTACCCAGAAACTCGGCGTTCAAGTTCATCCTAATGGCCTTATAACTGACTCTTACCTGCTCCCTGCCATCAAGAGACTACGAGCAAAATAAAACGACAGATGGAAAAAAAAAAGTTTTTCCCATTAGTATGTGGAATCTGGAAATCTTCTAATGCACCTAAATTGCCTTTTTGCACATCCCCCCATCTGATATACGAATAGCTCCGGCTGTCGGCAAGCCTCTCGATATCCGATCCCCTAAACCCCAATCAGACAAAAGAAACAGAGCCACAGACATCATTTAGCCCGACGGCGCATCATCAAAGCCGCCTCGCTCTAACTTGATGAACCGTTCTTTGTTCTCCTATTGCTGCTTGCTCCACAACCTTGACAAAATGCCAAATAACCAAAATTGCCGTCAATTTTATAGGGCTTGCATTCCATCTCGTAAAAAAGAACGAATTAAATCCATCGAGTCTATCTCGCCCCACTCGGCCTTTTCTCATATAGACGCGGTGCAGCGGCGTTAATACAACCTTAATTCTTCTTCCTGGACCCTTTTTCCAGTCCTGGGCCGGGCCAAGGGCACATCAATTTGTCCGACTGAGAAGCCCGTGCGGTGCATATGCCCAATGGAGGGAACAGAACAAGGTCGACCCGCATATTGTTGACCAAAGGGGAATTTGGTGGGCGGCTCGGGTTGTATAATGATGCAGCAAACATGCTTCCACGACGGCATATCTTTCTGCATTTTGCCCAATGGTTCGGCAGACAGCGGCAGCGGCAGGGGTAGAAGGGAGGGTCACCGGTTTTAGACGTGATTACTCGGCCGAGAGATTCCATGTCGATCCGGGTCGCGCTCTGCTGTCATACTTGTAGGATTTGCCCAAATGTGTAGGTGTGACAGTGCCTATTGCTCGGAGTAATCATTATAGTCATAGTCATAGCAATAATCATGGTAATTAATGTGTCTAGTAGCAGTAATCGTAGGAATCAACGTGTCTATAGTAGCACTACCTGCCTCTAGGTGCTTCCTCAGTATGGGACGGCCCGTTCCATTCCATCCTTTTCCCCCACTGTCTATGATATATGAGTGCCGTGATATTTCATTCGTACATGCTTATGCGTCTTTTTTCCAAATAGGGCAAGAAAAGGAAAGTCCCCTTATAACAGTGCTTCAGTCGTAAAACAAGCAAGAAAATTGCAAAAGAAAGAAAACATGAAATCATATCTCCTTACACCATTTCGCTAAAACTGTGCTCAGCTTCGTGGCGGCTGGAATTTCCTCCAGAGCCACATCTACTCTCCACATCTTTGCTTCCAACCCTCCATGCCCTTGACTCCTGCTGCCAGCGCCCACGCCAGCCGGAACCAATAGACCGAGAGTAACAAGTCTCTCCCACGCCACAGCCGCCACGCCGCGGCTCCAGACTCTCGCGTTTCCGCCCTGAGCAAGCATGCCCGCCGTAGCCGATTGCACGCGTTGTCGTCCGGCAAGAGCGCTATACTCATCATACGCCATGGCAAAATTAACTGTGTCCGTGTCGGCGACAATATCAAGCCGTGCGGCCGCAATTAATAGCCCGAGGTCGAGATCTGATAGCGTTGACAGTAAATGTAGGCGGGAGTCTGGCGGTGTCAGAGACGTCAAATCTGACCCGACCGCCGGTATCTCAAGATTTGGGTTGCCCGCTGTGAGCCACGAAAGCGGTAAGATCCACTCATTATAGAATGCCGACGGTGACTTAGTTGTGTAGTAGTGATACTGCAGCAGATCCTGAAATGCCCGTTGCTTGTAAAGATCCTACACGACAAACTGTTGTTAGAATACCGGGGCTTGTCGATTGTGGAGAACAGTAAAAAAAAAATCACGACTAACCTCAATCTTGTGATCCCAATACGCCTGGAACTCGGAAAACCCATCAATACTCCGGTCCAGGTCTTCTTCCTCCGGTTCGACATCTCCGAGCATCAGCCCCTGTCGGCAAACTTGCCAGAAAGCCGCCAGGTTCTTGGGAAGCGATAAGTAAATATATCGATGGCTGAATCGGCTCTTAACTCTCTTCTCTAGCATCTCTACCACGTCAAGGCGGGCCGTGCAGCCCAAAACTGCAATTGGCGCCTTTCGAGACTGCGCAATGTCAAACAAATTATACAAAAGCGTCTGTCGAGGATGAGTCGCAAATAGGTCGAATTCGTCAATGATGAATATGACAGACTGCGAAGTGAACCCTTCGTCTTGTCCTAGAATCTCAGAGGGATGGGACAGCAGTGCCAGTAAAGATGCCATGGTATCTGCATAATTGGACTGTAGAGAGAAATTGTAAGCAAAACGTAGAAGATACGGCTGAGGGAACAGAATCAGGAGTTTATGCTCACCCGGCTCAACAAGTCATCATCGACTTGCATTTCCTTTCCAAGCTGGCGCCAGATTTCCTTGAGCGCCAATTTATCATCTGTGTGAATGAACCCGTTCAGCCTAACAACATGAAAGTCTTGTCGATGTTCTCGTGACAGGTCTTTAATTATGTTGTTGATCATCTGTATGACCGTTAGTAAGAATGGCAGAGCTCAAGGCATTTGCATGTCAAATATATGTGCATACCGTTGTTTTACCACACCCCCTGGGACCAATAAGGAGCATAGAGTTTCCTTCGCCCGCCACAACAGTTTGCTCGATGAGCTGGTGTGCCTTTTCATACTGATCCTGCTGCCCAAACATGCGAATCGACCTCCGGCCGTTGCATCGATCTAGGAGGACTCTCTGAAGGGCACGCAAATGGTGATCTAAATTAGGAATATCCGGCACCTCGATAACAGGTGCAGAAGTAATAGTAGGATTGACAGCTACATCAAGAGCCTCCTCCTCAGTCGGTTTCTTGGCCACGCCGAGCGCGTCTTCTTGTGCACACGAATTGCACAGCCAATCACCCTCGGGAATATTCCGCACTCCATAGCACATTTGATGAACGGCAAAGTCGCAGTTGTCGCACAAAATAATCTCATTAGGCGCCTGCGAGTGAGGCAAAGAGCATACACCACAGACAATCTCATCTGTAGCAACAACAATAGGCTGAGCATTTTTAGGCTTTCGGCCAGGCTTCTTTTTTGCGATCGGTTCCTTTGGTAAATCTTCGAAGAAGACTTCAGTGGTGGCTTCGTCATCGCCACCTTGGTTAAAAGACACATTTTTCTGTGGCCGAGGCCCTCTTTTCTTAGACGGCGATAGGATACTCTTTGGCGTGGTTCCGGCACTGGTCGATTCAGCAAGCCGTTCGTTCAGGTTGAGGCTTCGGCTTTTCAGAGGGCTTATGGAAGGGTATTCATTTGTCGATAGCTCGTCCGCAGTATTGTCAATAATGCCATTGGAAAAAGGAATAAAATCGAGGCGCCTGATCGAGCGCACCGTTGAAGGCGATTCGTGAGGCACCGCGACGGCTTGTGGCTTCTCATCCACGGTGACATCGATATTTTCCTCGTCTTCTTCATTTCTTAAACTTCCTCTTGCTCCGCCTCTGCCTCTGCCCCCTCTGCCGCCCCTGCTACCTCTTCCCCTTCCCCTGCCTCTCCCTCTGCCTCTACTTGAGGTAGGGCCTGGTTCTGTTGCCGAGCTGTTATCTGGCTCTGTCACCACTTTGCGCCTCCCCCCTCTCCCTTTCTTCGGTGATGATGCTCGGTCCCCTTCTCCTGTATCCCATTTTGATCCCAGTAGGGCTGCAAGCTTGATTGCCGGTCGAGCCTTATTCGGTGAGGTCGCAGACAGCGGCTGCGATGGCGATTTTGGCAGGGAGACGCCCTTCTCGACGCCCTCGTTCTGCGTCTCTGAAGCCTTTTTACTACCGTATCCAAAGACGCTCGATATCGCTGAGGTAATGGAGCTCAGGGCTCCCGGTGCCGCGGGCACATCTGCGTTCTCTTCATCGACCTTGCGCTTCTTGAAAACGGTTGTTGACGCTACGCTTATTTCATCTTCGTCAAGGCTTCGCTTCCGATTGCTAGGAGATGTGTCGAGATCCATTGTTCGGCCGGCGGCGGCAAAGAACGCTTAAAAACTGCACAGCTCTGACGGCTATACGCTCATAAACTAGAAGAAATAGCACATTGCGTTATTCGACTGCTCTCGACCTCGAACAGCTTGAAAATCGACCGGCCTCCTCGCAGCGATTTGAGAATGGAGGTTGGTTAACCTAGACTTGTTAATTAACTCGAACACGCGTGGCGCGTTTTCCAGCTGGCGCGTTAATTTAGCGCCGCTGTGCCGGTTTGGTACGTTCCTCGCCCAGTGCCCAATCAGGCAATTGTTGTCGCCTTGGAAACGACGATTTCATTCTCTCTATTCGTAATTGTCGAGATAAATCTATTAATCTTCATGCGAGTTGAATAAGACTTGAAGAACTAGTATATATTGGATTTGAATTTAAACTGAATTCATGTAAATCACCGCGTAGACTATGTAAGGTATATACCAGGATTGACTCCAAGTTCTGAGCAGCTGTATGGTCATAGGAGGAAGCATATACTTTGAAGGAGAAACCTTGCGCTGAAGAAAACATATTCAAGTATTTAAACGGCTAAATTTGATATAAAACTGCTAATGAGTGAATTATTGACTTTCACCCCGCTCATTTTGTCTCCAGCATGGTCCCACCTTTCCTCCGGCCATGATATACACAAACACCTGTGCCGCCGCTTTTGTGACGTTTATTGGCCGGGCACATTGGACTCCTAGGCAAATGTTCCGGGATATCAAATTCAAATCTACTGGTGAAGCTACCGTGTGCGTCTAGAAGATCGCGACGACCTCCGCGTTGAGGTATTTGCTCCCACCACTCACGAGGTTGAGATGCCATACTACTGCTATGAACACTATAGCGTTTCGTAGAGCGCACTGATGGTGATGCTGTTTTTGTGCTGGTCTCGCCGTCTGGCATAGGGGGCGTCAAGGACGTGAAGAAAGCTCGCGGCCTGCCATCTGCCGTGTCTTCGTCCATAGGGGGTGTGCTCACCCGAACGGCTTCCTGTGAGGAATGAGCTCCTGTGAACTACAAGATAAAGAACAGAAAATGAACATGTTAAAGGTACACTTACTCCTCCCGGAAATGGGCTATTTGTAAAACTGTAACTACCTAAAAGCTTGCTAATTAGCTTCTAGAGATACTCACCCACACAAAGGAATACTGTATTTACGTACTTGTGTAACTTAGGCCATGATTTGCAGGAGTTGCAGGAGGCGTCTTGCCCTTGAGCACCGCTCGTATGGAGCTAGAAACGCTGGTAAACGAGTCGCCAGATTCCTTCCGATGCCACGGTGCTTTGCCAAAAAGCTTGCGGCCTATCTTGGATGTGTGAAGTTCGTCCTTGAACCACGTTCCTGTCTTGCTGATGTTTTGAGCAGCGAGGAAATCTTTGGTGCCTTCAACTGTTGCTCGGGTTTGGCACTCATCATCAGATATCAGATCGCTGCAGGAAGACTTGGTTGAAAATTCGATATCTGGGCGAATGCTGATGGCTGTGGGCTGATGGTTATACGAATCTTCACGGTGCTTCGGCTTGATCTTCAATTCGATTTCCTTCTTAGCCTTCAGATACAAGACTCTGGGTGAGAGTAGCGGAGTCAGTGGTGGCCCTATTTTTAGGGACGATTGGGCAACGCTCTCAGGCGAAGGATTTTCGGGGACATCAACCAAGCGATGGCTCTTTGAGCCCGGCGAAACCACGATACTTTCACTCGACTGCTGGGATTTTGACGGAGTCATCGCAGCGGCAGCAGGCGAGACAGGCTCAGCGGGGTGCTGTAGCGAGAAAACATGATCAGACTCGGATAAGTATGGCGTCCACACTTGATGAATGGCTGGAAGATCATGTCTGGGTGGCCCATATCTTGACCTTGGCCCAGACATAGAGGCGAGCCGGGATGCGTACAGCCCATTATGGTGTGCATCTGCCTCACTTGCAGACTTGGTTGATCGTGAGCGCCATTTCTAAAAGCGAGCGTTGGAGCTGGCATTACTCTTACGAGGAGAGTTTGCCGCGAGCTGCCTCTCCGCCCAGAATCCCTCCGGAAACCAGACCTATTCGTATCCTTCGCGAGGGGGTCGTGGCGGGTCGACGCCGAATTTTGATGTAGTGGCGGATAAGGAGTTGACTCTCTGTCTGTCAACTGCTGAGCCTGATGGAGAAGTTGAGTTTGTAAATGCGCCGTCTTGCATAGCCCTCTCCCAGGGGGTAGATCGTGGAGGCTCGTAGGCGTTATTGGAGGGCGCCGCAAACGTGAGGAATAAGAACGGCGGACCGGGCGAAGGGGCTGAAATATCAAAATAGCTACAGACCATGATTAGCAATCTGATAACATATCGTAGTGATAATCTCTCTGACTGGTACACACTTGGCGTCCTGACTGGCTGATGGAACACGCGCCGTCGAGCTTTTTGGGTGTTTGTCTACGGACATGATTGATGCCTATCGCGACAAGATTGGCGACCAACTCTACCAACGTGAAACGACAAAACTCGTTACAGAAATAAAATTATGAAACAGGGAAAGAAATATTCCAAAGTTTGAATATGAATCTAGACAAAGAAAGTGGGTAATATAATAACTGGTCGTAGAAGAAGACAAGACGAAGAAAAGGAAGGAATAGTATCAAATAACTTCTCTTAGGGGAAAGTTGGAGTATTAGGAGTAGTGAATAACTTAGCTAATGTTGGAATAAAAGAATGCTTTAGGTAGACAATGATGCCTACAGAACCATGGTTATTTCTATCTTGTGTCAACTGAGAATCAAAGAAGATGGATGGAAGGCGCATACTACAGTTGTTGCCACAGAGGAATGGGAATTTGGTAAGGCAAAAAGACTGATACTTCACATTATATTATCGCTCAGAGATTGTCTATTGCCAGGATATAACTTTTTATTTCATTCAACATGTTGTAAAAAAAAAAACTTGGATTGTCGCACTAGACACGTCTCATGAGACTCAATCCATCTGTCTTCATAGCTCAAATATCCATTATAATAGCTTCCCTAATCCAATTACGCCGAAACGCCATGCATGTTCTCATCAAACGCTGTCTGCTTTTTATAGCGTTCATGCATCCATCTCCATTGTGTCGTCGCCGTCCAAGGCCATACCTTGCGGCTCCAAAGGCACTCCACGGCCTCGTCCGGCCAGCAGTTCTCGTCTGACTTCAGGGCCAATAGCAGAGTGACCGTGCGTTAGCAGCAGATCCAGAAGTGCCTCGCGCTGATCTTCCGTGATATCGCCCTTATACCTCTGCGCAAAAGCGAGCAAGCTCTGGTGCCAGATAACGGGCAGCTTGGCCTTGTAATCAGACCCACTCATGACGACGGTCATGCTGTCGCCAGCCCTGGCAGAGGCAGGGTCCTCGGCGCGGAATCTCAAGAAATGGAAGACTAGGGCGTCAATGGCTTGGTAAGGAAGGGCATATTTCTTCTCCAGCAGAGTCTTGATGAAGATGTTGGTTGCTCCGCCTCCTTCGCTACCCTGAGAGGCCTCCTGAGCGGCAATATCGCAAAGTCCCTTGATGGCCGCGGCGGAGTGCAGCACGGGGATGGAGACTCTTGCCAGAACTGCTGAAATAATGTGTGCCTCTCGCAGAGTGCAGGTGCCGCTGCCAATCAGAGGGAATAGGAAGCCCTTGAAGAATGCGGCGGGCTTGTAAAGGCCCTTCTTGAGAGAGTTGAATAAGTGGACATTAAGCTTCTTCGTGTCGTAGATATCCTCGCGCACCCTCTCCAGAATAACCATCTCGAGGAATCGCTGGACAACGCCAGGCTTGGCGGAGACGAATATTCTGGTCGCTTGGTAGCAGGCGTTGGGGGTCCAGTTCTCGGGCTTGGTGATATCGATAATATCTTCCCAGTGAGGAATAGTTGGAAGAATCTTGAAGGGCTTAGGAAGCGGTCCGGACTTGTAACGAGAGAGGATTTCGCCAATCCTGATTGTTTCTGTTAGCGCCCCGATTCACAGTTGCCCGACGGCGAGAAGTGGCATTACTTACTTGGTGTATACCTCTACAACCTTGGGAGGAAGTTCATATTCGTCGTCGGGTGCGCGAATTTGGCCTCCGCCAGCCTTTGCCGCTTCATGGGCAGCAATTTTCTCCAGGATGAGGTCGGCCAAATTGACAGACTCTCCCTGAGGCTCTCCAGAGCCCTTGAGATCCCAGCCGTGTTTCAGCAAGTCGTCCTCCTCTTCGCCTCCCATGAACTTTCTGTATGTATCAAGGTCTTCGGGATCAACCTCGACATCCTCGACCTCGACATCATCATCACCCCAGGCCTCGTCGTCATCGTATGTCTTGTGCTCTTCCTCCTCCTCGCCGAATCTCGAATCATAGCCAAAATTGTCCACCGTGGGCTTCGCTGTCGGCCGCTCAGCATTTTCCTCTTCCATCAGCTCACGACCTATCCGCAGAATGTTCTTTGAGGCCTTGGAATCCACAAAGTTTTCCTCAGATTCCCCAGCCTCCTTGGACTTTCTCTTGGTAGGCTTGTTGCGCAGGATGCCGGTCGCCAGAACGTCATCTTCCAATGGATTGTGGCGCCGCCCAGGGCGCGAGGCATTTGGAGTTGTTGCCTTGGGCATATTGAATTATCTGATGTTGTAGACTACAGGACTTTTTCTGTGTCGCTCCTGAGGTTGGGTCTTGGAGTGCGAATTATTGCGCCGGGCCAGACGAACACTTTACTTGGTGGGCAGAAAATCAAAAATTTGTGTCTTATCGATCTGCCACCCCTCTCGTCGAATAGGGCTTAGCGTTCTATGTCTAAGTACCGCGCTTGCGCCTCACCGCCTTTGGACCCTAGAAGAGCTATTGGGTTGATGAATTTGCTACCTTTGACAGCCAAACAATGAGAATTTTTCTTGCTGAATTATGAGGCGTTCTTATGAAGGACTTTGGCGGCAGGGCGGCAGTTATGGCACGCACTTAGAAGTTGACGGTTTTGGAGAATACACTTGCTGGTCAGTAGAGTTCATTATCGCCGTAGTACGCTATGCTTGGTTGCCAAGATCCCAAGACGAAGCAGTTATGCAGTGGAAGAGTACCTATAGGCTTATATGATTAATGGTCTGTACTCGATTTACATGAATACATGGAACTCGTATACCTTTTATTAAAAAAAGCTTCAATATTGAGACACGCGTATTCAGCAACTTACAACTCTTACTTGGAATAAGTGCTGCCCAAAGCGGTTTAGTCACCTAGCTTGACGTCGTTCCAAAGCCTTTTTTTTTTCACCCCACCACTATCAAAATCCATCAAAAGTTGCCCCTCCAAAATATTTCACGATAAGAGACATTCTTTCAAGCCTACGACTCACTCATAGACCCATTTTCAATACTGCAATTTTCATTTTTAAGATTTGTTCAGTTAAGCACAAGGCACCATGCCGACAGAACTAGAAGAAGTACACCCGCCTCTCGATAATGTACCTGGGATAATGAAAAATAGATGTCGCTAACATGTGAGCAGCTTGTTGGCTTCATCGCCCATCCAAACCCCCAGATCAGAGTCGTCGCCATAGAGAACCTGGTCCCTTATTCGCTCTCTGACCCGGCCATCTTCAAGACCGAAGAGCTTAAACCAGTCAAGCATCTGAAATTCCTTGTTCGGGATCATGAGGTAGGTGCTATTATCTGAAATGGCTCTGCAATGAGGCTTCATCCTTTTATACAAGGAAACTTAAGTTCATTTTATGGACGAAACTAATTTTCTTTTTATCTCTAGAAAATCGCCGAACATGCTTTGAATATTCTGATAAATTTGACTGAAGACCCAGTGGTCTTGGAGTTTGTAGCATCAGATGAGAAGTTCCTGGAGTTGGTATTCTCACACATAGTCGTAAGTCTCATTTCCCCCGTTTCATCCCGTCCTTACAGAGATCACCTTGCTAACAAGCGCTCTCGTAACAGCACAATGAAGAGCCCAATGCCGATCTACTAGCCATGCTCCTCGCCAACCTCTCCAAATACGACGGCTCCAAAGCTTTCCTGCAGCGAAAGCAGGAGGCGCCCTCACAGCTCGGCTCAGACGACAGCGTTCTCAACCAGCTCATGGATCTCTTCGTCAAAGGCCAAGACGGCGCATACAACAAGAAGGCAGACTATGACTACCTTGCCTACGTCTTCGCCGACCTCGCCAAGCACACAGAAATTCGACAGTACTTCCTCGCGCCTCAGACCTACGATGGCGTCATCCCCCTGACCAAGCTCAAAGTCTTCACAGAGCACAAGTCCGACATTCGAAGAAAGGGCGTCGCCAACACTATCAAGAACGCTGCCTTCGAGATCCCCGCTCATCCGTCATTCCTGTCCGAGTCAGACATCAACATCCTGCCGTACATCCTCCTGCCCATCACCGGCAACGAAGAGTACGATGTTGATGAGACGATGGAGATGTTGCCTGATCTGCAGCTCCTCCCGTCGGACAAGAAGCGTGATTCGGATACGTCCAACATCCAGACCCATGTTGAGACATTGACACTGTTGACGGCCACGCTGGAAGGCCGTGAGTTGATGAGGAAAATTAATGTGTATCCCATTATTCGAGAGACGCACATGAGAGTGAATGACGAGGGCGTACAAGAGGCATGTGATAGACTGGTACAAGTCCTCATGAGAGACGAAGCAACGGAAGACGCACCAGAAGAGGCAGAGGAGCGCATAAAGGAGATTGAAGAGGATGAAGATGAAGAGCTGGTTGAAGTTTGAAAGAGAAGGAAAGGTAAAAACAAAATAAGTACAAAAAAAAAGGGGGGGGGGGGGGGGGGGAGAAAAAAGTCGCCCATCGGAGCAGATGTTTATTATTCGCTGTCTTCTTTATGCCTTCTTTCTAGATGTGCAACATGGGCCTGATATTTATTTTAGACTAGGGCACACAAATGGTCTGGATTGTGCATAGCTACACTATATATTGCATTAAAAACGGGTGGGTATACAATGCTAAATAAGGATTTTTGGAATCTGAGACACGTAACAATCATCTTCTTTAAACAAGAAACTAAATAATAATAATCAAAATTGCCCACCCATTCCAACGCCGATGCCGGGCCGTCTCGCCATTCAGCTAGTGTCATCAATCATCATCATGGTGCTCCTGGAACACGCTTTTTCTGGTAGTTGGGGTACCCGAAGACGAAGGTTTCTTCGCTGTCAAATAGTCGTCCCCTGCATTCTCTTCTGCGGTCGGAGGCGAAACAACAAATTCATGACCCTCCGACGTCCTGGCTGATTCATCCCGCTGCTCTCTAGACGAAGTGGTGGCTGCCTCAGGGGTTGCCATTAGTGACTTCTTGTCGCCCTCGTCGGTTTCGAGTATCGGAGGCGAAGGAAAACCGCTAGACCCAGCAATATGTGATATATCACTGTTTCGATCTTTATTCAATGGAGAGATGATATTAGACGTGCTTTGAAGAGAGCTTCTCGTAGGGCTTGGCAAGGCGTCATCAGTCCTGCCGCCTGGAAACCAGTGAGAATAACGCTCACGGACGTCCATCGGCGAAAGGCCGGTATCTTGAAGCTCAGCTCGGGTTGTATTATCAGCTGTACAAAGGAAGGCCACTCAGTCAGACGTTTTTTCTCAGGAAGGAACAGAGATACTGGGTACTTACGAAGCTCCACCAACTGCGTATCGTCCATTTCATGATGCTGGGGAGGGACTGATGCTGAAGCCGACGGTGTATAACTAGGATGTAGATATTCTCGCATGTCTGGGCTTATAGGCACTTCTTCTGTTGTTTCCGTGGCGGCCTTGTGAGAAGGAGGTTGTCCTCGGATCCACGAGAGGATCCTCATGCCAGCTTCTTCACTAGTATTCGTACTAGACCGATTTTTGAGGCTCTTGCGTCGTCTCCAAAGGCAGAACAAGACAATAATACAGGTGAGCGCAATAAGACCTAGAATGACGCCTAGAACTGGCCCTACCCATGATGGTAATCCGCTGGATTTGGACGCTGGCTTTGGTGCCGGCTCTGCTGGAGGATTGGCCGTTTGAGCCGCCGGATAAGGCCAGTATTTTGCAATCTTCTTTTGATAGGGCGTAGCGAATACTTTGCCAAGGGTGGCATTTGCCCAGCCGGAGGGAGTCGGCTTTGTGGCAGTTGCACCACCGGCCGCATTGCCTCCAATGGCAGCCTGGACTTTCTCGGGGACGCCATAGTCACCAAATTTCGTGGGATCATAAGAATCCATCCATTCTCCGCTGGTCAGATTGAACATGGCAACAGGTCCACCCTCTAAACATTTTGGATTTGAACTTGTCCCAGTGAGAGGTGGATAGCCACCGATTATCATTAGCTGGTCAGGATATGGAGTAAAGCATTTGTGTCCTGCTCGCGCGTGGGAATCTGTGCCATTGTTGATCTGAGTCCACGTAAAAGATGGAAGAGAAAGAACCCAGACGTCGTCATAGAATGGATCTTTGAGATGAATCCCGTCATATCCGCCATAGTAATAGATGTTGAAGCTGGAGCTGTCAGATGCCGTAGCTACGACAGCACATCCACGAGCTCGGGTGCTAGGCCCACCCGTGGTTGGTTGCGTATACCACGTTTTGCTGGCAACGTCATAAATGTCAATAGTTTGCATAAATTTCGGGCTTTGCGATTCCTATATATCTGCGATTAGAATTTTATACTTGAGCGGAGGGCAAATTGGGGGCGTTTCCTACACTGGCTTTTGGGTTTTGGGACACGCGAGTCACATTGGCATATTCTGGGAAGACAACGCCCCCGAGAGCGACAAGAATGCCTTGCACACCAACAGGGACCCAAACTACCTCGGGGCTTGCCCGGCCCTTGATATCAGGAGGCAACGACTTATTGCTCCACGTCTCAAAAAGTTGGTCTGTCATATTGAGCGTTATGAGGTAGTTGGATATCTTTGTTGGACTGTCCGTATTGTCGGAGCCTTTAGGAATTAGGCCATTGGACTCAGAGGTCGCTCCAGAAAAGTACCAAGCCAGATTCTCAGATGGAGCTCTTGCTGCACCACCAAATGTGACGTACTGACTAACATCGTCAGGTAGAAGTCGGTTTGCGATGTATCCAGGTTTAAATCCACTTGATAGGACCCCGTACTGGTAGGCTTCGTATCCGAGGACACTACTTTTGGTTGGGTATGGCTTGATTAGCAGTTCTGGTTGACCGCCGTAGAACCAGAATTCGGCGTCGTTAGCAAGGAGGGCGCCATCGACATAGTTTGGCGAATCCTCGTTAGCTTGGCTATTTCCACCTAATATTTTTGATAAAGGATCTTGTAGTAAGAGGCCGGTAACGTTGGTGTTTGGGGTAAATGCATAGCTCAGATTGTAAGTGAATAGTATCCCAGGGACGTTTCCTAGTAACAGTGAATAAGTATATGGAGACGACGGCCAGGATAATGAAACATGAGCGCTCTGCGTACCGCTACTTGCGAGTTGCCCATACGATCCATTCTTCAATCCCGGTAACCAGGAGATGTCACCTCCGTCAAGAAAGATTTTATCTTGAATAATAGCAGCTTGTCGACCGTTAGCAGCCATCCGGCGTCGAGGGTGTAGGTGATATAATACCTCTAGGTTCTTCCCATGTACATATGGTTGTATTAATTTGATCAGCGACCCAATCAGTGAGCTGGGCCTGAATTGGGTGCAAAAAGAATGCTAAAAGAACCGACTTCATCATCCGGTTTAGTGTCATGATTCCGTAGCTGGCTGTGGAAGCCAGTGAGGGCGAGGCAGGCGTTAGTAGTTGTAATGAGCCAGAACGGCGAGCATGATATGGCTCAACGTAAACACTGATGCTCTAAGAAGGGATACAATCTCAAAATTTACTAGGCCATTGGAGGAAGGAGGCTGGGAAGCTGATCTTGAGGCGACAGTTCGAAAAGAAGGCTGAAGCAATTTGCGGAAAGATGGGAATCTGGTGCCGTTGAGTCGTGAAGGCAAGTGTGGTAATTAGAGAAAAGGCCGGCTCATAGGCTCCTAGCACCAGATGATATCCGCTGACACCCTATATGGGACACAGCTTTCAGCACAGCTATACAGGAGCTGAGGCTGCTATAGATACGGTGCCTGTCCGATGCTGTACGATTAACGAGGTGATCGTGGGCAAGGTGCACAACAATGCAGGCTTTAGGAAGCTAGAGTAAGAACCACTGGCCAAAGCTGGATTAAGAGAGGCCCAGAGGCGCGGTATCCAGGGCGGGACTCTAGGCAAGGGCTAGCTACGGTTGGCTGGAGGCACTGAGGCTTCCAAGACCATGCTGGGATGGCGGGCAGACTGTGGGCCGCATGGGTCGCACATGATGGGAATAAGTGCAAAAGCGAGGGAGGCGGCCGGCAGTATACCGACATGCCCTGTGGCGATGCGAACGGCGCACCTGCAGGGCCAATAGCCGGGATCAAGCGGGCAGGCCGCCAGCCTTTTTGCACTTCTTGTCGCCCAACTGAGGTTGCTTCGGTGTCGCGCTATTCACTTCCGACGGCTCAATGGCGTAAAAGCCCATTGCCTCTGACATGCAACGCTGGCAATCAACAAGGCTGTTGGCCCAGAAATATGTGTAGCAAACATAGCCAAGGTACAGCATAATTTCTCCATGGTAGCAAGAATGGAAGCGAGATCGCCAGAGCTGGAGACCCTGGGCTGAGACAAACATGAACAGGGGTCCTTTTTCCATATTGCGTGATGAGCTGGCTGGAGTCATTCGCCATGCTCAAATGGCTGCTCGCTACAATGCCGAAAGCCTGGTCTTTGAAAAAGAGTCAGTCTCTCGGTGGTATTTGGCCGTGTGGATGGGATGAGCATAGCACTAGGATTTCTAAATATTCTAGTTGCTTACCCGAGCTGCTAGCAGTCGTCCTAGCACAATGGCGTGGGATTTCTCATCGCCTGCTAGCAGTCCATAAGCTGGATGACAACTCATCGGACATTGTTACTCTTTAGTCCAGGGCGCGGTGTGGTTGCGTCCTTAGCTCGAGGGCGAAGAGGATGCCACACTCGGCATCGCAGTAGGCTGGCGCAAACAGCAGGCCCCGCTCGGGTGGGCGTGTGGACTCTGTAGGATCTTGTCTGCCCGTACATATGCATGCTGGTATAGCACAGAGAGCAGCAGCTCTGGTGTTGTGCAACGTGGTGATGTCTGAATCGAAGGCGGGCGAGTCAGACGCGGCGCAGCCGTAATAGCGATCAGTCATCAAAAAACCGTCTCTCGCCATAAAAGACTAGAGGTGAGCTGTGAGCTTAACTTGGACTACTAAAGTTCCCTGGCAGCGCAAAATGGCACAAGGCTGCGGACCCGTGGCCAGGGGTATTGCTGATGCCGCAGTTGGTTGAACGGTCGTCAAGTTTGGACATGAAAATAGCATCGAGCTAACGTGGGGGGGGCTGGAATTCGAGCCACAGCAGAAAGTCGAGCCAGGGGTTGTGAAATCCTTTAGCAGCACAAAGAGCACAAGAATGGCCCGGCGGGGACCTGGAGGGGGCCTGTGGTGGAGGGACTTTAGCGGGATTTTCCTCTAAGGTTGTCTTTTTACGTGACACTGAGCCTCAATTGAGCGACGGCTCAAGCAGCCCAGTGGCCGCCAAGAACGCCTGGAGAGGGGCCACCCGCCAATCGCCGCGCCCAAAATAGATTGCTGAGGGGTTGGCACAGGACTTGTGGCTACCGCTTTGGGGCAGCTCCCCGGCTAGCCAGTGGCAGCAGAGCTCCAAACAGCCACTAAGGCTACCGACCTCTGGAAAGCTTCCAGCGCTATGGAGCAGACACGGCCGTAGCCTCGTTCATCGGCTAATAAACCCTGTCCAAACCTCACCTCTTCAATGCATCTCAAGACAACTCCAGCCGCGGACCAAAAGAGCCTCCAGCAGCAGAATTTTTCTCGCTCCTCCAAGTCGGACGCCCGCATCTCGCCAATGGCACAGTTCAGCGGCCTAGCGCGCCCCGCACATGCAGTCTTGTCACTCTTGGTGGTTGAGACCTGTCGTTGGCCAGCCCTCGCACGACTTCCAGTTTGTCTCGGGCCTTTCCGACCTCTTCCCATTTCCAGTACGACTCCATGCAGTGCTACGACGGAGCAGCACAAACCCGGCAGCCGTTGCCTCTTGTTGGAGCTAGATAAGAACTTCTGCCGGGAGAGATGAGATCGAAGGATCAATCACCAGATGCTGGGCTGGACTGCATGGTCGTGGAGAGCATGGAGAAGACCATCACATCTGGCCGTGTCTGGAATCTGTGTTAGTGCCGCGTACACCATGCTGTTGGTGCCAGAGTGCTCGCCGATGAATGCTTCGTACTTCGTATTGGAACCTGCTCCGCGTCAGGCCGGCCATTGATTTCCCCGGGCGAGGGCACCAGGTGCGGCAATCCTTGCCCGTTGCGACATTGAGAAATGATATGGCTCCCTTCCATTCGCGCGCCAAGGCTTGGAGGCTCTTGGAGGGATACATTGCCACAGCTTTACTTACTGTGCTATACTACTTTGTGTCTGGCTGTCGGGGACTTGTCGCTCGCATAAGTTGTCTCTTTGCAGTTAGCAAGAATTATGGCTGCTTGAGAGGAAATTTTCTATCAATCAGCTGTCAAGATGGGGTTGCTGGGTGTGGCCCGTCTCCAGCTAGAGAGCGGATTCGTGGATTCCTCCAGGCACTCGCCTCTCGGCTTGGCCTATCGCTGGACCTATTGCTGGCGACATCCTTGCCGCCTTGCGCCACGAAATCAGCTTCTGGGGTCCAGCCTGCCGGCACTAGGCCTTACGGCCTTGTGCTGCTTTACAAGAGGATACCGAGTGGTTTGCTTGGTTTTTGTTCTCTCTTATCCGATCTCCCGGCCAGGCATGAACATGGGCCTTTTGCGTGGAGCCACCGAACGAGCACACCAAACACACCTCTCTACCTGCATGTGTTGTCTCCAATTCCGCTTTCCCAACAATGGCCATGATAGGCATTGATTGTCGTTTCTGTGTACAGGGTCTGGTAGCTCGCCTTTCTAGGGACTTAGGCCTACTATCCGATGGAGATCTTTCACTGGCCTACTGCTGCTAGTCCACGCTTGTAGTACAAGCAAGTCAGCCTTGCTCTTGACAGGCGGTCAATTTGAGCCCAGGTGAAGCGAGGTGAGGCTTACGAAGTAGTACATACGCAAGCCCACGCCACGTTGGTCTGGTCTGGTCTGTGGTCTGTCTACCTGGGTAGCTTAGCCAGGATCCCGTTGACCAGGGGGGATTGCACCAACGCCGGTTAGAAGCACAGTAGGCGCCATATCTATGTTGTATCTCCATAAAGAGCAGCCGGTAAATAAAGACAGCTCATCTTTCTCCCCCTTCACCACCACAACTTGTGTCCCGTCCTTGGTAGCCGTTTGTTTTTCAATCGCTCTTTTGCCCCTCCTCTGCCCAGGCCCATCTGCTGGCTTCGGCGCATCTCCAGCCACTTGGCTGCCTTCCATCGTTTAAATATAGCCAACGGGCGCACTCGTTTCCTGTCTGTTGTGCTAGAATAGCCTAGCTCGAGGATGCGTTCGCTTACCTCTATATCGATTGGCATAATTGCCGGCGCTGTCACTTCGGCGGCCCGACCTGACGCCAAAGCCTTTGCTAATAAAGAAGCGGTCCGTATAGCACAACCAATGTCGTCTTCTGCTTTATACTAATGCTCAGCGCTCACAGGACGAGCTTTTGCCGACGCCGACTGTTGCGTTAAAGCAGAGAAATGTGGCAGCGGCGCCCACAACAATCGTTGAGCCGCCTCCGTTCACGGTCACTCTCTGCCCACAGCCAACGGGAATCTATGGAGCAGTGGACTTGGAGTCAGATCTCATCTATGGCTGCCAGCCTGGCTATGTTTGCAACCCCAAGAAGCCAGCAGGGTGCAACTTCTGGCCAGGCCTTCCGGATGCTAGTTTTCGATGCCATCCAGAGGACTGCATGGTAGCTCCGCCGCCGCTGCTTGCAAATTGGCCCGAAGGAAAGACGGGCTATATCCCACATCAAGACGGCTACTTCTACTTGGACCCACATATCTTTGGCTTGACTTACGATATTTTCGAATACAACGTTGTCAAGAAGATTCAGAGTGGTAGCACCAGCACTTACACGACTGGCAACTGGGGGTCACAGGCACAGGCCTACGGGTCGGTGCCAACAAATCCGCCATCATATGGAAAGCGTGCTTCCAGCCCGTTCAAGCAGCAAGCCCGTCGCAAGGCCAATTATGGTGCAAAGCGTGCAGCCCTGGACTTGCCACAAGATTGCATGGGCCCTTGCCAGGATGCGTTATTACTCATAACACAGTTTGGCAAGAAGCCGGAATTTTGCGAGGCGGATTCGGCTTTCGAGAAGGACTTCAACGGCTGCGTTAACTGCATTGCCAAGGATGATAACATCGACGTATCCGACCTGGCTGCGATAGCAGCAGCATTGGGCGAACCGTTTGTAGACACGATCTTCTTCTGCAATACAACGGGAACTACGCCGCCGCCCACATCCTCGGCTCCCGAGTCCCAAGTGACAGGGTCGAATACACTGGGATCGACCTCTCAAATCCCTACAAGCCCAACCTCGCTCATCGACTCTACAACTTCGAGCTCCATACAGTCGACGACTTCCAGCACTAAGCAGTCCACCCCGCCTCCTACAAGCAGCTCCTCTACGACCTCTACACCACCGCCGCCGCCAACATCATCGTCGACGAAGCCGCCACCACCACCGACTTCTTCATCGACGCCGCCGCCACCACCAACTTCCTCATCGACTAGCTCCTCTTCGCAGCAAGCATCGTCTACTCCTCCGTCCTCAGCTTCAACACCGCCCTCTTCTAGTGCGGGATCGTCAGGGTCTTCCACTACTGCTGGGGGCCCAGGAAGCTCTTCTGAAATAGGTACGGGATCCACTAGTGCAAGCAGTGAATCGAGGCCAACGTCGGCGCCCACATCGGCATCTGCGTCGGCCTCATCTGGTGCATCTGTTCCGGGGTCATCAGTCTCCTCATCTTCCCCAGGGGAGACTGGCACCGCACCCCCCTCAACAGGTACTAATTCCCCGACTGGCACCGGTTCTGGTGCCGGCTCTCCTCCCGGCTCTGGTTCTCCGACTGGCACAGGTTCTTCAACCGGAACCCCTGCTGGAACGGGTGCTGGTTCCCCAACGGGAAGTGCTGCTGGGACAGGCACCGGTTCCGAGACAGGAACTGGTGCCAACACAGGCACTGGTGCTGTGACAGGAGCTCCTACCAAGACCGGCACTAACCGATCGACAGGCGTCACACCTCCCAGCTCAGACTTTTCTTCTCCCGGTCAATTGGAGAGAGCAAGCACAACCAACCCAGGCAACTCTGGAAACCCCGGCGGCGGCGCTGAACCAACCGGAACAAACAGCAACGGCGGCGGTGGAGGAAGAAACCCAGGTGGTGTTGGGCCTACCGGATCGCCTACTGTTGGTGGCGGTAGCCCTGGCAATGGCAATCCCGGTAACGGTGGCAATGGAGGTGGCGCGTCAGGAACAGGAACCAACCCGTCGTCGCCAACAAACAGCCTGCCCCCGCCTCTTTCGAATAATCTCTCTCGACCAAGTGAAAACTTTGGTCTCCTCATTGTGGTCCTTTTGGGTCTCTTGGTCTTCTAGATGTAAAGACTCCTTTTTTTTTCCAACTTTACCTTTTTGTTGGCCCTTCTCTTGGGCAAACATCATTATGACCATATGAAACTTGGTACTTATTTACTATTATGAACTCTCCTTTACGCATATTTATACCCCATCCTTTATTACCTTTTTGGCCCTCTTAGGCTTTTCAAGTCTATTTCGCTACCCATTCTTTTGGTAGAATGTGTTGTGAACGGACAGGGATAGAAAATTAATGATAAAAAAAAAAAGAGAGGGAACTGTTTATAATGTATAATCCAAGAGAAATTATTCGCTCTTGGACATCATACATTCGCTGGCAAAGGGAGGGGGGGATTTGGCGGGATCTCTTTTAAAACTGGGATGGAACGACGGAAATGTTATTGAATTTTTATTTACTTAATGGAAGATACGCTCTGGCCACTCGTTTTAAAATCAATTGCTTAACTGGCACAAGTCAAAATTTATATGATGCATGTGACTAGGGCTCTAGATTGTTTAGGAGAAAGCAGCTGGGTACTATCCTATTGTAGAGGTTGGTCAATAGCAAACAATGATAATGAAGATCGCAATAAAGGTTGTTTATACATTCCCCTATCCTAATTCCTTCTTAAATCTCTCAATATATCTGAAAATTTCCAGCACTCCTCGGCACACATAAATGGCTGACACAAAACGCAGTACTCCCTTGCTAGAAATTCGTCTAAGTAGTCGTATCCGGTTGATTCCGGTAATGATAGCAATGTCAATGGTGGTGAGGCGAAGCAAAGAGAAATAAGAAGAGAAATAAAAACCACAGCAGGAAATGAAAAATACACAAGTCACATCTCAGTACCATCCTCTCCCGCTCATCGGGGTGTCTTGCAGGTACGCATCCATGGCGCTAAGGCCGTCCGTCTCCAAATCTTCCATGAGCTCTAGCTGCTGTGACTGTGATAGACTGCCTTGTCTACCAGGCGAATAGCCAAACTGCATACCACCTGCCTCGAGCTGCGCGGTGATGTTGTGGAGGCCCAAGCCACCAGGTCCCGGTGAGCCGCCACCAAATCCGCTCATACCAGCCATGGCTTCATTAAAATATCCACTGCCAGACGTTACAAAGTTGTATGGCGACATGAACTGTGAAGGGGGCGAGAACCAGTCCGATACGGATGTGGGTGCCGGTGGTAGCGGTCGCTGGTGAACAGGTTGCCCCATTCGCGCGGCTGCATATGTTGGTTGGGCCTGCGTCACGTGTGGTGCAACAACGCGTTTATGAGGTGGCGACATATTGGTCTGCTCCGAAAGCGGTGACGGTGTAATTGGGGTAGCATTCGGCGTTTGCTTCATCGCCACTGCCGATGACGATAAGCCCGGTCTCGAAGTCGGTACATTGCCCTGCAGAAATATTTCGGGCGGCGATTGCAAATGGTGGGGTATATGGTCCGGTACCTGGACCGGATGGGACGAAGGGTCTTCTAAACCAGCCTCTCCCATATGGGTGACATCAGGCGGGAAGTAGGAGAAGCGTCGGCTGCCATTATCCGTGGCAGGATTGCAGAAGATGGAGTTTGAACGGAAAGTAGGCTGTGGAGGAGGGTAATTGGGGTCGAACACGTAGTTGTTCATTGACTCAGGGGACGAGTCAAAAACAAAGCCGAACTGAGGAGGGTTGAGATAGGGGAGTGGTCGAGGGGTGGTAGCATTTGAATGAGAGTAGCTTTCAGGTGAAGACTGGGACTCGCTTGTCGCCGGTGGACTGCTAAAAGAAAACTGTTCCTTTTCAAGCTTCACTTGAACGTCGTAGCTCTGCATACACGCCTTGGCAAATATAGTGTAGAGTTGAGACGTGACCGTGGTCCCTGGCCAACGCTCTGCGCATCGGTCCAAAGATTCTAACGCCTTGTTCACCAGCTCTTCGACTTCTTCTCTTGGATGGTTGCGTCGAACTTCGGGATACGATATCGTCCATAGAAGTGTGCTAAGGGACCAATTTAGTGAAAGGAGGAACACCCAGGTCATATCTGCAGGATCGCTTCCAAACTGCTTGTGGGAAAGGTCAATCGTGGTGGCAGAGGACTCGAAGCAAATTTGGGCTGCACCAGCCGATGGCTGCGGAATCTGGGGAGAGGGTCTATACAATAATGCCCTCAATTGGTGGTAATGTCCAGAGATCCTGCCATTACCAGTTAGGACATTCAAATTACATCTTGAAGTGGTATTTGCTGAAAGTGAATTGACTTACCAAGGTTTGGCAAACGGAGGATCTTCTGGCGTCGAGTCCACCCAATCCCTCAGAGCCTTTTCTATGTTTTGAAACCATGGATGATCGTCGTTTCTAGGTTCCGGCCGTTTCCGTTCATAAAGGGTCCTCTTGATCTCCGTTTGTAAGCTCCACATCTTGTAGAAGTGTATCGTTGCGAGCTTGCGTGTATTAAGAGGGCCATCTAGAATTCCTTGAGGCGTAATATTCGCATCATCGGCTGCGCTAAAAAATGCAACATTCAAGCGATCACTGTTGATGGCAAATGCACTGGGCCGGCCTAGATAATACGAAAGGCCATGTTCCATGGCCATAATTACCCATACCAGCCTCCGGCGCAAGTCGATTGTTTGCGGATCCAAATTGTAACCCGTAGTAGTAAGCGTTTTCTCGTCCGTTAGCCCTTCTTGTTGGCATATTCTGGTAGCGAGTCCAATAACATAATACACTGGCGTTCGCGTCGGGGTGAGTAGTGAGTATTGTCCGATGAGAACGAGGCATTGTAGCGTTTTGAGGTCTTTGGGACGAATAATTTCCTCAACATATTTCATCGCGGCCATGTAGTATGAGTCGCCCAATCCGGCATATTGCGTGTCCAGCTTTTGCAAGCTAATGGCAATAACCATGCGAACAAGAAAGTTTTTGTACGGATCTGTATCGCCATTATAAACTGCGTCAACGTCTGCTTTGAAAACTGTCTCATGAAGCACAGGCCAATGGATTTGAGCTAGGAATGTCAGCTTTAGGCGTATTTGGCAGCAGGACAAGGAATGAAAATTGCAAGCATACCTTTCTTATAGAAGATCTCTACCAGCCTGTCGGCCACATGACGAGCAGGAAGACTTTCGGCTGGAAATTCACTGATCATGGGATAGCTTTTTCTTTTGTTGTTGCTAGTTATCTGGATAGATTGCATGCGAGCTTGGCTTCTTGCGCGAACCTCCGGAATGAGATCGGAAATTTTGTTGGAATCCGTAAACCTCTTGGCTTCAGCCATGAGTAATCTTGTCATGGCAATACCACTGGATGGCCCCAGATAGCGAGGTGTCTCGTCGTTACCGCTCAAACGAATCATGCCTCCTGGACGAACCAATTCTTCATTTGTTGGGGGATGATCACCGTCTTCGTCGGTATACTGGGCAAGCTCAGCTTCGAGGGCTTTGACCTTATCTTGCAGCGTAATCACATAACGGCGATTGATCTTGCGCGCCTTGGCGGTATCGAGATATTCGCATACAGACCCTGATCTCTCGCAGGGGAGGCAGCGAGGAAGCGTGGGATCACACCTCGTTTTTCGCTACCATGCACCATCAGCACTTACACTTACACCTTCAAATCATAATGCGATGCGCAGCAAACGCAGTGCATATGGAATCCGATGTTTCTCAGGGGCGGGGCAGCTATCATATCATACCTGACGACAACGACAGCATGCTGTCAGGGTGTGAGCAACTCGGTGGCTCGAGGTATCACCGTCAAAAAAGTCATCTGGACTTTGCACCAAGTTTCGCGGCTGCGCATAGGCGTGGTTCATACGGGGAGCAACGGTCCCCAGACCTTGCCGGAAAATATGGGCGGCGTCCATGGAATATGATGTCGCCGGCACTCCTCCAGCTTCTTCGTAACTTCAGATATCTTAAATCGTCACAGCCTTTCATGAAACTTGGCAGGATTCCCGGAACCTCGTACTGTGTTTGGTATTTGGCTGGCTGTTGCGACGCTGGTTTGGCTTTGGACGACCCCTCGATCAAATCAATTGGGGATGCTGCGGACGCCGAACGGTAGACGGCGAGAAGGAAGATGGCAACGCGATGTTAATCAGTTGGCAGATGCGCACGCTTCATGGCAAGAAGGACAAGAACGGCGGGTGTGGTTCTAAGGCAGCGGCGCAATAAGCATCAGCATGGTCCAAAGCTAGGCCAGACTGCCATGGCTGGATCGCGGGGCAGAGGAAGATGAGGCGGCCAGAGGTACATACGGGGTCTCGGCAGATGAGAGTCAGCTCGACGGCTATCTCAGCGCTTTTGGGGCTGGGCGCGCGACGCAGAAGCAGAACATGAAACACGCGCGGAGAAGAGCTGGAACTGCTTGGGCAGCGCAAGTTCAGATGCTAAATTCGGTGCGAAGGCCAGCTCGCGACAGCGAAGCAACTTCAGCCGCTAGTGCCAGCGCAGCTGTATTTGACGCCTTGCAAGTGAATACAGAAGACGGATGACTAATCGCGCCAGCTGCTGGGCCGAGCCAATTAAGCGCGAGCCCTGTACGAAGCCAGTTCCTGCAGTGCCGGCCAAGGAGCTCCTTCCTCGACCTCAGAACGGAGTGCACTCAGTGGAATCAGGCAAGTGGGGTTTTCCGCCGGTGACTCCAGACCAGATGCTCTACGCGCGAGGCTTGGTAGACCGAGAGTATTCTGTAGTACTGCGCTGCGTGATGCAGTACTGATTGATACCGGATCGTGCCGGACAGCGCGCTGCTAGAAAGGTACCGCTGCTGCTAGCGGTATCAACTCGGTGGTGGTGCAGCCAACACACGGAGGAGGCTGTACCAGAAGTGGGGGGCACAAGGCCAGCAGCGGGCTTACGGAGGGGGAATCTTCAAGGATCATGACTGGCCCATTGTCCCCCGCTTTTCAGTCGGTCTGCGTACAGCTCTAACTCAGCCGCGCGGGGCGGCTCGTATGGCCAGATAGCAGGTGACTTTGTCTCGCGCCCCGAGCCCCGAGCAATGCGTCTGATGCCGCTGCGACCTTCCTCTGCATGCAAACATGCATATGTATGTGTACTCCGTACTTTAAAAAATGTTTCAGGTGTCACAAACCGTCTTTAGTGGCTCGTTTTCAATCCTTCACTCGCGGCGGTGTGATGCGGATCCAGAATTCGATAGATCGATATCACAGACTGGGGGGGTGATGAGACCGGACGACATGACGTCTGAAGGGTCTGTGTGCTTGTCTCCTGCAGATGCGGCCAGTCACTGCACTAGAAACAATCCAAATCCCCCTTAGCAGCAGCTTGTCCATGAATAGCGCTCCTTCGAGTGACTGTTAATACCGCTTCGTGCGAGGTAGGCACCTATCTAAGGTTTCCTCGACTCCTCCTGCAACCTTTGACTTTTTCTATCATGAACCTCATTCCGGTCGGTGTAAGGACGGGAATGGCCACAATTGCGTCTCCAATTTAGGCGAATTCTACCCTGTGTCTTGCCATGTGTGCTATATCTCTATATAAATGTTACAGGTACTAGTATATATAGAAGAGCTTGGGTAGATTCTGTCTTATATCATGGACAGCATCGACGCAGGTGGCGTGCTCTAGTAATCTTCAGTTTACCCGTACCGCAGGCGAGTCAGAGCCATATGCCGAATAAAGCAGTAATACTCCATCGTCCAACCCAATTTGTAGATGCTTGCCACTGTCAATTGCCAAGATTGGAGCACAAATGTGCGCTACCAGGACATGCATGCGAGCTGTCCGATACTAGTCAAGCATACTCTACTTGTTTAGGACTATACCCATGGCATACTATGTACGGATAAGCACCTGCTACTCCAACGGAACGGCATCAGATAAATCTGACACATGGCCGAGGCAGCAGGGCTGATGGCCAATCATCGCTATGCCGGGTCTAGTATAAAGCATGTAATGAGCAGTTGGCAGACATTGCCTAGTAGGCACTCGGAAGCTTTACCAATCAATATCATACAGTATGTACACGCAATAGGCTTATAAAGGTAAATTCACAAAAGGCAACACAGGTCAGCTACCGAGCACTCAAAAGGAAAGATTGCATCATCATGTTGCGGTCGATGGCAATTTCCAATTCTTCGCCCATCTTTTGTAGACTAAATTAGTATGCAAGTATCTCGATACCTTAGTACTAAGGTATAGTAAGACTACATGCACCTACCAAGGCACCCACACACGGGCATATTCTCGTACCCTCATTTATAGCGGTAGATAGCGGTACGGGATTCGAGGGTCCAGCTGTTGATAAGCCTAAACCCCTAGCCGCTGCCCGTCCAATACGTGGCGGTTTCGACTGACACACCCGCGTCCGTCCATTGTCTCTTGAATCCTATTAGCACGGAATTTGAAGCAGAGAGCAAATATTGGTCTCCTGCAACATCCACGATGGCATCCTTCCACGGTGGATTTGCAATGCATCATCTATCATGAGTCAAGTCGAACTAAAGGACGGCCACCCGTGTCTTTTATGCCAGATATCACAGGTTCAGGTAGGTATGCACATGTAGTGACTGCAGCAGCCCCCAGCCGCCCCCAGCCGCCGCCCGTCCAGCGCGGTCTACAGTCTACAGAGCATGTGGAGGCGCTGGCTACAGCTCTAGGCAGCTAAGCGAACGCTAACGCTAACCCCCCGGCCAGACGGATGGTCCTCTGCCGCCAGCACAGATTCCGCTACCCGACTGCACTCAGCTATTGCAACATGCATCGCTGAGACTCGAGCAACCTCCGTCGGCCTAGTCAGCAGCCTTTTCTGTCGCCAAGTGTCTCTGCTGCGACGCCCGCACCTGTGAGCAATCGCCAAAAAAACAATCTCCCACGGTTCCTCGCGGCCCTCCATCTCAGCCTTCAGCTTCTCGACGGCCAACTCGGGTCCCTCCAGATTCGCCCTAGCAATGCCCCGCAGTAGCTTCTCACATACTCCCCTCTTGCGAGTGTCGAGGCCGGTGTCAGCCTGCTCAAGATGTGAGTGACCGTCCCTCCAGCGCGCTTGCACGGACTTCGCCGGTAGATCTAACGCTTTCTTGCCAGGTCGAGCAGCAAAGGTTAAAGTGAGTGGACAGGCGGCGGCGCTTCCTCTTCCAGTGCAGAGACAGAGCCGCTTTTGATCCCTGGTTGGAATTCCATCTGACGGTTGTCAACAGTGCGATGGAAAGCTCCCTGCTTGCACGGCCTGTGAAAAGGCCGGGCGTGAGAATGCCTGCTCTGCGGCAAACGACCAGTTTGCGCGAGGCAAGGAGCGAAGGTGCGTCTTCACACATCGTTCCCAGAGCCCGTCTTGGACGTCCCTCGATTACTAACCCCCGCGCGCGCCCACCAGCTATGTCGCCGCTCTGGAGCTTCGCATAGAGAAGCTGGAGAGGCGCATAGCATATGCCAAGTCTCGAAAAGCTTCTGTAGCTCTCCACGAGTCCGACTCATTGGCCGTCGCCCATGTAGACAGAAAAGATTCCCTGGCGTCCATTCGAGCAGCCATTCACCGCAAAGCCGCCAGGACTCGCGAAAACTCAGATGTCAACTCTTTGATATCCGATTTCGGTTTCTTGTATGAGAGAGCTCCCACCTCCTTCTCCACTTTCTTGGTTTCACAGCGTCTGACAAGTTACATCGAACAACAGATCGGTCAACGCAACAACTCGAGATTTCGAGCCATCCATGATCAACATGACCTTTGCGCGTCTCGTCTTGGCCGCCGCAACCAAGGATGCTGTCCCGGTCTCAACCGAGTCTTCGTTGCCACAGAAGCAATATGCAACTGAAATCTTCCATCACTTTATGAAAAACATGTACCCCCTCTTTCCGTGCTTTTCAGAAACCGTGGCTTTGAACGTCTTGAATGACATCTACAACCAACAAGCTGAGCGCGTTATCAGCGCATCCGACCATTGGCTACTGTACTTGATACTGGCCATTGGATCTACCATGCAGAGCCAAAACGCCAACGATGAGTACTATAATCTCGGTGTTCAGTTTGTATCCAAGGCGTTGGATTATGCGGACATCGCGTTGGCACCTGGATATGCCACCCAGATTCAGTCCTTGCTCCTCCTTACACAATACGCCATCCTAGATCCCAACCACTTCGACAGCTGGCTTCTCATAGGCTTCACCACACGCGCTATCGTTGATCTTGGATTCCATCAGGATCCCCCTTTGTCTTCAGTTGTAGATCGAGCCACCTTGGATATGCGCCGCAAGATTTTCTATTGCGCATATGCTCTTGACCGGTTGGTTTTCCAACGAATAACGAACCCCTCTTTTCGTCATTGCTATTTCTCTAACGCTGGCATCTAGATCGATAAGCATGGTTCACGCTCGATCGTTTTCCTTCACTGATGATGCGATCCATGTCGCGTTCCCAAATGCCGCCGACCTTGATCGCAAAGGCAAAGATCTCGAGAATTCCTCGATCCTAGGCTCGCAATCTGTAGATTCCGGTCTACTTCTTTTCCAGCTCAGGAGAGCGCAGTCTTATTGGTACCAAGAGTTATATCAATCATACTCGGCTCCGCTGCCAGACCCATCATCCTTTGTGTGGCAGATATGCCTGGACATGCGAGAATGGGGTGAATCACTACCAAGCAATCTTCCTTCTGGAATACGGCAAATGTTCGAGCAGGAATTGAGATACAGTTATGTCTACTGCATCGCGCCTTCAGCAAGGGCCCCTCAGATTACCGACTACCACCGTATCCTCATATTCGAGCACTCTCTGGCGTACCTCCTCACTATGCAGGAAATTGCCTCCGCCGGGCTTAACGGCGCATTCTATAACTACCACGATGCTCTGAAAGTGTATTTCATGGCAAACCAGTTCCTTGCCGTACTGACGGACTCTGAGGATATGCTTCTTTCCGGTGCACAGATGCAAATACCCATCTCTCGCCCCGGTGCCCCACCAGCGCCGCCGATCCCACGACCTCAGCTACGAAATGGAAGATCCGGCGAGGATAATATCAGTAGGAGTATACGCTGTCTAGAGAGCATTCCTCAGACTCTGGAGGTATACGGTCGGCGGTGGGAGGACTCGGCCATGCTGAAGCAGAGCTTGGAGCGAACACTAGCAGATACTATTGGGCGTCTAAGGGAACGTAAGAAGGTGCAGAGCATCAAGATGGAACAGCCTACGTATCCCGGCAGCTCTCCTTCAGCTACTACTTCGCCTCGGGGACCAGCTATCGCACGCACCCCGCCACAACCTAGAGAGATTCGTTGGGTGGGAGTTGACGTCTCGCAGATGATGCACAACCGTGCTCATCAGCAATAAGCAGAGGCAAACTTTGGAAGCAGACACCTTTTGTTTTGCTGCGTTTTTGTGTTGAAGAATCCAATGGCGGTTAATGTACGAGCAGTATTATTAGGATATTGGATGTGAGCAGGGCAATATGTAAGAAAGACAAAATATCTCTGTATCATTATACCCGCCCCGAGGGCAAGACTTTCTTTGGACGCCGATGGCTTGGCTGGATCGGATAGAGCGAGGGTTATTTCCAAGGCCAACAAATGTCACTGATTTGCTATAACAATTCTCTTTTGCTGGCCACCTTGGTCTGTCACAGGAAAAACATATGTATATAATTTACTTTTGTTCTTTTTTTTTTTTTTTTTTTTTTTTTTCCCAAATGGTGCTCCAGGCTGGGTGTTAAGGATTTTCCTTTCTCTTTCTTTCTATAGGTAGATCAATGTTTTGTTCCCTTTTTTTTTTTTTTTTTTTTTTTTTTTAATTTCGGGAAAGGCATTAATAGATTCCTAACCTTACCTAAACGTATTTAATACCCCCTTCCAGGCAAAAACAACAACAAAAGGGTAGAAAAAAACAAAGCCCAGGATTTCTCCCTTTTCTTTACCCCCTCCATATGATTAATATGTAACCGTGACGCCCAGTAGAAGTCTTTGAAGAAGAGAAGAAAAAAATTAAAATTGATGATGTTTCTTTAAAAACAGAGTTTGACAAGTGGGAAAGGAGTTGGAAAAAGGCAGGGGAGGAAAAAAAGAATTCATAGTTATTATAAAGGTCTCTGAACCACCAGGCTTTTTTCTCCCCCAACACACGCCCTTTTTATATTTATTTGTATCCCTCAGATTATTGGGGGGATAAAAAAAAAGGAGGGGAGGCAAGGAGTTTTATCCATGCAAATTCATTCCCCAGGCGTTCCTCGCATGCATCTTCGCTACTCTTTCACTCCCCTGCGTAGGCACCGTCGTAGTCAGCCAAGGCCTAGCAGGCAAAGAAGGCACAAGTCGTGGGCATACAGGAACCATGGAGGAAGCAGCAGCATTAGCAGCAGCAGGCTGGTGATGCCCCAAGAGTTGCTGTCTCCAGCGCTGGCGGCGAGAGCGTCGGGTATGAGGGGGATTAGAGGCAGGGGATTCTTGACGTTGCTGTTGTTCGTTCTGCGGGACCGCCTTATGATCCTGGGGCGAGGTCGGGCATTTTTCCTTCTTCCTTTCACCTTCTTTTTCTTTGTCGTGACAGGGCTCATCAGTGGGTTCCTAGACCGCTCGAATGTCTTGCAGGTGCAGATTTTTAGTCTGGCGCGGCAACCTGCGATCTCGTTCGTAAAAGTAGCCGCAGTTGGCGCAAAGGGACTTAGAAAAGACTTCATGTTAGACTTCATAATGCTTTTCGGCAGCCAGCAAAATCTGCTATGAAATAAAAGATGGGAACAAATCGCTTACCTTGGGTCCAGCAGGGCCGTCTCGGACTGCCCAGACGCTCGTACCCCACGTACGGCAGTGCGAACATCGCCATGAGATTCGCTCCATATCGGTCAAGGCTCCTACTCCTCCCCCATATCCACCGACATCTGGCGTCACTCGTCCAAGCGGTGTTCCGCCACGAGCGAGAGGACTCAGACTTCGGAAACGCCGCTTCTTCTTGGAGCGCTCACCTCTGCCCATTCTCTCTTCCTCCACCTCGACACTTGCACCAAGACCGAACGGAGTGCCACCCAGCATGCCAGTCGTAGAGCTGAATCGCGCCGTTTCACGCCGCAGTCGCCGGATCTGTCTTTCACGGTCACCTTCTCGCTTCTCCATCTCCTCCTTGCTGAGGAATTCGACCTTGGGCTCCCAGTCATCAGCCAGGTGGTCCGGGTCGTATCTCCAGCCAGCCTCCTGGCCGTGCGCAGCATCGTTTGGTAACTCCTGCTGAGCTCCACCCCATCCTCCAACAAGGCCGCCAGCCTCGCAGGCCTCCTTCTTTAGACGAAGCACTGCCTCGTAGATGGCATGTGTCATTGCCGGAACCCATTCGCCTGCCAATCCCAAATCGGCACATGTTGCCTTGGCGAAAGCTTCTGCGGTCCCTGGAGGGTGAAGAAGTGACCACTCAAACTTGTCTGTGTATAACATGGATGAAAGGTTTAGACTCAGGTTGATGATGCATCGATAAGTATCATCGGGGTTGTACTCGTCAGAATCAGGCAAGATGGGCGTTGCCTCAGCAGTGACCTCGGGTGCTTGTGATGCTGGTGGCTGCGGCGTTGCTTGACCTCCCGTCTGTACAGGAGTGTCAGGACGTGACACACCCCTCGCAAAGGAAGCCGGAGAGTCGTCTCGGGATTTGAAGATGCTTGGTCTTGGTGTTCCACTCCCTGTTCCGTTTACTCCTGCAATTGGCGCTACTCCCTGGGCTGGTGGTACCGGTGCTGGAAGTGATGGCTCGGAGTGGAAGAGCGGGTGAAGAGCAACGCCGGCATATTCTTCCAGCTGTGTTCGAATCTGCTTGCTAATCTCCGCAACTACGGCGTGTCTGTTGGGCAGATCGAGATCCTGCGCAAGTGTCTGTGCAAACTGATCCGTCGTGATGAGTGTCTCATGAAGATTCCAGCAGAAGATGTCGCGTAGTTTGTAAGGGACAGTCATTTCCTGCGGCCGGTATTGTGGTAGAGAGATGTCGACTGAGTTGGGGTTCGGAGCTGGAAACGGCGCAGGTGGGATGAAGGACGGGATGTCCAGGTCGATTCGTATGGGTATCAGAGTCAAAGGGAGATGTGCTTGGGCGGCATTCTGCTGGTCACTCCTGACGGACCGGCTCTTCCCCATCCAGTCCCGCCAGATACCCTGGACATCGACTGGTTCCTTGATTTCCTTTCCCACCTTGTCGGCCATGTCCAGCCTGCTGGCCGAGTCCTCTTTGCGCAAGCTCCGCAGGCCCGTGGGACGACGCCTGGGATCGTCGCTATCGTCGTCCAGGTCATCGAAGCCATCCTCGGCGTAATTTATGATGGTGGTGCCTCGCTTTGTCGTCCGCGAAACGGGCCCTGATGGCGCACTCGGTAGGACGGGAGTCAAGAGAGAGTTGTTGTAGGTGCGCAGGCGCGGCGCATACGACGACAGGAAAGCCTGGGGTTTTGATCGCTCCATTTTGTAGTTCTTGAGGGGCGTTCGCAGGTTATCTCATGCTGGCGCAAGGGAGCAAACGCGAGCGCAAAGTTGGGGAATCCCCGCGCCTTGTAGAAAGCCGCGGCTGACAGAGCCTGCGAGGGTTCCTGCAGTCCGTACGCTGGCAATCACCCGACGATGGAGGTCTCTATGGCAACAGCAGCTGTACGACGAGAGACTGGATTCTTCGATGGCTCGCACGGCCAGAGAAGGAGCAGAAAAAGGCTGTACGGCAGCAGCGCAGAGTTCGAGGGACGAGGTGTTGGGAATGTCGCGACTTGTCGATGATGGTTTGCTCAATCGCGTCGTTTGTCTTTCCCCAAAATTTGCCTAGCCCTGCACAGATCTAGGTGATCTGCTTAGGTAAGAAAGCGGGTCGGATACCCAGCGTGGGCGCTAGGCGCTCTGTGCGTCTTACCGGTAAGCAGCTACCCTGTAGTCGAGGTCAGAGAAGAGAGATTCGCTGAAATCCCCTTGCATTCCTGACGCCAGAGTGGAATTTACAAGGTCCATTGCTTCAACTACAATCTTTACATGTATTGTATTTGACTCCTCTAGCTAGGAAACCCCTTCCGTCGCTACCAAAATAGCTTGGCCTTTGCATCATAAATGGCCAATTCCAAACAAGAGGTCAAATCACGGCGAGATCCTCGCCCATCAAAAATGCCCGCAGTGCTCTATTCCCTACTCGCGACCACAAGCATCTAATAGGGCCGCTGGCCAACTCTGATCACAGGTGGTCAGCATACAGTCTCCAAACAATAAACAACTATGAGATGCTTACATGTTTCCTTCCGGAAAGAATCGGCACACATCGTAGGTTTTGTACGGGTCCGAGATGCTGTAGGCTCGAGCGCAGCCTATTTGTGTACTGGTGGACCACATACACTGGGCTGGAAGACGAGTCAGCACCGACTGATCCGAGTTGTGAAGTAGCATGAATGAATACATACACCAGTGCAACCACGGCTCATGTCCATCGGTGATGGGCATCCCGTTGTATAGCGTGGCCTGTGCAAGCCAGGTTCGTGCGGCGGTCTGCAGAGGATTATCATAGGCCGAATCACATTGAGTAGATTGGTATTCAAAGAGCGTTTCTCCCTGCTGAGGGCGGTAAGGACCTTGGGCATGCGAAAAGGGCTGTTGGCCACTGGCCATTATGTTTGCCCAATACTGAGCATAAGATGCCAAGTTGGCGTTCCATGTGAGCGGCTGAACTCCGTGAGCCTGGCGAGCCTGGTTGATCAATGAAAGGGCAAGGGCTCGGTCATCCGATTGAGCCAGACACAGACTGATGATGGGGATCATCCACTGGAGAATACGGAGAAGATGCATTGTATCTTTGGTATTCACTCGTGAGAGATAGGACCTTGAGATGAATAGGAAACAGACAGCTGTGAGTCCAGGAAGCAATGAGACTGCGAGGAGAAAAAGAAGAGTGGCCTTGACGGAACTGAGGAGAAGCTTGTGCGAGGAAGAGAAAAGGAGGAGAAGAAGAATTGGAAGACACTGATATTATATATAGAGACATAAAGAACTACCAATCTGATGAGGCCTATAAGAGAGAAGGCACGGAGAGAGAAAGCTGGTTGGCAAGGAAGGTCAGGCTCTTTATCTGCCTTGACCGCCATGCAAGATATGTCGCATAGAGGCAGTTGACTCGCTTCAAATAGGTCCTCAATCCTATAATGGAAGTCATGAATTGATTATATTGCAACAGCCAATAACAGCATGGAGATTGTTGCCCATTTGTTCTTTTATACGCCTTTTATATGTCGAATTGCTATTGACTATGACGGACCCGCATAGAGTATAGAGCTCTCTCTTCTGTGAAGCTTTATAACAAAACTTTCGCCAGAAATAAAGAGCTTAGAATATCCAATCTCAAAACAAGTCCTCCAGGAAATTTGAATACGACAACCATCAGACACATCAGATGCTCCATAACATCACAGCTACACTGCACATACAACGAAGCCCTCGTTATTACCCCATTAGGAAATCTCGTCTGCTCCATCGCCGGCTGCTAAACCCCATGCGCACGGACCACTTTTCAAGGTACCTGGCCGGCAAATGACGTGCAGTGCTGCAACTTTTTTGACACCAAAATCCACCACCGCCAAAGAATCCATCACATTCTCTCTCATTCTTCTCACAGCTACGCCTTCACCAGCAGGCGCATTCTTCTCAACCATGGCGTCTAAACCAGCTCCTCTAATAGCGCCCCTCATGCGCCGAGCATTTGCTCCTGCAAAAAGCCTGCCTCAATTCGCTCTCCGCCGATCGCATCCCGCCTCTCCATCACCCGTCGCCATCGCCATCGCATCTACAACTTCTCTCCACCAGCACCGCCTCGCACACACCATCCCTCGGCCCCCTCAGAAGAAGCCGCAAAACGAACCCGCCACCAAGGACGCTCCCTCCAGCGAAAGCGACCGCCCCGAGTTCAAGGGCCCGGCGTTCTACCAGCTTTCCTTCACCTGCGTCCCTTGCGGCCATCGCTCGCACCACAACGTTTCGAAGCAAGGGTACCATCGCGGCTCTACGCTGATAACGTGTCCGAGCTGTCGCAATAGGCACGTCATCAGCGACCATTTGAATATCTTTGGCGATCGCAAAATCACCGTCGAGGATCTGATGAGAGAGAAGGGTCAGTTGGTTAAGAGGGGCTCCTTGGGCGAGGATGGAGACATTGAGTTCTGGCCGGACGAGGCGATACCGGACGAAGTTGCGGATATTACAGGCAAAGACAACAAAGGCTCATCATAATAAACATGTACGTTTGAGCTTTGAAAGAACGATCAAGACAAGGTGAAGCGCCGGGCCTCGCTCTTGGATTGCATGCCGTTTGTGCTAGTGTGACGAGCCTGACTTTATTTGGGCAGGACTCAATATGGCAGATGGCATTGTACGAATATGTAAAAGTTATATAGGATCGGCGTTGAGGATTGCATCTAGAAGATACTCTGGCTCTTTAAAAGCAACAGGATATGAAATGAAAATTACCAGGGATCTATACTGATCCCTACGCTTTTTTGTCTAGCTAGTAGCATACATATGCATCTATATATAGCGTTGATTAATAGTCACAAAAGAACAAGTTTTAAAACGCCATCGTAAATGCCCCCTCCCAAACGCCGCTTGTCACAATCTCCCCCTGTACAATGGTTATATACCCCGCGACTTTTACCATGACTTGTACGCCTGCCTCATCACCTTTTGCTCCTTCGACCTCGCCTTCTTGCGCTCCTTGTTCTTCTCAAACTTCTTCCTCTTATCCTGGTTATACTTCTCCGGCTGTGCCACCGCCTCAATCTTTCTCTTGCTGGACCGCTGCAGACGGCGGGCCCTGACCTCGTCGCGGATAGCCATCAGCTGTTTGCTGTACTCAGCTGTACCAAACTTCTTCTGCAGAGAGTCCATCATGATCTGCGCTCTTGTCTTGAGGCCTTCGTGCTTCGTCTTGAACACCTCGTCCATGCTGAAAGGTGCAGGGATGGATGGGTCAGTGAGGTTATGCAGCGGCGTCAGAATAGTCTTGAGCGAAGGCTGGAGTCGGTCCAGTGAAGACCGACGGCAAACAGTTTCCAAAACTTCCATGGCCACCACCTTGGGAACGATGGCAGCAGCGTTGGGCCGTATCTCTTTCCGCAGAATGTGTGACAGCCGCCAGAACAAGTACTGCACATCTTTTGGCTTTGCAGTGGCTTCTTCATTGTCCTCAGCCTCCAGTTCATCAGCCTCTGCCTCTGGCTCGGCATCTGATGAGTCAGGAGAATCTCCAATAGGAAGACGAGGGCCAAGGAATATCAGAACTTGCCCAAGCTCGCCTGCCAAGGCCTCGTTGACCTCAGAGCCATTCAAAGCCCTGAGCGCAAGACGGACGAGCTCTTCTACGTTCGTAGCACGTAGAATAAGCCCGTGAGACCCTTCAACATCTTCGCCAGCAGTGGTACCGGCGCCATTTTTAGCAAAATCAGCGAGATATAAGCTGATCAGCTGGATGGCAGACAGCTTCACTGAAGTATCCTTATGTCCAAGACAGCGTGGCAGCTTGGCCCATAGATCTTCCTTATTGGCGGACAAGGCCTTATCGGGGAAAATGGTGGTGAAGACGCGTACAACGCCAATCGCAGCGCCAACAAGTCCTCCGTCAGTTTCACGAACATCCTTAGATCCCAAAATGCCCGAGACTTTATCGAAAATGAGCTTGAAGTCTGTTTTGTTCTTTGCGGCGTCCTCATTGCACTCAAAGTAGTGTCCAAACAGCTGCACAGCGAGTTTCACAACAGCAGTGTTTCCGTCCTTGCCAAGCCATGACCGGAGAAGGTTAAGGAACGCAAGTACACGCTCTTTGTCCGCCTTGCGGAATATTTCCTTGATTAGTGCTTCAGCTGCGAGACGGCACTTCTCGCTGTCATCATTTGCCAGAACCAGGAAGAGCGGTAGGAAGCATGTTGCCGCAACCTCTTGGACGAAATCATCGGATGACTTCATGAGCATCAGGTGGATTACCTCCATAACTGAGATACGTCCACCCTCACGATCATACTTGAGATTAGCAACGACAAAATTGAGCTGCTTCATCCAGCGGGCTCTCTTTTGAGGGTAGTCTCGAATGAACTGGAAGAAAGCACCTCGCGCCAGATCTCGGGTGTCTTTGTCGTCGTTGGTAATCATGACAGTGCCGACCTGATCCAGAGTATCGTAAACCACCGCAGTCTCAATGCGACGATCCAGCACAGACCGTAAGAAATTGAATGTGATATGACGATACAGTGGTTCGGTGAAGTCGTCCTTTAGCTTGCCCAGCAGCATATCGATGGCAGCATCCTTGACCTCGATATCTCGTCGGTCTCTGAGTACGACTGCAAGCATCTTCAAGGCCGCTTGCGCTAACTCAGTCGTGGTGGAAGTTGACATTGATATGCATTTCGTAGCCTCCTTGACAGCAATCTTATAGATGTTTGCTCCATCAACGGTCGTGAAGGGAACCTTAACAATGACCGCCAAAAGTCGAAACGCTGAGATTTTGACCTCATCTTCGCCTTCTAAGATGGCGTCACCAATGATGGGAATGAAGCCGACGATATTCTCAGGGGTCCGCAGGCTATCATGTTTCTTCAGCATCGACCTCAGCATCTCAAAAGCGAAACGTGTTAGCTTATAAGTATGTTTGCTGGTTTGACCTCGATCACCGCTCTTCTTGGCGCCTCTTTGAACTAGATACCTGCGAGTCTTCCAGTCCAGCTTTGGCTCTGCGTCTGGTTTCCGCGCATTGTATACTTCTTGGATGACTTCGTAACAAAAGACCAGAGTATCGCGGCTCTCAGCAGCCGGATTTTGCAAGAGTCCCGCCGTAATGCGGGCCATCAAGGCGTCGATCTTGCGCACAATCTTCAAATCTACCTTTTGCATCAGAAGAGCTTGCAACGGCTTCATGAGGGCAATGAGGCGACTGATTGATGCGTTTTTGGCAATGAGTTCCATCGAATCTTGGCTCTTGCTGCTTTTGACCTCTTTCATCTGGCTCACATATCCTTCAGCATCCTTCTCTTGACCAACGACGCCGAAGATGTCGTCCATGATCACCGTGACGACCTCTGACAAGCAAGGATCAAGATCTCCCGGTGCGAAATTAGGCACGGTTGCGACTAGGATAGAGTGCATAGTATATGAAAGAACGTGTAGCTGGTAGCCTCTAGTGAGGGCACCTCGAAGCTCTTTCAGAATAAACCCAAAGAAAGATGGGCCCAGAAGCACGGAAATTTTGACAAGAGTATCACGAGCCATGTCTCTTGCTTCCAATGCCTTACTGCGCAAGATGTGGCAGATGTCAGTTAAGACACCAGCTAACTTCTGGTTCAGTTGGGGAGTAGGCAACAGCCTTAAGAGCTTGACAACCGTGATGGCGACAGGAACACGGTAGCTGACCTCGGATTCATCTTTTTCGTGCAAGTGTTTGGTGAGCGGTGGTAAGAAGTAATCAGTAATCTGAGTAAATAGTTCTGAAGTCTTTGGGGCCATAAGACGCAGGCGTCGGACAGCAGAAGATGAGCTCTCTTCCTGGTCTACCTCCATGGTATCAGCATCTGGACCTTCAGGTAACGAAAACAGCAGCGCATCGGTATATTTGCCCAAAAGGCGAATGGTATGCTTTTGTTGCTCTGGCTTTGATTCGATGTAGCCTATGTATCGATGGAAAGTTGTACGGAAGTGGTTCCAGTTCAGTGACATCGCGAGATTGCTAATTGTGCTTGCTGCCTGTGCACCAAGTCCATGATCGTCGCCGCTATCTGCCCTTCCGAATATAAAATGCTCCAACAAGGGGATAAAGAACTGAGTAAGATTCTGGCTGCTCATCTCCTTGCTTGCGTTTGCAGCTTCCAGGGTTCGCAGGGCATCAATTTGTTTTGACGTTGCTGGACTGAGAATGTCGAAAAAGAATGTAGGCTCAGAAGAATCCTCTTGGCGCTCGTTCAAGAGGCCACTCAAATCAGCTACAGGGCCCCATTCAGGCATTGTAGTAAGAATGAATCCTAGCACGCGCAGATACTCTCGTCGCACAGTTTCAGACTCTTCTCGAGCACCTCCATAAATTGACGGCATTAATACCTGCTTGAGGTGGCTGTCAAGTATGCTCTTCGTTTCTTGTGACTGGCAATCTGATGTTTCCTGAACCAAGCGCCGAATTCCATCAGCAGCATTGGATGAAAGCACACCGAATTCCTCATCTATGCGGATGAAGAAGATTAGGTTGTGTAGGACTGGAAGCCATTGCTTAGGGGTCCACGGCTCATCATGGCTGCTTGAGATAGCACTAAATGCGGCAAGACGTCTGTCATAATCCGGCTCATCAATGCGACCCTCCTTGAATAGGTTCAGCTCGTAACAAATGCTGGCAACATTGGCAATCTCGTCATCTTGTTTCGAGATGGCCAGAAGAACTCGGCATAGTGATGAACGGTTTTCTCGGTCCTTGAAGTAGCTGAAAAGAGATGAAACGGTCTTGTATACCTCCTGAAGCAGCACCTCGTCCTTTGCTGCGTCAGGCAGGGAAGCAAAGTTTTCAATGACAAGAAGGATTCGACCCTTGAGCTTGGGATTAACTCGTCGTGCAGGTTGCTGCAACAAGAAACTAGAAATTCGAATGACTGCTTGAACATCTTCAAAGTTTTGGAAGATTGGAGCCAATGCCAGAATGGTTTCGACGCCTGCTTCAAGAAGTGCATTGCTGATATCGCCAGTCCTCAGTACGGTGGTAAGGCTATCCAGAATTGCGGTTGAGTTCGTTTCAAGAAGCTCGGTTTTGATCACCTCATTAAACTCAGACTCGTCGGCAGAAGCCAGGGCCAGCCTAGCCAAATTTCGGAGCATTTCTAGTGCATATATCTTGACGGATTCCTTCGATTTTTCGAATGCTACGCAAGCAATGACCTTGGGTAAGACACCATTTGGCAGCACCTTACTGTGAGGGGCGAAAAAGAGAGCCACGTTGGGAAGGTTAGACCAGGTGGACAGTAGCTGCAGCATGCCTGACACTCCTTGAGCAGTCTCCGCTGGAAGATTTTCGTGCCTAGGTGCCACCAGCTCCTCAATAATGATGTCTTGGTAAGGCCCCCACTGAAAGCCCTGGGCATTCTGGAAGAGAGCAATTAAGCACTTGATACCGGTTGAACGTGTAGACTTGAGCAATGAATGAGTGCTAGCCTTCTCTTCTTCTTCTTCGGGGGCATCGGCATCAGCCTCCGCAGCCGTACCACCCAGTCGCCTGGAAGAGAAGACAAGGCAGTAGAGGACTGTATTGACGAGTGTTTCCATATAGGGAGACACGTTGGTACCCAGCTCTGAAATAAGAGACAGAGCCATATTCAGGAAACCGAACTGCTTTCGAATAGATATAATTTCTTCCTCAAAAAGCTTCTTTCGGTTAACTGTCGGGCCAACCACTCGCACATCCCTGAGCTTTCCTACAGCAATATCGAGGAAGCCTCCAAGATCCGCAACAGACAAATTCCTGAGAATAGCGAGTCGGGTCGTCTGCTGACCATGGCGGCCACCGAGCGCCCCCTTTCGCGAAATTGCACGGCCGTAGAGGAGGTGAAGCAGAACGGGCATCAACTCAGCTCGATGTTCCGGTTTGATGACACTATCTCCTTGAAGGAAGACGGCAATTTCGTTCTTGAAACGAGCTTCGTCGAGGAGATACTCCAAGTTTTCTTGATACATTTTCACGCCTTCTTGCTTCCACGCTAAAATAGCCTTTAGAGTAAGCTTTTGGACTTCCAAATCACCATTACCCAAAAGCTGCAATAAAATGGTGTATACTTGTTCATGCTGAAACAACACCTTCGGGTTAATGAACTGCGCAAACACGCCGATGAGACCTTTCCTGTCAAATAAAGACCAGAATTTGGCTTGAGAATCCTCCTCAGCGTCGTTCGCATCCTCTTCGTCACGAGCCCAGGCAAACAGATGGGGTACCAGTTGGCGGGACCTTCTCTCGGCAATAGAAGGCAAAGCTTTGAACACTTTCAACGCTTGAGCCTTGGCGTTGGTTGAGAATGGCTCAATAAGTCGCTGGCAGTCGTCAAAATTACGCAACATAATACCATCTGAGTCTTCAGCGGTCTCTGAAATAAGGCTTGCTGACTTATGGAGAGAGTTTAACGTAGTACACTCGAAGTCCGAATAGAAAGTGCGAGAAGGACCAGTTTCAGATTGCGGTGGTGTCCAGCGTGGAGATGGCACTTCCAGCCATCGGAATGCGGTGACAGAAATAGCCTCTTCGCCAAATTTGTTTTGAGCAACCTGCTTCATCGCATCTATCGAATTATCCCATACAGGAGAGAGGTTGATAGTCAGCATGCCAAACATGAAGTTCGGAATTCCTTGTTTTAGCCAAGTCGTGTCTGCCAACGAGTCATACTCTTGTCCAAGCTTGCGCAGATACATAGCAATGGATCGAGTATGCTCCAAAGTCAGTGGAGTTTCCTCAATTTGAAGCATGATGTCAACGAATTGAAGTTGCTCGGGCGCGGTGGTCATCTTCTTTAGCAGCTCTAGAGACACTAATCGAATGTCATGAGATGGAGAACTCAGGTTGTCGACCAAAGACCGGGTTACAGGATCGTCTTCGGAAGTTGAAGCATCACTGCCAGATCCATCGTGCTTATCAGTTTCGTGGCTGTGTGGGAAAGTTTCCTCGTATGCTAGATAGGTTCGAAGAAAGCCTACAGATCGTGCAAATCTCGGAACGGCTGCGCGAAGGAGAGGGGCGAGCTGAGGATCAATTGAACCTGCGGCTTTACTCATGCCCAAATAAGCATGAAATCCTTGACTAACGATGAAGTTAACCTCGTCGGATGCCAATGAGGATGACGGCCGAAGAGCAAGCTTGAGCTTGCGTAGTAGGAGCTCAGCAATACGAGCGTTGGTGGATGGATGAACGGCCGTCAGTTCTAGAATTCGGAGAAGCGCCGCATATTTGGGCAGACATCTATCTCTCCAGACTTGTGGATCTTTATTGTACGGTCCTCTTTCAGGGAAAGGCGATATCTCCAGGCTCTCGAATTTAGAAACGATCTGATCCTGCCATGCCTGGGGGAGCTTGCAACAATCCTTCTCCCCGGCGGAAGGGAATCCTCTGTTTTCGATGATCTGTGGCAATAAGACGCAAAGCATGTCTTCATTTTGTCCTTGGGACCAATGGGTTGCGATAAACCTAAAGAGAATATTAACACATGCTATCTTAAAGAAAGGTCCGTCCAACTTACTTCTGAAAATCATTACGGAATAGGCTTCCAAAGCGACTTGGATCAAGCTCGCTAAAATACGAACAAAAGGGTATAAATAATCTCATGAAAGGTTCTCTCGTCAGAGACTGAAGAAGACGTGTGATTTGAGGAATAAGTGCGTCCATAGGAGCGTGATGGCAGGCGATTGCCACATTAGCCACCACCGACTTCCAGAGAAGGTCATTCTCACTCTTCTCGGAGGCTTCTTCGACAGGTTGCGTCGATACCGAAAGAAATGCAACAAGCTGTCGGACAAGGCGCGGCCAGTCACTAAGTCGACTGCCTTTTCGGACACCTGCGAGAACGCCGAGAATTCTTATGTATGGCACCGTCCACCACTGAGACTCACCCTCATGAGATTCCTTCATTTTAGCTTCGCACCTATCAAGAATTGCTTCTGCAAATTCGCCAAAAGTATCGGCACCGGTATGATGAATCACACTGGTCAAGACACCACAGACCAAGTCTGTCCATGTGGTCGTTTCGGCCAATGTACACTCTTCTTTTGGAATTGCGTCCATGAGCACGACGAAGATGGCAGGTCCAGCGGAATGAATGATTCGATCTGTTCCTTTGATCGCCTCGGCAAACATGGTCATAATACCATCTTTATACAGCATAAATTGCCGATCCTCAACCAGATTGCATATATCGTCCCGTACATAGTCCACAAAAGAGACTAGAGCCGTCTCGCGGAGTGAAGGAGCAGCTGCTTTCCTGACGAGGAAGCTCATTGCTTCGGCGGCGAACCGTGCGATGAACGGAGGATGCTTGGCTTTACCAAGAAGAGGTGACATGACGGCATATGTCGGTCGGAGATCCGGAACTAGAAGTTTGGACAAGTACTTGAACAGAAATGCTAAAGCGCCAAAGGTCCATTCGATGACTTCAACGGGCTGAGGCTTTCCCGCAATTGCCAAGATGAGATCCAGACTGCGGGCGAAATATTTTTCAAAACGAATTCCCAAGTCGTGAGCAAATGCCGTCAGAAGATCGAGTAACGGCTCCAGTCCTTCTTTATCCTGTGTTGCGATGTACTTGGCCAACGAATCCATTATTCGTTCCTCAAAATGCAGAATCTGCGGCAAGCTGTCGCACAGAGGATACACCTCCCTCTTGAACGAGGAGAACGGCTGGGAAATGTTGAGCTCTCCCCATTTCTGCAGTCCGTTTTGGAGATAGGATGTCGTCGAGGACAAGTCTTCCGTCTCGAGGTCATGTCGTCGAACTTTGCGCAGCGGCTGCAGTGAATTGAATTTTGCGATTTTGGTCGAAAACGACTCCCATCTGTGGTTCTTCTGATGGGGCGTCGAATTCTTGTTCTTCCGCACCTTCTCGATGCGGCCGGATGATCGGGCTGGCATCTTGACGGCGGTGCTGGTGAACCTGTGTAAAAGGTTTTCGGCCGCAATAATTGAAGCATCCAAACTCGCGAGCTGTTTCTCTCCATGCAAAAGTCCCAAATTTTTTTGGTCGGCAGATTATCGGCCAAACTGATAAGAACTAGTGATGCCCCGCTTCATGGATAATTGGCCAATGGTGTTTGAGGCGCAATTGCTTATCGCAGCACCAAGCTTTTGACGTCGCGTGCGTGCACGTTCGCGCATCTCTTGCATAGAGCTCTCTCTATATCATGCATCTTACAAGCACAGCTTCCGTTATCATCATCAGCTCGCTTTCTCTATCCACGTCACATACAGCCACCGAACCTGCACTAGGGCTTTGACTACATCGGATATAATGGCTGCACCCAAGATGTATGTTATTTCTTTCTGTATAAATTACAGCTGTTTCTCCCAATGCTAAGCCGTTTTCCCTAGCATCGTCCTGGGCAGCCTCAATGGCCAGCTCGAATCGGTGTTCAAGAAGCTGGCAACGCTTCATGCCAAGAACCAATTCTCACTCGCTATTCTTACAGGAGATGCATTTACTCCTGATATCGACGACGCAACGATTTCGGCTCTATTAAACGGATCCATCGAGGTTCCTCTCCCCACTTACTTCACCGTCGGCACTCACCCTCTGCCATCCCGAATCGCTGCCAAAGTGGAGGCGGACGAAGAGATATGCCCCAACCTTCACTACTTGGGAAAGCGCAGCATAACAAAGACTTCCGATGGTATTAGAATCGTAACGCTCGGCGGTGTCCTTGACCCGAACCTTGTGGCAGGGCAATCACAAGAGCAGCATTTGCCTTTCCACACAGCCGGTGATGCAAAGGCCTTGCGCGGCGCCAACAGCACCGACATTTTGTTGACAAGCATGTGGCCTGCAAAGGTGTGGACTGGGTCCAAAGTGGTGCTCGAGCCTTCTGATCAAGCTGCTGTGAGCAGCTCAGAGGATATTGCAGAGCTTTGCGCTGCTTTAAAGCCTCGATACCATTTGTCGGCATCTCCAGGAGCATTTTTTTACGAAAGAGAGCCTTTTGTTCAGCAGTCCGAAAAAGATGCCAATATTATTTCTACTACACGATTCATCTCAATGGCTACATATGGCAATGACAAGAAGGCGAAAGCCATGTATGCCTTTACTCTCAACACGGCCGATACTACGGTACCTCCTGGCGCCACGGCGTCACCATTCACATCCAAAACCGTCAACAAGCGTGGAAGACAAGATGAGGGCTACAGCCGGTTCGGCCATCGCGAAGATGGCCACCACGGCAGACATAAGCGGCGCCGTGCCTCGCCGCCACCAGGGCCAGACAGGTGCTATTTCTGCTTATCAAATCCCAACATTTCAGCCCACATGTGCTGCAGTATCGGAGACGAAGCCTATATCACAACCGCAAAGGGTCCTCTACCAACATCCACGACGTTTGCGGGGCAGGGTCTGAACTTCCCTGGCCACTTCATTATCATTCCGTTACCACATTCCCCGACTATTTCGAGCATGGGAAGCACAGCGGATCCTACAAGCGAGGCTGTGAAGACATATAACGAAATGTCACGGTTCAAGGAATCCATACAAGCCATGATTGCTTCCAAAAGCTCACATAAGCTCGGCGTTGTCACTTGGGAGATTAGCCGTGATCGTAACGTCCACCTGATATGGCAGCTTGTTGCTGTACCCGCCGACATCATCCAGAAGGGCCTTGCCGAAGCAGCCTTCCGCGTTGAGGCCGAAAATTTGAAATACCCATCTTTCATGAACAAAGACATTGCCGTTGAGGACTTGGCTTCCTCTGGCGATTTCTTCCGCGTCTGGCTGTGGGCGGATAACGGAGAGGATAAGATTAAGGGCAAATCCCTCGTTATGCCGCTTGCCTCCGACGCGCGTTTTGACCTACAGTTTGGACGTAGAGTCCTTGCCAAGCTTATGGGCTTGGAGGACAGACTCAGCTGGCAGAACTGCGAGCAGACCGTGGAGGAAGAGACCAAGGATGTGGAAGCTTTCCGAGAGGCGTTTAAAGAATGGGATTTTACGCTATAATTACGACAGAGAAGAAGAAGATTTGGGTGCTTTTTGCTTTTGCATAATTTCGGCGTTTTAGATAATCAAGGCCATGAGCATTTATCGTTGCTTACCGTTCGTCATTTGCTTGGGAGAAAAAGGTTTATTGAAAAGTTATAAGAAAGCAAATATTAACTGGAATAATGAAAATTTTAATCATCTTCCTTAAGAAGTAATTTTCCGAGCGTCCATTTTGCAGAGCCCATAAACGTATATACAGATCTCCCCTGTAGGTTTTCACCATCAAGCTCGAGAGACGCGCAGTTATCATAGCTCATGAATTTGGCAATCAAAAGGAATAAGGATCCAAACTCACCTCTAAACTATCAAGTAAATGAATAAAAATTCCTCATAGGAAAGTAACATTATGGCAAGACATAACGTCGAACCACAGCCGCAAGCCTTCTTTAATCAGCCAACTGCAATGGTATACCCAACTCGGGGCAGGCCGTATATCAAGTGGAAATTAGAGCAGAGCGATGTGCGACGTGCTATAACGAAATAAAGATGGCTATAGCAAAATGAGATTCAACTGCTCTCATGTAGCAATCATCATCAGTCGTCATCCCTGTCGCGCCTTTTAGATGCATCTCCTCTCCGATAAATGCAACGCGCGTAACATGAAACATTAGCAAAGCCACTTGCTAACTATTAGACGAAAAAATGGCATCGGTGAGAATCGCTTAAATTATCCCACAGGCCGGCCGATACTGTAGCCAATGATTCTACACTTGTATAGCAATTCAAGGCTTTTATCGCCATGGCTTTATACCTATTCGTACAGACAAACATCGTGTCTGTTCGTATAGCTCTTCCCCAAACAAGCAACGTACGAATATCTTAAATGCGTTTATAAGCTAGCTGAGGCATCTATGTTCTCTCATAGCGTAATGTACAGCCAAAAAAAACCTCCTAGGCAACATCTCTCACTGTCTAGCTAGTTTTACGACATAAAAACATAAGCGCCGCCCGCTTTGCCGCGCTCTATGGCCCATTACAATGAGCAGAGGGATGATCATCACCTCCTGTAGTGAAAGTATGAACAAGGAAAGACGAAAGAAGTGAAAGGCATGCCCCAAGGGTATAAACGTGAAAGGGTGCATGCTGGGGTATTCATTTCTGACAAGGAAAAAGAAAAGAAAAGAAGAAGAACCAGGAAAAAGCATGAGCAAGTATTCGGTAGTAGGGTGCCCGGTGCTCGATGTGAGTCCTCCATTGATAGAGATCGTCAAATGCAAGGATGAGATTTCTTGCAGCCTGGTATACAAGCAAGATGTGCAATGTCTGAGGCGTTCCAGAAATCTTCTGGAGGGTCTCCCGGATTCTGTTTGCCAGAATGCTGATTATCTGACAAAACATTATCTTTAACAGACAGAGAGACAAGAGATTGCAGTCTATGAACAGCCAAACAACGTTAAGAAAATAAGCAATACCGACTGAAGCTTCAGGGAAGCCCAAAGGTATGATTCCGTTCATGGACTCCATAAAATTCCAGCATTAAAACGCAATGCATCGCCATAAGCAAAAGGTAACTTTTCGTCGTTAAAAATTAAAATTCCCAATGGATTTATCAACCAACACAAGAAAAAATAGGTGAGCCGACACAGATCGCAAGCCAGACCTTCCACGGAAAAGTGCGTGAAGTAAGTTAATAGGAAACCATGCGCCGAGTCCCTGATCGCTCACCAAATATAGGTGAGTCGGGGATGGAGAGGGGGGAAGATATATTAATATTTCGTGACTGAGGACGAGGGGGGCCAGTGGGGGAATCGTGGAGACATGTTTCCCGTTGGCCAAATGCAAAGGTTTGCGCGCGCCCGAAGGGCTTGCGAGCTTTTAAGCGTCCCATTTCTCTCTCGCAAGTACGTTGATGCTTTTCATCAGACATTTCGACGTATTCCGGTGGGAAGCACCTTGCTCGGTGTTCAGCAAAGAAACCACTGTAACCGCCATCCAGGATGTAAACTTCTGGATAGGTTAGGCGGGGGTAGTGCTCTGCGTTAATAGTGCGATCTTGAGAACGAATATGACGCGCCATTAGAGGGGCTCGATGGGCCGAATATTCACAGTGAAATATTAGTAGAGTCAAACCATCCATAGGTGTCTGAAAGAGTTGGTCGGCCAGCAGTTCTTTATTGTTGTGGTTGACAGCACCATCGATGTGACCGCCTTCATACTCGTACTCGAAGCGGCAGTCAATGATCATCCGCTGAGCAAACTTGTCGCTATATTTTCCATCCAAGATTTCCAGCATCGTCTCTTTTGTGATTCGAGGGATCGTATCTGTAGGGTCATCAGGAAGAAAATGAGGGATGGTCGGTTCATGGGCTTCTTCAATATCGGCCACAGATTTTAGTATAGGAGAAGCAGCAAGTCCCCTCTCAGGCTTTGGTTTCATGATATCGGTAGGACTCTCAAACATGCTCAAAGACCTGCGAAATTGCTTTCGGGTTCTCAAAAAAGGGTTTGACTGTCTTCTAGCATGAAAGTTGCCCGGCGAACCAAGGCGACTATTCCCCCCGAGACTTCCAAGTTGGGATCTCGAACGAAGACCAATGGGAATAGGAGAACAGGGGCTATGCGATGACAAAGGCCTGCTGCGGTCCTGCGGTGGGGAATCTGAGTCGAAGCACTCATCGAGAGATAAAGTTGAGTTGTTAGCTGCTACTTGAAATGATGGGCTTGGGGAGGCAGGGGAGCCAGTGTTAGCAAGCGCCTTCAGTCGAATAGGAGTCGTCCGCCTTGGGCCCGCTATTCTACGGCCAGCCAGAATGTCAGCGAGTCCTCGACCGCGTCGAGCTTGCATCTGCGCTGGCTCGGAAGCAATTGGCTTCGTTGGCTCCAGCGATGATTGCCGTGAGCGAGACTTCACTGGTTCCGGAGAAGATTGACGGGAATTGGGGGCCGAAGAGTCCGGCATAGCAGCATCATTGGCAGCGGATGAAATGGGTGTAGGCGACGCAACTTCAACCACGGCGCTGAAGGTCACCTTACGAGGGAGAGGGGACATCTCCGTAAACTGACTAGGCGAAGAAGATAGCACAGAAGGAGTTGTCACAAAATCTGCAGCGTGTCAGCCAAAACGACGCGTGTCCCACGAGGCCCGCGAGGCTCTTACCATTGTCACCAGTATCGCCAACTACATTAGCCGTGAAAAGAGCTCGTCGAGGAGTTGGGAACTTGGGACTAATAACTACCCGTTAGCATGAGAATGATATGATCTCACTAGACGGTACGAACCTCGCTTCATTATCAAGCCGGAAGTTTTGGGACAGATCGGCAGCTAAGCTCACAGCGGGAGATGAACCTCGGACTTCTTTAACGTTGAGGAAATCTCCTGTGCCTTTGTGAAGTTGCTCGCGAAGGCTCATAGATCCCGGAGCAGAGTTGCTGGCGTAATGGGAGCGGAAGATGTCTCTGCCTCTCCATGTAGGAGTAGGCATTGGGCGGTGCATGGCCGCCAGAGGCGAAGATGCTACCATGTTGAAGGGATATTCCACCGAGACCAGCACCCAAATCAACAGCACCCGGCAGCGGCGCTGTTACTTGAAATAGTAGGCTCGCGACACGGGAAAGAGTAAAGGACCAGAGTAGAAGAGTAACGAAAAGCCCAACGCCTAGCTTGGCCCAAAAAATGGCTCCTCACTATCACCGCACAAGCCAAGGAGTTTCCTATCTCTTTCTTTATTTAGAGGCTGCGTGTGAAAGCGGCGACTCTGTCAATTGTATTTCTTTTCTCTTTTGTCCTCCTTTGTTTTCCTTGTCCACCTTGCTTCTCACTAACAGGCATGAAACGAGGCGTTTAGCTGAGGTAGGCTCCTGCAGTGGGGCGGAAAGTCTTTTTTTTCTCGCGTTCGTTACAGTCGTACTAATAATGGCAGAAGCTTGTAAAATTGACGATGGAACCTTTTCGTGACTTCGTTTCGCCAGAGGCGATTTCTTTCATCTAGATCTGTGTTTGATCTCGAAGAACTCGGCGGGGGTAAACAATTGCCGTCTCTGCCTGATTGAGCACCTGCTGATTGGTGCAGCCCGAACCCTGTAAAACCCGGTTTCCAAGCAGCGAAGCTGGCAAGGTCGTCTGTTCGCTGGCCCACACAAGGTCCGTCGGCGATGGATTCGCGAGCGAGGAGCCTTTAATCTGGCTGTCGTTGCTTCAATTCGCGTCACGCGGGTATGAAGGAGAGGGAAGCGAAGAGCAGACGAGGGCACAGCGCTTTTTGAATGGTCGTTGCACCAACCGGGCCAGGACCAGGAACCCGGCTTGCGATGGAGTTGGACGTTGTTAGGGGTGATTTGGGGGGTGAGGGGGGTTTTGGACCGCGATGGCCCTGCTCTGCTATGCCTGCTGAGCGTGCTTTTGGCGACAAGAGGTACCTCCCGCGACTGCTACGTACCCGTGCAGCGACACTAATACAGCGCTGCGAGACCTGCAGCGGGCCACTCCCAGCGGGCCATTCCCAGGCGTCAGCACAGCTTCTCAGCTGCCCTGCCCTGAGCTATGCCGTTGCGGTTAGCCTCCAGTTAGCGACCTCGCTCCCTGGCAGGAGTGCATGTACCCTTGGACGCCATCAGTGGTTGCTCAGTGAGCGGTGGGGCGCTGTGCTCAGTGGGCGCTTAGTTGGCCTAGAGCTGCGACTCCCAGATGTACTCGCGGTACCTGCTACCTCTGTCCCCAAAGTTGAGCGATTGTATGGTACAATTCAATGTTACTTTCAAGCTTGCCCGTGAGGGTGGCATAATCTACGTACAGGTACCTGCCGACCGGCTATGCAGCGGTGAGGACTGAGGCGTTGTGCGGCTCAATTCCAGCGTGCAAAGTCGGTCATTTAACAATCTGCAGGGTCTCTACGCGATTGAACTCTGCCTTACTCCAGCGAGTCAGCCACGAGGGATATGCAGAAGCCGCCATTGCGATGAGGATCAGATCTGCAGGGCAGATATGGGAAATTGAACGCGGCTTCCCTGGACCGGCGAACAGACAATACGTGTAGCATTTACACAAGCATCAGCCAGGGCTGTGCGAAGTTGATACTTGGCACAAGTTGGTGCTTAACTGTGCTCCATAGCGGCAGCAAACATCAACCTTTAATGTGTGTTATTTTTGGAGACATCACCGCGGCAGGAATAGCCGCAGCAAATTTGCTTCATTATTCTCTTGGTAAGGTATGAAGCATATCTGAGGTATCTCGTAACGCTAGGCATTAACGAATGTATAAGTACCTGGCTGAGCGTAGGCATTTGATTGCGCAGTTGGAGGCGCCAGGTCTATTCCGCAGCTTTGGTACGACCCGGCATCTTCTTCCAAGCAGCCGTGCGTGGTGCAAGCAGACATGGAGCCGAGCATCAGCTGTTACTGTATGCCTAGCTTCCTAGGCGGGCACCAGCTAATATTGCGCAGCTCATTTTGCTAGCTATATCCAGTCTCTGGGACGGCCTCCACAACGGCTCTAAGCTTATGCACAGCAGAGGGCATGCACCAAGCAACTAACATCCCGCGCCTAATATGACCCCAGCAAACATGCTGGACTGAGCACATCAATTGAATACCAAGCAAAGTACCTCTACTTCTCGATGACCTCCAAAGTGTGCAGTCCAACAGATAAGACGCGTGCTGCGTTGCGCTATTCGCTCTAGCAAGCCTCAAAGCTTTTGTGTGCCCAGCTGCGGGCGTCGGACACGATGCTGACTGGCTCCGTGCTCATACGAATCCGGCCATTTCTTTCGTGCCGGAAACATCAATGTCGTTACTAAAGACCCTAGAAAGGAGAGACATTGACCCGCCCTTGCCCTAGATCGTCGTTGATTGTGTCTCTCGTGTCGAGTCAGGTACTCAGTTTCCCTGACGATGGACTCATCGGGGCCTCTTGAAAAGAGCAATCCCTGCCTCCATCTTCACCCACTTCGTCTTAAGACATGCACAATCTATGAGGAACGGAGCATGAGGAACGGAGCACTTGGTGCTAACGACTCGCCTGTCGTTGACATTTGAACTGGCTGAGTCTAAAAACGTTGTACGGCCGGCCATAGCTCCCTTTCATCGCAGCTCACCAAATGATGTTTTTAGGTCTTTAGCATGGGCCAAATTAACCTTTTTTTGTTCTCGTTGTCTCATGTTGGCATGGAGCCTGCAAGCATGCCCAAGACAGCAACGCATCTAACAATGCTCGTATGTATGTGATGCTAGCTCAGACTCCGCTTACCAACCCGTCATCGTCGAACAGAAGCACCCTGTTAACATATGTATTAGCAGTACGAACCAGTGCCTACTAATGGACGCAGCCGGGGCGCCTTGGACCTTGTAAAGAGGGTTTTTATGCTCTCTAGGCAAGATCTGCATTGATACGAGTATGTATGACGGCACAAACTTGAAATCGCAATCGCCAGTTGCGAACCATTCCAGCGCGTTCGATTCAATCCATTTCGTCACGACGGGTTGTCGCCAACAGATCGTAGACGTCATACCTCACCTAGTCCATTAACGACCCTTGATCAATCAGTTAACCTGCAATGGCGATGATTTACGGAGTACAGGCACGAATAAATGAGGTCGCTTCGCATATGACAATCGCCGATGGTCCATAAAGCATAGGGCTCTTTTTTCGCTAATCCTTAGTGCAGCAGTTCGGCAACTGTTTCGGGCAACGGGCCACAAAGACCAATAATAACTGTGGACGAGTGGATGCACCGATTTTTGCAGCAAATCTGCTATGCACTGCCGGCAACGACGGTTCTTTTAACCTCCGTATTCCAATCTTCTTTTCTTCGCGCAAAATTCACCACTACCTGAGCTTGTGCAACTACTACTGCAAGTGCCGTAGCAACGGCCGGAGCCGCATATGCGCACAAAAAAAAAAAAGGTGCACAGCAACCGCTCCACTGCCGATCAAACCGGAGCAGAGCCTTGTTTACTTCCGTCTTGGCCTATCCAAGGCACTCTGACAAGGCTGATAGAGAACGTCATCAAAGCGTACTCAGTACCCATAGGAAGCTCCCGCTGCTTTACCCAATCATGGGCGGAAAGCCGTCTTTGCCAGCATCCAGAATCCCTTCAGCTGATGGCGACAGTTGCAGATCCTTCGACGATTCCTGAAGCGGCAAGGACCTAAACCACACCTCCGCCCTCTTGCAAGGGAAAGGGAAAGGGCTCTTTGATCCTTGCAATAGCTTGTCATACCCAGATACATGTAACCATCCTCTTGCCTGGCGAGATGAATATGGCGTCGGAGTGGGGGGGGGGGTAGAACGTGATGAAATACGACTCTACTCATGAAAATTGTTTCAGAGGCCCGCGACCACGACGGTGATTACTCCTCAAGCTCTAGTACCAGGCGGGGAAGAGCAACTAGAGCTGGATACAGGGAAAAAAAAAATACACGATGTCAGTGCACGCGCCAAAGTAAACAAAGACGTCGCGCGTGTGGTAGCTGTACCCCGCAACTCGCCCAGCAACCAGAGCTACCAAGCCGCGAAGTCACGTGTACGAACCGCAAAAGGCATGGTGCAGGATCCTATCGAGTCTTCCATGAAGCTGTTTGGTTGCTGGTTTCACGACATCATGTGGCTATCAAACACTAGCAGCAGACAGAGAGCAGACTTTATGTGATGACACCCCACTGCGCTTGAGAAACGTAGGATAGAAGCCTCCTAGTGCATTATTGACGGTGCAGCGGAGGCGGCGCATGAATTGGTGCCTACCTAGTAGTGTTGGCGCGTCAGATGTACAAAGATCAAGCAAATCGGGATTAATACGTGCAAGATTCAGCGGTGGTGAGTTTCTAGCCAACTCTTCTAACGGACTAGTAGCAAATAGTCTGACAGCGTGAAACGCTTCAACTTTCCCATTTATACTCCATACCACTTCGTATCTGGGTAACGGGATACTTGTATGTACTCCGTATACCCATAGGACCCATAGGTATTCTGTACCGAGTAGGAAGCTCCAGAATAGCAGCATGTGAATGTGCACGTAAATATGTACATGGGTACTTCCAATGCGGATAAGTGTGGGGTGCCATAGTGGGGCAGAAGGCGGTGTAAATAGGCAGAATTTGTTATCTTGGAATTTTCCAATCTATCATCGCAAGATAATGGGAACGGTTCATTCAATACGGCACATAATATTTAGAGTTGCGTCTTTCCGTTCATTTTAATTCATAATGGGCAGCAAGCGGAAGCGCGGAGCCAAGGATGGCCCGATTGTGCCTTCAAGTGCACAGAAAAAGGCCAAGAATGCCACATCCTCCCCCGTCGTCCCTGTCGTCGCAGCCGCAAAGCCGTCGTTGGAGAAAGCGCCCTTTGTCGAAACTCCCACGATCGAAGATAGAAAACGCGAGGGTCTATTATACGAACATCTCGGTAGCGAGGACGACAACGACCGGATTGAGGCCGCCGATTGCATTATATCTGGACTGTTGGACGGTGAAGGCGTTGCTGAGACGGTGCTGCAAAGACATCTCGACCGACGATTATTCCGCGGACT